TGAAGCATCTTGGCCCAGACTTTGTTTGGCACCGAGTCACCTGGAACCTCACGTAATCTGCCTCACCGAAGTCGGACCAGACTCGGCCACCGCTCGAAAGAATCTCCAGGCCTGCTTGCCGGCTTAGTGTATGCGGGTGACCTTATTATCGACTTGTGCTACCCTAAAGAGTGTCAATACAAACATCAACTCAGGAAAGAATCCCACCGACCTAGGCGGAGTTGCAACCCATCGTGCACAGCGGGATGTAGCAAGCTAAGTCCTGCACCCTCAACTGAAGCCCACTGCTTCGCAAGTCAAGATTTCACCCTGCTGCGAGCAGGTCTTATATCGATGTTCGCATGCCATGTGCTGTATGTCAAGATGGTCCCGCCTGTAGTGGCACGAAACAAGCCTCGGCGGTAAAGTTCACTGGCCCTCTTCTTGCTGAGGTGCATGGCAGCTTGGGCAGCCCTCCAGCTAAATTGCCAAATTGCCCTGAAGCTGCAACCCTTTTGGGCACCAGACAAACGGGTAAGAAGCCCAACGCTCGCAAATCGCCAGGTCTTGCTCACCTACACTTGCCTCGAGCCAAGGGCATTTGTGCGAAAACTCTAGTGCATCTATCGATACTCCACAAGCAACCCCCAAGCATTCAGCAGCTACTCAGCAAGAAGAGCGCCATACAGCCCGACCTCGCCAAAACCACCTGTGATAAGGCCGCAACTGCAAATCCGAAACCAAAATGCTGGAGACAGAGCGCGTTCTTGCATGGATTCCATGGTCGCAGGGTGCACTTTGGCATCTCTTCCATTTCAAATGCGCCTACCGGTCGTAGTCGTAGCTTTGTATGCGCAAAGAAAATCACGAATGTGTTGAGTCCACAAGCATATCACTGCGCTCCTAGTCATGTCGCGTGCACTGCACACAAGGCCACATGTGCCTCTTGAAAACGGATTGAAACGTCAGCGTTGGACGTCTCGCAATTGTTCTCTGCCAAACGAGCAAATACATCGGACTACAAGCCAGTGCATACTGAATCGCTAGGTCTTTCTAGACCCGACAATCCAGGATAAATGACCTTGGGCATAGATGCATTGTCTTTTGTTGTCTTGCGAACTTGTTACAAGTTCCCGCAAGAGCTCAAGTTCTGGGAAGCATCACAACATCTGTACATGCAAGTCAAGGTTCCGAAAAGCATGCGACACTTGATTGCGACATGCACTAAGCCATCTAAACACAGTATGATGCCTGTCATGCCGCTTTTCATCCTTGATCTTCGACTGCCAGCGAGCGTGTTGCAAGTTTCAGCTGGAGACAGCCGTCTCGACTCGGCCAACACAGCTGTAGAAGCCACTCTTCTCGCACTCCGAGAAGGCCTGCCCACAGGTGTCGCGCAAAAAGGACACACACACACACACACACACACACACCACACTCTCTCTCTCTCTCTCTCTCTCTCTCTCTCTCTCTCTGTTTCATACACACCCACACACCCACCCACGCACGCTCCCACCCGCACACGCACGCACACGCACGCACACGCACGCACACGCACGCACACGCACGCACACCCACGCACGCATTCCCCCTCGGGCGACACACACACACACACAGAGAGGTGCACGCGGAAACACTCGACTGCAGGGGCGTTTTGTGCGCTGGGGGGGATGTTCTGCAGAATGTGGTGAAGGTGTCTGGTTTGGGGCTTGAGAGCTTTTCCTGGTATCTTGGCTCTGCCCGTCGGCTACTGCCTTGTCCTCCTCCCCAAGCTTCCGCCTCGGCGAAAGTGTGAAAGGCACCACAATGCTTGCAGACTCGCCAATTGCCGCAATCCCCAAACCAATTCCACGTCTCGCCATTATAGGAACCCTTCGCCAAAGAGCGAACTCAGCACCCTAAAGCCCCTCAACAAAGCACTCGAACCACTGCGCAACGCTGATCAACGCCGGGGCGCCGTGATGCTGTGAGGAAACTACGGTAGCACTGCTGGGCAAGGCGCAGCTTCTCCTGGAAGCGGGTGAAGCAGCCCAGCGACTTGTCCCCGCTGGGTGCGGCGCAGCGGCGCCACCACCAAAGCCCTGCAGCATATTGCAGCATATTGCAGCACTCTCTCATATGCCAGGGAACACGTCACAGCGCGACGCAACATGTCTTGTGATCTTCAAAGGAGCAGCGACCAAAAGCCAAAAGCATTTCTTTCCGGAAAGGATGTTGCTTCTAGCTTACGCGCTTCGAGGTTTTGCTTACGCGGCCATCTTCTTGCTGTTTTTGCTAATGCGGGCAAATGCGGTTCAGGACAGAATGCAGAGGCTGAGCTGAATGCTTGGATTTAGGTAAAGATGTCGGGTGGAGGGTGTGCAGGGAGCAGGGCTCTGGAGGCTTAGGTTTAGGTTTCAGGGTGTAGAGTGCACTTTTTGGGGGCATGATGTCTCGAGAGCCTGCAGCCTTCACTTGGGCCACCGTTGGGATTGTGGGGGTCCGCTTAGGCGTCGCTTCCGCGCACAATGATGACCGAAACTTCCTCAAACTACAACTTCGCATGATCGTAACGACCCCCAATACAGCACCCCCCGACAAGCAAGACTCGAAACTTCCTCAATCTACAACTTCCATGGTCGTAATGACCCTCAAATACCGACAAGCAAGACTTGAAACTTCATCAATGTACAACGTCTATTCTACGCGTGCAAGGAAGAAGAAATGAAACCGCAACAAGTGCTTATTCGAGCTTACACGGGACCTGTCCGCGTGCGGTTGCTTACGCCAGCTTACTTCGACATTTGTTTACGCCACAGTCTCTTACCGGAAGCCCCTTACTTGTTTCTTCATGAAGGGTTTTGATCTCTGCTGAAAAGGCTACGGGTGCAGCTAGCTATCTCGGCATATTCTCGTCCATGCCGGACATATCACAAGTATGCAGTATACATCAGTAAACAGATGCACCAAGGCGTAGCCGCCAAGCTTCCGGCAATTCAGGAGGTTCTCTGAAGGATCAGATGGTTTGTCGTGTGCATGGCGGCCTCTCGAATCCTTCAGCTATGTGATGCTGTGCCCACAAAGTCACAAACCCTCAGCGTGGCTCCTCAATCGCTCCTCCAATGTCCTCCTTAAGAACCTTTCCTCTCCCACCTTGGCATTCCACTGAGTCGAACCAGAAGCCCGGCGGGTCCTGAAAGCCGAAAGGCGAAAGCTATCTCTGCTGAAACCGATTCACGCACTCCATCATTTCATTTCTCCCTGACCGCACTAAATTCGCTGCGGCCTCCGGCCGAGAGGCGTCTGGAACAGGCAAACCAGGATCTGCTCTCCTTCCCCCTTTTCTCAGAGGGCCACCCCCTCCTTGTGTGGGACCTTCCAAACTGATGGAGGAGCTGCAGTCCGATGCAGGGGTCCAGGCTGTCTCTTTTTCTGCGACTGGCGCCGTTCCCCGTGCTGCAATTTCCTTCCTGGGACCTTTTCTGAACCTGCTTCTCAGGCACGTGCATTCGTGTACAATTACTCACAAATGGTTCTCACAAAAGCAGTGCTCACTGTCGCATTTTTCTCCTCCAGCAGCGTGGCCCGCTCGAGGAAGACAAAGCCACGGTAGGCTGCTGTGTTCCTGCAGACGACTCAGACACGGGGCATGGATATATATATATATATATATACCTGTAGGTGCGAAGGCCGATCTTTTCCCGTAACGGCGAACTCAGAGACAAAAAGACATAAAGTACTGGATTCTCCTGAACGGACTTAAATTCTGCCCCAAACAGACGTATCACCTGAAAGTAAGGAAATTCCATGGATCGATGTCAAAGGGAAGGATTCTATTGGGTCAGGAACCCTCCCAAAACTTCCTAAATGCCCTGAACACCATACAACCCTGTATATAAACCCTAAGGCCCCAAACCTGCCTGTAGAGCCCTGAAGGCCTTTATCGAGTCTTTCGGGGGTTTGTTTCTGTGCCTTCCAGGCAGCCGGCCTTTTCCTTCTGCTCGATCGAGCTCCGTGTGGCCAAGTTAGGGCAACTAACGGTGTAGTGGTTGTGGGGCACATATATATATATATAAGCAAACTCTTAGCACCCCGAGCTCCGAAGGGCAAGGATGGCGGAGACATCGACTAAAGGGGAGAGACGGAGGCCGTTCTTCTCGTTTCATATGGTACTTCTGACCTTTGCTCCCTTTTGTCATGGCTCCACGCGAAGGAAACCACCGGGATGCCCAAACCATCCTCGGGCACCTGAAAGCTGATGGAACTTAGGCTCTTAAACACAACTGAGTCGATCTGCGATCAGCCGAGTTGGGTACACACATCGGCGTGTACACGGGGTTGTAGACATAAGACGCCGCAGAATGTCCCACGTCTTCATGTATCCTGAGCGACGCAACGCGATGCAATGCGATGCAACGCAACGTAGGCCTGAACGTCCATTGTGCCAGGGCTCCAGGACACCCAGACAAGGATTGTGCGGAGGCTCTGCCGGAGGCCTGTGGCAAAAGGTCGTGTCAAAGCCTTCCCATGCCTGACAACCTGCTCCTGGTGAAACCAAATCCAGCCTCTTCTGCAAATCAGGTCAAGCCCAGAGCATCCCAGAGCCTGAAACACTTAACCGCCTCAACTTACCCTCAAAACTGCCCGCACCAAAGTGCCTCGTGCCGTGGGCGTCGACGTGGCAAAGTCCGGGGCGGTGCCGAGGGCACGGCGCAGGGGTCGCAGATGCCTGGAGTCGGACTAGAAGGCTCATACAGGGGGATTAATGAAGGTGCGGCTGGGTTATCTGGACATTTCGGGTCTTTTAGGCCAGTGCTCCCCTGGCCTCACCATGGCGGACCACCAGCGCTGGATGTCAGGATCCTATGACTCCGCGACCCAGAAGAGGCTACACAACATCACACAACCATCCGAACAATCTGAGCACGTCTGAGCTTTCGTTCTGTGCAAGAGGAGTCCTCCCTTATCTGTCGATCCTGCTCTTTCGCGCTGCCTGGAAGCACAGGCAGCCCGCTCAGGAATCGAGAGGGCATATGGCAACATATGGCAACACATGGCAACCGGATTGCCTGGGAAGTTCGCATCAAGCCAGCACTGGAGCAGCTCGTCGTAGAGGTTCTGCACCTGGGAGCTGGCATTTTGGGCACTCCTACAGATGCTGTACTGTAGACGATGAAGTCTTAAAGATCACCTTGGACACGAATATCTTTGGGCTCAATGATGTGCCCCCCCTTCAGTCCAATGCCAAGAAGTCAAGTTGGCATCCCTCCTTAGCAGAGAGCAGCACGGTGAGAGCCCGGTAGTGCCACCGCCAGCTCCAGAGGTTCGGGTCCTCTACAGCCTGTTCGGAACAGCCAGTGCAGCCAGTGATGTTCCACGAAATTAGCATGACTGCCGATGTGCCCCTTCCTGCAACACACACACACACACACACACCTCGATGGTCCCAGGACTTTTTGGCAACTTTGGAGAGTCTTGGGTGATGCACATGAGTGCCCAGCCCCCAAAGAGTCGAATCACGATAGCGCCTGCTGCCATCCCACCTCTTCTTGAGGTGCCTACTCCCAGGTGATACAAGTGTTCTGTGCCCCAGATGCTGCTCCTGGCTAGGAGTGCTGGAAAACTCACAAAGCAGATGCCTGAAAAGATCGTATGCCGTATGTCTTACATTTCATTGTACACATATGTGAATATGTATATTCATGTATTTATTTAGTGATTTTGGTGTATATTTATGATTTTATAACTCGCATGCAAGTGCACTAATAGTCGTCCTTCTGCTGTTTACAAAACACGAACAACGCCGTAACGCCTCCTTGGAAGAGACGCTGGCGTTCATCCCGCGGAGTCTGCCGTAGCGCGTCATGTCCATGTCCGCCAAGTTCAGCGGCCGGCTTTCCTTAAAAAGCGAGCTTCTTATACTGCCCCCAAAAGAAAGCGGTTATGCAAACTCTAAAACAACACTGCACTTTTTGGCTCCCCCAGCTTTTTGAAAAGTGCACCGAGTTAACAGGAGAGAGAATCTCTCCCGGCACAAGAAGGAAAGATGTGCTGAAAACTTTGCGGAGGAGAGGAGCGATGAAGTCTTCGATCAGCTTCAGCTGCTCCGAGGATGGCAGCGGCGCCAAGGAAAAATCGGCGGCTTTGTATTCCTAATAACGAGAGGGTCGGGAGGTGCAGGGAGCAGATGTTGCAACTCCCTACTGCAATATCTGCAACCCCTTCATGCACTAAAACCTAGTCGTTACAAAACTACATCCTAAACCAAAGCACCCAAAAAATCTTCAAAAGACTGCGAAATGAGGCACGAAGAGAAGCTTGAAGTTGTCGTTGGTCGCTTGCACACTGCGGCTGATGAAGGGATCGAGCATGCGGCGGATGGGATGCCTTGAAGAAAGGGTGCTAGAACTTAGGATGGCTCATATGACATATGACTCGTTTAGGGATTACAATTCAGGGGGTTATGTGGGGCCCAGGGTTCAGCTTGACGAGAATGATGCCTCGAGGCCTCAGGCCGCAACAGGTAGTGTTTCCAGCCCACCACTGCCCACCACCGTATCCTCCTGCAGGGCCCGTAAACATCCGTAAACTGTGCGCCACCCCGGTTTTTGCCTGGAAGCCCTCCGGGCGCAGTTGGTGCGTCAGGAGCCATACGGGACAGACACCGACACCGGCGTTTTCCCCCTCACCTCGTCATACCCCCTCTGATCTGCTAGGACAAACGAACATGACTAAACGAATCCCTTATCCACCAACTTTGACCAACAGGACCTACCACCCCCACCCTCCCCCTGCCTCGACACCACCCCCCAACCTCCACACAGTGTACACTCTGGAGATGGGACGCGGATTGCCCAATTCAGGTCCAAGCTGCGTCGGGTTTTCTGCAAAAGCATCCACGGTTATCGCCTTCGCGTCATGAATGTTAAGGCTTGAAAACCCAAAGCTGCGCATGGCTGGGCACGGGGAACTGCGATGTATCTTGTTGTCTTGATTTATATTGCCTCATGTGCTCCGCAAAACCTCCCCACACTGGATATTCCACGACCCTAAAAAACCCGGAAGGCCTGGAAGCTCGCCGAAAGCTCTAAGTGGAGATCCTTGACCTGGGATCCGCGAAGGCGAAGCATCCGTCAAGGCGTGAACACTACAGCGCCGTCCTTACAAGGCCGTGAAGGTACGATCCGATCATTTTCCGAGAAGCAGTTTTCAACTATCGGCGTGGATTTCCCCGACTGCTTTGGCAAGAACTAGCCTCCACTGCAAAAACGTTCTAACCTTTGTGGACGTAGCTCGGTCATGTGCTAGAACCTTTGTCTCAGAACTACTGTTGGAAGCGCTCCTGTCGACTCATTGACTTCTGTCCGTGGACTCCTTCAAGACCAGCAGCGACCAATCGAGACATTTTAGTTTGCAATGTTTGCACACCTCCGTGCGCTCGCTGATACTGCGCGTATCAGATCCGGCCTGGAACGACGCACGATAATGTGAAAACGAATCTCTACTCGCTTGGCGTACTCCCCTCTTAAACGGTCTTCGAGCGCCGTTGTTGTCCGATCACGATCGGCTGCCTTAGTCTCTTCTTGGAGGCCCGCAAGGATCTTCACACCGATATGTCCTGCCCCTGCTGGACATGCAGTAGCCACAACTCCGAAAGCTGCGAGCCGGGCTGACACTCTCCGAGCTTCCAACAGCAGGAGACTTGCTTGATGCTCGGTTTCGCAAAAAAGGAATGCTCAAACTGCACATTCTAGCCCTCGGTCGCTCAAAGCTTGAACAACTGAAGACGTCTTACATGACAATCTCTGACCATGCGTGGGGTTAAGTTTCGGCTCAAGGTAGGAAGGGCCGACATTCGCCCTCCATTTAAAATAAAGAATACCCGCACAGGAACGTGGAGGATCAGGTTCGTCATCGACAGCAGGGACGCGATGATGGAGGCCTGACAAATAACGACATCACCGGGACTGTGACTGACTTTGGCTGCGGATTACTCTTACTGCAACAGTCCAACAGTGAAGGTTCACTTCTCAAGATACTGCGAGATGAGTCATCCCTGCTCAGAACGGCAGAAGCCCCATGACGTCGAAGAAACCCACGGACTGAAAGAGACCCCTTAAACAATCACGGACCAGAGCTCCGAGCTGGTTCTGCGCCTCGGCCATCCGCCAGCCATACCGAATCGACTTCGCATACATTTCGTCTGACTGAGGATCCTCCCAATTGTTGGAGTTTAGTTCATACTCAGTTGCGACGGGATCTGCGGAAAGCCTTCAAGATACGGAACATCTGCCGAGTGAGTACCCCCTGCACCTCAAAACTCGTGTAGTTGCTGCCGTTGTAGGACATGAAGACCGTCTTCAGCCTGCCGAGCATCGTGGAAAGTTCCGAGCTCTTGAGGTCGGAAGTTTCATTCACTTTGTGCATCCAAGGGAGGGCGCACCGTCCATCTTCGGCGCGGAAGGACGCCCGACCCCCCAGCGGTGCATAGCCAGGGATGGGCTTGTAGGGCTCGAGGGCGGACATGTCCTTTGGCCAAAAGGGGGGAAGTGCGGCAAGAACAAAAGGGGCTTTTCCAGGGTCTCAAGGATACAGTTCGGGGATGTTCGGGGCACTTCAGGACCTTGGCACCATGCTCGATGGCATGACCCTGAACACCCAAAGCTGCTATGCTTCGCCCAACAATCTCTGATTCAAGCATCGACGTGGTAAAGCTCCCCATCATGCGTGAGGTGAGCTGAAAAGGCCGAGTCGGTCATCAGGGGACCTGCAACCGTGCTTGGGAAACTGAGCTGCAGAGGCTGTGTGGCATGTTGTACTGTTCTGTTGTTCGCAAGGATCCCAGGGCACCTAAAACCTCGCCCTTTGTCCCGAACTTCTCCATGAGATCCTCCACCAGCTTGATGCCCCAGACCTGCGTGTGTCATGTCTTGACATCTGCTGACATCTGCTGAACGTGACAAATGCGAGCTGCCACTGTTTGTCAAACCCGCGCACGGATTCACGACTTCAAGCTCGAAACATCCAAACGCCCTGATCATGGTGAGGCACACCATTCGATGCGAACTTGATATCTGTGGGGCCAAACTGGTGAAAGCCGCGCCTAGGCCAGATCGAGGACTGATCACACTGCAAGCCCTCAGATACTTTGCCTCCTCGGCAAAACACAGAGATCCTGGGCCCCTACTGGGCCCCTTGGGCCCCTTGGGCCCCCCTTGGGCCCCTGGCCAAGCGAGTTCTGTGAGACCCTCGGAGTCGAAGGCGAAGCGTGGCTCAGTGACGTGAAGCATCTCAATCCTGAGAGAAGCTTGAGCTTTATCTGTGTTTAAGGATACTGGTTTGAGAGAAGAGCGGAGAAGCGATCTTGCAGCATCTTGCAGCATCTTGCAGCATCTTGCAGCCCTGCATCGGCTCCAGGCCGAAAGACCGCATTGAGCTGACGAGGCCGTCGATGATCTTGATGCCCGTGGCGTGCCGGAAGTGGTCCTCAACGTAGGCGAGATCATGAACTTCACGAGCAGCCATGAACACCTCCAAACTGGGGCCCGAGTGGAGCCCGAGGCAGCGTCATACAGCGCGCCTCCCAAGAAGGGACCCGCTCGCCGGTCACGTAGTCCTGGAAGAAGCTGGGAAGCTTTACGCCCCAGTGCTCCTCAGCTAACCTCGGTTGACAGGGGCGGGAACAGGCTGAGCCAGAAAAACTTCGACGATAACACACACAGCTCCAATCGGATAACGGGAGGACAGAGTCAGAAAACTCCCCCAACGCATTCGCAAAACGCAGAGGGCTGAGTCAGAAAACGCGGAGGCCGAGTCAGAAAACCCAAGAAGACCGAAATAGCTGCCGATCGGCTGCGCCACAAAGCAAAGTAACTCAGTCCAAGATTCGCGCTCGAAGGCTCCAAGCGGAAAACGCGAAAGTGTCAGTCGAAAACACGCAGGGAAATGCAGGTAGAAAACGAAAGAGGCCATGAGCGAACAAGCTGCGAACCGTCGAACGCAACCACAGCCGGATCAGAAGAAAAGTTTTCATTCAGTCGCGTCCAAAGGCTCCAATCTGAAAACCAAAAGGCGTCAATCCGAAAACGAAGTTAAACGAAGGCGTCAGTCAGAAGCATGTTGAAGAGGCCCGGTGCGAAAACCTGAACCAGCTTCGAACAGTCGAACGCAACCGCAGCCGGATCAGAAGAAAAAAATTGTCTTTTGGTCATTCGGTGACGTCCGAAGGCTCCCGCAGTGACCCAAAAAAAATGAAAGTGCAATGTCACTGTGCAGCCCAACTGCTGGCTGAAGGAGATCGTTCCCATTTTCTCGCCCTTCACGGGTGGCTTCCATTTGGGTCCTGCATGGTGATTGGAAGCTCGCGCTTGTCGTGTCGAGCTTTGGCCACTGCAATGCTGCAAGCATCAAACACTGACCAGTCCGTTGACATCTACACGGAAGAGCCACCAGAGCAAGTCAAAAAACCTCAAACGACTGCAACACAGGCACTGCGAACCAGGGCGTTGGTAATGTGAGAGGTGAGCTGCTGTCATCTTCCTAACACCCCACTCACAAAGCCAGTCAGGTGGCCAACCAAACCAGCTCGGCCAAGGAAAGCCCTCGTGGCAGGGCAACGGTTAGTATCTCATCAGCATGCTAGCCGGGCTGTCACACTGGGCACATAAAGGCAAAGACAATCCGGAGCTCACACATTGGGACTTTCTACTTGGCTTCAGAAAGACAATCGGCACATAAGCAAGCTCTGAACATCTCTGAACAGGGTCAAGAAGGCCTGCCTGAACTGTGTTCAACAAGGGGAAGAACTCGCTTAGACCAGCGCCAGTAATGAAAATCCTCAGAAAAAGAAGCACAACGAGACCGTGCCACTTTGAGGTAAGCCATGGAAGTGCAGAAGTGCAGTCCTAGCTTGCAGCTTGGGGCTATGGGATGCCAAGGGAAAGTCTCGTCGCCAGTGTCATCATAGCAGGGAAGCACGGCGAAAGAACTCTGGAGCACGATGAAACGAAAGGATAGTGAGGTAGAGAGAAGACTTTTGGGCATCCCAGCACACACTTATGCTGATATGCCAGGGTTCTCTGACCGCTAGCCAAGGCACCCTCTAAACTGCTGGTAATTTCCAATTACAACGCTCTAGATTGATATGCACGCATACCAAAAAACTTTTACAGGTATGCATATATATATATATATGGTACCCCCCCCCCCAGTTATCTACCTATGTTGGTGGTTTCTGGGGGGGGTGGGAGCGCCTTTCTTTACTCCATATATTGCTTCCTTTATACAAGCTTTTGTTTAATCGAAAATGAACAGATAGTGTTGAACTCAGGTGAAACGGTTGGTGAAACCCATGACCGGCTAGATCTAGCCGGCCAGTATTCTGCAAAGGTTTTCTTAACTGTCACAGTGATGGTATCTATGATATAAACAAGCATTCCCACTTGAGGCTCACACGCGCATGTCAGGATTCCGGTCTATTCTCTAAGCCCTTCAGAGAGGCTTCCTAAAATCCTAAAGAGGAGATCCCTTAAATCCAAAAAGAAATCCTCTTCCCTTTTCAGAGCAGGATCCCTAAATCTCATTTCCTTAACTACATTCATCAATCCTCAAGAGGAGAGCCGTTATTGAACCCTATTCCGTAAATGCTGTCATGAACCCTATTCCCTAATTCTGTTTGCTAAATCCTAATCAGCGGGATCCCTAACTTGAATTCCCTAAATCTTGTTCCCTTGATCCCTAGTTCCCTACATCTTCTTCTAAAAGTGTTGCTCCCTACAGACTTTTTTCCCTAGGTCCTAGTCCTATATCCTGTTCGAGTAGGACTTAACGAATCTGATCTTATTTTGGCCCTAATTCGGGCTCGCCAGGACCAGGGCCACCCCCGCCCCCCCTGCCCCCGCTCCAGACCCTCCCCTTCCCTGCCGCGCCCCCCCCTCCCTCTGCCCCCCCCCTTTTGCTTGCGGGTTTGGCTTGAACCTTGAACCCTAAAGCCAAAAACACTAAACCCCAAACCGTGAACCTTGAGCCCTAAGCCCTCAACCCTTAACTAACCCTCAACCCTAAACCCCAAACCATAAACCATAAACCCGAACCCTAAACCCTAAACCCAACCCTTATTTCTTGGGTCCAGCTTGTGCCCCTTATGGGCCGTAAGGCCCCTTGCGGGGGACGGGGAAAAGGCCCCTTACGGGCCGTAAGGCCCCTTACCCCTTGCGGCCCCTTACGGGGGGTACGGGGGAAGGGCCCCTTAGGGAAGGCCCCTTACGCCCTTAAGGCCCCTTTCGGGGGGCCCAAATGGGGGGGGTACCCAGGATTGGCTCGAAATTGTCGATTTCCAATGAATTTAGTAAAGAATTCGTACAGAAGAAATGACCCCTGCTTTTTTCAGAAATCGGGGATGGGGTTGGAAGGCCCCTTACGGGGGGAAGGCCCTGACGGGGCGGGTCGCGTAGCCTTAAAATTATATTCCCTTTATCGTATTCCCTAAGCCCCAAAGAAGGGTATCCCAAAGAGGGGACATTGAACCCCATGCCGTAAATGCTGGTCCCTAAATCCTTAGATTCTTAGTTTTACTCCCTAAGCCCTAAAGAGGGTGGTTCGTATATCCTAAAGAGGAGAGCCCCGAAACCCTAACACGAAAATCCCTTTCCCTAAGTACTTCCGCCAAACTTTGAATAGCATCGCTAAACCTTGTTACCTAAATCTTATTCCCTTGATCTAATTCCCCAAATGAGCCCTAAATCTTAAAGAATTAACCCTATTCTCCAAGTCCTTTTGCTAAATCCTAGTGAGAGGGATCCCTAACTCGCATTCCCAAAATCTTGTTCCCTTGATCCCTAAGTCTTGTTCCCCACATGAGTAGGATTCCGCGAATAAGATTTAAGCCCCAATTCGGGCAGTAGTGAACCGATTCCAAAAATGTATGACCCCCTCCCCAACTCCCCACCCTAGTTTTTTCGGGGTTCTAAACCTTCCCTAAGTCTTGCTCCCAAATCCTCTTTTCTAAGTCCAAGTTTTTCAGGCTTTAATGAAGAGGAATACGATTTGAGCGCCGGCGGGAAGGGGGGGGGGAAACTTAAAACTCCTCTTTAGGGTTGAGGGATCCCTTTTCTTAAGATTCAGAGAAGAGGATTCGGACTAAGGTTTGGGATCCCCCCCACGTTTGGGGCTTGGCAATACGATTTAGCCTTGATACTGTATGATTTAGGGGAAAAACAAAAACTTTTTCTTTAGCCATTAGGATTGAAGGAAGAATCTGTTCCCTAAGCCCTTTTCGCTACATGCTAAAGAGCGGGACCCCTTCTTATTCGTTTAGGATTTAATGAATAAGAACGTGGAGAGAACAAAAAACTCTCCTGTTTAGGATTTAGGGACTTACGGACTAAGATGGGATCACCCTGCTTTAGGGCTTGGCCAATAGAATTTGAAGAATATAGTGAGGAAGAGGGGGAAGGAGAGCCATGGGAGGTACCGAAGAACCACACCTGGCGCATTTGCATGTAAACCAGGTCCGGAACCCCAAAAAAGGTAGATAACTGAGGGGGTGGGGTAGCATTTATATGTATATCTTGTTGATATGCACTCCAATTAAAACGGGAGATACCATCAGAGTGCATCTGCAGACCAGACTGGGGTAGGATTGGCTCGCATCCACTGTCTGCGGGCCAGTAACGAGACGAGGACAAACAACTCTGTACCCTTCGCCTTGAATCCATGCCAAGCTCCTTAGAGTTGACACCGACTGCGACTTGCAGATGTAGCGTACTGTGGAGAAAGCTCACAACTTCTGCGGAAATGAGGAACTTCAGGAAACGAGAGGCCTGGAAAGCGAGAGAACGAAGCAACGAGATCTGACTACGTCACTGCGAGTTAGTCAAACCGGTGCGAAGAGGAAACTTCAAGCCCCCCCCCCCAGCACTGTTTTTGGTGGTTTGTGGGTCTTGAAATGGTCTGAACTTGGGCATCCAAGAGTCGGAGCACCGGTGCCCAGGTCGAGTTGGTATCAACAAATGGCCTGCTAGAGAGTCATAGACTGTCATAGAGGCAAGGAGATGGAATAATTGCAAGTGGTTGAGCCATGGGGCCCATGGGGAGCTAAGCTGCCTCAGGAAGCCCGAGCCGGGAGACAGGTCGGACATCAGGGCACCGAGCTGGTCCTCTTCCTAGAGAAGACCAAAACAGAAAAGCCCCTCTCATCGTAGACCTCAATTTCAGTTCTTTTCAAGTGCGGCAAGTCCTTGCGGAGGCTTGTCCGCGTCAGCAGGGCCGAATCTGGGCAAGGGTCGGGGCAGGTCCCGCCCTCAACTTCAAAGTTCCCACCCGGTGACGACCCGAGCAATCGCTTCGCCAACCTGAGGTGTTCGAGGCCACATCGGCCAGATTTCGCCGGAGAGCCTGTGAAGCGGACCACACAACCCGGGCCACAACCCGCCACAGCCGCGGACACCCCCCCCCCCACCTCGTCGGCCCTCGCTCTCTGCGGCCGCTGTGCAAAGAGCTCTTCAAGCTGGTTCTCGAGCATGGCCTGCGAAGTGAAACAGTTTAGGAGGTGTTGGAGGTGTTTGCGATGGTCTACGCGTACGTGTTCAGGCTTCCAGCTAGGTTCAGGGCGAGTTCAGGATTGGAAGCATGTGAGCTGGAACCTCCCGGTGGCTCAGCCGCACCGAGGACGCGAGCACGGCACAGGAGGCACCCAGCGCCGCAGCGGCCACCACCTGAGCTGCAGGGCAAAACACCATAAGGGCGTCTGCCGAGCGGACCGACAACCACTTCTGTATCGTGCTTTACAGACCAGTTGCGACCCTGCATCCCAAGCCCGAAGCATCCCAAGGCCTTGTAGGGTCTCGAGTGGCTCTCTGGTGACTCGTGTTTTTCAAGGTCAATACTGGACCTGAATCACTGAAGAGACCTCAGAAAAACTAAAACGAGGGCTTCCTCAGAAATGTTCCACACTTGCCGAGGCACGCATCCGTACCTCCACCTGGCATCTCGAAGAAGCTCTGCAGAGGAATGCTTCAAGCTAGTACCAGTATGTACCAGTATGTACCAGTACTGAGACGCAGAATGTGGCTACAAAAGTGCCCTCCACGGTTCCCGCACCCCCACCTGCGCTGCTCAGGGCTCGCTGGCAGGTCCTCCTGGGAAGCTTCGTTTGGAAAACAAAAGCATCCTCACGTGATCTCTGATCTTCCTCGCACTTCAACAGCTCTTGTTGTGTTCTCTCATTTTGTGCATGTCACGTACCCCCCCCCCCGGGTCCGGGATCAGCGATGCGTACGCGACCTCCAAAACAAGCTACAAAAGACATGCCAGCTTCGTTGCAGATTGCTGGGGCAACACATGAAGACACTTCATGTCATCTCGGGGTATACGGTTTTGAACTCCAGGCGGAAAGCTTATCCAGCATCCAGCGGCTTCTTGCACTGATCTTCTCAGGTTTGGGATGCTCCATACCTAGGCCGAAGCCAAACGGAGTGCAATGAATGATGCCGAGAGGCATGACCCTCACGCGAGTCGCGCGACAGGACGCGACCCCTCATTGCACAGACCTATGGTCCCAGGTGGTCTACTACACTGGGTCTTGGGGCTGCTGGCGTGATCTCGCATGTGCAAGGACACACAGGTGTTCTGCTGCTCACGATATCTGCAAGTCGAGTGCTTCTACTTTGCAAGCTCGACATAACAAAGCCCTTCAAGGCTTGAAACGGGGCAGGCTTCAACGAGCTTGGACGAAACCCTGACAAGCCGATGGCAAACCCAGTAGATGGCAAGTCTGGCTACCATAGGGCAAGGAAGGGCTCAGGTCTTTCATGTCAGGGTGCGGAACTTGAAACGGTGAAGCTTCTTGAGGGTTGTTCTTGCTTCTTGCCTCTTTTGAAAAAAAAAAGATCAAGCCCACGACTCTCACAAGACCCGTCCATGCCAACCCTTTTGGCCACAGCATGCGGACACAAAGTTGTCACCGCGTTTGCTTTTCACAGCAGCTTTCTGACATGGTTTTGGGCAAAAAAACCCAAAGCGCAGGATGCCAGCCGACCAGCTACAGAGGAGTACCATGGTCCTCTGTCTCCAGATTGAAAGAACCGTCTCAGCAGCTCATTCAAAGGCCGCGACTGTTGATGAGGATAGAGCGCACTTGCTCGGTCATGGGCCGGCCGCGCAGGGACATAAATTGCTGCTACACGTCCACGAAATGCCAAGTACTCGACAATGCATCAAACGCATGCTGCGAGCTTCGGCAGCAGCGCACACGACGCACCCCGGCGACCCCGGCGGCGAAAGCTCCACTGTGTCGATCTCCAACTGCTTCAGATTGCTTCAGGTATCTCCAGGATCAATGGCCAGGGCATCGGCTCATCGCCGCGAGAACCACTCCACTCCAGCTCTCGGCACGTCTGCGTGGACGATCTGCTTCCTTAGTCCGAGCACCGGACAAAACCAAGCGTGTCAAAACAAGCCGCAAGAAGCCCGGATTGCACAGCTCAGGACGCATTGAACGATTCCTGTTGCAATTATCCCTCATCTCTGAGGCTGCAGCTTTTCCGGGGCACGGAACAGCCAGTCCTTGCCAGGGCACCAAAAATGACACAAAGGAACAAACCCAGGCCCTGAAAAATATTGCGCATAATATTGTATAATTACACGCAGTCGGGCTTGTTCAGAGCCCATGTTGGATGAAACATGATGGAACATGACTGATATTCGGAATGCATCACAAAGTTGGAGAAAACCCAGGCGCTCCTCGATCAGCACGTAGTCGAGATCCGCGAGTTCGTCCAGCATCTGCAAGGACTCGGCCACCTTTGCTAGGTGAGAGCTCGAGTGGAGGGTGATGCGCCTTCGCTCCTTGCAATGCGAAGGTTTCAGGCTTTTGCCAGGGGTCCGTGTTGACGATAGGCTTGCCACGAGAGTTGAAGCTCCTGGCTGCTCAAACTTACATCATATCTGCCGCACGGACCTGGCCAAAGCCCTCAACAATCCCAACTCCAATGTCCAAGAAGTACAAGGCTCGTATTGATCAGTGCAGGCAGCCCAATCAGCTTGCCCACTGCCAGCAATAGGGCGTGAACCTCTGCATGAGAAGCGCACTCTCAGACTTGACACTCCAATGAAAAGCAACATCTCACGACAACAAGGGACCCAGGGCTCATCCCCTTTGCTCACGGACTGATGTCGGGCAGTGCCATCAAAGTGTGCCAGGGCGGGGAAGCGCTCTCGCACGTCCTCCCTGACAATCGGCGCAAACTCCATGGAGGGAGACAGATACTTGTGTCCGAAAACTTCTTCCAACCCCTCCTCCGCGATCATAGGTGCTACCGGCCTGTACCACTGCCGCGACTTGAGCCGGTTCATTCGGTCGCGTAGATCCCGCGAGTCAGGGACCGCAAGGAGGGACCGGTGCCCCAAAGCTCGAGGTCCAAACTCCTGGCGCCCGCGGACCACAGCCATGATGGGCCTTCGCGTGCGGTTTTTGGCCTCGCCCTCCCTGTCGCTGCTCTCGCTGCTGCTGCCGAGAATGGAGGCTGTGCTACCATCACCTGCGTGACCTGCGTGACCTGCGTGACCTCCCACCAGCAGATGGGCCAAGAACTCCACGCCGCCCAACTCCGAGAGGCGGCGGGCCCCTCGCACTTCTGCGGCCTTGTCCAAAGTCTCCAAATCCCACAAACGGAAGCCCAGGTACTGTAGTTTTTGCCTCGGCCCGGTTGGCGGCAACACGGACCAAATCCCTCCGACCGTGAGTCCCGAATCGTTGGGAGCTGGTGGTACGTAGACATCCTGCGGCTTGCTATGGTTTGGCTCTTCTGACATTGCTTCGGTGAGGTTGTCGCGAATAAGCTGGTTTACCACCACGTTCAGTGCACAGCCCCCAGTCAATACGATGCCCTCCACGCTGACCCTCTTCCTCTCCAGCTCTTCGAGGTAGTCGACCAGCACCTGAAGCGGGGACCCATTTTTGTGTGGCCCCTTTTTTTGCACTTCTTTAAGACCCTAAACCCTAAACCCTAAACCCGAAACCCTAAACCCTAAACCCTAAACCCTAAACCCCCTACCCTAAGCCCCAAGCCCCCCCCCCCCCCCCCAAAAAAAAAAAAATATAACAATAATAATAATAACAATAAATTAATAATTATAATTAAAAATATAATTATAATTATAATACTAAGTAGTAAACAGAAAATGTCCACTCCCTGAAACCCCAAGCGTGCCGCCAAACTCTACACGCCAAGGTCTTATTAAAGATCTTCAGACGATCCGTTTGCTTGTCCAGAGTGTGCGAACATGTGCGAACAGACATGCTTAGCGGAGCCGCCTCCTGGACGATGGCGGCAAATTCCGCTTGGATGGAAGCGGCCACCTCTCGCTCGCCAAGCTCCTGTCAATTGAAAGCTTTGCAGGGCCTGAAGACAAAGTCGTCACCTATCGCAGCCTATCGCCTGCTTAACACCACATTCTTGCAGTCCCCTTCGCAGATCTTCTCGAGCATTGCACGCGGCACCTCAGTGCAGAGGATTAAAGTATCAAGGCGGAAGAGGATGAAAATGAGAAAGTTCGAGGAAAGCAAGACGAGATCCGTGAACCTCGTTGCGATGATGCTCCAGGCGATCGTAAAATCGCCGAATCCAAGGGCCCACCTCTCGATGCTCACGATGGCGATACAGCTTGAGACACGCTGGAACATCACGAGGATTTTCAGCTGCACAAGCCGGCTCATGATGCAACACGCGGAAACTGAAGTACCCACCTTCTTGCTGGGAGCTGCCAAACCAGAAAAGCCCATGAGCTTTCCGGCGAAGCCCAAGGCCAGAGAGTCTCCGAAGCTGTACTTCAGATCGATCCAATCGCCCTCCTGCTGTCTAATCCGGCTGTGCGAAATGTTGAATGACTCCTTAACCGCCTTAACCTTTCGTTCAGGACCAGGGTTCGTCCAGAGATGCTGGGAAGGGCATGTCAGGTAATATAAGTGATGGCCCATCAAGGGCCTCCTCCAAAGCTGCGCAGGCCACCGTCCCCAGCTCACTCGCACCGGTTACCTGAGGCAGATAGCTGGCCAGCCGGTGGTAGCCCGTTCCTGTCTGAAGCGGAGCAAAGATGATCAACACAAGCCTTTTGACCCTCTGATTGGAAAAAAAGGAACATCCTTGAAGCTTCAGAATGCAACTGACAGGAGCGAGCTGCCAGTATCCGCCAGCCATCCAAACTACAGCCCTGTGTTTTCCATAGAAGTCATGTGGAATGCTTCGCGACAATTGAACGCGAGCCCCCCCTCAAGAAACCCCAACCTCGCCCATTCTTCATGACAAATCCGTGCCTGCGAAAAAATAACAAATGGAACTTGAAGAAGTTGCACAGAACATGGACCAATCTTCGGGCAATTATTTGGCCGGGAGTCCCAGATTCAGGGGCTTCCGACCAATCCGCCACAGCTCTTGGCCTCAACCAGTCTTGCGTACTTTACTCTCCAAAACGCAGAGAAAAATTGCTCGTGGGATGAGGGTTGAGGTTCAAGAGCACTTGCGCCTCGAGCCAGAAACACATTGAAGACTCCATCGTTGCCGCCACCATCGTAGGACAGTACAAAAGCACTGCGGAATGGGGAACCTGCAAGTGCAGGTGATGCTCATCCTGAGAATCCTGGCATCCTGAGAATCCGAAACACCGCTGCCAAGTGGCTGAAGTAAGCCATCAGTGCATGAGCTTCCTGCGCAGAGGAATCACATGCTACACGCTACCCTAAGCCGCAAGCCCTTTGAATCTTCTCAACCCGAACAGTTAAATTTAACCCCAAAGGCCATCTAAGCCTCCTCACAGTCAGCCAAACTTGCCAAGCTTTGTAAATCCCTTCAGGGCTCATGATGGTTGACGTTGCGCCACTGGTCCACAGAATACACCAGCTCCACCACCTTTGGGAGCCAAGTGAACTGCATCTTCAAACGCAGTCCGAAACCCACCATGATGCCAATGTCGAACCTCGGAGAGGATATCCCCTCAAGACATGCCCTCACAAACTTCTCTCAAAAAGTCTCTCTTCGCATGGCCTAGAACGACGAGAACCTAGAAAATGCCTGAACGATTCGTCAAAGCACTGTGTTGGACATGGCCCATCTTCGCAGTCGCATCGATCTCGGACGGTCTCCAAAGCATATCCTCACGTGCTGATCACAGGGCTACTTGTGGCTTATGCATATCACCACCATCACCTTGTGCCTATGCTGCGCCAATGCTAGAAGCTGCAAGATCAGCTCGCGAAAACACATGGCTGCGAATGATATCATATAAGAACGGCTCAGCACGCTCACTCTCGCACTCACGTCCGTTTTCGAACTGAGCATCTCCAGTTCCTCTGGAAGTTGTTCACCGCCTCCATGCACAATTCAGAACAATCAGAACAACTGCCTGCTAACCGCATGACCCGGAACGAAATATTGATTTCAGACCTCTTTCGAGGCAGCTGCCGCATTGTCAGCCTTGCCGAACCGTCCCGAAGTCTCGTGGGCACCAACTGTTTGGTGAGGGCTTGGTGAGCAAGAACTTTCTCAAAGTGATTCGTGCTTTTCTGTTTCAGCAGCGTCCGGATCAGTCAATGCTTCGGCCGACCGTCTCTTCTTGAAAAATGATCATCTGACAACACTCAGACGACGCGAACTTTCGGAGCCGCATGCAAGCCCAAAAGCAAACACCTCAAGTGAGATGGAGCTGTTTCCGAGGCATGCTCCGAAATCATTCAAGGACCTGGAGTGTCTGTTGAATTGAACACAGTGGGATCTTTCAATGAAGACAAGAACAAACCAGGAGCAACAGTTAGCCATCCGGTGCACGTACCCAACAGCATCTATGAAACCAGGATCTTGCCTTGCCGTGAATATTGGAACTCAAGATGACATATTCAGGCTTTGAAGCTTCTTCTCTGCAGGCTTCGGAGCTTCGTACAAACCTTGATTCTGCCCTCAATCCTGCTCCACAACTCAGATCGCCGCCCATGGTCAGCTGCAAGAGGCCGCGCCTCTGGAAAGTAGCGAATCTCGAAGAGCCTTTCCTGGTCTGAAAGCAACGATACAGAGGATGACATGGATGCCTCGTGCCTCAAAGACGCTCATGGGTTCACAAGTTCCAGGATCTTTCATGCAGACTGTTCGTTGACATGCTTGCGAGCTTTTCAGAACTTTCCGCGTTGCGTGTGTGTCTGGAGAAAACAAAGGGGGTGTGCTTCAGCCTCCGCTTCAACAACATGTAGCTTCAGCCCTCCAACACGCTTGAAACGAAATCACTCTCAGGCAAGGTGCCAGCTCCAACACACACTGAATGCGGCTGCCTTTGGCGATGGCTATTGAGGCATCGTGCCCAGCCTGCACTGATGTGAGGAACAGGGAAACTGATCCAAGAGTCAGAAGTGGAGGGCCCAAACATAACAGTCTTGTAAACGGTCCAAGCGACTTGGATAGAAATGATGGCCTTCTCTGCCGCCTGTACCTGCAGAGTCGCCCTTTTTCCTCTCCCTCTCTCCTTTCACTTCTTCAAATGGACATATCAGCGTGTTTGTCCCATTGCGCCCTGGTTGCTTCATCTGGTAGTGCCAGTTCATGGCGGCGCGAAACTGGCGGAAGTCTCCTGATATGGCAACATTCGGTCAGTGCCCAGCAGAAAATTGAAAGGCTATGCTCTGCTAGGCTCCAAACCAGAACAGTATACTACTTTGAGGTGATCTCGCAAATCTCGGTACACCCTCAAGCCCTGGGGCACAGAACATAAAGTTTCACACCCTCAGGCCCGCTGATGCGGAGGAACCGGCTGGATCGGCTCCTGACATCACCATCCATCAGATAAGGGAGGCCCAGACTCAGGTAATCGCTATTTTGACTTAACTAGAATCGAAGTTTTAAACAGTTCATGACATCCGGAAGCTGCATGCCGCAATGCAAAAATGGTTCTGACAAGCATGTCACAGCCAAGGAGCGCTTTTACGGCCAGCCGAGTTCCATTTGTGGTCCTGGTCAAAGAACTTTCTTCTGCCATGAACATCCGTGAACCCTTGCAGTTTTGCTGCTGAGGAGCCAGAGACCTGGGGCGTCCCGGCCAATCCGCACCCCCACGTCGCAAGGGGGGAATATCTCAGGGTTGCAAAAGCTCGACGAGGCCTTCCACCAAGGTTCACATCAAGGTTCACCACACATGATGACTGTTTGAGGGCTGAAAAGACCATGCACACAACCAAGGTGGGCATAGCCGTGATGCTAGCATTTGCGGACAATAACCAGGCGAAAAACTTTAACATCTTGTGGCAGCTGCCGGCTTGTTTTATCCAATTGTGCGGCAAGGATTTAGCCCCAATGATTCATGATTGCTGTGAGCGCTGATGACATCCATTCCAATCACTATCCACTGAAAACCAAAGCAAAGCAAGCCTCACTGCTTGCTTTGGAAACAGCCTTGGATGGCAAGACTGCTGACAATGAGAGCATGCGCTAAGGGTCCTAGCAGACCGGCTGCCGGCTGCTCCCGCGCCATTCTGAGGGTCCAGCGAAGGTCACAATTGCATTGGTCAAGCGCATGGCACAGCGTGCACTCACTCGGTAGTGGTTGGGAAGATGGTGCCAAATCTCGCACATGTCCAATGAAAACTTAAGCGAACATGATACTTACTGTCAAAGAGTTTCTACAACATCAACCGGTGCCAACAAACTGCATGAATGAAGAGCCCCAAACGCAAATTTGACCAAGTCATCATGTGACCAGCCAAAGATGACAGAAAAATCTAGTTTTTTCAAGTGAAAAGCGATGTGGTGCTCTCCCACAAGCAACGTCTGCACCAAATTGCATCTTCGGGGGCCTCAAAACCACGCGTTGGCGCTGTTGTCAACTTTCGCATCATGTTGGCATGTTTTGGCGTGATTTGCTCCAGACCAAAGCCCTGTCGCAAGAGGTTGTCGGAAGATGTATCTATTTCATTTCATGAGGGAGATTTTCATTCTAAGGACGGGCTCGAGCCCAAATCTGCTGGACATAACAAGCTTCCTGGGCCTAGTGTCAGCACTGGTCGCCAAGCTCTAAGCTCTTTACTACGACGACTACGGCTACGACTACGACTACGACTTCGACTACTACGACTACTACGACTACTACGACTACTACGACTACTACGACTACTACGACTACTACGACTACTACGACTACTACGACTACTACGACTACTACGACTACTACGACTACTACGACTACTACACTACTACGAACTACGACACTACTACTACTACACCTACTACGACTACTACGACACTACGACTCCATCCTCTCCCTCCTCCTCCTCCTCCTCCTCCTCCTCCTCCTCCTCCTCCTCCTCCTCCTCCTCCTCCTCCTCCTCCTCCTCCTCCTCCTCCTCCTCCTCCTCCTCCTCCTCCTCCTCCTCCCCTCCTCCTCCTCCTCCTCCTCCTCCTCCTCCTCCTCCTCCCCTCCTCCTCCTCCTCCGCTCCTCCTCCTCTCCTCCTCCTCCTCCTCCGACTCCTCCTCCTCCTCCTCCTCCTCCTCCTCCTCCTCCTCCTCCTCCTCTCCTCCTCCTCCTCCTCCTCCTCCTCCCTTCCTCCTCCTCCCCTCCTCCTCCTCCTCCTCCTCCTCCTCCTCCTCCTCCTCCTCCTCCCTCCTCCTCCTCCTCCTCCTCCTCCTCCTCCTCCTCCTCCCTCCTCCTCCCTCCTCCTCCTCCTCCTCCCCTCCTCCTCCTCCTCCTCCTCCTCCTCCTCCTCCTCCTCCTCCTCCTCCTCCCTCCCCTCCTCCTCCTCCTCCTCCTCCTCCTCCTCCTCCTCTCCTCCTCCCTCCTCCCCTCCTCCTCCTCCTCCTCCTCCTCCTCCTCCTCCTCCTCCCTCCTCCTCCTCCTCCTCCGCCGCCTCCTCTCCTCCCCTCCTCCTCCTCCTCCTCCTCCTCCTCCTCCTCCCCTCCTCTCCTCCTCTCCTCCTCCTCCTCCTCCTCCTCCTCCTCCTCCTCCTCCTCCTCCTCCTCCGCCTCCCCTCCTCCTCCTCCTCCTCCTCCTCCTCCTCCTCCTCCTCCTCCTCCTCCTCCTCCTCCTCCTCTCCTCGCTCCTCTCTCCTCCTCCTCCTCCTCCTCCACCTCCTCCTCCTCCTCCTCCTCCTCCTCCTCCTCCCTCGCCCTCCCTCGTCCTCCTCCTCCTCCTCCTCCTCCTCCTCCTCCTCCTCCTCCTCCTCCTCCTCCTCCTCCTCCTCCTCCTCCTCCTCCTCCTCCTCCTCCTCCGCCTCCCGCCTCCTCCTCCGCCTCTCCTCCTCCTCCTCCCCTCCTCCTCCTCCTCCTCTCCACCTCCTCTCGCGGCCTACCCTCCTCCTCCTCCTCCTCCTCCTCCTCCTTCTCCGCCTCCTCCTCCTCCTCCTACTACTACGACTGCGACGACGACGACGACTACGACTACGACTACGACTATTTTGTTTAAACGCTGAGCGAGCGAGCTCTGCTCATTTGCGGGCGAGTTGCACCGTCTTTGGAGCAAATTATTGGAGAGGTGAGACAGTGAATTCTGTGACACTGAAGGTGTGAGACCGCGCACACAAAGGTGAGTGCAGTTGACAGCTTTCCCAATCTCATTTTGCCACAGCACCTCGTGCAGAGCTGCCCATTCAGAGACAGCCTGTGTTCGGCAATCTTGCTTCGCGACATTCGTCGGCTGCTGCATTTCCCGAAGCTACCAACAACCTAATCACATCTAATCGTATCTGCCTGCGCGTTCTGCACGGCTCCCAGAGAAGTCCTCATGTGCACCATGTGCTACTCCTTCTTTGCAAACCCCAGATCCCGGTGTGATGCCTGGCACTGTTCGCAGCTAGCCCCACAAGTGTGAAAATGTTAACTCTGCATATGGCGCCATGGTAAGTCCGTCTGCTCAGCACTTGTTGGCAGCGATGCTCCTTCAGTATTGAAAGCCCTTTCAGTTCTGTGCTCTGCTGCGCTAGCACCGACAAGCACCTTTGCAACAAATAGCTGGGCATGAGCGCGAAAATGCAGGCTCTGTAAAGACACCAAACCAGAACTATCCTCACCAACGAAGTGATCAAACTGCCCCGCTTGATTCGACTGGCTCAGAAGTGTGATGTCTTGATGCCAGATAATGCTGGCATCTCCAAAGCTAAAAACGGCATGTTTGCTTAGGTTCACATCCCGTTGGAATTCAATAGTGATGTCGCACCGATGTAGACGCGTTCTTCGACGTGTCCTGGCATGGAAGATAATGCGACCGAATAAGCAACAACAGTGAACACTACCATTCAGCTGCAGCGCGGGTGGCATGCTGTAGTTTGGTTGGACATCGTGTGTTGCGGGACACCTCCTTTTGATGTGACGCAGTGCACAACAACCAGGTCTGGTACAAAGCGTAAGGCACTGTCGAATATAGCAGCTCTGCAGTGTTCTGCGTTTTTCCACGTGCCTGGCATTGATTCGCAGGTTTTCTGGCACTGCCAGGCTCGCGCAAATTCCACATAAACGACTCCGCCCCAGATCGCAGAAGCCACCGCTGCCTCTTGGTTTCAGAAAGCCATGCTCCCTGGGCATTTGAACCGCGGCCTGCAACCCACAAACGAGTTCTTCCCACTCCACGGCACAAGTACAGGAAATGACTACAGAAGCAGAGCCCCAGTCCCCCAAGTTCCCCCGTAGGGGGTGTTGGTTTTCCGCGGTTGGATTGGTAAGAACCGCTTGGACCCCCTAGGCCCGGTTGGTACCCGCTTCAAACCTTTCAGGTTAAAGGAGTTGAGGGGTGTTAAGCATTTCCCTAACTTTAATTTGCTTAGTTCGTGGTTTCTTAGTGCGTTTTGTTCTGATAGCTTTGTAGTTTATAAGCCAACCAACGTGGCCGCTTTTGGTTTTAGGTTTGTTAAACAGAAAAATATACTCTTGTAAACGCCATGGCAAATCCAAATGTGGACTGCAGTAGAGATAATGCAGCAAGACTGGGCTCCAATGCGGGCACTGGAAGGGGCATGTTTAGAAAAAAGGATCATGTGATCCAGCAAGATGTCGGGCATTAATGAATGTTGGTGCAATGCATCAATATTTGCTGGAATCTGACCGTTGTCGGCGAGAAGTGATGGGATAATCTGATGATAGCTGGACTATCTGCAAGTGCTGTACACCAATGGGCACGGAATTCTTGGAACGGTCAGCAAAAGGTGCAGAGCTTAATCTGGACATCAATGGACACAAAAACAAGAAGGATTTTAGCGAAGCTTAGAGGGCGAGCTGAATGAAGTCGAAGAGATTGGGCGCCCTCTTGAAACTATTTCAACTTGCCCGTTGGCCATTGTGTGGTGAGTCCAAAAGACCCCTAGCTGCTGCCTGGCCCTCTAGGCGGCAGTTTATTTTTTGCTGGCTGCGGAAAAGACCAGTGCTGGCCACACTCTTGAACTTCTTGGAAGCTAATGTCGGGACGTCTCATGTTTCGAACTCTAACCTCATCAGAACCCTGTGAAAGCCAGTTCTTGTCCATCATGCTTCCTGGGGTTTGGAGGGGAAGGGGGGGTTGGGAAGGTCCATTCTTGGTAGCATCCATGTCTGTCGGCATTCATTTGCTGCAGGGTTTCACTTAGCACCACTGCCTGTGCAGGGTTTCCGTGCGCGCCCATAACAATGTGAAGCACACTTTCCAAGCAGAGTTTCCATAAGTCAGTCCGAACCCGTGCTAACAAAAGGACGGTTGCAGAATGTTCAAACTTGTGCGCATATGGGAAACGCGAAACACAAGGAATGTTTAAGCTCGTGTTTACGGCTGGACCTGCTATGGTCTTACGCTCCTACTCGCGTCATCGGTTATGCTGCTGGTGGGCATTAGCACTATCCCAACCAAGAAACAAAAGTCTGTGTCGTTGCAAAGGCCCGCGTGTTGCAATCAGATGCTCTGGCAGGCACGTCATTACACACTGAGCTACTCACAAAGCAACTACTGTTGTTTCTGTATATTTAGGGTGCTGGCGACTTTTCAAGACAGCAATACCCGAGCACACTGTCGTAGCAATAAGATGGCACGAAAAAATCTCTCTGCCCCCCGTGCAACTCAACTTTCCTTGTATCCTGATTTGATTTTATAGCAAGCTACTCATTCCACTCTGTTGCATTAGGGCTGTGGGGTCGGGGTGGTCCAAAAAAAATTGCAAGAGTGTATCCCATAGGTTAAATGCTTTGGCAGTTGCTCTGAGACCTTACACCCGCCCGGGTTTAGGGTCTATAGGTTTGCGGCTTGCACGTCCAACGCACTGCGCAGAGCAGCTCGACGTTCGATGGCGCGTGCCGCATCTCTGGCGTTGGTGCTGTTGCTGCGCATGGCTGGCGCAGAGCCCACGCGGGCAGCATCTGAGATGTGGTGGGCGCTGCCGCCACCTAAGGTGACCGAGCGTCACCGCGTCTTCTGTTTGTCACACCTGGACGTGGCAGCGCAGATGGCACAAGCCGCTCTCTGGCGTGAGGACTCATGGGCGTTCTTGTTGCCGGCGTTTCCGGCATTGCTGATGGCCTGGCTCGGGCTTCCGACGATTACTCTTTCCGGCGGCTTGGACGGTTTTGACTCGACGGACTTTGGATGGCTTTGCAGGCAGCTCGGCTATGCAAGCAGACACGTCGCAGTAGCGCCGGCACGCATGCACTTCCGCAGATTGTCCAGCCGGAGGATGCCGCAGGCATTTCTCAACCCTTGGTGCGGGCAGCGCTGGCGACCGACGAATGTCCACCCGCAGACCTGTTTGACGCACCCTTGGCGTGGGATGCTTTCGCGACCGACGAAGAGCGGTCCCTGGCTCTTTCTGAGGAGGAGGCGCTGTGTCACAAGAAGCGGCCTAAACCTTGGATCCTTTTTTTTCGAGCAGGACGCACTGATGGCTGAAGAGGTGCAGCCAGCCGCAGACAGCAGCATCGCCCGCGGCGTTCTTTGGGAGACGTTCTTTGAGACAGTGATGCTGAAGCCTTTGATTTGTTTACGATTGAGGGTAAAGAAATCGCAAAGCGGGCAGAACAAGTTAAGTTTGGACTATGGGCGCCCACCGAAGCGGGGGAAGCGCCTGAAGCGGTCCTGAGTGGAGCCGAGCCGGGAGCAACTTCATGGATGTCGACCATGAGGAGCTGGAACGAATTCCTCATGAGGCTATGAGTCTATCAGAGAATATCCATAAAGGGCCTGTTGTGGGCCTTAGATTAGATTTCGGGTTTTGGGTCCGTCAAAAACCAACTACTGGGAATGTATTGAGTGAACTTTGTATTTTCGCAAAAATGTTATGGGTTTCTTGGGTGGGTGGGCTTTTTTCCAACGCTTGACAAGCTGCTTGACTAGTGAATGCTCGGACAACCCTAAACCCTAAGCCCTAAGCCCTAAACCCTAAACCCAAACCCTAAACCCTAAACCCTAAACCCTAAACCCTAAACCCTAAACCCTAAACCCTAAACCCTAAACCCCCCAAACCCTAAACCCCAAAACCTTTCAGTGAGACCCGTGCTTGGGTTTCCGGATTCAGGGTTTAGGAGGGCGTCCCCAAACCCTAGACCCCAAACTCTCAACGATGTGTGTCTGAGTCCAAGGCTCTCCTTGGCACCCTTCACTAAACCATATAACTCCGCCTCTGCCGACGACAAGGCTACGCTTGCCTGCAGTCTCGACCACACTTTCAGGCACACTGATCCGAAGAGGATACAGCCTGCACTGATGGATCGCCTGTTCACGCTGCGCTCAGAGCCCCACGATGCGTCCACGTAGCATCTGAGTCTCAAGTCTTTCTCGATGTGTTTCAAGTACCGCAAAACCATCCGCATGGCCCTGTCGCGCTTCTCCAACGGTTCCGCTTGCCCTCGGGCGAACATGAAACATAGTACTGAACGTCTCTTCGAGTCATGCTTAGCCAAGATAGTTTACTCAGCGTCGATCTGAATCTCTTTGCTGCTTCTGTTGTGAGCGGTCTCGCAGCTTCCTCGTGAGGTGCCGCTGCCATTGTTGCGCTGCTATGCGTAACCCGTACAAGGTGACGCCTTTTGGCAGTGCTACGACTACCTCTCCATCTGTTAGATCTGCATAGAGGAATGCTGTGGATACGTCAAATCCCGCCACGTTTTGCTGTTTACTTCCTGTGAGGCCGACGCCCCGTGGTTGAAGTCCCGTGCCACAATCCGGCATCGTACAAGAGCATTCTCCTTACCCTCGATTCTCTTCTGCTTTGCGGCACTTACCCATGTAATGGATATCACTTTCTTCTTGCTGTCAACCGACCACATCACATCACCAACTGCAAGTGACTCAAGTGCACGTCACTCACGCAACATGCCCTCATATGCCAAACCAACATCAAGCGCCTCACCTGTGGTGTCGTCGCGCGCTGCTATCGGTCTGCTGACCCACACTGTCTGTCCTCCGAGCTGGACTTCTTCGCTTCCTGACTCCCAAAAACACCCCAAATGAGGGTGACCCCAGGATCGCCCCGGGCCACTATTAAAAATGCGAATTTTTAGTACTGAAATCGACGGTTCTGGGTGGCCTCGTTTTCTGGGTTTTTGACCACGAGCCTTCACCGATAGGGGCAAACTTTCCCTCCCAAGTGGGGGTCGGAGTTTGAGGCCAGGGGGGGTCTCCGAAGACTATTTTGCCTTTAAAATTGAAAAATACGACCCCCCCTTGACCAAAACTAGGCTGTGAACTGCCCTTCATCAGAATTGAAGGTTAAAAAGCCCTGAAACATCCTGAAAAACTCTTGCAAGGAACTCTTGGTGTAGCCACTTCCTGTGGCCTGCCAAGTTACCTTCACAACTCTCCTTGCCACTTACAAGCTGGTGGTCTTAAAAAGCCTCTTGCAAGACCCTTTTTTCCATCTCTTATCAACGAGCCATCAAGGTTGCCTCGCAAGAAGCCTCTTGCGGCCAACCGTACTTTCATTTTATTGTCCATTCTTCGCTTTTTCCCCATTTCTATCTCGTCCCCATCTTGCCTTCTTTGGCTGCACCTTTACGGACAGCTTCGGCGTGAGGTACGGTGCAATGCCGTGTGATCGGCTCAAGATCATCGATGAGGTCGTTTTTCGGTGCTTAATTAATTCAGCAGAGGACATCTGGTCGAATTTGATGCTTTTTGCCAAAACACCATCGGCGCACATTGTTGAAGGCCAAGTGAATGCAAAAGGTTCGCCTGGGGTTACTCCAATCCTGGAAGTACCAAAGAAGCCCCTCTGCAGCTTTCTTTCGATGGAGGCTTCCTCGAATTAGGATTTAGGATCCAAACCGGTGAAGGCTCGGTTTGGTCCAAAAATCCAGAAAACAAGAGCCCACCCAGAACCGTCGATTTCAGTACTAAAAAACCGCATTTTTAACTGGGACCCGGGCCGATCCTGGGGTGAAGGGCTGTGTGAACATGAAGTTCAAAATTTCTTCGACTTGCATCACCTTGGAGTCGTGCATGTACGGGTCGATGATCATACCATCGTGCCTGTCATTCACATCTTCCCCCATCAAACTTGCTGCGGAGCTTCTCAAGCTTGGTAGTATTCTGACCCACGAAAAGACAGCGAATATTCAGCTCCTTCAGCAGGTCGCAGAAGCTCCGCGCTGGGCTAGCAAGCCGAAAAACCCTATCTCTGAAACTCCCAGAGAACACTTCCTCTACAACCATTCTACAACCAGCAAGATTGGGCAAGGCAGGCTTTGCGATGTTTAGAGGCATTGATGAATCGATCCTCTTGCAAGGAAATTTCACAGTTTGCGTGGCATAAAGATGAGATTGAGCTTCATTACCTCGTCTCCTGCAAGAGTGGCAGTACCCACAGCTGCTTGACCAGCCGCATGATTCTGACAGCAGCACTTCGCAATCCCAAACGTTGCAGTGAATTCCTGCAAGGGTCGAAGGTTTAATTGAGATCACCCTTCCACTTGTTCTCAGGAACAAGTGCTCACTTGACATTCACCCTAACAGGAAATGCGATGTCATTGTTTCGAGGGGCTATCCTTTTGGCACCGAGATGCCACAACTGCGATATCCTCAGCTTGCTCAAACTTTCCCCGACTTTCGCTTTCCCTGTCTTTATAGTTGGCCCCAACGCCTTCCAACAAAAGGAAAGCCCCGCGCCTCTCGAACACCCTGTTGGCAGAACATCACCGCCCCAGTCACGTGTGGGGGTGCTAAACCAAAGGAGTTGCCGCAAAGCAGCCAGCACTCCAAGGAAGGGTTCCGGCAGTACTTCATCTCCTTCGAAAGGTCATGATGAACAACCCCCTGAAGGAAAGCCCAATGCCCTGAACCAGAAGGCAAAAATCAGACCCCAGGGAGCCAAATGTCTTTAGAAGGAATGTCCATCAAAACCTTGCAGGACTTTGCTGCTCCATCGCTGTTGCTTACCGACTCATCTCTTTGGCCCAATGGACCGAGGCGTGCAAGAAGTTCTTGTGCTATCATAAGCAAGCAGCCCTCGTCCTTGCTGCGTGCGGCTACAGCCTTCAAGAACGCTGTTGTTGGAATACATAGAACTGGCAAATGATCAGTCCCTAAAACTTCAGAGTTTCACTGAAGGCGTCTTGCATTCCCAACAGCCTTCCATCTAGCCTTCTTTTAAGAATAGACTGCAAATGCGCTGGATGTGTGCAGCCTTCACCATTGTCGCCCTCATGCCATGAAGAGGATAATCCTCTCTATGGACAGCTTTTTGCAAATCTTGATCTCATTGAGTATTGCTTGTGCGCACCAGAAGTTGGAACCTAGAAATGACACGTGCACAATCAGCGTAAAGTCGTTTCCGATTAACTTCTGCCTCTGACGGGTCATGTGTTTACTCATAGCTGTTTGCTGGTTGTGAAAGATCACCGTACTTTGTCATTTTTGGTTCAAGCCACACACCAATCCAGTACAATGCTGGCTAGCTTTGCTTTTGAACTGCTTTGTATAGCTAGAGACATTCGATGCAGCTTATACAAGATATCTGAGCAAGACATTTGATGCAGCTTATCTTGGCATTACACTTCTAAGTAATTTCTTTCCGCATTAGGCGGCGTGCAAGCGTTCCCGCGGGGGACGCGGATGTCGTCCGGCTTCGGCTGGCTTCCTCTCGGGCATCACACCAGTGATCTCGAGGACTTGGCCTTGCGCAAGTTGCTTTGGACTTTGATTTGGGAGTTTTCGAATAAGGTTTCACGGGTCCAGACCCAGCAGTCTTGCTTTGACATCCACCTGGGTTCCCGAGCGCTTTACGGGCTGCGTTCCGTTCCAGTTGATCGTGCAGATCATCTTTGGGCACTCCGCACCACTCCCCGAAGTTCGCCTTAATTCCTTTGGTCTTTGAGATGTTCACTGACCTGACCCTGCATGCTTCAATCATGGCAGTTGACTTCATTGAACCTTCCTCAGGGCATCACGCAGAGCACGACACTGCGGCTTTTTCGCCAGTCAGGGTCAAGCGTTATAGGAATAATCCTCTGGGTCCAGGGCGTGCCGCGGCTAGCGATGTGATGGATACTGTTTCAAGCTTTGATGAAACTTTGGGGGAGAATGTGCCAAGCGAACTCCTCCTGTCACCTCCGCTGCCAGTGTGTTCGCAATCCTTCATCATGTCTGCAACTCCCAAATCTTCAGCTGCTTCAGGTTCTTGGTCGGTTGTCGCCTCTTTGCATCCTGGGACGACCCTGGAACGCCCGACATCAAAATCACATCCTTTGCCGGCACCTACTCGGACTCTCTGTCCTAGGACTAAGCCCTCGGTTGCTTGGGTTCCTAGCGCAACGCCTTTGCCGGCTCCTACTAGGCTTAATGTGCATCGGGCTTACCTGCCGTTGGAAGCGCCTCTGCCTCCTCCAAACTATCAGCCTGCCCGGGTATACTCAATTTACCCTTCAGAAGCTCATGCCACGCAGGTTCTTGCTCCACTTCAGAAAGGGGTAACCTCTGCCTCGGAAGCTGAACCTCCCCATCTCTCCTCTTTTGTTCGCCCTTCCCCAAAGGGATCCTTTGCTTTGAAGTCTGGTGATCACACCACTGCACTCTGCCCTGAGGCCGCTGCGAATGCCTCCAATTTGAGGGGGCTTGTTCTTCAGAGCGCCTTGCATTCTGAGGCCTGGGATGCCGTTTTGCTGCTCTGGCGCTCTCTGGTAGACATCATTGGCCCCTACAGTTCAGTGCTGCAGCAGCTTCAGGGGTCACCTAGTGGCCCTGCTTTGACATTGAAGCTTTTGCAACTCAACGCAGACACAACTGCTTTACGCTATGTCAAAGCCTGCCTGGCATATTTCGAATTTCTTATCGACCTCGGACACTCCTTGGATAATCTTTCCCAACTTGCCGCAGTTGAGGCAGTCTATGCTTTACACTGCAGTCGTTCCCAGGACGATGACTTCTCCCTGGACCGGGAGCAGATAGCATTGGTTTTTCCGCTCAACACCCTGAAGGCACTGCGTTGGTTGGTGAAGACCGTTGCCCTTAATTTCCCAGACCTCTACTCCGGCCTGTTCAGAGCTTTGTCCGCTCAGCCATCTTCAGATCGTTCTGAAGCCGCTTCCGTTGGACTTTGTCGCGTTTCTTGAATCAGTTGTGCTTGATCCTCTTTCTGCCCCTGAGTTTGCTCTTTTTGCCGGCTCCGCATTGGCATGTATATGGTCGTCGCTGCGCTTTGGGGACGCTTCCCACGTATCCTGGTCAGCTCTTCTGTTTGACCCTCAGGCTTTAGTCATTCGCGGCCTTGCCTATCGTATTCTCGGCGTGGCATGGCATTTGCTTTCTACGCAGAGGGCATATATGGCCCTTGGGGTCTTCGCTGGCTTCAGCTTCTGGGTGCCTTCTGGAGTTCTTTGGAACAACTCTCCCCCAATGTGGTTCCTGACTCCCTCTTCTTCTGCTCCTCACTTCTGGATGACACTTGCGACTTTGCATGTTGCCCTGCATCTTATGCATCGGCCTTGCGTTGTCTGCGCTCAGCCTTGAGCATGTGGGGTCGCTTAGGTTATGATGCGTCTCGCAATTTCACTTTGCATTCTTGCAAGGCGACAGTCTTGTCCTGGTGCTCCCAGCTTGGCTTTGGTGACATGGCACGCCGTGAGCAGGGACATCACCGCACCACATCTGTCACTCTCTATGGTCGAGATGACACGCACGCGGCCCTAGCTCTTCAGGCTTCAATCCTTGGCAAGATTCGCACTGGCCCGCGGAGCCCAGTCACCGATGGCAGAGCCGCAGCTTTTGGTTAGGGAAGGTCTTGCGACTTCTGGTTTTGATGTCCCCCTCCGCTTTCGGGGAAGTTCTTCTGAGCCTAGTTCGGACCCCCTGACAGCAGCAGCCCTTCCTTTGATACCCAGCCAGTCAACTTCAGCGTCCAGTGAAACAGTGCCTCAGGCCGCATTTGCGCCTTTGGGAAAGTCGCCAGATTTGCATCATGGCATTTTCTTGGCTTCAGCTAAGACCGTACACAGGGTGGTCGACTGCGACGTCGCTGTGTCGCAAGCATGCTGGCAGGGAAGGGCACTTAAGACGGCTTGTGGGGCGGTCGTTCGCAATGAATGGACAATACTTTTTGAGCTTGAGGCACAGGACGCTTCGGGGGCACGCCGTGCGCTTTGCAAACGGCCCTCCTGTTTTGGCAGTGGCCTCTGCCTTTGACCTCAGATCATCTTTGTGCAGCGAGTACCAGTAAAAGGATGTCGATTTTGCTTATTCCGCATAACGTTGCTTCCGAGTTTTGTCTGCTTTGCATTTTAGTCAGTGCTGGGATCAGAATTTCAGTGCTTGCTCGCTTCACATCGGCCCAGCTTTTGGCTCTTACCTCCTGGGGGGGTGTATCGGGATTGCAGAGCTTTGTCCCTTGGCCTAGCACTCAGAGATTCTGAACTGCAGGTGAGCGTCTTGTGTAATAACTACACAGCTGTTCAGTGCTTCGCTTTTGCACTCAGAGCTTGTGCATGATCATTTCGCCGCTTTGCCTCAGAGCGTTTGGCTTCGCTTTAGCCATTCCTATCTTTAACACGGAACTTGTCTTTTGCTTTGGTGGCTCTGCCCGCCCTTGCTTGTTGCTGGCTAGCAATGGCAGATACTGACATTTTCCTGGGCCTGGCACAGGCTGAGGTCAACAAGGCAGTGGCATGGCTGGAAGACGCGCGCCACATGCCAGCGTCCAGTGGCTTTTCGCCAACGCAATGGCTGTGGCATTGGCTTTCCTCTACGCCAGCCTTTGCGCCTGTCACAGAAGCTGCGGAAAAGATGGACGCTGTCTTTGGCTTTAGCTCTGGCGATTGGGCTTTTCATTGGATTGAAGAGATGGGAAAGGCTACCCTGAACCCAGCTTCAGCATCTTCCCAGGCCGCGCCAACGCAGACTGCTTTGGATAGCAAGTGGCCGCACTTTCCTAATGGCCACCGCTCCCTGGGATTGGCACCTGCAGACCTTCTTCGTGCACATACGTGGTTGGAGGAGGCAGCTTCTTTCAATGGTGCCAGCGGCTGGGAGGAAGACGATTGGCTTCGTTATTGGATGGAGCAGGATCCGGTCTTTGAGACTTTGCTTCAGCGCGCTAAGGAGGCCAACCATGGCTGGAATATCAGTCAATGGCTTTGGCTTTGGGTGTCGCAAGCTGACAGACCTCAGCCGCCGCCGGCGCCTCCTTTGGACACCGCGCCGCCTTTGGCTACCGGAATCGGGCCGGACGCTTTCCCGCTCAGCCAGCACAATGAGACGATTATCGTCCGGCAGATTTACTGCCGTTCCACCTGTCAGGACTGCGGGGCTGGCCATTGCGGGGTCGTGCTTACACGCGAAGACTTGCCTCATCGGCACCGCTGTGGCATTTGTTACAAAGCTTTTCGAAGGGCACAAGGGCAACCCTGAGAAAGCTTTTACTTCAGTAATTGGCCTTCGTTTTGCCCTCCTCTTCCTTGGCTTTGCCCTTTTAGCGGGCACAGTGCATAGTGCATTGCTGGCTTTGTTTCGCCGCATTTTCCCTCAGCAGCTTTAGGCTGCTCGAGGGCGCTTGGCATCGGAGCACGCCGATGGAAATCAGAGCTTTTGTGCGGCTTCAGAGCTTCTTTCATTCTGGTTGCTTTTGTGTTCCCTTCTGTTACATGTTCTCGCGCCCAGGTCTGGCTGTGGAGCTCCACACATTCTTCCAGGCGCACCTCTCAGAGGGTTTCGTCCTTTCCTTGGACCAGCTTTATGGCTTTGCACTGACGTTGCGGCTTTCTTTGTGCGTCAAGCGCTTTTATCTGCTTTCTTCTGCGTTTCCTCTTTCCGTTTGGCCGACACAGGTTCCATGGCTGACCCAGGGAGCGACAATGGGCGAGGCCTTCTCGCGCAGCCGACTCCCTCAGACAAGCTCTCAGTTCTTTGGGGAATCTTTGAACCTGGATTTCCCAGAAGAAGTTGCTTCCCATTCGGAGCTGAACCGCACCATCCGCAATTTTGGTTTCTTGGCTACCTCCTTTGATCAGTTGGATCAATGGTTGGAGTCACACGGTCTCCTGGACTTTGGCTCCGGGACGCATGCAGACCTGCGGTGTCTTTGGCACAGGTCTCATGCCTTGGCTTGCTCTGAGGGACAAACAGCAGCTGTGCCCTTTCCGCCGCAATCCCCTGCTTTGCCCTTGCCGCAGGACCAGTCCTTCAGCTCGGCTTCAGACCCCAGCCGCACCGTGTCTGCTGCCGCATCATGGAATGAGCCTTTCCCAGCTAAGCTCTCCTCAGACAAAACGGCCGAGCTTCGAGCCGCTTTTCTGCGGAAATACCCTAGCGAGGTGTTGGACGACTCCACCATGCCTTCGGCTCGTCTCCTTGCTTTGGCTTTCAAACAAGCCTCGTCACAGGAGTGGCGCTTCATCCCTTGGCGTTGGCGCATGTCAGTGCTTGAGCTTGAAGAGCAGCAGTTGCAGCGCCCCCGCAAGCTGGCCAGGACCGAGTTGGCAGACCTCATCTTGGATGATATCCCTTCTCGGAACCTCCCGGACACACTGGGCATGTTTGCTTTGAGCAAGATTTTGCACTTGCATAGTGTGGCGATGGCCATGGTCACTGACGTGCATTTGGTGACGCTTAAGAAGTACGAGTCCACTTTCCTCCGCTTTGCTTCGGCCCGCTTTGACACTAGCAGTGGCCTTCGCCCACCCAATGCATTGGAGTGTGAGCAAGCAGACCGTCGCTTCTGGGAGGCCGTGTCTGAACTCCGTTTGCAAGGTTGGTCTCTGGACGACTGCATCCATGAGAACACAGCCGTCCGCAGCGAGCTGGCTTCTCTTTTGGCACCGCGCGTTTTCCTGCCCAAGGCCATGCTCCTTGGAGGAAAGGGCAATAGCTCCGGTGCTGGCTTTGGCAACGGACGGGGGCGCGGCAAAGGCAAGGGGGACGGACGAGGTCGTGGGAGTGGCCTTGGGACCGGTCGTGGGGGATCCGGTCTGGGCAACCAAGGCAACTCCGCAGGGACCCCCACAAATCGCCAGGAGTGGGCATCCTCCGCAAAAATTAACGGAGAAGTTAAGACCCTTTGCATGCGCTGGAGTCAGCGCACAGGCTGCAAAAATCCATCATGCCGCTTTGAACACCTTTGTCCCGTGAAGCTCCCCAGTGGCAAGATTTGCCTTGGCAACCATCCGGCTTGGCAACACACTGACACCCCGCATTGAGGGGGACCGGACCCGTCTTTCGAGCAGGCAGCTGGGTCCGGTCTGCCTTTGTCCGTGCCTGCCATTTTGCCTTTGTCCCCCCAGATCTCTCCAACTCCGTCAATTGCTGCTCCGGCAAAGCAGGCACCCGAGCCTATGCTTTCCATTTTTCCTCACGCGGGGGAGTTGGCTCTGTCCGTTTCCGACTCGCCATCCCCAAGAAGCCACACAGATCCCGATGTGGCTATTTCAGCCCCAGACAGCCCCAATCCCACGCTGTCTTTGGCACCGGTCCCCACAGAGTCCATGCCAGGACCTTTTCCTCCTGCCTCCTCGCGGGTCGCCTCCGCCCTACAGTCTGTCCGGGATTTCAAGCAACCTTTCTTCCTGGACATTTGCGCGGGAGCGGGTTCCCCACTCAGCTTAGCTTTCTTGGAGAAGGGCGTACCGTGTTTGTCCATTGACATTCTCATTGACACAAACATGGATCTTCTCCAGGACGACTTCTTTGAGCATTTGCTACGCATCTGCACGTCCCGGCAGCCCTCGCACACGCTGCCCCCCCTTGCAGGGAGTACTCCCGCCTGAAACTCCTTCCGGGAGGCCCTAAAGCACTTCGGACTCCTGCATTCCTGAATGGTCTTCCCGATTTGTCGGCATCGCAGGCCCTCAGGGTCCAGGAGAGCCACCTTGTCTTTGTACGTTGCGTTCAGCTGCTGCATGTCAGCTTCTCTTGCGGCACGCAAGTGTCTCTCGAACAGCCCCCTAACAGCATGGCCTGGATGGAGCCGATTGCGACCAATTTCTTGGCAGCCATCAGTGCAGATCTGGTCCATGTGGCCGCTTGCTCCGTCGATCTCGACATGCACAAAGCCTGGCTTTTTGCCACGTCTTTTAGGGCCTTTCAGGCTTTTGCCTCTACATGTCCGCACACCGAGGGGACCCACTTGGCTCTGCAGGGTTTGCGTGATGAGTTTGGCAACTTTTGCAGCCGGGCTTCGGCAGAGTACCCCCCCCCTTTAGCAGACATGTATGCGGAGCAAGCTCTGCCCCTCTTCGACGTGAAACAAGGGGGAGGTACGGCCCTTTCTTTCGCCTCGGTGCCTTTGCTTTCCAAGCCTAAGGCCCTACATGAGGCTCCCATGGCCTCACAAGATGGGGCCGGCATCTTTTCCACGCCAGACTGGAGCGCTCCACCCTCGGGAGCCACCGATGTGTTTGCGCACCTTAGGCCTAAGCTGATGGCCTTTCTTCTTCATGGTCGTTTCCCGCAACGTTTGCGCACTTTGGTTTTGGGAGGCTCCGCGGAACCCCTTTTCTCCAGCTCAGAGATAGACGATCTGCGTGGCATCTTCCAGGATTGGCTCTCCGCGCATTTCCCGGCCATTTCCGTATCCTGGGAAATCTCTGCAGGGCAACCATACTGCCTCCAGGCGCTGGCAGCTGTCTCACGCATTTGCCAAGATCGAGACTCATCCCTGTTCACTTGTCTGGAACAGGGTGTTCCTACTGGCTTTGACGGAGACATTCCTTTGTCCAATGTCTTCTTGCCACAAGGTGGGGGCCATCCTTTCGAGCAATCACTTGGCATTTGTCATGGTAATTGGTCCAGCGCTGAAGCGGATCTTCCAACCTTGCATGCCTTAGTGGAAGAGGAGATCTCCAATGGCTGGTTCTTGGAGCTGGATTCTTTGGAAGCAGCTCAAGAGCGTTTTGGCGACAAGCTGGCCATTGGAAAGATGTCTATAGTTAAAGCTGAAGGCAAAAAGCCCCGTCTTGTGGTGGATTCCACTGTCTGTGGCACTAATCCGTCTTGCTCAATCCCCGAAACGTACACACTCCCGGGCATTGACGATGTTAGGGATTCTTTCCCTTTGCGTTGCCACTCTGGTCTCTGCGCGGGGTTTGCTTTTGACATCACGTCCGCTCACAAAACGGTTCGAGTTCGCGATTCGGACCAGGGCTGCTCGGGGTCTCCCTCCCAAAAATTCGAGGTCCTGGCCGTCGTTGGCTCTTTTACCGCGTTTGCCCTTTCGGAGCGAACTTCTCGGCCCTCTGGTTTCAGCGTCTTGGAAGCTTTTTCCTTCGCACCCTTCACCTTTGGACCTGGCTCCGACACGCCCTACTGGGCTATGTGGACGATTTTATCCTGTTTCAGGACCAGGAGGTCATCGGCCTTACAGCGTGCATGACTTTGGCTTTTTGTGCTTTGTTCAACATACCCTTGTCCAATGCCAAGTTACAGCTTGGCAGCTGTATCCATTGGATAGGCTGGCACTTTTCCTTCGGCTCTGGCACTTTCTCCATTCCGATTGAAAAAGTCCAGAAGCTAAAGCGCTTGCTGCAGGAAGCTTTGCAAGGTCGCCATGTTTCAAAACGGACCCTGGACAAGGTCACCGGGTTGTTGCAGTGGTTTTGCAAGCTGTATAAGCATTTCAAGCCCTGGCTGCAAACCTTGTACGCTGATGCCAACCGCCCATTGGCCACCAACTACAGCATTGACCCTGGCGATTGGCCCGGCTTGGCCATTTGTGTTAACGAGGGTCTTGTCTTCACTTCCACGCCGCCGGGAACGAGCATTCCGACAGGCGCGAAGCTCATTGAGGCCAGGCACTTGGCACTGCAGTCTAAGAAAGACCTTGCCAAAATTCCCACATCCAAGCGCATTTGGATGAGAGTGACGGACCCCTCCACCACTCGCCGCAAGCTTTCAGTTTCCAGCCGTGAGAGCCTTCAGTTCTGGCTTAAGTGGTGCGAGGTTCCACCCCTTTTCTTTCCTTTGCAGAAACCTGCGGACGTTCCCATCGTCTGCGCTGCTGCCGACGCCCGCGCAGATGGGGACCTTGTCGGGATAGGGGGTTTTATCGAATGGCCTTCACGCCAAATTTCGTGGTTCAGCCAGTCGTGGCGTGTCTCAGACCTTTCTTCACTGGGTGTGCCCTTGCAGGTGCCAGCTCACCAGGACATCACATGTTACGAGACATTGGCACAGCTCGGCCTAATTCTTTGTCTCCATTCCGTGGTGCCTTTGGCACGCTGGACAGTCCGTCTCCGCACTCTTTCCGACAACACAGGCGCAGAGGCAGGCATCAATAAGCTCTACAGCTCAGCTTTCCCTTTGTCAGTGTTTCTGAAACGCCTCTCCATGTTGGCGTGTCTGACTGGCATTGAGCTTGACGTCTTCCACGTCCCTGGCGAAAAGAACGACGATGCGGATTTGCTCTCCCGCTGGAGTGACGAGTCCCAGCCCTTGCCTGCCAAGTTTCTTCCGGACTTTCGTGTGGATTGCAGCCTGGCACGCATCTGGCACTTTCGTTCAGATGTGCGTCTTTGGCCTCCAGATGCCAAACTCAAATGGCAGCCGCCATAATCACTTTCCTGAGCTTTGTTGTGAGAGCCTGGCATAGTCTGCGCTCACGTAGAAGTTGGGTAGGTAGGCCCGGCGAGCTTTGACTTTGCCAGTTTGAAGTTGGTCTTTACGCTCAGTTTTGCTACGCATCATCTGCTTTGCATTCTGCTTTGAACTCTGAGCGGCATTTCCGGCAAAGTGTAAAGTTTTTCTACTACCTGGGAACCCCACCTACCAACCCAAAGGGTTGATGAGCATGTGTGGATTTGTGACTCATGTTTTACCGACAGCGCCTTTACCGGTTCAAGGAAAAAGAGCGACTTGAAGTTTAGCATGGTAGCGGAGCACACTGTGCATCCGGGACCGAAGCCATGCCTCGTGGCCGTGATGATGGTTTGGGTTGGAACCTTGATGCTGTGGAGCCAATGGAGCCCACAGAACTTACAGAGCCCATGGAACTCACAGAACCCATGGAGCCAATGGAACTCACAGAACCCATGGAGCCGATGGAACCCGCAGAGCCCATGGAAGAAGTGGAACAAGAAGAAGAAATGGAGCCACGAAGAAAGGAGATCAAAATTCACCGTGTTGGCATGGGAAAAGGCTACGGATCTTCAGCAAGCAGTGCAGCTGAAGGAAGTGGAAGTGCACCAAGCTATATGCCTCCAAAGCCGAAGAAGAAGCCCGAACGACCAGTGGTGGAAGGAAGAGATTACATTCCCTTGGAAGGAGGAGAACCAGACGGGCCAGTGGAGATCGGGAGTCCTAGTTCCTCTAGCCCCGAAACTACAATGGTGTACCAAGAGGCACCACCTACACCAAGAAGGGAGCCGAGAACACTTTCGTCTGGGCACATCGCCTTGGAGCTGCAAGAGCAGCAAGTGTCTGCTGAGCAACGCAGGCGTAGGCAGCTGGAGAGACTCTCTGCACTCTCAGCGGAAGCTGAAAGGATCCAACGGCGAGCAAGGGAGCGAGCCTTGCAGGAGCCAGTTCGGTTTCCAAAGTCAGGAGGGCCACCGCCACCACCAGCGGGCCCAGAACCAGAGCAAGCTCCAGAGTGTCCACCGCCAGGACAAGAACGAGCTCCAGAGTGTCCACCTCCGGACCCAATGCCGTGTGGTACGAAACTTCCTCTTCACACGCTGGACGGGGAACCCAGCAACGCAGCAGTGGCGGAACACATCCGCCGGAATGAGGAAGAGTATGCTGCAAGACGTGCCGGTGCAATTCCTTCAGGAGACGAAGCAAGAGCCAGGGAATCCAAGGAATTTGCTCGTGGAGTTGCATACTTTCGGGCCAGGTACGGCCAGCGAAGCCAAAGCAGTGGAACAGCGAGTTCCAGCCGAGACACGGGGCCTGGGACCCTACAACCCAGGACGGGGCCTGGGACCCTACAACCCAGGACGGGGCCTGGGACCCTACAACCCAGGATGGAAGATGCGAGAGCTGAACCAGGGAGCAGTTCCAGAGGACCACCTCCGAAGGAACGACCTGCTGGAAGCAAGGCGCCACCTCCAGAGCCAAAGGGACCACCACCGAAGCGAGTGGGAGCAACGCAAGCCACTACGCTCTACCCGAATTCTCCTTGGAGGAGAGCAGAAAGGAGGAGAATGCGAGAAAGGGGCGAGGAGCCAAACCCTGGAAATGAGGAAGATGAATGGGGAGATTGGTCAGGACGATGAGGTCGACTACCAGAAGGAGAAAGCAGAGATCGACTACCAGAAGGAGAAAGCAGAGATCGACTACCAGAAGAGGAGAAAGCAGAGATCGACTACCAGGAGGAGAAAACAGAGATCGACTACCAGGAGGAATCAAAATTCTATGGCCTATGTACAAACAAGAGCCTCTACTCCGACAAGACTATGAATGGAACAAGAGATCCATTGGTGATGTGGATTTGGACCAGCATTCCAGGAGCAAAGAACCTCTACGACCCCAAGACTATGCAATTCGATTACAATGGAGCAATGGCAATGATGCTTATGCTTGGAGTATCAGGTGCGATCATGTTGTGCATTGGATGTTTGCAAGCGACAGTGCACTTGCAGTCATGTCGTCAGTCATGTTTGTGGAGATTGCAACATTCATGTTTTCGGAGGCGCTTGAGCAGAGGGGCACGGAGAGATCACTTGCGTTCGTGTGCTTGTGTGAGAAAACAACAGAGAGGAGCGATGCTGTGTGTGCTTGTCGTGTTACAGTTTTCTGCAGTGCAAGGGATGCAGCAGAATGGACCACCCCAACAACCCACAGAACTTTCTGAAATTCTGACTGCATTGACAAGGGCGACCCAAGTTGGAATGAGTGCGCTACAAAGGTTGGAGCAACAAGCAAGCAGTTCGGATGATCTGAACCGAAGGATTGAAAGTGCGACAAAGGCGATCAAGGCACCAGATGTTTGGAACCCACAAGCCTCGGGAGAACATCCACCGGATTTTACAACCTGGAAACATCAGTTTCTGAATTGGCTAGGTTTTGCCGATTCGCAGTACTCAGAAGCTCTAAGTATGATTGAAAGTCTGGGAGCAACGCCGATCGATGTTTCGACTCTCACTACAGTGGAGAGAGAACTTTCGACAAAGCTTTACCACATACTGACTTCGTATATGCGGGGGGCAGCAACGCAACTGTCTCGAAATTGGAGCAGGGAGCGATGTGGGTATCGTCTCTATCAAAGTTTGCTTTGGGAATACCAACCAGCCACCAAACAACGAGCTCTAACCCTCAGTCAAGCGATTGGGATGTTTCCCAACTTCGATGGGGGCAAGAGCATGGTGGAGCAGATTGGTTCACTGGAAAACCTTGTTCGGGAGTACGAGATCGCTTCAGGAAAGACCTACGATCGAGATTTGTTGATGGGAGTTTTGCTTCGATGTTCACCGAGGGCGATTCGAGACCACCTTACTTTGACAATGCCCGAAGGAACAAACTACATGTCAGTGAAGCAAGCGATTCTTTCATACGAGCAAAGCAGCAAAACTTGGGATTACCAGACGGTGTTGAAGCAAAAGACCTTGCAGAACACAGCGAGCAGTTCGAATGCAGATCAAGGACCAGCACCAATGGAAGTGGATGCAGTGTACGAGAAAGGAGGAGGAAAAGGAAACAAAGGCAACAAAGGAAACAAAGGAGGAAAAGGATCCTACTCGTGGTCAAGCTTTGGAGCAGGATTTCGCCAATGGAGAAAAGGTGGACGAAAAGGAAGCTACAAAGGAGGAAAGAAAGGACGAGGCAAAGGTTTCCACAAAGGAGGAAAGAAAGGCGGAAAGAAAGGTGGAAAGCATGGCAAAGGAGGAAAGAAAGGTGGAGGAAAGAAGTTGGACAGAGATGTTTGCCGATTCTGCAAGCAGCGAGGACATTGGGGAAACGAGTGTCCAAACCGCAATGTTCGAGAAGTGCAGGCGAGCGAGGCCAGCACCGAGGTACCACACTCGACAGTCGAGTCTGTTACTCCGTCGCAGAGTGCGAGCCAATACAGGATAAGGAGAGTGAGGAACATTGATTTCCATCACATTGCGAACACACCACCTGACGGCACAGAGCACTATGAGCTTAGCGAAGTTTCAGAAGAAGAAGGTGATTGGTTCACCAGAAGGATAGAGGTGCAAGGACCAGAGTGCTACTACATCGGGGATGAGAGTGAGAACAAACAAGATCATGAGAGTGATGAGCTGTATCAATGGTATGAAAACAGCTTGGAAAGAGTTCAAGGAGGATTGGGACCTCCAGGAGGATTGGAACCTCTGAATCAAGGAGGATTGGAACCTCTGAGTCAGGGAGGATCGGAACCTCTCAATGTGCGAATGGTCCAGTTGGACACAAAGCAACATGTGGTGATCTTGGATTCAGGAGCAGATGTGAGTTTGTTACCACGAAGATTGTCGGATGCAGGCGTCGAAGTTTCGACCCCAACCTCTCTGAGGTTGCAGGACGCACAAGGGGGTGCGATGCGAGTTGAAGGTATGCGGCGAGCAGTTTTGCAGTTCAGTAGCTGCAGTGTGACTGAGGACTTTGTGTTGTCGGACACCAATAACATCTTGCTGTCTTTAGGAAGGCTACTCAAAAATGGATGGAAGTTTGTGTCAGTGGGATGCAAACAGCGCCAAGGGGGCGAGACCTGGGAAGAAACCCAGGCGGGGGAACTTGTATCTCCCGATGGTAAGGCACGGGTGCCTGTGGAATACCAGAGGAATAGCTTGAGATTGACAGCGGAAGTTAGAGGAGTCGAGCAAGTCAGGGCAGTCAAGGTGACTTTGGCCTATGACTTTGGTAAAGTCCCAGAGAAGGATTGGAGCCTTCTACCGAATGGAACGCCAGTCCATCGCCATTTTGGACTTGAGTTTGTGAAGCCGCCGACAGGTACTTGGAAGTACAGGACCACCATCGTGAAGGTGGGCAACGAATGGGAAGTGATTGAAGCAACGGAATTGCTCGAGCGAAAATCCGACTTGGAAGATCGAATACCGGGATTGCTTTTTCGATCAGAAATTCTCACATTCTTGCACAGGACACCAGAGTATCTGGACAAGTGCTTGGTAGAAGAGGTAGCACCAGAAGAAGCACCGAAGGAGGAAGAAAAGAAGATGGAAGAGGAGCCAGAATGGTTTGGAAGAGAAAGAGGAGCTCCAGAAGAGTTGCAGGTGCCAGTGCCGAAAGGAGTTGTGAAGCAGCAAGGAAAGGCAGGAGGACACCAAGAGTTGGAACTCGACATGAGAAGTACTATTGTGGTGAATGGAGAGTCACTCACAGCAACGAGTGAGATTGAGAAGCTGCGAGAAGGTTGTCGGTATTTGGGTTTGAGCGTCTCAGGGTCAAAGGTGAAGATGTTCAGGAGACTGTGCAACTACCTCACCGAAGACAGAGATGAGGACGCAGAAGAAGTTGCAGACAGGCTGAGGAAGCAAAGGCCCAAAGCAAGAACAAGACCCGGAGTGCCCGAACCGACAGAAGCAGAGATTGAAGAGCATATGGCAACCCACATGCCAATGCAACCATGGTGTGATTTCTGTGCAGCAGCAAAGACCAGTGATCCAGATGGACTTCATGTACATGGGTCAGAGCAGTGTGAGTCTGATCATTCTTGATTCATGGACTCGATTTTCGTGGGCGATTCCAGTGCCGGGGAAAGCACCGACGAAGAAGTTGGCCGAGAAAGTGGTGAAGTTTTCTCTCGAGATGAACTACATTTCCGAAGAAGTTCTGTTTGCGATTGATGTGGAGCCAGCGACAACAGCCTTACTGGATTTGATTGTAGCAATACGACAAAAGTTAGGCTACAAGGCTGGAAAGTATCCAAACAAGCCCTACCACAAAGGAAGAACAGCGAGAGTGGAACGCCACATTCAGAACCTCAGGAGACAAAGCCTCACGATGATTGAAATGGTCGAGGATCGGATTGGGGAAAAGATTCCTGAAGATCATGCTTTACGAGCGTGGGCAATTCACCACGCAGCATGGTTGTTCAACAGGTACCACCTACACTCAGGGACGCAGAGTACAGCTTTCCAATTGGTCTACGGGAGACCATACCAAGGGCAGATTTTCCCCTTCGGAGAGTATGTGTTTGGTCTGGCCAAGCCTGGAGGAGTGAAGAATCGATCCTTGTGGACAGGAGGAATATGGGTTGGAAAGGACGACCGGGACATGGACGTGATTACATCAAAAGATGGGATCTTTACGTCAAGATCTGTGCGGCGCACACAACCAGCGTGGCGCGCACGTGAGACCCTTCAACTTCAGGGTTCTCCTTGGACGAAGAAAGCCCCAAGGCTAGGGCACACCGCGCATGCGGCACCGTTACCGAGAATCGTGGAAGAACCAGGCAAAGAGAAAGAAGGAGGAGAAAATGAGCCAGAGCCAGCAGGAGATGAAGCAGGATCTGATGTGGAAAGTTCAAAGCATGACACAATCAGTGATCTATTGCTGAGCAGTGGTCAACCTACACCTCGAAGTTCATCAACGGATTCCAACCAAGGCGGGGGACAAAAGAGAGAAACTGAAGGAGAAGAAAGAGAGGAACCTGCGAAAGCTAGTAAAACAGCAGATGCTGAGGAGCCACCAACGAACCAACAAAAGACTGCGGAAAGTTCACCTACAAGTGCTGATCCTGGAAGTCCGAAAGGAAGTCTATTTCCACCGTTGTACGCCGGACAGGTAGAAGAACAGGAAGACGAAACAGGATATCATGAAGATGACCTTTGGGAAGAAAGAGTCTGGAAGGAATGCGAAGAGGAATATGAAGCGGATAGTGAAGGAGAAGAAGAAGATGAGGATCGACCACCGAAAGTCAGCGAAGAGGAACTTGAAAGATTGGATGCAGAGGCAGGAAAAGCTGAACTTGACAAACTCGCCAACATGAAGGTTGTGAAGACGATCAAGAAGGAAGAGTGTTCAGAGGAAGGTAAGTTTCTGACACTAAGGACAGTTTTCGATTGGAGAAAGAGAGATGGAGTTTGGAAGCGTAGATGCAGAATTGTGTGTCGGGAATTCCGTGCGGGAGCCCAGAGCACGGAGGAGACTTTTAGTCCTACGTCAGGACACGCAGCAGTGCGAATGATGTTTCTTTTTCATCTCATCTACAATTGGGAGCTTACAGTTCTTGACATTCGTGACGCATTCTTGCAAGTCACGCAGAAAGCTCTGATGTATGCTGATATCTCACCGTGGATTCGAACGCTACTTGGTTTGGATGAAGACCACGTATGGAAAGTGGAGAAGTGTCTGCCAGGGCAAAGATCAGCGGCAGAACAATGGTTTACCCATTTGGTTGAGATTTTGAAGCGTTTGGGATTTGAGCAATTTGTTGGGATACCCTCAATCTTGAAGCACCGAGTGAAGAAGATTGCAGTGTCGATTCATGTCGACGACGAGCTAGTTGCAGGTGCAAAAGGCGAAGGAAGATGGCTGATATGCGAGCTAGAGAAGTTTGAGGGACCGTTCCCATCCCACCGGGGATCGGGAGAACAGCTTCATTACCTGAAGAGGACCTATGAGTTCCTTGAAGAAGGAATTTTGGTGACAGTGTCGAAGAAGCACTACGAGAAGCTTAGAGGACTCTACAAGCTGGGGAACCGAAAGCCAAGACAAACCCCAGAGCACCAGCTGATTGGAACAGTGGACAATTCCAAAGAACTGGAGGAGAACGAGTGCAAGAAGTTTCGTTCAGCGTTGGGAACACTGTTGTACATTTCCCAAGACCGATGGGATTTACAGCATGTGACGAAGTGTTTGGCAAGTAAGATGTCGAAGCCAACGGAACAAGCGTTAACCTGTTTGAAACAAGCTTTGCTCTATGTGCAAGGAACAGAGCAACTGGGATTCCTACTGAAGTACACAAAGGTTGGAAACAAGATGATGGATGCGATCTATCAAAGAGAAGAGCAAGAAGAAGAAGACGAAGAAAAGAAAGGAACACACAGTATGGAAGTATTCACGGATGCAGATTGGGCATCAGACCGTGAAGCGAGATGGTCTACATCATCAGTGATTGTGTGTGTGAATGCAGTGCCAGTACTTTCGTATAGCAGGACCCAGAAAGCTACAGCTTTAAGTTCGGCAGAGTCCGAAGTGCTAGCATGCTCAGGAGGAGCATCAGAAGCGATGTTACTGAAGAAGTTGTGGATGTTTCTTGCAGGAAAGTTACTCGTGGAGATCTGGATGGATTCAAGTGCGGGAAGACAATGGATGATGCGAACAGGAGTCGGAGGACTCAAACATATCGATCTGAGAGTATTATGGCTTCAGCGAGGGGTGAAGAACAACAGCTTCAAAGCAAAGCCAGTGCCTACCAAATTAAACATTGCCGACTTGAATACAAAGCGCTTAGGAGTATCTCGAAGGAGATTTCTCATGTACCATATTGGAGCCATGGTGTGGAATGGAGAAAGTCATGAGCGTTATGGGAAAGAAGAAGCAATGGAACATGTGGCAGGTGAAGTTTGCCGAAGCCAAGTTCGAGCACTACGTGCAACTTTGTTGAATGAGCGTGGAAGCAAGACGGCTAGAGCGATGTACTTGACAATGATGGTGAATATGATTTCTCAGATTGCAGGACAGCCAGACGATTTTGGAGGACGAGAACGAGAAGAACGAGAATTTGTTTTCATCTATGTGAAGGAAGTGAGTGGATGGATTATTCTTTTCAGTGTGCTACTAGGAGGAATTTTCGCTTTACTCTTGTTCTACATGGTCGAGCAGAAGGTGAACGAAGGACGACAGGAACCACAGGAAGAAGGACCACAGGAACCACAGGAAGAAGGACCACAGGAACCGCAGGAAGAAGGACCACAGGAACCACAGGAAGAAGGACCACAGGAACCGCAGGAAGAAGGACCACAGGAACCGGAGGAAGAAGGACCACAGGAACCGCAGGAGGAATTCACTATTCGAAGATTTGTGCAAAAGTATTGTCCGCCCGATGAGGATGATGTTCAACGTACAGCAAGGGCAGTCAATATGTATTTCCGTGATGCACCAGAGGATTCAGCGACAGGCAGTGGTAATGGGATGCCTGGAATCAGTACAGTACCAGCAAGCCAAATCCATGTGAATGACGAAGAGCTTGCAAGGCGATTTCAAGAATGGGGAATGGTTAATATCATTCCTATGGCACAGGATGTGGACGAACAGCTACGAGCACAACCCCAGTATGTGTACACGCCTCATGGCAAGAGGTACCACCGACCTACATGTGCAGATGTGCAAAGGTCAGAGAGATTCACTTACAGTGCAGCAGTGCATGCGAGATTGCACTACCGTCCTTGTGGCAATTGCAGGCCCGGGACCATGTGAGTGAATGATGGAATGTTTCACTTTTCCGTACAGTGTGAGCTACAACGAGTACAAGCTTACCTGAGCGAAGTGTTACCCACGAGGAAGCAGTGGGAACAGTTTTCACCGAGTGCAAGGACTCCAATAGGGAGAGCACAACGAGGCCATCGCACAATACCAGATGAGCCCAACGACATACCTGTACAGTTTCTACAAACCCGTTACTGTAGAGTGATGTTGAGCTTACAGTTCGCACAACATCAAGGCGGGGTGTAAAGTTTTTCTACTACCTGGGAACCCCACCGACCAACCCAAAGGGTTGATGAGCATGTGTGGATTTGTGACTCATGTTTTACCGACAGCGCCTTTACCGGTTCAAGGAAAAAGAGCGACTTGAAGTTTAGCACAAAGTCAAAAAGGTGGAGAGCTCGTGGGCAGTGCTTGTTTAGGCTTAGGATTTCGTAGGCCTTTGTTAGCTTTGGTAGTGTGGCTTGAACTTGAAGCGAACGGGTCATGTGTTTACTCATAGCTGTTTGCTGGTTGTGAAAGATCACCGTACTTTGTGATTTTTGGTTCAAGCCACACACCAATCCAGTACAATGCTGGCTAGCTTTGCTTTTGACCCACCCACCACTCCCTTTTGGAAGTGCAGAGCCATACTCACATCGTTTCACCCAGTTTCACAAGATGCGAAGTGGCGTTCTCCTTTGTATGCATTCGGCTTTTGCGCTTCTGTCTTGGTGATCTTTACGGTCTTTACGGTCTTTACGCTCAGTTTTGCTACGCATCATCTGCTTTGCATTCTGCTTTGAACTCTGAGCGGCATTTCCGGCAAAGTCAAAAAGGTGGAGAGCTCGTGGGCAGTGCTTGTTTAGGCTTAGGATTTCGTAGGCCTTTGTTAGCTTTGGTAGTGTGGCTTGAACTTGAAGCGAACGCAAAAGATCGAGCACGCCGAGTTTCTGCAAGCCTGCAGAACTGCGCAAGATGTAAATAGCTTCTTAGGGAGACTGTTAGGGTGATGAAGCATCGACCAGATCATTGTTCTGTCTGACTCGTCTGGAATACCTCGTCCCAATACGGTGACTTAGTCATAGAAGCCGCATCAGGAGCACTTACTCACATTCTTTTTTTGAACCGACGCAAAACCTGCTTGCAGACAGCTGCCCCTCTCAGATCGCCAGAAGCGTAGGTAAGCTTGGTGTTGTGTTTGCTTTGCAGCTGGGCCCCTTAGCATTGCCTTGCTAGCGCCCGCTGCAAAAAGAATCTGGATTCTAGATTAAGAACGCCCGTTCTCAATTGCATTTAATTTCTTAACTGCTGGAAACACCGTTTCTTGATGTTAAAAACGCCCGTTCTCTTCACCTTTAATCTCTTAAACGTTGGCAGCGCCCGCTCCCTCCGTCTAACTTATTTTTGGTGTCTCTTGTACATTGTGCAGTACGGATGGCTTCGACGTAAGGTATCTGCACTATGTTGCAAGTGCGAATTAGTTTTACCAAACCTTTTAACTTAACTTTGCGGTGCATGTAAAGATAGGAGCATGTTTTTGCCGCATTGAGATCAATGTTTATCTTTTGAACGCCGTGCATCATTCTCGACTGGCCCAAACTGCACTTGTCAGGCCCACCCGGCCGAGAGCACTAAATGTTGTGTTGATTTTGCTGTTGTGGACGGGGAAGGTGGGTGATGTTTGTTTGTGCGCTTCCCTTGAACGCCAAGGAAGTGCTTTGCGCATTGCGCTGGCCTTTGTCTGCTAGTAAGAGCGAGAACGCAGCAAAGGTCAGGCCTTTGAATAATTGCCGTGCAGCGTATCAACTCTTTGCAGCAGTGGAATGCGCCTAGTACAAGTGCCACGCCCCCTAGCTAGTACGAGCCTTGCCGCCAGGTACCCGCACGTGCGCAGACTGGTGTTGATTTGCCGTCGTGGACGGGGAAGGTGGGTGTTTGTTTGTTTGTGCCCTTCCCTTGGTTGGTAAGAGCGAGAACGCCAAGGAAGTGCTTTGCGCATTGCGCTGGCCTTTGTCTGCTAGTAAGAGCGAGAACGCAGCAAAGGTTAGGCCTTTGATGCATCCAGTTCGCGTGCGGTGGCTGTGCTGCTTGCTGTGTGGCTATACCAGCCACTGCATGCGTGAGGGCTGTGCTGCTCACTGTGTGGCTTACACCAGCCCTTTGCCTGTTGATGCGAATAACTGCCCTACACCCAGCAGCAAGCCTGCCTCTCCCACCCGTGCAGCGTATCAACTCTTTGCAACAGTGGAGTGCGCTTAGTGCAATTGCCACGCCCCCTAGCTAGTACGAGCCTTGCCACCAGGTGCCCGCACATGCACAGGCTCGAGGTGCACAGGCCCGTCCGGGGCAGGCGTGGCTGTAGGTGCCTGCACATGCACAGGCTCAAGGCGCACAGGCCCCTCCGGGTCAGGCGTGCTTGCAGGTGCCAGCAAAAGCACAGGCTCAAGGTGCACAGACCCTTCCGGGTCAGGCGTGCTTGCAGGTGCCCGCACAGGCTCAAGGTGCACAGGCCCCTCCGGGTCAGGCGTGCTTGCAGGTGCCTGCAAATGCACAGGCTCAAGGTGCACAGGCCCTTCCGGGTCAGGCGTGCTTGCAGGTGCCCGCACATGCGCAGGCTCAAGGTGCACAGGCCCTTCCGGGTCAGGCGTGCTTACAGGTGCCAGCAAAGGCACAGGCGCACAGGCCCTTCCGGGTCAGGCGTGCTCGCAGGTGCCAACGCTTCCGGGTCAGGCGTGCTCGCAAGTGTCCGCAAATGTACAGGTTCAAGCTGCACAGGCCCTTCCTGGTCAGGCGTGTTTGCAGGTGCCCCCCGCACATGCACAGGTCCACAGGCTCGAGGTGCCCAGGTCCATGCCCAGGTCCTGTCGGGCACTTTCCCCTAGCGTGCCAGGCGGGTTGGCGTGCAGCCTTAATACTGTCGTTCTGCACACACTGCGCAAACCTCATGCGTCTGTGTGAGTCGCAATTCATGCGGCTGTGTGAGACGCAACTCTACACGTTGTCCTGCGTTTTGGGTGTAGGAGGGCTCAGGATCGCACTGTTGAGGTCTGCTGGCCGCTCCCCAAACCAAAGGCGATTAACAACCGAACGGTCTGGCCAGTCGGTGCAAGCGTGCTGGGTGTAGTGTTAAACTGTCCTTTAGTAGCATTCCCTTTCCTCAAAATGCTCCCTTACATCCACTTGCCTATTATGCACCTAGCGCTGCGGGGCTCCGCGAAGGCGTCTTGTTGATCAGCCTGGCGGGCTCGTCTGTGTGCAGCTCTGTGCGTGGTGGCAGCCGGCGGGTGTGCAGGAGTCTGCATTTAGGGTTTGGTTTGCTGCTTAGGTTTCTGGTCTGCCCCTCACCCTTGTGACAGTGCTAGTCGCAGCATAGGGCGGAGGCATCGTCCGGTTTCTGCTGGAAAAGTGCCTGGAACAACCGGCAGGAACAGGCCTGTTCATGCTGGAGGGGTGCCTGGCGGGGGCACTCCTTGCCACAAGCGCGTCATCGCTGTAATCGGCCTGTAATCCGGCGCGGCCCTGTTAACAAACGCCATGGCTCATGGACAGCGCCACCCCCTTAGAGTGCCGGATACAACGGACATCTGTTGGTCTATCTTGCGCAGCACGATGGACACACCTTGCTCGTTACGGCTTCTGCGATAAGGGAGTAAGCTTCTCAAACTGATGCCTAGGTCTTCTCCAGAAGGCCCAGAATGATTAGGCGCCTCCGGAAGGCTCAGAAGTGCTTTGGCCTATCAAACTGTTGCCTAAACCCTCCCGGAAGGCTCAGAAGTGATTAGGCCTCTCAAACTGCTGCCTGAAACTTCTCCGGAAGGCCCAGCAGTGGGTCGGCCTCTCCAACTGCTGCTTAAAAATTTTCCTGAAGGCCCAGCAGTGGGTAGACCTCTCAAACTGATGCCTCAAACATCTTCTGAAGGCCCAGAAATGATTAGGCCTTTCAAACTGCTGTCCCAACAGTTGCCTGAAGGCCCAGAAGTGATTAGGCTTTTCAAACTGCTGCCTCAACCTTCCCTGGAAGGCTCAGCAGTGATTAGGCCTCTCAAACGGCTGCCTAAAACTTCTCCGGAAGGCCCAGCAGTGAGTAGACATCTCAAACTGCTGCCTAAAACTTCTCCAGAAGGCCCAGAAGTGATTAGGCCCCGCAAACGGCTGCCGGAGCCTTCGCCAGCAGGCCCAGAAGGGATGTGAAGAACTGCTGCTGGCTCAAGTCTCGGCTCAACCCCGGTGGGGTGCTCAGGTAGGGAGTGCTGTTGCCTGGAGACTGTACCTAAGGGTGGGCTCCAACAGGACTCAAACCGCAACCACTGTGTTTGCTTGGTAGTCGGCTGCCAGCAACATAGCTACCTGAGTACGGCCTCGCCAAGTGCTGAGGGAACTTTTCGGCCTCGCTTCGGCAGAGGGTGTGTTTTCGGCCTCGCTTCGGCAGAGGGAGTGGCCAAGTTTCGGCCTCGCTCCGGCTGAGGATACATAAAGTTCGGCCTCACTACGGTTGAGGGGATCTTCCGGCCTCGCATTGCTGAGGTGCTGGTGGGACTGGCATCAGGCTGCAGCAGTCATGGGGAAGCATTGTACTGTGTGTGCCCACTGCGAGGTGGGTTGGGTCTGGAATGAAGACTTGTACTACAACCCGAACTGCTGGCATTGCGGAAAGGCGTGGAAAAAGGCCACTTACCGTGAGCGAGCATGGTCAAACCAGCGGAAGAAGTGGCAATGGCCAAAGGAAGACGCTACTTGGTGGACAAGACCTGCCAAGAACAAAGAAGGGATGGCCGACCAAGCCCTCACGAAGGCGTGGGGTACGCTTTCTATGGAGGCAAAGAAGGCCATCGAAGAAGCAGGATGGAAGCCGCGGACGATGGAGCCGGGGCCAATTTGGCCCCCGGGATTACCTGGCAATGGATCGCAGGCAGAAAGCATGTCACAGAAGGAGTACCATGCGGCCATTGAGACTGTGTGGCAAGGAGCCGAGCCCGCAGTGCAAAGGCTCCTCAGAGCGGCGGGTATACCCCCGCCGGGGGACTACAAGCCTGAGGACGAGACGCCAAAGCAGGAACTCAGCCGCCATGTTGGTACATACAGACGGACGACAAACAAGCTGAGAACGCTCATTGAGAAGAAGGTCCGGCTTCAAGACAAAACGGAGAAGATAAAGAGCGAGTTCGAGCAGGCCATGAAGCAGCTTGCGCAAGTCAGCCAGGCCATCCAGGCCACGGAGCTGGAGGTAGCGGAAGCACAGAAGAAGGTCCAAGCCTGTGTGAAGGATGAAGAGGACTCGCCATACAAGGACGTCGCGGACTACCTGGAAAAGGAAGGGATCATCCTGTCTGAGGAGCAAGCGGAGGCGCTCAAAACAAGGATGGCAGTCAAAGTCGTGGAGACAGACTGGACGGGAGTCTTGGGACCAAGAGAGCCGAGCATGCCAGTTGAACTTGGCATATATGGGCCGATGCGCATGTCTCGAGATGTGTCAGTCAGGGCAACGCCGACGGGGCGCGAACGCTCGCCGGCGCGTGCCCAGGGCGAGTGAAACCTCAGGCTGGGACAGGAGCGGAGGGGCCGACACCTCAGGGCAGCTCCTGGTCCGAACAGCCAAACTATGAAAGCAGGACAAGTAGAGGAGTCTCAATGGGGAGACTCTGATTTCTCTTTTGACGGTGGCCGAAAGCAGTGTCACGGGGACATTGTATGGCCACAGGTACATGGGGAAGGCAGTCAAGCTGTGTGTAGTACCCAAGTGCCTAATACAAACAGCACAGTGGAAGACAGCCAAGAGAGCTGGAGTCCAGTAACGCGGGGTCCAAAGTCAGCCCGTGCTGTGGATAGCAGTTGGGCGGTCACAGGTCCCAGATACTTCGGTCTGGGAGGTGCGGACCATGAGGATGAATGTGTGAATTCGGCCTCGCAAAAAGCAGAGGGAAGCCAAACACAGATGGGAAACCCAACTGCGGTAAGAGGGGATAGCCTAAAGGCCTCGCAGAAAGCTGAGGAAGCAAGGTTGTCGGCCTCGCAAAGTGCTGAGGGTCACCAAAGGAAGCAAAAGCCCAAGAAACGGAAAGCGCACCCAAGAGCACCACCTAAGGATCTACCACAGGAGTGGCAAATGTTGTGTCAAGTGGTGGGTAGATATGATGCTTCCAGTGAGGCTGCCGCACTCGAAGCCATTGAGAAACTGGAAGAGCAGGAACTCAACCCGCTACAACAACGAGCATGCCACGAAGTGCTTCGTTCCTTTGTGGAGCAGGACGCACAATATGCCAAGTGGATCTTGGCAGATGTGGCAAGTGGGTATCGCCAAGATGATAAGGCCGAATGCATCAAAATCACCTCGGCTAACATCACCAGCTGGAGGAAACCCATAGCGGCATGGATACACGAACTAGGACCGGACCTGGTGGTGCTGCAGGAAACCCATCTCAAGACGGAGGGTATCCAGCAAGCCATGAGCCATTGCCAAGATATGGGATACACCTTCATTGGCATGCCAGGCAGTACAAAAACTAAGGGTGTACAAGGAGGCCTGGCAGTGGTGGCACCCCGACATAGGAACCTGCGATACCTTACTGAGTATGGGACAGGACCGGCGGGCTTCCTGGCATGTGCCATGAGAAATAAAGGCTGGGATTTGATCATCGTCAGTCTGTATTTGGAGAGCGGGGTCGGATTCCAGGCTCCAAACAATATCCAAGTACTGGCGAGACTGATAGCCTTTCTCAAGGGCTGCAAAGTGCCATATATGGTGCTGGGTGATTGGAATGAAGCCCAGGATACCATGAGGGGCACAACTCTGGCGACAGAAGTTGGTGGTGCATTTGTTGGAGTGGGGGAACCAACGGCCCAAGGATCGGACGAAATCGATTACGGGCTGGTTGCGAAATGCTTGGTGCCCATCCTGCAAGTGAAAACGGATTGGGAAACCCCTTTTCGGCCTCATGCTGCAATGCATTGGAGGGTGGCCCAACCGTGCAGTAGCCCTGATGTTCCCCAGATGAAGAAGGCGGGAGCACTGGTGACGGAGACTGTGGAATATGAACCAGTTCAAAACACACAGAGCATCAACATCTTGGATGAACCCAAGATGGTAGATGAGCTCAGTGAGACATTTGCTCACCTGAGTGCCGGTGTAGAGAGGTCGATCACAGGCCGAATCGACGGTATGGGTGTTAAATCGGAGATTGTGCGGAAGAAATTGGTGGTCAACAACCCGGTGAACGTTGTCTGGACGGGCAAGAGGGCGGCCTTTTGGAACCGGGTCCAACAATGGGTCAAACAAGGCAGACATCATGGCGATGCACATCCGGTGGCGCGTCTGGTCCAACGCAGGCTCGGCGAGTATTACGAGGGTGATGCGCAGAACCAGGAGGATATGCTTGCGAGTATCCTGGGCCGGGGTACGGACGCTAGGCTTGTTCTGAAGCGCATCGACGAACAGCAATGCTACGCGAGAAAGGCGGATATGGAGGAGACAGCCCACCAGTACAAGCAATGGCTCAGTAAGGCCATGGAAAAGGGCATGCGACCATTATACAATGCCTTGCGAAAAGAAGAACAAGTGGTACACAGACCCTACATGGAATATGACATGCTGGAACGGCCACACATTCGCCGAGACCACTGGGCGGCAGTGTGGACGACGGGCCAACCGTTGGCAAAATCGGCCTCGCTCATGACGGAGCTTGAGGATGCAGCCAAAAAACAAGCGGCCAGCGTGGAGCCGCTGAACCCTGTCGAGGTCAAGGCAAGGATCAAAAAACTGGCACTAAAGAGCCCGGGGCCGGATGGCTGGAGGATTGACCATTTGCAGGCCATGGACGATAAACCAGTTGAAGCCGTTGTGTCCTTCTACCATGAATGTGAGGCCAAGGCAGCATGGCCGCAGCAAATGACAGTCTCCCTTATAGCAATGCTGCCGAAGAATCTGACCCGGGAAAGACCAATCGCCTTGCTACACATCCTGTACAGGACTTGGGTCCGTCTGCGCTGGGATTTGGTAAGTACTTGGCAGGCCGGCTATGCCACAACTGCCACGTACGACAAGGCAGTCCCAGGCAGTTGCTGCTTGGACGTGGCCGTAGGCAGACTACTGCGAAATGAGGTGGCAAAGACAAATGGAGTGCATGTGGTGTCACTCTTTGTGGACCTCGAGTCCTTTTTCGATACCATCCAATTTCAGCAATTGATCATGGCAGCAACGGCCCTGCAATATCCGCTGCTAATCCTGAAGATGGCACTGGAAGTGTACATGGGTGCCAGATACTTGGTGGCGGATGGGGTGCTATCGGCAGGCATCAGAGCTACAAATGGCGTGCAAGCGGGTTGCCCAGCGGCGCCATCGTTAGCAAAGGTGGCATTGCACCCGGTGATAGAAAAGATCCAAAGGCGACGAGATGTGGCAAACGTGGACTGTTGGTTGGATGATGTCTCAATTGACATCCAGCATAAGTCCTTTAAACACGTGGCGGATAGTGCCATACGAGTCTACCGCAGCTTAAAGGACGGGATGGATGCTAATGGTTTCACGATTTCATCCAAGAAGACAGGGTTTGTGGCCAGCAGTACCCAGGCGAGCAAGCACCTGCGTGAACTCCTGCTGCATCATGAGCCACAGGTGTACGACGTGATGCGTGACCTGGGCGTCGACAGTACAGGGGGGCGAAAGCGTCGCTTGGTGACGTCGGCAACGCGGGCCAAGAAAGCCCATGCGAGACATAGCAAACTGTCTAGGCTGGGGCCGCCGCCCAGCACTAAACTCCGCGTGGTCAAGGCAGCGATCACATCAGTTGCTTTGTGGGGGCACCCCTCTGTGGGGGTCTCACCCAAAAGAATGAAATGGCTCCGAACAGTGGTTGGAAAACACCTGGGTAAATACAAGCTTGGGAGTTTGGAAACCATCTTGGACATGGGAGCCAAGAAATGCCAGGATCCAAAGCGCACAATCCACAAGCAGCATTTCAAAGTGGTGGCCAAAGTTTTCCGTGCATGGATCGGTGGCGGAAAAGCCCACTTTGACTTGGCCTGGAAAACCACTTGGAAGAGGTTGAGTGCGGCCAAACACCACTGGCCACTGGTCACGGGGCCGATGGCAGCAACCATGGCGTACTTACTGGATCTGAAGGTAGATGCCAGTGACCCAGGCAAATGGAAGAGAGGAAGTGTCCTCAACGTTGATTGGACCCAGCCACGCATGGGTAGCCTCGCCTACAAATGGCTTGAGGGATTCCTGGAGGAACAGAAGCGGGCTGCGATAGCGCGACAGGCAGGTGGCGCTGGTGCCCAAGAGGGGCTGGATTGGACGCCGCATCACAAGCTGACGAAGCTGGGAGGCCTCAGCCCAGGCCTTATGGAAGGTATAAAGTCAGTGTGGCACGCGGGCGTCATCACGGAGTCCAAGCCAGGATGGTGCAAGAAGTGCCAAATGCCAGCAACTCTGGAGCATGTCCTCAAGGAATGTCCTTACTGGCGTGAACAAGGGTTCAAAGAACCCAAGCTCCAGGAATACTTGCGTCACAAATACCCATGGGAGTGTCTGTGGACAAGGGCACTCCTGCCAAAGCCGGCGGTGTGGCACCCGAAGCCGCCGGAACACCTTTTAGGTCTACGTTACCAAGGATGCTTTGCAGCAGATGCAAAAGTGGAAGCGGAAGGCTTGATCTTCGCCACTGACGCAAGTGGAGGTCCAGGAGGAATAGACCCACGTGTACAAACATCAGCCCTCGCAGTGGTGGCTATGTCCTGGACAAAAGGTGTCCTGGTGGAAGCCGGACGGATTACAGAGCTGGTCTACCCGTGGCAGCCGGTGGTGGACATGGAGCGCCGTGCACTTTTCCGACTAATGGAGCACACGGAGGATCTGATTGATGTCACTATGGATTGCAAGCCGGCAGTCCAAGTGCTACAAAAAACACAACCGCCGGAGGATGACCTGGAATGGAGCAAAGTGTGGAATGACAGGAAACGTATCAAGGCAACCTGGGTCCCGTCCCACAAAACTGAAGAGGAATTCCTGGCGAAGATGGGGCCGGGCACGTTGTGGCGACGTGCAGCGAATGACATGGCAGACAAAGTATGTGGTGCAGTAGCGGCGGCTGCTTACAGCCCAGCGCACAAGAGGCGTGTCAAAGAGTTGGACAATGTGGTGCGCACACTTTCCCTGGCGTACGGTGCACGCGCAGCCCACATACTGAGGAAGCGCAAAGAAGAAGACTTCCCCTTCATTCTGGACCATGCGCATTACAAAGAGAAGATGGAGGCCTCGCAGAAAGCTGAGGGATGCAAAAAAGCGCAGGGCAACGCCAAACTCAACAAACGCCAGCGGCTATGGCAGTTGCTTAAAGACCCGGAGCGCGGGCATCAATGGGAGAAGGGCAGCGAACACCCCCGGAATTTAACACTGAAATGTCAACTGTGCGGGTTGTATGTACAACAAACCCTCACGAACTTGGAGGTGGTCTTGGAGCAGTACTGCGTCAACCAGCCGGAGGCGCGAGTGCGTGAAGAGTGGGGTATCCACCCCTCCCATAATATGGTGAATTTGGGAATCCGTTGGGTTTGCACAAAGTGTGACCGTACACATGCACCGGTCAGCCAGAAGTGCAATAAAAGTCTGGCGGGGGAGTGCAAATCGCGGACTTCTCAGGGCAAGCTGGCTACCCAAGCGCAAACCCTTGTCAATGGTGGAAGTATGAGCAACGTCCAGTTTCAACAGCCTCGCGTTCAGTTTGGTGGGAAACACGCCAAAGCTAAGCCCCAAGCCAGCGCACAGCAGAAGATGTCATTGTTTGTTAGGCCTCGCCAAGCTGAGGGAACGCAGTAATTCCGCAGCCGTTTGGTGCAAGGAGAAGGGTTTCGGCCTCGTAGCTGAGGGTGAGGGCCTCGCAACGGGGAATTGCGATTGGTGTTTACGGCCTCGCTTTGCTGAGGGAGTGTAGCTCGGCCTGGCGGTGCCGCGTGCTTGCGACACCGCAGAGGGTAAGAGAGGAGGCCTCGGCCTCGCAGAGCTGAGGGTGAAACAACGGCGTCCTCATCCTCAAGGCGGGCCTGTAGCAATGAGGCAATGGAAGACGGATGCTACGATGAGAAGACAAGGGTCCCGACTGCCATCCTGGTTAAGGAATCGGCCGGACAAAGGCAAGGGCAAAAGCAAGAACAAGCAGAAGGATCAGCCCCGAGAACGATCCCCGCTTCGACAGGCCAGACACCCGGAGCAGCCTTGGGATAGGGAAGAGGAGAGTGCTTCGGAATCTCCGGTGGGTCCGGTACGCCTACGGGAGAGAGGAGAAGACAGCGCGGCCTCGCACCAAGCTGAGGGTGTCAATACAGAGCAAGAGGCAAGCGAGCCTCGAACAGTTACGCTGGCGGAAGGGCCAGGTGCCCACAATATGGCCTCGCAGGAAGCTGAGGGAAAGGAGAAAAGGAAGCCATGGGGCAAGCCAAGCCTGTGCACCTTTTGGTGCACAAACTGCAGAACCAGCAAAGGCCAAGGACACCGCTCCATTGGCTTGGGGAGGTCCAATTGGTCCGCAACCCAACGACAGGGCAAAGCTTACAGCCTAGGGTGCTTCCCTTCATAGGTGCAGGGCGCACTCGAAGAGGATATGCTCTGGATCGGCTATGGGTCATGAAACTGGCGATGGAACCCCAGAGCTTTGGCAACGAAGCAGGGTATGGGGAACAATTCCCCACCCTGGTCACCAGGACCCTGTGGGCAGGATGGATTGGAGTCCTTTTCGATGAAGCGGTGGAGGGTTACTGCCACCACTACTTCTATGGAAGTATCATCCGCAGGGCAGAGCTGTTCAACACATGGTGGCAGGAACATCGCCATGAAGCCGGGGTCCTCAGACAGTCCCTGTTTTACCTGGTGGCTATAACGTCATGGCTGACCATGCAAGGAGTTGCTCTATCGGATGTCACGGTGAGCAACGTTGGGCGCGACCCAATGTCAGGATCGTTACCACGGGCAGTGTTCTTTGACACGGCGGAGTGGACGATGCTGCAGGAGGAGAGATACAAGCTATCAAGCGGCCTTGTACGCCTCCTGGAGAAGTATGATGAGGAGCTACTGGCAACCATACGTGGATTGGTCAGAACGTACGACGGCAAGGCCAGCGCGCTTTGGATGGCGTGCGTAGGCAATGTCGGGCCATTTGCCCAGCACCTGCTGGATGCCGGGATTGCAAAACGAGGATGGGATGGAACCTACTTTCGGTTCCGGCAACAGAGATCCAGAAAATCACGCTGGGCATGCCGTATGACGAAGCTGATGAGTGAGCAGCAAGCCAGACAAGAAACATGGATAGTGGTCAGAGAGGCACCAAAAACCGAATCAAAATACCGCCTCGGCGTGCTGGCTGAGGAGTTTCGGCCTCGACTTCGGTCTGAGGGGTGCAAGAGAGGGAACTTCGGCCTCAGCATGGCCTGAGGGACTTTCGGCCTCGACCACGGTCTGAGGGAATGGATTTCGGCCTCGACAAATGTCTGAGGGAAGTGAGGGCTAGTACCGGTAGTCTCACTGTGCAGAGTTTGTAGTTTGTATGTTTCACCCTCTAACCTCAGCCCCTTCGGGTGGCTACGCCAAGCAGCGTGCAGACGAAGAACTGCTGCTTCAACCTTCTCCCGCAGGCCCAGAAGTGACTAGGCCTAGCACTTTGCTGTGGGTCCCGCATCAGGTGTAGTCACGGGGTAAACCTGCTTGAAGTGCTCTCCACAAAAAATCGGCCGCTGCGCGGGGCTCCGAGTTTTAAGGCCCCTTGACTTTCACACTTGACGCGCGGTTGGCTGCAGACCGTTAAGCAGCCTTGGGGGCCTTAAACTGCACCAGGCTAAGCATGCCAAGCCGATAGGCTCCCGGTACCTGGGAAGCACATGAGCCAAGTGCCAGCCAGCAGCCTTTGGGGCTCTTGTGCCGTCTCAAAAATCGGCCGCTGCGCGGGGCTGTAAGAATATGGCCTCTTGCAAGCAGCGCTTCAGGCCCGCCCTATGGCCATGAGGTCGAGCCTCAAAACTTTCGGCGCAAACACAAGGAGCCTCCAAATAGGGTACTCCCCTAATAGCTATGTGAGGACGCCCGGACTCACACAGCGCCGACGGCAGCCTCGTGTAGCCACACCAGCCCCTTGCCAGCCCCCGCTCGCCGGGGGGGGAGGGGGCGCCTCTTCTGGCGCTCTGTGTGCACTGTGCCTGTTTTCAGTGTGCTTGGGCGCTTGTGTGGGGACTGTCTCTACGGACGCGTTGAGCAGTTTAGGTGACGGAGGTTCCTTGCCTTACGGCCTACCCATACTTTCGCTTAATGTCTGTACCAGACGTGGCGCAGCATTGCTATGGGTGACGGGCAGCTGAGTGATTGGTGCCGGTAGGTTCTTGTTTGCATTGTTCTCACCTCGCTAGCCTTGCGATAAGTTGTCTTGCAATAAGGGCCTCTGCGCTAGCGGTTGCTTCTTTGTAGTCACGACTTCTTTTTCGCTCGCTGGCTTGTACAGTTTGGCTCTCAAAGTTTTGGCGGGTTGCTGCGGGTTTTGGTGGTTGTGTTTTGTGGTGGTTTTGGTGTGTGTTTGCTTTGGTTTTCGCACCTGCTCTGTTTCACCTCTAGTGTTGAGACCCACAAGAACGGCCTACTGCGCTGCTGATGTAGTAAAGAGGCGTCGGTTCAAAAAAAAAGAGACAAGGACAACTACTTTAAGAGCCAACCTGTGCAAGCCAGCGAGTGAAAAAGAAAGTCGTGACCAAAGAAGCAACCGCTTGCGCAGAGGCCCTTATTGCAGGCCAGCGAGGTGAGACCAATGCAAAAGAACCTACCTGCACCAATCACTCAGCTGCCTGTCACCCGTAGCAATGCTGCGCCACGTCTAGTACAGACATTAAGCGAAAGTATGGGTAGGCCGTAAGGCAAGGAACCTCCGTCACCTCAACTGCTCAACGCGTCCGCAGAGACAGTCCCCACACAAGTGCCAGGGCCGAGCAAATGTAGGATTCCTTTTTTTTCCAGCGGTATCTGATGGAGATTCTGAATTATTTCTGGCAGCCAGCGGTCGAAGGAACCCTTCAACTGCTATTGAATAATTTTATGAAAAGAACGACGGTCAAGCCAGCGAAACCCCTTTTCGATTACCAGCCCTCGAGGATGAGCATTGGCAAGGACTTAGTACAACGCCGAACAGACATGGGCCCCAACGCGCCCGGCCTGCTTGGTATGATGCTGCCACCGCCCATTGGGCAGCCCTTAAGGGGCTTACGCGATCCAAACACCCAACCAAGCAACGCCTCAACAGCTTCTGGTATAAAATGTACTGCCACGGCAACCCCAAGGAGCCTGAGCCCTCGGCCCTTGCAACTGCCCTCTCCACCTTTCCCTTCCAGTCCCGGGAAGAAGGTGCTGTGCAGTATTGGCAAGTTCAGGAGGCCATTCGGACGATGTGGCATTCAGCCAAAGCCACCATGGCACGGCGTGTAGGAGTTCCCATCCCGACTGGCATCCCAGCGTGGGGGGTCGATGAGGAGGAGTTGACGCAAGCCTGTCTGTTGCCCCGCAATACCGCCGCCGCTGACCCGCCAACTGCTGTTGAGGGAGTCAGCATGAAGGCCAAAAAATCAGGTAAGCGTGCTGAAACGCCCTCTACACAGTATCGTCCGCGACACCCTGATTGGGAGGGTCCATGGCAATGAAGTGCTGCGGGCCGGCGTAAGGGTTTGACTGCTGTCTGGTAGTCTCTCCCCTCTGAATCGGTAGCTGTTGCTACTCGCAGGTTTCCTCCCTGGGAAACTAGGAGGACTCTGCTGACTGCGGCCCCAGGTTCTACTTGGATATGTGGCCGGGCTGAACACAGTTGTGCGCCTGGATGTTGGGAACTCTGAGTTCGTCTTCCAATTAGCGAACCGCATTTTGTGTTGGCTGTTGCTCGGGGTTGCTCCACTGGCTGACCACCATGGGGTGCCCTGGGCTGGTCTTGCATCCGCTGTTCTTACTGTCAAGTCCCCACTGGCTGACCACCATTGGGCGCGCGCTGGCCTTTCCTTTGCTGCAGGCTAGAGTGAGGGTTTGACTGCTGTCTGGTAGTCTTTCCCCTCGGAATCGGTAGCTGCTGCTACTTGCAGGCTTCCTCCCCTGCTGACTGCGGCCCCAGTTTCTACTTGGGAATGTGGTCAGACTGGGCACAGTTGTGCGCCTGGGTGTTGAGCGCCTTCTCGCAAGCGAGACAGCACCTTATTTTCATTTTATACTTTTGCAATTCATGGGTGCATGAATTTTCATGAACATGATTGATTTGTTCACCATGTGAATTTTGATCTCTCCGTCGCAGTGTGGCTGTGTGCAGCTCAGAGGATCAAAATTTTGTGTGTTGGGGCTCCGCTAATCTCGTAAGGGTGCCGCCGCTCTAGAGGTCCTGGGCGCTAAGGGTCTTCCCTCTAGGGGTCGTGCAAGCTGAGACCCCGGGTGGTCTCAGCGGATGGACACCAGCTCGTCTTCGAGCGATTCGAGCATCAGCTGGGATTGGCCGCCTCTGCCTCAGCGTGCTGCATTTCGACCAGTCCTCATCCGGCCTCGCTGCTTCCATCTTGACCTGCTTGAGCGCCGAGTGGCTGCGCCCCCTGACCTTTTCAGTTACGTGCTCGAGAGCTCCTTTTCCGGGGTTCTGTTGTCAACTGCGGAGGGCTCCAGGGTTTTCTTGTGCCTTAGTCCCCAGGCTTGGTTCCGTTTGGCTTGCAGTGGCCACAGGATCCACGCGTGCACCCGACAGCTTTTGCAGCTGTCTGCTTGATCAGAGTGCCGTCTGATGTCCGCGCCCGGCTCAAGTTCCGCACCGCCCATGTCTGCATCAGCTTCTCAAGGGGGGGAGGTTAGCTGCTTTGACATCGACAGGTTGCTTGTGGAGGCACAGCTTGCTGCAATTCCTGACAACATGCCTAAATTCCCTTGGGAAACCGGATCGTTCAAGGCCATCTTTGGTGAGGGAATGGCCGGTGTGTTGTCTCCACCAGTGCTGAGGCAACCTTCTCTTGTGCCCATACCTGGGGTTGCCTCCCCTCCGCCGGAACCTGCGCCCGTGCAGAGTGCTTCTGGGAAACGCAAGCATGCGCATTTGTTTCATGAGTGTTCTGCTAAAGCCTCCAGAGATGAAAATGCTGACAGTGATGAGCATTTGTGGAACATCGCTTTGAGCAAGTGGGTTACTGTGTTCATTTTGTGCGAGCACCAGGGAAGCACAGGTGCCATGCTTCAGGACAGCTTCTGGTCCGAGGACGGCACTGCTCGGGAAGATATCATCCGTGATGTCTTGGGGTTGAAGGCTCCGAGAACAGCGTCAAAGAGAGCCAATGACTTGTTGCGTTGTTTCCGGTGGCATGTAGAGCAAGGCAAGTCCCCGTGGCCCTGGAGCATCAAGTCTCTTTCGTGTTATATCGAGTCACTAAAGGGTACTAAAGGGTATGCAAGTGCCACTGCTACTCTGTTTCAGGCCATCAATTTTGCGCATCATGTGGTCGACATCCCCTTTAGTGCTGAGATCTTGAGCGACAGGCGCCTTCAGGGCAGGGCGAAGAGGCTGATTGCTGATAGTGGTCCCCTGAAGCAAGCCACAGCATTGCGTGTTGAGCAAGTCATCCAACTTGAAATTCGAACGACCTCCAGCGAGACTTGTGTGCAAGACAAGTTCCTTTTGGGCGGGATGCTTTTCACGCTATACTCTAGATCGAGGTGGTCCGATCATCGCTTGCTTGATTTTATCTTGTTTGACGAATGTGGGGCTCCTACTGAAGGTTTTATTGAAGCACAGACCTCCCATCACAAGACTAGGAATTGCAAGAAAGCTGCCAAGCGTGCCATGCCACTGGTTGCCCCCATGTTCAGCTGGTCAGGCCATGACTGGGCCAGTGCATGGTACCAAGCAGGCGTCGAACTTGGGTTTCCGTGGGATGCATCTCCCTTAGGACCTTTGGTGAGGGTTCCGGGTTTTTCAGGGGTCTCTAAGCGGAAATGCAGCAGCGCAGAGGCGTCAGCCATCCTACGGAGTGCCTTGGAAGTGGATGCTTCTTCAGGGGTATCATCACACTCCCTCAAGGTCACCACTCTGAACTGGTGTGGCAAGAGGGGTTTGCCCGAGTTCGATTGTTTGATGTTGGGTCACCATGTCACTGGGTCCAAATCGCGTGCGGTCTACTCACGTGAACTTCTCAGCGCACCGCTGCGCTCCTATGTCGCCATGCTGAAGGAAATCAAAGCAGGGGTGTTCAAACCAGATGCCTCCAGGTCGGGTTGGTTGTCCGACTGCGCCGCTTTTGCACCTTCACATGCAGACTTTCGTTTTGATAACCCGAAGCGACGTGGGATCCTTGCTAGTGAACCTGCCGTGTCTCCCTGCGATATGTTGGGCCCAGATGCAGGTGCGTGCGCCCCTCGCTCCCCACAGGAGTTTCCGGAGAGCCCGCTTCTTGCACAGGATGCACCTGGCGAGTTTATGGAAGGTGGAGTTCGGGATCATGCTGATGATGACGTTGATGAGACATCCCCTCCCTCCTGGGGGGGTGCCTTGCCTGACAACACTGCCCTGCCCGGTGTTGAGTCTGAGCGCGATGCAGGGGATGCAAGTAGCGATGAGTCAGATAGCAGTAGCTCGAGTGACAGCAACGCGTCCTCAGGGCAATCGATTGCCGAGGAGGGCATCCTTCGGAATGCCGGAGCTGCCCAAAGTTTTGATGTGCCGGGCCCGTTATGGCAGCACAGAGGTTCAAAGATGCTGCACAAGGCGGTGCAAGGCTCGGAGATGACCAAGTGCTCGCGTAGAACGGGTGGGAATGCCTACCTGTATCTTCCTGAGGGCTCTGTGTCGAAATGGACACGCTGCTCGACATGTTTTCGTGGTGAACTGATCACCTCGAAAGGCGGTATGGTGGCTGCCTTAGACGCGCTGAGCGCACCCAGAGCATCCACATGATGGTGTGGAACGAGGGGAGTCGATGCAATTTTGTTTTCTGAACGTGGCTGAATGCAGCTAAAGAAACTCGTGTGCGAGTCGCTTGCATTTGATCGTGCTTGGATTTGATATATGCCGTCCACTTTGAGTGCACTCGCGTGTGGTGGTGTGCAGCCGAGTCTTGACAGTGATGTTTGTGGATTTGGTTTAGGAACGCATCACACTTGTGCTGCCTGTTATGAACTGATACAGACCACCTGGATTGGACTGCTTGCTCAGCGTGCATCTTCATAAGGCATTTTGCCTCAAGACGGCAACATGGCGGCCACTTCCGTGTTGGCATCGACGCCTGCTTTGGAGAAGCAATGTGAAAAGGTCGGCCTCTCTGATGAATGGACCAAGGCGATGATCGCTGCGCAAGTTGACACCTTGTCCAAGGTCTCCTATGCAGTCAGCTTACCAGGCACGCCCGCGACTGACACCAACATCGAGGACTTTGCTGGCAAACTTCGACCAGGTGTTGCTCTCTCTTTGGGCGACAATGCAGCACTTAAGCGCTTGGTCTTTGAAGCTCAGACACTTTGCATCGCCGAGCTTCGGAGTTCGGTGCAGGTTGGTGAAGATGCTCCACGCAAGCTGCCGGCTGCAGAACGTGCTCTGCGGATAGAGCAGCAAGCAGCTCGCTTGAAGGGACTGCCTCTGGCCAAAGGTGCATGGCAATGTGCGCACAGCCTCTACGATCGTTTTGCTCACATGAGAGAGACCGAAGAGCTTCGCTTTGTCCCACCTGATGAATGCATCACCCGGGATCAGGAGTTGGCCGGCAGCAAGGCACCGAAGTCTGTGCAGCTGGATGCAAGCAAGTCGGGCCTCATCGTGAAGGATGAGGAAATCACCAATACAATGAACATCACCTCAGATCACGAGCTTTACCTGAGTTTCATGAGGCGCGCCTTGGCCATGGATCTCGTGGGCCTCGCCAGCTTTGATGTGATGCAGAAGTGGATCGAGCGTCTGTTCGATGTGATGAACCAGGATCCACCTCCAAACTTCTCCCGGGTCTCTCGTGCCCAGGTCCTTCGTGCGGATCGCCAAGTCTTCGTCGAGCTGGCCCGTAGAGCCAATGGAGGGCTGAAAGCCCTCGCCGATGGCTCGCTGCCACTGGATGCAGAGTTTCGCAATTTGCCGGGCAACACTGAGATCATGTACTTCTTGCTGCCGACACCGGAGAAGGGCAAGGGCAAAGGCAAAGGCAAGGGAGACAAGCGCAAGCATTCGGGCGATGGCGATGAAGGTGGCGACAAGAAGAAGGCCAAGACCACTCGCGATCCCGTGCCCAAGGAGCTTCAGGGTTGCCATAGCAGGACTCCCAAGAATAAGCCGATTTGTTTCAACTATAACTTGGGCAAGTGCAAAAAGGGCAAAGCCTGCAAGTTCGAGCATGTGTGTTGCAGACCCAATTGCTATGGCAAGCACCCCTTCTCCCAGTGCCCGAAAGCCAATGAAGCTGCTGACGTTGCTACTTCTGCTGAGTGACTATCAGCAGACCTGTGCACAGGCGACCTTGTGGCTGTCGCTGTTCCTACATCGTCCACAGATGATGTCAATTTTCCTTGTTCTGCCGTTGACTGTGCTTCGTTGCCTGCTGATTTTGATGTGCAAAGCCAGGTGCCTCGGCTTGTTAAACCCGTCACGCAATGTGTGGGCGAGACTCCGCGAGGTTTTTGCCTTGAGGTCTTTGCTAAACATGCCCAATTCACGGCTGCAGTGCGTCGTGCTTTGCCTTGTTCCTTTGGGGTGGGTTACGGGTGTTCTGCCACATCACGTGCCCCCATCGTTCATGCCGATCTCTTGAGCCCTGCAGGGCTTGCGCTGTGTGCCTCATGGGCACGTGAGGAACTGTGCTTGTGGGTGCACATTCGGTGTCCATCTACTGTCTTCCCGATTGCACACAAAGCCCACTTAAGCCCTTTGGGTGATGATGCTTCCGCTGTGTTGTCTTTGACCCGCCAACTCATTAAACACTGCGACGACACCTCTACCCCTTGGTCCCTTGAGTGTCGTGAGCGATCTCTGTTTTGGCAAGATGAGTGGGCCAGCTCCCTGCCGTCCCTTACTGTCAACATGTGCCAGTTTTCCTGTCAGGTTGGCCACTCGTCATCCGGAAGCATTCCGTCATTTGGCTATTCCATGTCAGCATGTGCATGTGTCCACTGCCACAACCACCAATCGTGTGCCTCCAGAGGCTGTTGCTGCCTTTTATGATGCTGTGGGGACTGCCATTCTCGGGTTCTTGCGGTTCCCGCCCCTCGCTCCCGGCCCCACTCCCTTGCATTTGGCACAGGTGGCTGCCGGCTTGCAGCCCCGACGTTCGCACCTTTGCCTGGTGCCTGAGTTTAAGTGCATTGCCAATGTTCGCCTCCCGGAGCTGCCCCCTCTTCAGGACGGCAAACTGAAGCACGAGCTGGTCGTGGGTGACGTGTGCGTGCCTGCAGGATCCAAGCACTTACTCCCTGGTTCTCAACGGGGGAAGGATGGCCAAGGAGCAAGTGCAGCAGTGGGGGGATCCGATTCTCCCTTCTGTGGACCTTCCCTTCCTCACCCTAAGTTAACTACGGCCTCGACGTCTGCGGCCCACTCCTTTTCCCCTAAGCTCTCTAAGCTGCCCATGGTCACGAGTTCTGAGACCGGGCGCCCTAACCCACAGAAGGTGAGTGCTGCATCGTGTGTGGACACAAATCAGGATGTTTTCTCGCATGAAGCTGAGCTGGCTGCCAGCCGTTTGGGCGATGTGCCCACACGGGAGGAGCTCTTGAGCATATTTGCTTTGCATGATGCTGACCCTTCTAAACGCATGGCCGGGATTCGCGCGAGCGAAAAATCTTGGTCATCAGGTGCTTATGCCATGGGAGGCTGTGTCGGCGTCCGAAAGAATGCTTCCATGTTCCCTGTGTTCACCCGAGCACTGGTCCGGTTCCTCAGGCATCGGATCCCCGATGCCAGGTTTTCATGCGTTGCTATCTTTTGCGATATGTTACAGGGCATGCACAAAGATATGTGCAATCAAGAGGGTACACTCAACTATGGGGTTGCACTTTCGGACTTTTCGGAAGGGTTTGTGTGGGCTCACGACCCGGCGGGCAAAGTTCACAAGCACACGCCATCAGGTAAGCTGCCGGGGGTGTTGCACGACATTGCAAAAGCCCCGGTGCGCTTTGATGCGAGAAAGTTTCATTGCGTCATGCCGTGGCATGGACAAAGAGTAGTGGTGATTGGCTACACACCGCAAAGAGGTTGTGCCCTCAGTGCCAAAGAGGTTCGTTATCTGCTTAGCTTAGGCTTTCCGTTGCCGTGGGTCGACACGCCGTCTCCTACTGTGCCTCCAGTCCACGATGCACCTGTCGAGCAACGCTTGGAAAATGTCGCCGACTCTGGTCCCGTGCACTCTAAGCTACCTTGTGCTTCTGCGGCTGCATGCGATACCCACTTGTACACCTTCGGTGTTTACCACTCTGAAGCCGAGTTCGTCCGCAAGGCCGTGCAGGTGGGGCATCCGAGGAGCCTCTATGGTAGCTTGCCCCAAGCCATGGAGGAGTGTATCGATGCGTTGCTTGTCATGCCTGAGGCTTCAGTTGTCACTAAGCGTGCGGCATGGCTTGCGCATTGGACGGCTCGTGCCAAGGCCATCCAGGAGAACCCCGATCCTGATTGGCACATCCAAGATCCTGCAATGCGCGCTATCCTTGGACGAAAGAGGCTGCAGCTGCTTGATGAGATCCTTTTATCGGAGGGTTACGGCGATTGCACACTAGCTAGGGACATGCACCATGGTTTTGACTTAGTGGGAGTGGCGCCGCCTTCTGGTGTGCTGCCTGGCAAGGTCACCCCTGCTTCTCTTGAGCCTGAGGCCCTTAGTGCCAATGCGTGTCGTGCCAATGATGCCTTGCGTGCAAGTTTGCGTTCTTGTGGCGATCTGGAGCTCGATGAGAAGCTTTGGGAGAAGACCCTGCTGGAGGTCGAACAAGGGTGGTTGCAGGGACCGCTCGAGTGGTCTGACTTAGGCCCGGGGGAGATAGCATCACCCCGCTTTCCTTTGTTGCAGAATGGCAAAGTGCGCCCGATCGACGACTACTCTCGATCTGGTGTCAATAGTTGCGTAACCACACTTGAGCAGCCAACCGTGGACACTGCCGACGTGGCAGCCGCCATGTTCAGCAAACTCTCGAACGGCTTGTTGCGCAAGGGGAGGTCTGGTGCTCTCCTAGGTAGGTCTTACGACTTGACATCCGCATATCGACAGCTATGTGTGTCGAGGGAGTCGTCACGCTTTGCCATAGTGGCAGTGTTCTGCCCAAAGGATGGGAAATCATACCTATTTCGCCAGCCTTGCCTACCATTTGGGTCGCGTGCATCAGTCAATGGTTTCATTAGGTGCTCGAGGTGCATCCAGTGGATCGCACTCCGGTGCTTGCTTGTGCCGCTGACGTCCTATTACGACGACTTCATATCTGCGTCAACATGCACTCTTGCTGCCAACACCGACACGACCATGGCGATGCTGTTTCGCCTATTGGGCTGGCAGTATGATGAGGTCGGTCCAAAGGCTGACGTTTTTAGTGACCGGGTTGAAGCCCTCGGAGTGGCCTTTGATCTTTCCGAGACATGTTCCGGTGTGGTCATCGTGGACAATACCCTCAGAAGGAAAGATGCTCTAGACAGCCTAGTTAGCGAAGCACTTGCAAGGGGGACCCTCAATCATTCTCAATCGCTCGAGATGCGCGGCAAGCTGGCCTTCGCTGATGCACAGGTCCTCGGTCACTCGGGGAAATTTGCTCTGAAGTTGCTGTCTGCGCATACCCATGCGATTCCTTTCAAGACGCGCATTGCTGATGACTTGAGCCGCGCTCTGAAGTACTTGAGACAAAGAATCGTTGAGGGCTCTCCCCGGCGTGTGTTACCAACTGCCAAGGACACGTGGTTCCTTTTTACCGATGCATGTTTCCACGACGCTGGTGATGGTGGTTTAGGCGGGGTGCTGGTGTCTTCCCTAGGTTCGGTGAAGTCGTGGTATTGCCTTCCTTTGTCAGCCGATGACATCCAGCCGCTCATTTCCCACACAGCCCGCACCGGGATTGGCGAACTCGAGACAATGGCGACCTTACTTGGCATCCAGCTATGGAGGGGCCATCTACGGAGCACCAACGTGGTAGCTTTCAATGACAACGAAGGTGCCAAGTTCGCCTTGGTCAAGGGTTACTCCAAATCCATGTCAGTCACCAGGATTTGCCACGTGTGTGCGACTGTTTGTGAGACCGACATGATCATGCCTTGGTTCTGTCGTGTTCCCTCAGCATCCAACATTGCCGATCCGCCTTCACGCAGTATGTCCTGCGATGCCTTACCCGAAACCTTCAAGCTGCCCTGCGATCAGGTGCGGCGCGCGTACCTTAGCTTGAGGGGTCGAGTCTGCAGTATGCTCTCGTAGCCTGGATGGGGGTGTAGGTGGCAACTCGAGCGACTGCGCTCTCTGGCAGCAGAGATTTTGGGAGTGCCCACTTTCTCTTGCTATATGCAAGCACTCTTCACCGTGCCACGCCCCCGTCTGTGTAAAAAGAGAAGGGTTGTCCGAGTGATTGCATGCTTTCATTTCATGTTCTTGTCTCTCACTCTTTTGCTGGGGGATGTGATGTTTTATCTTATTGCTTCCGTGTTTTTAGTTGATCGACAACTTGGCGATCTAAACTCTGGTGTGCCTTCCCAAGTATACCGAAAATAAGAGCGCCTTCTCGCAAGCGAGACAGCACCTTATTTTCATTTTATACTTTTGCAATTCATGGGTGCATGAATTTTCATGAACATGATTGATTTGTTCACCATGTGAATTTTGATCTCTCCGTCGCAGTGTGGCTGTGTGCAGCTCAGAGGATCAAAATTTTGTCCCGCCCGCCCTCCCTGATTGGGGGTGTAGGTGGCAACTCGAGCGACTGCGCTCTCTGGCAGCAGAGATTTTGGGAGTGCCCACTTTCTCTTGCTATATGCAAGCACTCTTCACCGTGCCACGCCCCCGTCTGTGTAAAAAGAGAAGGGTTGTCCGAGTGATTGCATGCTTTCATTTCATGTTCTTGTCTCTCACTCTTTTGCTGGGGGATGTGATGTTTTATCTTATTGCTTCCGTGTTTTTAGTTGATCGACAACTTGGCGATCTAAACTCTGGTGTGCCTTCCCAAGTATACCGAAAATAAGGGAACTTTGGCCGGGCTTCAATAATAGAACCGCAAGTTGTGTCGGCTGTTGCTCGGGGCTGCTCCACTGGCTGACCACCATGGGGTGCCCTGGGCTGGTCTTGCATCCGTTGTTCTTGCTAACAAGTCCCTACTGGCTGACCACCATGGGGCGCGTGCTGGCCTTGCCTCTCCTCTGGGAAAGTTGGCCAATTTGTACCTTCCCTTTCGCTACTGTGTGCCTGGTACCTGACCGTGTCGGTCGGTAACTCTGCTGTCCTTCTTCGATTTACAGCTTTCCGTGCTGACCTTCGTTGCACCAGTGGCTTCATGATGGTGATTTTGATGATTTGGCAAACCCTCGCATTTTGCGACCCTCCCGCATGCTCTGCGCTGCTCGATTACACCTGGAGATCTGCGACGACCTCGAGTACTGAGCGCGGGGGACACATAGACGTTTGGCGCTTTGGTTTTGGCGGGTTGCTGCGGGTTTTGGTGGTTGTGTTTTGTGGTGGTTTTGGTGTGTGTTTGCTTTGGTTTTCGCACCTGCTCTGTTTCACCTCTAGTGTTGAGACCCACAAGAACGGCCTACTGCGCTGCTGATGTAGTAAAGAGGCGTCGGTTCAAAAAAAAAATGGTCAAGCCAGCGAAAGTTGATGCTAGACAAGACAACATGTGGGATTCAGAGCAGATTTTTGCCTAAAATTCTGAACAAGACTCTGGCCAGAAGGCAGACAGACTGGAAAGTGAGAAACGCCTGATATTCGAAGTGGAGCGGTGCGTCTTCTTGGATCCTTCCTGGAGCATGAAGGGACCATGCTTTGCATTGGGCTAGTATTTTCGTCTTCCACTTTATGTCTTGCAAACCGTGGCAAAAAGGACATTTGTCTTCAGAAGCTCCGCTTTCTGAGCTAGCAGCACAACATCTGGAAGTCTATTTTTATTGGACCGACGTTTGGTACGATCTGCTGTCGACGGCTGTTCGGAGAAATCGACGAGCGGCGCACAACTTGCAATCCAAAACTTCCCTGAATATAAGGCTACAAGAAAATGTGTCATTCCCTTCCATCTCTGAAATGTTAGCGGGGGTTTTCTTGTAAACCCAATACGCGCATGTAAAATGGGTCTTTCGCATGGAGGCCATCGCTGTGAGAGACGAAGCTCTTCGCCTAACGTCGAAAGCAAGTTCGTACAAGCGACCGCTTGACCTCCTCTGAGACCCTTTGAAATTTCTGAGAACTTCCGACACCCCTCTGACCACCTGGAAGGGTTACAGTTCTCTAAGAGCGGAGGCTTGGCCGGGAAACGTTCCCATCAGCACATCCCTCCAGCTGCGAACTGATTGCTGTGAAGGCGTCGGTGTGTTGTTGGATTTTAAACTCAAATCTTCTCCTCGCCCGGAGCTCTTCTTCTCACCCGGAACTCTTCTCCGCGCCCGGTCTCCTCCTCGCTCATCAGAGTTTCCCAGTATTGTCCAACCCCAGCGTGTTTCCGGCCAACTGGATTTTTGTAGGTTGCGCAAACTTGCTTGATGTGCCCCCCGAAGTCAAAGGCTTTGGGACTAGAGGCTGGCTATTGAGAAGTGGAGTTTTGGTTTAGAGGCACATTCTTGTGGGATTGAGGGCTTACCGGGGTCAAAGGCTTGAACTGTTTCGGAGGCGATGTTTTGAAAGTGCTTGGCAGGCTGGCCTACAAACCCGAAACCCTAACTTGGCCCCGCAGGCTCGGGCTCGGGCTCCGGGCTTCCAGCGTTGCGGGCTCCCCCCACACAAGAAAAACAACCTTAGTGGGCACCTTGATTGCCTCGTGTGGTTGAAAATACAGCAAGGACCTTCGACGTGTCGGTCTGGGCGTTTAAGTAGGCTTTAGACAATTGATTTTGCAGCGCACAGCATCTCGCATTCTGATGGATTCATCCCGGCGTATACTTTTCGTGAGATTCCATGCCCTGTTCTAGTGTTGGAAGTTGCAACAACATGCGTCAGTCTTCCAGTGCAGATTTTGTAGTACTCCGAGAGCACGCGGAACCATATTGTTGTTGATAGGGGGTTACAGTCCTTTGTCAGCACCAAGGCGGCTTCATATTCTGAAGCTAGATAGCCCATCCAAAGGACTATGGAGGGCGGTGTCGTAGATCGGGGGCTCAGCTGAATGAACGAGCATCAAACACCATGCATGTCTCGGCACCTCTGCAATGTTGCTCCCGCTTGTGCCGACTAGATTTGGACCACTTAATGCTTCATGGGTTTTGGTTGCTCATGCTGTAGATCATTCCATGTCACTTCCAACAAGTTATTTCCAAGACGACCACAAATACATGTTAGTTAATCATGCCGGCTGCCTCAGATGACGGTCATGACGTTGAGGACGAACAAGCTGCATTGATGCAACGTCAATATTCAGGCTGATACAATGAAGGTGTGCAAAAGCTTGCATGGCAGGAGCAGCAAGATGAATCAGAGAATCCCGAGCTCATGACGGGTCTTGCAAACGTTTTAAAGGAGGCGTTGCGGTGTTCATGAATCAATTAAATTAAACAGCCGGTTGGTTGCTCCCACACGTTGTTGTTGTTGTCGCAACGTTGAGGCATCAGCAGCACTGGCCCGTTTGGGAGGATCAAAGGTCGGGAGCCTTCTTGGAGATGATGCATGGGTTCATTCCGAACAAAATAAAATGCCTGAGGCATCTTCTCACGGAAGAACTAGCAGCGACGCCAAGGCAGCAATGGGACCCTGCTTGTTGCTCCTGACGTACTAGCTTTTGTTCGAACATATGTCGTTCCAAAGTGTCTTCCAGTTTGAGGCAATCTTCCAGGAATCGATTTGGAGATAAATTCAATGTACACATGATTCATATACAGAGTTGACGAAAACACAATGTGAATTTGTGTCGGACACCCAATTTCAAGAAGTGACAGGTTCATATGCTTGTGGGTCCAGCGAATAAGTGCGACAGACATGTGCCTACAACATGTGAGGTCAACATCAAAGAAGCAGCCTCTGCGTTGGCACAGGCAGCTGGCACCAGACTTGATTGAAACCTTGCGCTTCAGCACTTTGTTTCTTGCGATGCGCTCATGCCAATGCAGCTGCTGGTTTTTGCTGTTCGCCGTAGAAGACACCAGGTGGCGTCCGCACTCCATCAAGATGCAGGCTATTTTCTGCAGTCCTTTTGAGTGGATGTTACTTTTCATGAGGATTCAGTTGTCCTTGCAAGAAGTGTCAGAAGCTTTGTAGACTATGCTATGGCCCCAAGCACAGATTGGGACAATGCCTTGCTTCCTGATTTCTCAAGAGATCCTCGGAGCTGCGCAGGCTCGTCTTCAAGATTGGGTGCAAGCACTTCCAAAGGGCTTACGCTGAGTGACAAGCTGTCGGCGATGGTCTCGGATTTCTGTAGGGATGTTTCAGTTTTTCTTTCTTTCAATTGCGTTTTATTTGCATAAGTACATTCATCTCAACCCGGAACCGATGGGCATGGATATATGCCTCATGCAGTTCAACAAATCCACAGTCATCTGCCATTAGATTATCTCTGCTACGTGTTTCTAGGCCCCACTGCGGCAGTTTCACGTTGGCAGAGAACAGCTGTGGTATCAGGCAATCGCGAGAGGAGGCCGACGCGATCGCAGCCAATCTCGTTCGCGCAGTCTCGACCTGAGAAGGCATTGACACCACTTTGAATGGAGTCATGTCAATCGAGAACTTGCACTTAGAACTTCAGGAAGCTGTCATAGAGGGTCACAGAAGGAAAGTTTCGAATTTGATCAAGGCCATCGGTCGCAGAACGCCAAGGCTTGAATGCCCCAGCGTTGTGTACTGAGGGTGCAAGTTCAGTAAAATTGCTAAATTGCTCGAAGAAGGCCGATGAAGAGGACGTTCGGGAGTTCGTGACCGAACATGGCCTAGACGAGTGGATGGTTGAGGCGACAAGTGCAGAGTTCAAGATGTTTGACATGGGCGTTGTGTATCGTTGTGTGGTGGCTTCTGGCAAGGTGCTCATGATGCTGTCGCCCTCGAAGCGTCATCGCCTTTGACTTGATATCATTGTTGAAGCCATGCTTGATGCCATGCTTGGCAGCAGCTTCAGATAGCTTGTAGGATCTGCCGTTCTGCACCCGCCTCTGAACGTGGAGCGGGCTCGCAATCCGAATGGTGCTCGCCTCGGTGGACATATAGGGATCTTTGTTTACCGGATGCGCAAGTTCTTTATCAACAGCATTGCTCATGGCACTGTGCAGGTGTGGTCATGAGCAGGGTGAAGCAAGTGGCATCTGTGGATCAAAGAATCCAGATGTTCGTCAAGGCTGACGTTCAAGTAACCGCTGCGGATTTTGTTGTGCTCAAGTCTCTCAACCGGCAGCATGGCACCTTTGGTGGCAGGTGAATGATCTTGGCGAAGGTGTTGTAGATCGGCTGTCAAGCCTGACCTCTGATCAGTGTGAGGCAAGCGGGACATAACCTATCTCGCACTTAGGGAGCACATGCCGAGCAATTCTGCAAGGATCAGGCATTGAACATGTCGAGCAAAGTCTGCGCTCTTGGGGTTTGCAGGTTGACCAACTGCTTGTTAGCCAGCTGCAACACTGAATCCTTGGTGATGCTTTGGTTGGTCGGACCAACACATGCAAGTTGTGCGTGTGCATCGCAAACGATGGCCAGCAGATATACAGTTTGTTCAGATGGGAAGACGTTCTCAATGCAGGCTGTCATGGAGTCAGGGTTAAAAATCCAAAGAGCGTCGAACCCCTCTGGGGTTGCTATGAGTCGTCCAGTCCTGAGCTTCTTGTTGAGGTCCTGCCATTTTGGGTAGCACTTGCTGAAACGCGTCTCTGGTTTCAGGCATATCCGAAGTCCTGCGGACTGTAAGCGGCCGCGGTGGCAGGCTGCGTGCCTCCCGCCGAGTCTGTCTATTCTGTCTATGAGTGTCGGAAGTGCCAGGCCCATTACGCTGCATCCACGACCTGATTCCGGTGGATCACGCGAGCGATCCCGGCATCGACGTGGCCGCAGCAGGCCCATCGTGTATCCACATGACGGTTTTTCATTTTTCTGAATATCAAGCAGAGCTGTGAAGCCCGCAGCCGATTCGGTTTAGGAGCCGCGTTCGCCATCGTCGGGAGGAGGCAATGCCTGTTTCCACAGCCCAGTGAAAAGCGCTTGGAAATGAACAAGAAAGCCTTGTTCTGGTTATCGACTTCGAAATCTTGAACTTGCAGGAGTCAATGCCGTCGGTGCCTCAAGACGTGCGCCGCCTCATGGAGGCCACAGAAAATCACGGAGAATCACGGAGAATCACGGAGAGTAGAACGAAGATTTTCAGCTCAAGCTCCGCCTTTCGGGCTCTCCATGTATCTATGGCATCTATGGCTTTCTTTTCTCGGAAGGAGCTGGGCCTGGAAAGCTGGTGCGGAGAGGTGCTAAGGTCCCGCACCGGTTGAACGTCCCGTCATTCTCGCAAGTCATTCTTTCTTCGCGTCTTCTCTCGTTTCGGCTTCGGTATTTGTGGCTTCCTTTTCGGCACCTAGTTACAACTACGCCTGCAGCAGGTTCTTCAGTCTTGTTCAAGATTTTGCAGTTGCATAGTTGCTTCCCAGGTGCTCTTCACAGCCAGCTTCGCAGCATACACGCACACACTTGCACAAGAACACTTCTTGCCAATCTGCAGCAGCGGACTTGCAGAACCGTTGAGAGGTCGGAGGAGACGGCTGTGGAGACCGTTTGAATACAGCTGAAGCACACGCCAGCATGTCAATGTGCAGCCAAAGCCAAATGCAGTGCGGCAGCTTATCCTGGATCGCAGAAGCATGGGCGAAGCATGGACACACGAAAGGCGGCTCAGTCTCTGGCAGCGCCAAACAGTTGTGCGGGAACTCGGGTCACGGGCTTATGCTACCTTTTGCTTGACACTTTGCAGCTGCGGCAAGACAGCACTGAAGCTGAGGAACATGCGCGGAGTCCGGAATCCCTCAGGGGTGGTGATGAGCAGGGTCGGCGCCTCAACCGACTGAAAACGAAGCCTTGGTTCCTTTTTTCTGCTCTTCGAGTCTGCGATTCGATGCGAGATCAAAAGCGTGGCGACAGCTGACGAGCTTGTGGCCATCTTTGTGGACCTGAACGGGTTGGACAGAGCTGTGGAGGTCTTCGGCTTGCCTGCTCTATTCCTCCTTTATTCCTTTCTCGTCTTTACGCGCGCAAATCGGCATCTGAGGTCTTGAAGTGCCATTTTTTTGTTGCTTCTTCTTCTTCTTCTCAACTTCTGGTGCTTGAAGTTTACTTCACCAGGCCAAGCTCTGGGAGCTCAGCCCCGAGCAGCGAGCAGAGGTGCTGGCTCCAGGCATCTACGTTTCCCAGCATGCATTTAGCCATTTACGACATTCGCGTCCGACCTTTTCTGGTTGTTCTCTTCAGAAGTAGCTTCCCCAAAGCCGAGAACTCGATGGCAATGTTGTGCGGGAGTTTTTGACGGAGTTTTCCTGGTGGAGCTTCTGAGGTGCAGAACGTTCGAAACACCTCCACCGCAGTGCGGAGTCGTCACTCTGACATGTTGTGTGAGGAAAGCTATCGAAGAAAAATCGCTTGCTGAATACGGTATCCACGTTAATATGCCTTGGTCGGCCTGTTCGCATGTGTGTGTGTGTGTGTGTTCCTCAGGCATTGCCAACGTTTTGGAGGGGCGAAGTGCCATGACGCGACAGACTGGGCAAAGGAGCCTGCTTGGGTTTCATGCAGTAGATTTCACAAGTAAAGACAGGCTGCAGAAAGGCTAAGAACACAATGGAGAACACCTTGCTGGATTCAGGCAGGATGATGCTGGAAGAGGAACGGCTGGCGTTCATTTCGGGCTTGGGGCTGTGGTTGGTTGTCGAGGGCTGTGTTGTGCATGTGTTCGCTCCTCGTATTTTCACGGGCAATGTTATCAAGTACCGGATCGCCTCCATTGCCATGAAGGTAGCAATGCAGCAACAAGCTTTGAACGGCAACAACAAAACGAATGGAGCTACACAGTCAATTTTAAGTCTTTCTGTCGGCTTCCTTGCGGACTCGTGCGCAGCTGCTTACGAACACTGCAGCTTCTAGGCCCTTCCTCTCTCCCGATAGCACTGTGAAGTTTCTGTTTCTGCCACAGCTTGTTGTCGAGCGCACTTGAGCCCGGAGGCTCATCAGGTTCAGTGCTCGTGCGAGCTGGACATGTGCCAGAGAAGCTTTACTTTGTGGTACGCACTGAATAGAAGAGTAAGTACTTATTTCGTTGGCAGCGTGAGATTCAGCGAGCTTTCGTGCTTTTGTGTCCACATGGATTGGGGCCTCGTCAGAAATAGGCCATGGACCCGAAGCCAGCCGTCGAGAAGAATCAGCATAGTAAGCCTCGGTTTTTCAGTTGTCCTGTTCCACACGGGCGAAAAGCATGGGGGCAAGAACAAAGAAGTGGTGTTTCGAGGGTCTGATCCCAAGAGAAGCCGGGAGATTCTGAACCGAAGACGAATTTCGCCGCGGGCTTTGGGCGTTCTGGGATCGGACTCTCCAGGTGCCGGTCGCCATTGCAGATTCTGGGCTCCCTAACGCTTCCCCGTGACATCCCGTGACCCATCGCTTCCACGTAGCAGGGGCCGTCAGCCATGTTTCGAATCGGGGTGAGGCAAAGCTCATTTATGGGTCTTTCCCAAATCGGGGTAGCCGTTATGTATCCCCAAAATACCAGAAATAATACCTTGCTGGAAATCCAAGTTGCTTGCCGCGTGCCAGGGCGGCCCGACAGGCCAGGCTGCCACATGCCCGTGTTTTTGTTGTGCTCAAAGCCAAAGAGTTCGATTGAGGCACCACAAAGAATGGGGCGAAAGTGGTGGTCGAAAGCACAGGCTTGCAACATGTACCAGATTGCGAGCTTTCTCATCTGAATGCCGTTCAAGCCGTCTCAAGCTTTTACATGAACACTCCTTGGTACGGCTGTGCATCTTCTCTCATGCTTCACGTGGGACAACTTTGCTACGGTTGTTTGCTTGTGTCCATGTTCCGCCCCTCTTTAACAACATGTTCTAGGGTTCCAAGCCTGCATGTTCTCACAAGCTCTTCGGTGGGACACGTCTGAGTCTGGTACTTGACGGTGTGTTTTTCTTCATGTCCGTGTGTTTTCCCATGGCTTTTACTGCACATTTCAGCTTTTACCTTGTTGTTTTGGTCCTCGTGGTTTTTGGTATTGTTGAAAAATCATGCAGTTTTCCAAGATGTTTTGCCGATATTGAGGCTTCCGGAAATTGAATGATTGTTGGTGATGGCGCTTTCGTTGTTTGCACCCCTTTGTTTCCTGCAGGGGTTGGGGTGGAAAAAGACAGGCATCTACAGCTCAGAAAGGGGGTGCTTTGCAGTCGCGTTCTTGGGAGTACTCTGTGCCGGGCAGGATCCGGCACATGGAACGAAACAGGTCTGTCTGAATGGCTGCAGTCCACTAACAACATCCCCATTGTGACTGCAGCATCTGGTTCCCTCATCTTTCTTGAGTGATCGATTTGTGGCTGCACGACGCGCCCATATGTGTTGTTCTTGAAGTTCAAACGTGATGGAGTCGCCTGCAGAAGTATGCATGCCATAGCGTCGGCCAGAGACGGCAGAGGCATCGTGCCTGAACGGCTGCTATTTGACAAGAACCGTGCTGAAGACTGCTGTAAATACATGTGCTTGCGAAACGTGCCATCCGATGGTGCATTGAGTGCTCATGATGCAGCATTTTACTTCCCGAGCGGCTGCTCACGCAGCAATAAATGTAATAACTGCAGGATTCCCATTAAATGAACAGATTATTACTAATGCCCCCATTGCTATGAATGTACGAATTAAGAAAACTAAAGCACAAATGAGGCAGCCAATGAGCCGTTATAATTTACGTGTTCACTTTCCTACATTCGTTCAACCATTTACTACGTATGTTCTCTCTTTTCATTAGTTCGTACGTTATTATCTTATCTCTAAATGAATACACTTCGAAAGTTTAGAATAATATTTTATAAGGTAACAAGAGAGCGTAAGAAGTATATTATAATGGCGTGTTAATTTAAAACACTGCCAGTAAAATTATGCCATTTATCTTTCACTTCTTCTAATATGACTTTTATATCCTTTATAGTTGGTGCTTTTATTTCATCAGATTTACTACTTTTATATCGTCTAATTGTATGAACAGAATGAGTGAAGCGAATGACGTGACAGTAAATTATAATTTGCTTCTCCTTGTGCTTTGTTCTCTTCTTACATCCTGCGTCTGGGGCTTATTGAAAGGGCCATGATTAGTATTATTATTGTTGGCCCTTTAAGTGAACGAATCATCCAAAAACTCGTGTTCTCCTTCCCAAGTGAACAATGAATAGGATGAAAATACCATACAATATAAAATTGGTCCTCAAGGGACGGTTTCTGCGCTCTCTTTTCCCTTAATAACAAAACCATAATGAATACTGCGGGCATATTAATAAAGTGAAAGGCCCGCGCCTACAAGATAAATACATGGTAAACGCACGAAGTAAGTGAGCGATTCCAATGAACAATAAAGACGAGTTTTGTGGCAATAATATTCTCTTCTCCTCCCGTAAACTATTTTTGGAACGAAGACATACGAATGTAATGCAAGTGAAAGCAATAAGATTCGAACACTATGAAAATCATAGCTTCGTGTCTCACTTTCTAATTTCATTTAAAGGGGCTTTTTCTTCCCCTTTGTTCGTATGTTATTCACGTACCAATAATCCGTTATAAGAGTAGTATGCGTGTTCTCTTCACTCAATAGTACACTTTGTTCACCTTCATTCAATAGGATTTACCAAGAGCTCTCGTAATAATGCTAATAGAGGCGAATGAAAAGAGCCGCATGAACAGTTCTCTTCATTCTGGATTAATTAATAGCGGCCCCCATTGCAAGATTCACGCATTTATTGCGCACATTCCATTCCTTTATTCACTCTGTTCACGGGACCCCCAGGCCTCGGGAGATAAGCAGTAAAACGAACAAAGCAAAACAACAGAAGACCGTAAGATGTCAAAAACATATAGAGAGAACAAACCAAAGGAAATACAAGATGTGATCGTAAGAAGGGTGTTGGTTTCGAATTTTTGAGGTCTTAATCCCGAATGATATGTGTTTATAAGAAGTTTAGCGAGTTGTATTGTCATGTTGATACACTGGTTTTGGTAATGTCAAAAGTTATTGCCCGAAGAGGCAGGGATCGGTAAGGACTGGCTAAGAAGTCAAATCCTGAAGCAGCGTAATGACTAACAGAGTTTGGTTGTTTTGACGAGTAAAGATTCTGGAAATATGGGGCGACGATGAAAGCAGTTCAAATCTAAGAAACTACAAGTCATTGTATAGGCCAGGGCATGACAGATAAGATAACAGCAGTCAATGCGAATGTAGTGGAGCGTGTTGAAGAAGGTGACAAATGACAGGTTGCAAATACATATGGACTATGGACATGAAAACCAGCCAGTTCTCGATAGGTATAGGTATGGTGCTCTAACTTAGGGTCTCTTGTTGTGCCCCTTTACAGCACGGCACCTTATAAACAGGACCTCTAGATCCTTATTTAGAGAACTACCTGTATGATACATGGCCATGTAGCACCACGGGACGAGCTCCAACTGGGGGTCACAAAGAAGCGAGTAACATTGAAGTCAAGGCAAAAGCGACGTCACGGCACAAAAAAAAAAGGTAGCCGGCCCGAGCGTGCTTGCAGTGCCCAAAGATGATCGTTGGAGTGCCAATGGAGTGCCGTTGACATCCCGGAGTTATCATCGGCTTGCAGCTCGAAGCAAACATTGAATGCGATCTTCTTTGTGAAGTTTAGCTATGTACGATTTGCAAATCGATTTGATGTTAAAGCCCTAAAGCTTTGACCGACAGCATGGCAGATTTTTTGAGCGCAAAAGGTGCCTTGCTGATGTCTTAAAAGCGTTGCCCAAAGACCAGAGACGATCAATGCAGGGTAGGCCATATCCGTGTCACCAGGATGAGTGCCTTTTCAGGTCGCAACAAGCAAGGTCGGGCTCAGAAACTTCGTGGCAGCCTCAGGTAACACCCAAGCACTTCCATCGATGAGTTCCTGTCCCAAAAACCGAAGTACCAAGAGGTGAGGCTGCAGAGATGCAGTTGGGAAAAGGGGCTGTCATAAAGGCTACCTTCGACAACAGCTGGTTTCTCATAAGGTCCGATCGGCGGCGACGACGATAGCCCAATTTCGTCATCCGCTGAGCGCTTGCTCCATGCCGTTTCGCAAGATCGACCAGAGGCGCAAAAGGATTCAGAAGGGGCCTAGGCATCATGATCGGAAGGCAATGAAAGGACAAGCTGCGCACACTTGTTCTTGATTGGCTCGGGGGAATTTTCGCGTAGTGAGTTCTTGAGATGAAGTAGGAATCATATTGTTGTTGTTCATGAGTGTATGTATGACTCTTGAAGAAATTAGGTGAACGTATGTGTCCCTTTCATGGCCCAACACAGCTCTCCAATGGAAGAGTCGCCCTGACTTCTGGGTCCATGAGGCTTCGAGACTCATGGAATTCCACAAAAACGGCCCGCTCGCTGGGTTTCCAGGGCTGTGTGGGGTCCGTGCTGTGGCAGGTGTATAGGGTTTGGGGTACAGGGTTGAGGTTGAAGGCCTTTTTTTGGTGAACGTTTGCTATCAGACTTCGACCGGCCCGGCCGCAAAGCGAGACGCGTCCCTTGCTTGGGACAACCCCAAGTCGCAGCCCATGCTGTCTCATAAGCCTCCGGGATGGTAGAGGGCTTTCTGTAGCCCTAGCTTGCAGACGACCCTTAGATTCACCATGCTGCTTACGAGGGGGCTGACCTACCATCTCAGCACTTTGTTTTGCGGACTAAGCCCTGAATCCCAAGCGATTGGGCACTGTCTTCAGAGGCAACATGCCGATCACGGCTTTGATGGCTCCAGTGACCTTTGGACACCCGACTCTTTCCGTGACCGAGAACTCCGCGAGCCATGCCCGTTTCCGGTGCCGGTGTCTTGGTCGTTTCCTTGGTCCAGCTTGCCTGGGCGCAGTATGAGATCCCCCAAGCGGCGATGGTGCCAAAGGGCTACGTCACCCCCGGCTGCTTCCAGGACAACTTGGAGGACAACCAGGTGTACTACCAACGCCTCAAAGACATGTTCAATCCGCATCAGACAAACACGTACTGCGGCGGCAACCTTTCCTTGAACGTGAACCATCCCTGCAAGTGGTGCGGCGGCCAGGCGCAAATGACCGTCGGACCAGTAATCAACCAGTGCCAGTGGAGCATGCGTGCTTTCCACTGGCATGACAGTTCCAACGAATGGGGCTCCTTGACTCAAGGAGTCATGCAGGTGTACCTTGCCTCACCCAACAGCTTGCCTTGGAAGGTGAGCGTGAACACCATTGGAGCTGGCGGCGTTTGGTTCTTCCCAATGGGATGGCCCCACGCGTTCCTGTGTGTCTCCGAAGAAGGTTGCAACTACGTCTTGACCTTCGACGGTCCGCAGGCCGTTGCAGTGAACGACCACATGTTGGCCCAGAGCTATTCCTCCTTGCCTTCCAAGATTGCGTCCTTTGTTCAAGGTATGACGGAGGAAGAGTGGGCTACAGCCAAGCCGAAGGTGGACAGCGTGGTGCCGGACTTCTATGTGAATGTGAACCCCGAGGAGTTCAAGTGGCTTGAGGAAGAGCTCGCTCTTCCGGCTGCGGTGAACGGTTCGGATGTCGAGGTCAAGGACAACCGTCCCAACCTGGGCGTGAACGTCGAGGTTTGGAACATCCGAACCGCGCAGTTCCCTTTTGCCACGCAGATGTCGCAGCAGCGCATCAAGCTCGGGTCCTGTGGCTTCCGGAGCCCGGTGTGGATCACCAACGCCAACGCGCTCATGACGGTGGTGAGCGGCAAAGTCAACGCCTTCGTTCAGGGCGGAATCAGCGGAGGCTTTGACATCGCAATCTCCGGGACGACCTACAATGGCACCAACCTCGAGGCCAACGACGCCTTCTACTTCCCCATCCGCCGCAACTACTGGATTGAGGAGGGGCAAGTCTCAAGCGCTCCCCGAACCCCCTCCAGCGTTCCTGTATGGTTTATAGGGTTCATATGGTTCATAGGGTTCATAGGGTTTATTATGGGGTTTAGGGAACGAGACGGACGCCCGCTCTGACGCCCATGCAGGAAGCCACTTGCGAGGAGGGCGCCGAGGCCGAGGTGATCGTGATCTTCGACGTCGGCGATTGGGTCGGCTTTGAGATGGCCGACGGCTTCGGCTGCCGCAACACCAACGGCGGGAGGGGGGAAGGGGCGGGGGGGTGGGGGTGTGGGGTTGGGGACGGGTTCGGTGCAGAAGCACTTTCTTTTGTTCGTCGAAGAAGAATCGTGCCAATTAGCCTGTGTACTGGAGTCAGGGCTCATCGTCAAGGGCGGCAAGGGCCTGGACTTTGCGCACGAAGCCGTGCCTCGGGCCTAATAGCTCGTGCAGGGGTTGTCAAGGGTTGGGGCTGAGGGTTGCAGAAGGTGCACGTGGTTCGCGCCAGGCCTTGGGCGGCATCCAGTGCCCGGAGACGGTTCCCAACGAGCCGCAGCTCCGCCAGAAGGAGCAGAAGGGACAGCTGCGCCGCCACCGCCAGGACGACGCCATGTCTTTCCTGCAGCAGCCCGGGAGCGGGGACACGGAGGAGAAGGTGGAGCTGTGAGCTGCAACCTCGCAAATTGGTCGCAGCCGAAGTGGAGCCAGACGAGCCCACATTCTTGGCAGATATTCAGCGTTTCAGAGCGTTTCAGATTGTTTCAGACAGTTTCAGACGTCTTCCGACAGCGCCCCCCCCGTTTTGTAGCATCGTTCCCCGGCAGGGTGAGCTCAAGCTCCAGCGCGCTTTCCGCAGCGACAACCCTGACTCTCGCTCATGTGCATACGTCTTATCGTGCATGGGAGCGACTCGAACAGGAGCTGTGGAGATCAAAAAGGGCCCATGGCTACGGCCACATCACTGCCAAGATGGTATAGAGGTTGCCCTGTGAATATAGCCGTGTATGGTTCCAGGGGCTCACATCGACATATTCAGCACTGGGCTGTGAGAAATCTACCCGCTCAGGGCCCACGCTGGCTCAAGTAGGGCAAGGTAGATAGAGGCCAAGGCGCGGTCCGTTTGGGTTGATAGTAGCAATATAGTAGCCAAAACCCTGCATCACATCGATTGCAAAAGAACGTTGTGCTTTTGCCACTTTCGTCGTTGGCAGCTACTGATTCATCATGGCAAGCTTCAGCCATACCTGCTGGTATTTTCTGCATTTTCTGCTAGCATTGCTCTACGGCTACTTGTCTGGTGTTCTCAGACGGAAAGGGTTGTTTGTTTGGGTCATTGCTTGGAACTCTGTTCTTGCAGGAGTCTTGATGCGCTATGATGCATTTACGCCTCGGCAGCCTGGCTGTCTTGTGCACGCCTGCTGTCCATCCAGTCGGGCCGCATAGACGGAAAGCCGCTACAAGGATCAACCAAAAAAACACCCGGGAGCACCCGACCCGTAAATCCAAGCGCACATCAGATGCTGCAGCCCAGAGCCTAAAAAGCAAGGATTTGAATCGTACCGTTGTGTCACATCCCCGATCCAGTGTTTGCGCGTCCGATGAGCCTCACATGGTCATGTCGAGGTCACACAACTATCGAGAAGGGGGCAAAGCAGCTTTCATGTTTCCGCATAAAATGGCTTTTTCATATCTGCTCCTTTGCCCTACTGAACAATCTGTGGAAGGTGTGAAGCACCAAATGTCGCGATTTGCCCACTTCTACAGATTGCAGAAAACTGACTCTGCCAGCTCCTTGAGTGTTCAAGATTGAAGGAACTTTTTTGGGTTCCCTGCAAAGTTATAGCATCAATCGCAGGAGTTGGAAGTTCAGGGTTAAGGCATTGACCAAAAACGGGCCGACTCTCTTGGTTCAAGGACCTCGAGGTGACGGCAGTTTTTTACCATTGCAGATTTTGGAGAGCGAGCCATGGACAGCGATGTGCAGCAGCTGGTGGACATGGGTTTCGGTTACCCAGAAGCAGAGCTCGCTCTGCGTGAAGCAGGCAACATGGAGCAGGCGCTGGAGCTTCTCTTGACTGGTACGCTTTCCACCGAGCCTGCCGAGCCTGATGAGACAAAGCCCGACAAGGCAAACCGCTTCAGCCCACTGGACACTGCTGCACCTGACAATGAATGGCCTGAGTTGCCAAAGCCAAGCACTTCCTCCGGCTATGCTAAAGGGTCAGAAAGGCCACCTGGATTGGACCAGGCAAAGGACGACCTTGGCGCAGCTTGGGATTTGTCTATGGAGGAGTTCGGGTAAAAATTCTAACCATCGCCGTTGCGCGTTTTTCCCCAATTCCCACTTTTTGGGTCTTTGAAGGACATGGTGCCAACGCCCCAAATGCCACGGCCAAATGGGTTGCCATGTGGACTACTGAACGTGGGGAACACTTGCTTCTGCCCGGCACAGACATGTTTGTGCATTTTTATCATGTGCCGATAGCTTAGCCGGCTTAGCCTTTGATCGAAGTCTCTGTGTAGCATGCGGTTCTAGAGATGGCGCCTGAGGTTATGTAAACTCTTTGCTTCAAACGCTCTTCCATGCTGAGCAATTTCGAGATCAGCTGCTGAGCTTTCGGCCTCCTGCAGCCGAAGATCGCAGCAAAAGTGCCCAAGGTGCCCAAGGTGCCCCAGGCGCCCCGGGTGGCCAAGGTGCCTTGACGCTTTGGCAGAGTCTTTGCTTGGCTGGCAAAATGTCTGAGAGATTCTGAGAGGCGCTTGGAGCAGATTTTTTCAGCCAGGTGCGCACACGGCTGAGAGCATGGCTGCAGAGCGTCGTCGCGAGCATGCCCTACAGCTTGTGCTTGAGCTGAGAAAGCTCTTCGCATACTGAGCCGGCCTTGGACTTCCGGGATGTTTCCATGTTTCCATGTTTCCATGTTTCCCCATCTCTTACGTGAGGAGTGCTTTTCAGTCACTTCAATTAGTCCATTGGGATTTCTGACTGTAGCATCCAAACCGCACTCGAGGCCATCTGTCGGAGCGCAGCTGTGTTAGCCCTGCTCAACTACTCCACGAGCTGGTTGATTTGCAGGGTCATCAGCTCCCTGTGGGTGGCCAAGAGGACTGCAAGCAACATCTTGTTCTAATTTCTTCTGATTTCTTCTGCCCCTGTTGTTCGTCTTACTGCCTTACGCACGAACGCACTTCTGCCAGCTCTGGTCTTCGAACTCTCAGGATGTCAGTGAATTCATGTTGAAGTTTGTCGACCAACTCGAGGAGACCAGCAAGATTCGGGCTCTGAGTTCCTGGCAAAATATGATAGCCGATAGCCTGTGCAGTTTGCGCAAGTTTCCAAAGTTTCCAGGAGGGAATCGCTTCTGATGCGACGGAGGAGGGTGCAAAGGGGACACAGGAGGACTCGTACCAGGAACGAAAAAACTCGGCATGTGCACCGCGTGTCAGTTCTGTAGCATTCTGTAGCATTGGCCGAAGATGATGGTGCATCTTGCGCTTCTCTGTGGTCGCGTCAGGACGAAAGCTCGAAGAACTCGAGAAGCTCGGAAAGCTCGAAAAGCTCGACGGTCCTTCACGAGCTGCTCTATGGAGAGCAGGTACAAATCTTCTCTTACGTGGACAAACAGACAGCCTCTGAGCCAGACAAAGAGCCCATCGAGCCCATCGAGCCCATCGTCAGCTCAGAGCAAAGCGATTTCCTGCAGATCTTTCTGGATGTCAAGTACAGGAATCTCTACGCAGCTTGGGCAGCGGCGAACGAACAGTGTGTGGACTATACCACCCCAGCTGGAAGCAAGGCGCGAACTCTTCATGTTTCTCGGAAATCACAACTGTGACAGAAGGACGCGTTTAATGTTTCTCATTGTCTGCAGTTGCTGTTGTGCCAGGCACAGGGCAAGACTCGCGTTTGGATTAGAAGGCTTCCCAAGCTCCTTTTCTTCCAGCTGCAGCGTGTAGCCTTTGATCCGGAAACCAAGGCGGGAAGACGAAAGAGTAAATATGAGGTCTTGACGTTTGGGTGTATCTTGTTCTGACGAATCTTTTAACTGTTGTATGCTGACTGGTTCTACAGGAGCAGGTGAAGTTGGAGGATGAGTTCGACTTCGAGAGCACCATTTATCCCGATCGTTTCATGCAAAGGAGTGGGATCTTGAAAATTAGGTTTTTCTGAAGCTTCATCCATCATGCTCGAAGTTTGGCGAGGAACGAGGCCACCGTGCTGCAGGTAGAGCAGACCGCACAGCGTCTGCGTCAACAGATGCTAGAGAAAGAGCTCGCGTTGCAGCGCTTTCGGCAGTACCAGGACAGCTCCACCATGCCTATTCCGCCGTTCTTGCTTGTTCTGGGCTTTCTTATTGTCGTTGCTGGTCGCTGTTGTAATTTGATGTAACTTCCTGAAAGGCCGCAGAGTGTCCGAGCACTTCACTTCCAGTGACGACATTGCTTCGAGGCGCTGCCAACTGCTTGGAAGCAAATGCCATGGCCCTCCGACTCGGCCTCCGATCAGATCGATCGAGCGAAGAGAGCCAGGAAAGCGAGCATGGCAAGCATGGCGAGCATGGTGAGCATGGCGAGGTGCTGAAAGACCCGGTCCATTCTGCCGCTCTCACTGCTTGGACGACTTCGACAAAGGATGCAGACGTCGATTGGATTCAGGCTTGGCGTGCTTCCGCTTCCGACCCGGTCCAAACGCTCCGAGCTTTAGCAGACACATGCCAGAACCAGGAGGGGCGATTGCAGGAGGAAGTGACCTCGCTTGATAGACAGCTCTCAGAGGCCTATGCACCCTTACAGAAGGAGCCTTATCACTTGTACGGGATCTGGGTCCATCAAGGTCAAGAGGCTGAAGCCAGGTCTGGTCACTACGTGGCCTTTTTGAAGGACTGGCGAAAGAACCGATGGATGCGCTTCAGCGACTCCTCTGTCCAAGTTGCAACATGGGAGGAGGTCAGGAAGGCGGCCCTCGGCGGCGATTGCGGCGAAGGCGAAGGCGGAACATCTCCGCAGAATGCGCAAAGTGGTGCCCAGAACGTGAGGTCAAAGTCTCGATCCTCTGCCTATGTTCTCGTTTACATGGAGGCCGGGCTTGCTGAATCTCAGCAAAAAGAGCCGGATGCAGCAGGCGACTTGGTTCGCTTGATTCCTGCGGAGCTGCTGGAAGAGATTCAAACAGACAATCGAGCGCTCCAAAACGAACGTGGCAGCTGGCAGGAGCAGGTCAAGGTCCGTGAGCTGCGTCAGCATGCCCAGGCCATCTTCCAAGAATATGCGATGCTTTTGCATCGTTGGGAGCCAAAGAAGCGGCTGGGGGATGCGTCGGGTAACCCTCACTCACAGGATCCCAACCACCGGAAACAGCTCAACGATCCCGTGCCATGGATGCAAGCTCTCAGCATAGAGCTCTCAGCTCAGCATCGCTTGAGTGGATCTTGTTGGGTTCTGTCGCGCTGGGGCAGGGCCGCTAGGGCCGCTAGGACCGCTAGGCTTTATGTTGGCATTGTAGGCGCCTTTTCCTTGCCACCAGTATCATTCATGGTAGGCAACACCCAGCTCTGAGGCATTAATGGGCATTGAGCTGTACTTATACAAATCTGGCGGGGAGCAAGAAGTTTTTCACTATCTCCTCAAGAAGAGCTTGGATGAGCAGCGGAAAGTCCGGTGCTGGCAGTTGGAAGATGAGGGGAGGATCCTGTCTTTTCTTGCAGAGACCTTGCGAAGCCAGGACTGCTCCTTTGCTTTGTTGTTTAGCCTTTTTTTCCATCAACGAGTCAGGTTTTGTTCAGCATTCTTAGCTTCTGTATTCCCTGCACCCTGCCCGCGCCAACGAAGCTTGGAACAACAACCAATGTCCGCTGGCCGAGGTTATGTCAAGATGCTCAGAGAGAAGTCGTCCGGCGAGTGCAATGAGGGCCCGAACTCAGCCTCAACTGAGAGGCCGAACTCAGAGCCATCCACGTCAGGGAGAGAACGGAGAGAGTGTGAATTGGTGGAGCTGGACCATGAAGCTTTGCTCAGCAAGTACAACAACGTTCTCGTCGAGGCGCACATTCTGGATGAGGTCGGAGTTTGCATAAAATGTGGCGGTTTCTAGTGGCAGTCATGGTGGCAGGTTGACAGCATGCATGTTGCGATACGTTGCGATGATGCAAGAAAATGCTTTGTCTCAGGCTTTGCAACTGCTGAAGCGTGAGGGTGGTTTAGCGCTTCCTCGAGCAATCGGCCTACTTGCCATGCTGTGGGCACAGTTCAGCTTGGACCTTGACTATCAGTTCAGGCACAATGAAGTGCTACTGGTCCTGAGCGCCCTGATGTACAACACGGTGTCTTGCATCGAGGATCAGGATGTCCTACTACATCAGAACTATCGGGAGCTTGGGGAGTACTTCTACATAGTCTTAAGCTGCGTCGAATGGCCACGAAACTGGAAGTTACCTCTGCAACAACGTATCTTAAAGATGTTCCCCAACGCGGCTGACGTGATGGAGACAGCTCTGAATGCCGTTCTGCATGCGAGGGCTGAGCGTGAAGGGGCTACTGGCGTAGTGGCGACGAGCACGCACGCTGACCAGAAACAACTGGTGCTAGTACGATCGCTGGTATATCTTGATGGCAAGACGCTTGAGGATTTCGGAGAGCATCCACCGCCAGGCGAGGCTTTCTTTGACCGGCACCGTGCTCTCTGGTCTTGGGCCATGCAGAATGACAAGCTCCTGGCGAAAGAATTTGTTTCGTTGGCTTCTCCCACTTAGCCTTCAAGAAGTGGCCATAGTGCCATGGCGATCTGGCCATGGCCCCCGCCCTTGATTTCCGTAGAGATCCCATTCTCATTCCCTTCTGGACATCCTCGAAATGATCTCCGACATCGACAAGAAGTGGCCGCTGTGGGCGCCCCCTCACATCACCCTGGCCTTGGAGATCACCACGTCGCAGGCATTCGCAGATGCCAGAGAAACCATCCAAGTTCCGTCTACATCCGCAACAGCCGCATTCTTGCGCGAAAGGAAGATGCGTTGTGCTATGATAGAGCTAACAGAGAGGTGCTCTAGACAGCTAGCTTCAGTGCACCGTTGCACTAGAGGGTAGTTGATGCCTTCCTGGCAGCTAGCAGGTCTGCATGTCAAAGTACGCATAAAGCTCGCGCACCTCCGGCCCGTCGCTAAGGAGACTCGAAAGTCACATAGCTTCATGTAGCTAGAGACCCTGAGCCCGAAAGAGCATGGCCATGCCGAAGCATGGTTGACAACATGGTGAGTGGGTAAGGCAGGAAAAGACAGATAAGAGCCAATCGAAGCTTATGGTGCGTAGCAATGCGAGACTTCGTGGATCGATGGGCCCGCAACCGCTTTGTTCTGGCGCAGCCGGCAAGTGACTTCATTGGTGCAAGGCTGTGGAGTAGGGGGCGCCTGATGATTGCCAGGTGGTTCTACTCATGGGGTCATACTCTGTCCAGAGGCAGGGGTGATTGGAACTTGTGCTGTGAGTCTTGCACCTTTCCAAATATGTGCAGCTTGCTCATCACCGCTTCGAAGAAGCGGGTCGCGTGCCCCTTCGTACTGCATTCCGTATTAGCTACTGCATGTGTATATGTATGCATGCATGCATGCATGCATGCATGCATGCATGCATGCATGTATGTATGTATGTATGTATGTATATATGTATGTATGTATGTATGTATGTATGTATGTAGGTATGTATCTGTATATATGTGAATATATATATATATATTATAATCTGTAGATGTGTGGGCAAGTTGCTGTATGTAGCATGCAGTTAGAAGTGTGGCTGGAGGTACAGCGCAGATGTTGCGGTTCTTTTGGCTGAGCTGCTGAAGCTCATTTTTGCCGCAGCAATGCTGCCGCCGGAGGCCCCACGGAAACGAAGGCAACAAAGGCGCTCAAGCCTGCACCCGGTGCATTTGGCCTTGTTCAGGTACGGTCTGCTATGTCCGTCTCAGGGCGATGGCTTTATGCCATTCCTGCTATGCTTTACACCTTGCAGAACCGTCTCGTGTCGGGAACTCAGCAAGCAAACAAGCAAGCCCAGTGAGTCCAGTTCAAGAACTGGGGCCAAAACCAAGAGAGCAATCATGCCGTCAACCTGGTCATCGAATCTGGGTTTAGGTGACCATGTCAGTTAATTGTAAACGCTTGCGCGTGTCGCCTTGGCAGCTGGGCCGAAACCGGGGCGTGCACGTCGGCGCAGCTCGGAGTTTCCAGTTTGCACCAGGCTGCAGATGCAGAAAGTGGGTTTGGGGCATCGCGGAAAAAGAGCCGGAGAGCAGCCGACCCGTCAACTTGAAACCTTGGAACCCGTAGCGTAGGTATGCGTAGGTGAGCTTGGTAATGGCTGGCAGTGTCAGCAGGCTGTGCAGATCTGTGCAGCACGTTCTGTGCACTTGTCGTCGGTACTCATGTGCCTGTTGCCAAGGAAAGTTCGTGTAGGGTGCTCGTGGGCGCGTTGTGAAGCGAAGCTTGGGTAGGGTGGTGGGAAGGCGTTGAAGCCGGGCTTTCCCACCTGCCCAGCAGTATGGGTCTGACAGACCCCAACGAGTCCCAGAGTTGGAAAACAAAAAAGGCATTCCAAATGCCAAGCAGCGGCTCTCTTCTTTTTTCAGCCTTCTGCCTCTGGGGAGCGACGGGCGGGCCCACCCCCGCAGCATCGGATTGGGACCATGGTCTGCTTGTTCCCGCCGCCTGGGAGACCGAGGCGAATTCTACTGGAGTCCCCAAATCAGCTGCACATTCTGGCTTTCGAACTATGTCGTTTAAGATTCCTCACCTAGACCTTTCTTTAGTAGAACAAGAAGCATTCTTGGGGCTTAGCTTGGCAGGCAGAGGGGGGGGGAGGTTTTTTTTTCAGGGAAGGGGGGAGGGGCCGGGGGGGGGGGAGCAAAAGGGGACCACAAGCAGATGGCCCAAAGACCCGACAAGAAGGACACAAAAGACCCACAACAGAATAAGCAGGAAAAATAGGGGACCACAAGCAGATGGCCCGAAGACTTTAGGGTTTAGGGTTTAGGGGGCCCCAAAAGACCCGCACCAGCCGGCACGGAGACCCTGCAACAGGGAGGGGGGGTTTATTCAGGCGGGTCAGGGGAACGGAACCGGCAAGGGGGGGGGTGGGGTCAAGAAAAAGAAGGACCGCAAACCGAGCAAAGGCCCCACAAGCAGATGGCCCGAAGACCCAACAACAGGGGCAAAAAAGACCCACAACGGGGGCCAAAAGGACCCGCAACAGACGGCACGGAGACCCTGCAGCAGGGGAAGGGTTTTTTTCAGGGAAGGTGGGGAGGAGAAGGACTGGAAACGGAGAAAAAGGGGACCACAAGCGGATGGCCCGAAGACCCGACAGCAGGGACAAAAACGACCCACAACCGAATAAGCAGGAAAAATAGGGGACCACAAGCAGATGGCCCGAAGACCCAACAGTTGGAGCCAACGAGGAGAAGGACCGGAAACTGAGCAAAAGGGGACCACAAGCAGAGGGCCTGAAGACCCGACAACAGGGGAAAAACAATTAACCCGCAACAGGCGCATTGTGTTTGCAAATGGGGGGGCGGCCCCCCCACCCCCCCCCCCAACCCCTGCTTTTTGAAGGCCTTCCTAGCTTGCTTCAAAGCGACCTGTATCTGGAACGGGTGCAAACAGAAGCCGTACGTGTAGAGCAAAAGAGACTCAGAATGGGAGAACAAGTAGGAAAGAAACCCTACGCGTGGAACGGGTGACCCAAAACGGGGGCAGAAACAGACCCTGTAAGTGGAACGGGGGCAAAAAGAGACCCTGTGCGTAGAACAGGTGCAAAGAGGACCCAAAACAGGGACAAAAAAGACCCTCCTATACGTGGAACGGGTGCAAAAGGGACCCAAAAAACGGGGGGCCAAAAAAGATTCTATAGGGGGGGCAAAAAAGACCCCATAATGGAACGGGTGCAAATGGACCCAAAACCTCAGATCAGGGGGCACAAAAGACCCTATATGTGGAAGGGGTGCAAAAGGGACCCAAAACAGGGGCAAAAAAAACCAAGCCCCACCACGAGACTTGACCTGATGTCTGCGCATAGTTGCCTTCTGCCAGGTTTGAGGCTTTACAAAGAATATCGCCTCCCGAATACCAGCTGCTGAACAACATGAAGCTCTTCACCACCTCGCTTGTGTTTCGCGTCGACACTTTGTCAGCAATAACCAGGTCCGTTTCGGTCGTAGCCTCATTTAGCCAAGGTCATGCAACGACAGCTTCGGGTATTGCAGTGGAAGCTTTGGCTCTCTTGGATTAGCTTTCGCTTTCGCTTTTGCTTGGGGCCTCGCTCGGCCTTGGCCTTGAAAAATGTGGTCGGCCTGGGCGTGTGCTGGATATTCTGAGTTCCGAGGATGGCACTTGTCCTCTTGGTCCTCGGTGCGGTGCCAAGACACAGCTTGAACAGGCCCCAAGGCCCTGAATAGGGTCTGGCAGAATCGTGAAGGGGGAGCACCTGACCTTTGGCAAATCTTGCCAAGGCATGGCCTTGGCCACGGCCCCTTGTGGAGACGGCAGGGATCCTACAGTCCAGGCCCGCGTGGCACGCTGTGTGGAGAGAGAGAGAGAGAGAGCGCTTGGACGAGCTGCGGGGACTGGTGCAGTTGCGGAACGCTTGGAGGCCAACCGTTCGGATGTTTGGATGGGTGTTGCGATCATGCTGGCCGTGTCGTGGCGCCCGACTTTGAACGTGTTGCCAGTGCTGCATTTCTCGCTTGGATGAAGTGCTGTCTTCGGGCTGTGCAGGGGCTGTGTCAATGAACAGGGTCAGGGATGAGGCAATTTTGATGCCCTCGACAGAACTGATTTGTCTGAAGTTTTTCTGGTGCCTGTGGCCAGCTTTCAAGGATGGAATCCAGGATGACCGACATTTCATCCTTACCCTTTCTGTGCTTGACTTGCCATCCTTCAAAACCCTCGCTACAGCGCTCAGCAGTGGGGCTGCCTTTCTTTGCCTTCCTTCTCCCGTCTCTGGTACAACCCATGATCTAGATTCAGGTCACACCCCGACATGCCATTGCTAGTAGAGTTCCTCAAGGATGGAGAAGCGTCGGGGTTTGATACTTCTCGTTCATGTGCGGCTTCTTCATGCTCTGCTTCTTAAGCCGATGTCAGTGTCGAGTGCAAGCAGAGGCTGAGGCCATTACCGTTGCAATGGCCTGATGCTGTGGCATTTTCGAAATGTTTTTGAAGCGCCGCGGGGGGGGGGCTAGCCGGCGGCGGCACATTTGCCGGGAGTGAGCTGGGCTACTGGTGTGTCGGGGTGCGCCAAATAATGGCCTGTCCTTGGATCGGCGCAAACGTTGCAAAGGCCTCTGCAGACGGTTTTGGCTGATGACACTCGCCCTTCGAGTTCAGGCTGTTGCCCGCGTTCGTTTGCGACACTTGAGCGATGGAGCACATTGCCGAGGTGCTCAGCATTAGCTGGGGTTCTCAATGAGTGGCTCATCAAGAGAAGTGCAAGCGTACTGGAGGCACATTTTGGGGATCAGCAATAGAAAGTATAGGCAAGTGCAACAGCCACCATGATGAAACCTGAGAGGCCAACATATGGCTTTATGGATTCGGTGTGGTTGCCGCAGTTTTTCAACTCTGGGCAATGGACGGTTCCCAGGCTGCAAAAGCTGCAAAGGCTCAACCGATTACATTGTGAAAGCATGTGAAAGCATGTGAAAGCATGTGAAAGCATGTGAAAGCAGCACTGTCAGGCACGGGCGTCCATGATGCCCTCAGTGGCTTCACATCGCTGCTGCCCTGGAGTGCCGTTCGGCTGCAATCCGCAAATTTCGGATGCTTGCCACATGAAGACGGCAAAGTGTGCTTGCAAGCGAGGTTGTGGTGTGCAACGCCATCCTCGGCCAGTCCATTGCCTTTCTTTTCAAGCTGCTTGGTTCAGCAAAATTGCGCACACGCACACGCACACGCACACGCGCACGCACACGCACACGCACACGCACACGCTTACGCACACGCACACGCACACGCAGCACCCGTACACCCATACACCCACACACCCACACACCCACACACCCACACACCCATACACCCTTACACCCACACACCCATACACCCATACACCCACACCCACCCACACACCCACACCCACCCACACACCCACACACACACACACACCCACACACCCACACACCCACACACCCACACACCCACACACACACACACAACACACACACACACACAACACACACACACACCACACACACACACACACACACACACACACACACACACACACACACACACACACCACACACACCACACACACACACACACACACACACACACACACACACACACACACACCACACACACACACACACACACACACCACACACACACACACACACCACACACACACACACCACACACACACCACACACACACCACACACACACCACACACACACCCCACACACACACCAACACACACCAACACACACAACACACACCACAACACACACACACACACCACAACACACACACACACCACACACACACACCACACACACACACACACCACACACACACACACACACACACACACACACCACAACACACACACACCACACACAACACACACACACACACACACACACACACACACACACACACACACACACACACACACACACACACACACACACACACACACACACACACACACACACACACACCCAGCCGGCCCCCACCCCCGCCCGCCGGCCTGCACACTCGCACGCACGTGGTTCTAGTCAGTCAACTGTTTAGTGATTCTAGTGTTCATGTGGTTGATCCCGTTGGATTCCCAAACTCGATTGTGTTTCTCTGTCGTTCCAAGCAGATTTGCTTACACAATTCTCCGGAAGAAAAGCATTCAAGAGCGGCACCCAGCATCATTAGCATCTGAGACAAGAGCATGCCCACACGAAACGCGAACAGACTGGGGACTAGAATCGACATACTCCTGCTCCTTGGGCTCGCTGACGCTGTTGTTGTTGATGTTGTTGCTTGTTGTGGCTTGGTGTTGCTTGTTGTTGCTTGTTGTTGTTTGCTGTTGTTTGTTGTTGTTTGTTGCTGTTTGTTGTTGCTTGTTGTCGTTTGTTGATGTTGCTTGTTGTGGATTGTGTTTTTTTCGTTGAAGCCGCATATTGTTACATGCTGAGTCGTTTCCAGAGGGCGGGAACCCAACCATGTGAATGGACTGGGGCCCTTTTAAAAAGGTTCGACAATGCCGCTGCTTTGGAGTGCGAACTCCTGAAGGGTTCAGCGGTGGATCTGCCGGTTTGTTTGTTTTGTTTGTTTGTTTGTTTGCCACGCGAATGCTGAGATATGCTCACTGTAGCACAGAGTACGCACAGCGTCAAGGTCAAAATGTTTGTTTGTTTGCTTGTTTGTTGGTTTGTTGGTTTGTTGCTTGTGTGCTTGTTTGTTTGGTGTGCTTGTTGGTTTGTTTAATTTTAACGCTACGCGACCCGCCTCGGCCCGGCCCAGCGCATCCGCGTGAGCATGGTGATTCCGCAGCGCCCAAGTCGCTGGACCCCAAGCAATAAGGGTTGGGTTGAAGGTTGAGGGTTGAGGGTTCCGGGTTTATGGTTTGGGGTTTGGGGTTGAGGGTTAGTTTAGGGGTTAAGGTTCACGCTTTGGGGTTGAGGGTTTTTTTGGGTTTAGGGTTCGGCTTGGAGTGATCGTAGGGTTGAGCCAGGCCCCTTAAGGTTTAAGGCGACTCCGGCAGGGTGGGGGGGATGGGGGAGGTGGGGTGGGGGGAAGGGGAGGGGGGTAGGGGGGGGGGGGTGGGGTGTAGGGCGGGGCAGGGGGGGGGAGGGGGGGGGAAGGAACGGGCGGGGGGCCCTGCTGGGAGGGGCTTCAACTGCCTCTGGTCCTGGCGAACCGTCCGCTTGCGGACCCCGGTTTCCCAGGGGGGGTACCCATTTGAGGCCAAAAAAAGGGGTCCGAAAAAGGGCTTGGGGTGTGGGGGGAGGATTTGGAGGGGGGTGCCTGTTCTGACAACCTATACACCTCCGGCCCGAGGCCTCGGCGGATTTGTTTGTTTGTTTGTTTGTTTGTTTGTTTGTTTGTTTGTTTGTTGGTTTGTTGGTTTATTGGTTTATTGGTTTGTTGGTTTGTTTGTTTGTTTGTTGTTTGTTTGCTTGTTTGTTTGGTGTGCTTGTTGTGTTTGATTTGTTTGTTTGTTTGTTTGTTTGTTTGTTTGTTTGTTTGTTTGTTTGTTTGTTTGTTTGTTTGTTTGTTTGTTTGTTTGTTTGTTGTGTGTTGCCGTTAGTTAGATAGCTAGTTTGTTTGGTTGTTTGATTTGTTTGCTTGTTTGTTTGATTGTTTGATGTTTAGTTTAGTTTTGTCGTCGTCGTCGTCGTTCTCATCCATACCAGCCAGCCACCATACGGACCTCGGGGGTCCCGGAACCCTTTTTTTGTCCTGTTATGATTGTGCGTTCTGATCTCCATTATCTTGGACTGGAGACATTACTGCCCAAGTTTGTTTCAGCCAGGACTTAGTTACTATGTTGTTTGTCTATACACATGCGCACATGCACGCGCGCAAACCCGACAAACAAGTAGATGCTTACACACACATATGTACACATGCACGTGCGCATTCAGGAGCAAACTCAGTATATATGAGAGGTCGAGTCACACTGCAGGTATGCGGATTCCATTGTGAAGCTTTATGCCGTGAGTGCCGTCGTCGCCTCAATGCACTGTTCGTATTACTTCGTGCTTGCTGGAACTTTGGGGACCCCAGTGCGCTGAAGGCTATGGCCTTTACAGCTTTGTTCTCCGCAATCTTCCTTGACTTTAGCATGGGCTTTCACAACGCTGCTGGCTACCTCGTCAGCTTTTTCTCAATGTGCCTGTACTATGCGCCAAACGAAGTGTTGCTCTCGACTGACGTGGAATTCATAAAGCAAGTCACAGCAGCATCTGAAGCCAAGACGGACAAGGCCAAGTAAGCAGAAGTTCAAGATTCAGTTCGTGGCAAGTATTCCCAGACTTACCAGGCCAACATGGAGGTGCCGGAGATAGGCTCCCACAGCGCATTGTGCTCGGCAAGCAAGAGGAACTAAGAGGAAGGAGGCGTGCCGGGATGTGCCGCGTCGCGGAAAACCTCGTCTTGTGATCGGGGACGCGGTCCCAAAGTGGGCGTTTGCAAATCGTTGTCACGGGCAATCGAAAAAGTGTTGCCATGGTTGACCCAAAGTTGTCCTTGTCAATCCTTGTCACATTGTTGCCTGGTGAAGTCCCATAGTATTCCTATAGTTCAGACGTGTCTCTCTTAGCATGTGAGTGGCTCCGCAAGCGATTCTGGGCTCAAACTGAAGTCCGACTTTGAATTCGGGCTGCTCCTGGGGCGATCCTGCCGGACGATGAACTATCCCGTCTACGCTGGCGAGATCGACAATGGTACCGTCGTGCAGCCAGCACAAAGCACAGAGGTGAAGCAGCATGCCCAGGCCGGCGCTTAACATCAGACTTGCGCACAGTGTTTCGCATGTGTTTCGCGTTCTGAGCTGGCCTGCAGGCAAGCGACCTTCCACAAGGACATACCCTGAAGCTCTCCGAGCACTTGTCTGCTTCATTGTTGGGACCACCACCAGGGCTTGAGACTTCTTTGCCAACTCTCTTGTCTGGCAAGGCCAAGGTGAGGCGACCCAGAAAGGAGGCAGATTCAAAAGGCTCCAAAGTGGCTTGCCTGATCCGCACGAAAGAAGGTGCACAAGCAATATGTGCACAGCTTGCGAGTCTGCAAGCACCCTACCACAGCAGCTTTCGCTCGGAGTTGGTTGCGTCCTTGTTGCCAGACTTGCCAAGCTTGGCCTGTGATCCACACGCCTCGCAAGTAATTCTGCAGATCTTCACAGTTGATGACGACGTGAGCCTGGAGCTGTGCAAGAGAAGTGTCCGGCGCCTTCGTGGCTCTTTTCTGAAGTTGACCAAGGCACCAGCTTTTTGAGCACTTTCAGCTTGTTTTCAAGAGAACACTGTGACCCCACGTCCCTGCAGGACAAGCATGGATGCTGGGTTGTACAGCAGCTACTTCAACGAGTACCAGCGGAACTTCATGCTTTTCTTGCCTTCGAGTTGCGGGGAAAAGTTCTGGCCTGCAGCCAGCATTTACATGGAAACTTTGTTTTGCAAAGATGCGTGGAACTGCTGAGCCACAATGATGTGGGGTTCATCGTGGAAGAGCTCAAGAACCACGCAGTGGACGCCGCATCGCACATCTACTCCTGCCGTGTCTTGCAGCGCATCATTGAGCACTGCCCACACGACAGCCCGGGCATGACCGAACTCCTTGACAACCTTCTTATCAGCAGTGAGAGGCTGCAAAAGCTGGTCATGGATCCCTAGCCGCAAGTTTAGACTCTGTGTAAGTTGTGCATGTGCGATGCCGGCATGTCACCATGCTGCACAGTTCTCGCCACCGCTTCTTATTCTTCGCTTGGGTCGGAGGCTTGCCTTCCCCCTTGGTCTCTTTTTGTCTGCTGTTTTAGTTCCCTTTGGTGGGAATGTCAGGTTTTTCCGAGGCTCGTCTTTCTTTGTCTGTGTGTCTTCTGAGGCTCTCTTAGTGTCCCCTGTCTACTGGAACGTTGTGGTTGTGGGCATGTCACGCCAGAGTGAGCGGTGTGGCAGTTGCTTGCGTTGATGTTTCCCCGACCAGCCTTACCGGGTATGTGCCAGCCATTCAATCCTTGTCCTGAGTCGATGTGGCAGTCCGGGCAGTCCAAACGTGTGGATCCCAAGCTTCGAAAAACATCTCATGCAAAACGAAGCGTACAAACACACAAATCGGCAAGCTCCACTGTGATATCGGTCAATAAGAAATCAGCAAGAGCATCAAGTTCCATCATCTGAGGATCCCTACGGCAACAATGTTCTTCGTGCAGTCCTTGCGCGTGGAAGAGCGGTGCATTTAAAACTCATTGCCAAGCTATTCGCTGATGAGTGCAACATACTGGCATATGCACGTAATCGACACTCCAGCCTGGTGCTGGAGAGGCTTTTGGAGGCCATGACGGGAGAGTTTCGGCGCGAACTACAGGAGGAAAGAGATGCCCTGATGATCGCACTCCTTGGAGACGACACATCCAATCCTCCCTTCACGCAAATGGCTTTGGACCGTTTCGGAAGCTCGGAGTACTCTAGCATTTCTTCTGCATTCCTTTCTTTTGTCTCGAAACAATTCGGAACCAACGAGCGCTTAGCAGCGATCACCCCAACAGCAGAGCGTAGTCGGCGCATGTCGGCGCTTGTGCCTTTCAATCTCTCAGTAAAGGTTGTTGGGGGCTCAAGGGGTACGTGTTATGCAACCAACAAGCTCCCTCAGGAAACTACATCGCACAGAGGGCCATTGAAGACTGCCACGGCCGGGAGCAACAAAGAATTCTCCACTTGCTGAGTGCGTTGGGTCCAAAGCTTCGTCGTGCTGTCAATGGACGGCACATTCTACAGGCAGCGCGAAGACGGTTCGGCTCGCAACTTTCCTTTCATGTCCCAGTGGCTTCAGATCCACTCTCGCAGTGCCCCAGTGCAGCCTTGCACTCCGCAGATCGTACAGACTAATTCAAATTGTACAATTTGGACATATTTGGACAGCCCTGCGACAACCTCGCACTGTGGGGTTTGCAGGGCATCTGAGGCTCTTTGTGCAGCCGTCTCAGAAAGGGCCATGCAGAGGAGACGTGAGCGTCTTGCCAGTAAGAAGCTGATCTTGCGTCTCGGTGCTTGGCTTCAGCCTATTGTGCCAGAGGCTTAGTAGATTGGAGTGGCTCACACGACCTTGAACCCTTGAACCCGATGTGTCGCGCACGAAGCTAAGGTCTGAAGCAATCTGGTGATTCAACGGTGATTCAGTGTCGCCTGGAAATCGCCCAATACTTTGAATTCGATCCCTCCATATCTGGAGGAACAGAATGCTTTTCCTGAAAGTGGAAAAGCACTACAGCACTGTGCCGTAGAAGAGCTCGTAGACTCGTAGAAGAGTGGGGGGGGGATTATCTGACATGTACAGACCGCTGCAGAACTGCAGCCCAAAGCCTCAGACACCCCAAACTTTTCAAAGTTTTCAAAAGTCTGAAAGCAAGTCCGACGAAGCTTTGCAAAACAGTGAAATGCTTGGTGCCTCTGTACATGACTTGGCACAGAGCCTCAAACAAAACACATACCCGTGCAGCCGGCAACAGTTTGGCTTGGCGAAGCGTTATCGCCACGGTGTGGGGCACCTGTGGCATTAAAGCAAATGCCTGGCGCGTTGCAGGGAGAGGCATCAATGAGTTTGATTTGATCGTAGCTGAAGCATGTCGAGAGTGCAGGCGTCGGAGGCTGCGAGGGAGGCCACAAGGCGAGGGGCGTTGTTTCGATTCTCTGTCTTGCCGGGTGGGAGATCGGACTAGTATCTTGGATGGTCTGTGCGGTGTGTGTAGAAGTCTTCGACAGCTCGCACCCTGGGGAACAACGGCAGCACCCACATCCTAGCTGGAAAAGAGCCAAGATGCCCTGACGTCGAGCGTCCCCTCACTGGCAGAAGAACACCTTGCACTCATGGACCTGTGGTCCGATCCCCATGACTCCACTCATCTCCTCTCGCTTTCTTCTCATTCTTCTCTCCCTGGCCATGGGACTAGGAGCATCACAGGAGCATCAGCTGGAAGAGGACCTTTCACACCAGGGCATTTTTGGCATGAGCAATGGGGCCTCGTCCGGCCTCAGGGCCGGGGATCGTGAGCATCATCCGGAAGACCCTATCACATCCTCAGGACCAACCGAACTTCTCAGCGCCGCGGAGACTAGGAGCCTTTGAGGTTCTAGACTGCTTCTGCAAATCTATTCGGAGTGTTGCTTGAAACTGTGCACGAGATGTGATGCACTTCTGCATAGTTTCCGAGCCAGTTACCTGAGTTGCAAGAGTGCCTTGTACTTTGCGCGGTCAAGGTTGTTCTAAGTCTACAACCCTGGTAAGTCTTGCGATCATGTCAGCAATCATGAAAGACAGGCTCGTGTCACCGTGTCAGCAGTTCCGATCACTGGCAACACATCCACTTCCCACTATGAAACTTTTCGCTCAGCAACTTCAAGTGTTTTCGTGTTTCAACTTGCGTGAGGAAGTGTTTTTGCACCTTGTGTCCACATGTTCAGGGAAAAATGCTGGGGATTGCTGGGTCGACATCGGAAAGACCGAAAGTGATCACCAGCGAATGTGCTGCAGTTCCGAAAGCCATAACGCCATGTGCCATATCCATGTAGAGCTTTAGCTCTCAATCGCGGTAAGTTTGGCTTGACTGTTTGCTTTGTTTGGGGTAAACCCGAAAAGCCCTAAGCATTAAGGTCCCTCTGCGTATGACATATCGATTTTATCTACAAAGCCTTAAACCCCAAACAGCCTACCCTGCACCCTCCCGCCCACCTCACAACAAGAAAGAGGCAACATAAGGAAACGACACATTTACCTTTTAAGAAATCCATCCAGTCCCACAGAGACTTGGTTTCCGAAATTGTAACACAAGGCTGGTGACTCAGCAGATGATGCTGTCACCTACGCCACCCCCGCAGCAGCCTGACTTGTTCCTGCTTGAATGTCCATAATGGAGACAGTGGCATGAGGTAGGAGGGAATGCGTGAAGGCTCTCTGCATTGACGTCATCTCCTTCTGCAAAGGTGTTTCTGCATTTGCAGGTTCAAGCTCTGAATGCTCTGCTTTTGCCTTCCTGGTGAGGAGAAACAAAAGAAGGATAGTGCAGTCGTCTTGCAGCTTACCAAGACGAAGATGCTCGGCCAGCATGTTTGCATGTGCTCGGAACGCCAAGCAGCTTGTCCACATTGCAGGTGCAGCTTCTTTGAAAAGGGAAAGTGCTCCTCCGACACGTGCAGGCCACCTGCTTTGTGTGGTGCGTGCATTGCGTGTCCCCGGGCGACTGTCGGCAACTGGTCTCGCGAAAAGGTATGCGCATTCTCTGAATGAACTGCGATGCCCTCCTAATTTGCCCCTCGCTCAGCGTGTGCTGTGGCACTCTGGCTCCCTGCAGTGCTGTCGTTCACTGTTCACCGTTCATCGTGTTGCAGTCGACAACACACCCTGGAAGCTCAGGCAGAAAACCAAGCTGTGCAAGCAAACCGGGCTGTGTTGAATCTGGAGCTTGAGCTTGCAAGGCTTTCGAACCTTTGCCAGGTCGTTTCTGCAAGGCAAGTGCTTGGACGGGGAAAACTGCTCGCCCACGCCTTGACGTGTCTTCAAGTTGTCATCAGAGTCCGCAAGCTTCAAGTCTTTGTGTGGGGGTTGTTTCCGAGGTTTGCCCATGGAGACTCTGACCTCCGGGTGACCTCCGGGATTTACAAAACGCAAATGTGCAACTTCTACGAGCGTGGCCATTGCAAGAAGGTACGCTGTCAGATGTTGTTACGTTACCTTGAGAGACGTGATGCTTGCATGGCTCCCCGATGGCAACAGGGCGACCGATGCAACCACGCCCATGGTGATGCCGATCTGAGACCATCATTCAGTCCACAGAAAACACCTGTGCGAGAGAAAGAGAAAGGCACTGCTTCAGTTGAGACTTGGTAGTGAAAAAGGTTTTGCAACTTGCCTGGGGGGAGTTTCCGCGACAGGCTTCATAGGCATGCTCCAGACACCAGATGCTCGCACGCCTCCGAAAGTGGCTGCCGTAGGCAGGGTGCGACTGTGTGGCATTGGTTAAACATGTCCTGTGCATGATATCTTGATTCTCAGGCGAGGGCGGTCGCAGCCCCATTCGCAGCCTGGAGTCTTCGAAGAAAGAGCGTCTTCCTCTAGCAGAGCTTCTGGAATCTCAGGCAATCTCTTGATGCCGTCGGTCAACTCTCCCGTAAGTATCGAAGCTTGTAGGCTGGCGTGCAGCTTGAAAACGGCCCTTGCCAACCTAGTGTCGGTGAACTCAGCATCTAGTGTTGCACTGAAGTTTGGCCGTGCTGTCGGGGTCCTGTGAAGTTGCCCGAGGTTGCCGAGCTTGCAGCTTTGTCCTTTGCCCCACCCGGGCCGCTCTCTCAAGCTTGCTATTCGTACTTCATGCTACTTCCATGTCCATGCTTCAAGAAGGTTTGCATCTTTGTGAGGTTGGAGTGCGCTCGGAGCGATGCGGACGTGAGACCGGCATTCAGTCCCCAGCAGACGCCTGTGCGCGAGAAAGGCTTTCGACATGTGAGTCCATTACGGTAGATGGCATCCGAAACCATCCGACCAAGTGTACTTCCCACAGCCCGCGACAGGCTTCATAGGCATGTTCCAGACACCAGATGCTCGTACGCCTCCGAAAGTGGCTGCCGTAGGCAGGCTGCGACTGTGTGGCATTGGTTAAACATGTCCTGTGCATGATATCTTGATTCTCAGGCGAGGGCGGTCGCAGCCCCATTCGCAGCCTGGAGTCTTCGAAGAAAGAGCGTCTTCCTCTAGCAGAGCTTCTGGAATCTCAGGCAATCTCTTGATGCCGTCGGTCAACTCTCCCGTAAGTATCGAAGCTTGTAGGCTGGCGTGCAGCTTGAAAACGGCCCTTGCCAACCTAGTGTCGGTGAACTCAGCATCTAGTGTTGCACTGAAGTTTGGCCGTGCTGTCGGGGTCCTGTGAAGTTGCCCGAGGTTGCCGAGCTTGCAGCTTTGTCCTTTGCCCCACCCGGGCCGCTCTCTCAAGCTTGCTATTCGTACTTCATGCTACTTCCATGTCCATGCTTCAAGAAGGTTTGCATCTTTGCGAGGTTGGAGTGCGCTCGGAGCGATGCGGACGTGAGACCGGCATTCAGTCCCCAGCAGACGCCTGTGCGGGAGAAAGGCTTCCGACATGTGAGTCCATTACGGTAGATGGCATCCGAAACCATCCGACCAAGTGTACTTCCCACAGCCCGCGACAGGCTTCATAGGCATGTTCCAGACACCAGATGCTCGCACGCCTCCGAAAGTGGCTGCCGTAGGCAGGGTGCGACTGTGTGGCATTGGTTAAACATGTCCTGTGCATGATATCTTGATTCTCAGGCGAGGGCGGTCGCAGCCCCATTCGCAGCCTGGAGTCTTCGAAGAAAGAGCGTCTTCCTCTAGCAGAGCTTCTGGAATCTCAGGCAATCTCTTGATGCCGTCGGTCAACTCTCCCGTAAGTATCGAAGCTTGTAGGCTGGCGTGCAGCTTGAAAACGGCCCTTGCCAACCTAGTGTCGGTGAACTCAGCATCTAGTGTTGCACTGAAGTTTGGCCGTGCTGTCGGGGTCCTGTGAAGTTGCCCGAGGTTGCCGAGCTTGCAGCTTTGTCCTTTGCCCCACCCGGGCCGCTCTCTCAAGCTTGCTATTCGTACTTCATGCTACTTCCATGTCCATGCTTCAAGAAGGTTTGCATCTTTGCGAGGTTGGAGTGCGCTCGGAGCGATGCGGACGTGAGACCGGCATTCAGTCCCCAGCAGACGCCTGTGCGGGAGAAAGGCTTCCGACATGTGAGTCCATTACGGTAGATGGCATCCGAAACCATCCGACCAAGTGTACTTCCCACAGCCCGCGACAGGCTTCATAGGCATGTTCCAGACACCAGATGCTCGCACGCCTCCGAAAGTGGCTGCCGTAGGCAGGGTGCGACTGTGTGGCATTGGTTAAACATGTCCTGTGCATGATATCTTGATTCTCAGGCGAGGGCGGTCGCAGCCCCATTCGCAGCCTGGAGTCTTCGAAGAAAGAGCGTCTTCCTCTAGCAGAGCTTCTGGAATCTCAGGCAATCTCTTGATGCCGTCGGTCAACTCTCCCGTAAGTATCGAAGCTTGTAGGCTGGCGTGCAGCTTGAAAACGGCCCTTGCCAACCTAGTGTCGGTGAACTCAGCATCTAGTGTTGCACTGAAGTTTGGCCGTGCTGTCGGGGTCCTGTGAAGTTGCCCGAGGTTGCCGAGCTTGCAGCTTTGGCCTTTGTACCGCCCATGCCGCTTTCTTGGACGACGTGCCCTGCAGTGGCCGAGCTTGCTCAATCACTGTGCGTTAAAGTGGCTCAGCAACATGCCAGGTACCATGTGAGTTCTCATTCGGCCTACTCGTGCAAGCGGCCAAGCGCACCGCAATCGATTGTGCTTGCGACTGCCGAGAAATCGCACAAGTCACAAGGCCAACATTCAACGACACCGTTGCGCGTCTTGGATCCGGTGGGAAGCCCTCTCGCATGGCTGCTTTGCAGCCTGCTTATTGATGGCCTGAGGTGGATTTGCTTGTGGATTCAGAACGTTGGGATGGGCCTCGGCTTCTACCTCAGAGCGAGACAGAGGAAGTACGTGTTTCTTGGAGCACTTTTGCATGCTTGCACAACCTTGCAGGGAGCTGGAGTGGTCGCCGGGGGTTTCGAGCGTCGCAAACTGGAACATGGCAGAAATGGAGACATCCTGGGACGATGCTTGGGATCCAGAGCTGTTCTGCTCACAATGCCACGAACAAGGGGGGCAAGGCCACGAAACAGTGCAAAGATGTGCAGATCGCATTGGCTGAATGGTGGCCTGGGTGTTTTGCAGCAGCAAAATCTGTTTTTGCGGCAGGTTGCTGAGTGCTATCTGCCCGAAATATGGAGGCCTTGGCGCTCAAGACATGCCCGCCTTGCACAGAAGCACGCAACCGAAGCTAAACCCGGCAAGCCCCTATCTTGTTTAGATGGCAGGTCCACTCATGTCACAATTTGCATGACGTTTCACATGCCATATCATCACATGCCAGTCCTGAAGCAAAAAGACAGGGGGCTTTCCTCGAGTTGCTCAAGTTTGAGCTGAACTTCTGAAACCGTGAAGGCCGCTGTAGGAGTTCCTCGCAGCACCAGGTTCTGACTTACCTTGAGTGGACAGCGCTTGGTGCCTTCGTTTTTTGATGCGAGCCTTTCACGTGTTCTGAGAATCTTCAAGCCTTCTGCTATGACTCAGAATGACACTTGAAACCGTGTGGACTGAGAATGCTGGCTTGCTTGGAGACCCTCAGTGCTTGTCAAATCTACCGTTTCTTTACCGTCTCTTGTTGTTTCTGGGTGTGCCTTGATCTTGCATGTATTTTCTTCTTCTTCCACACAGTTATCTATCCCTCTCACAAGGGTTTGTCTGGTCCTCTTACGTAGGCTGAGCTAAAGTTCGACCGCGGAAGTGCTCCTACAGGTGAGCCTTCTGCATGTAGGTTTTTTGGTCACGAGCTGAAAAATTTTCAGTTCGTGAAATTCCACAAGCAAAGTCATTGGTACACTAGAGGAAATTTGAGACGACCCTATCTGTTGAACAAGACAGCGTGGCAAAGGCTTTGCTTGCGGCATGTAATTGCTTGTCGAATCTTGTCGAGTGATGCGCAGACAGAGAGAGTGCCTGTCAAAGTCAGTACAAGTTACGTCAATTAGATTCACGAACGGCACATGGGTGTTCTGTGCGGGCAATGGACTGCAAGGGGTTCATGCAGGCGGAAAGTGGAAAAAGGAACGAGAGCGAGGACAATCGCTGAGTCATGTGCTGCCTACAAGCTGATAGGTGGCATGCTGGATCCTTGGCCACTGGCATCCACTGGCCGTACGATCAGAGTGGCTCAACAGCTAAGCCAACTGCCTTGGGGATGCCGAGGGTAACACCTGCAACAGCAGTGAAAGAGCTTCAGGCCCTTGAATGTGCTGGGCCTTCTGCTTTTCATTGCTTTTCCGAGTGTCTTTGCGTGTCTGCAGGGACGCTTGTGGCTCCCACATGCCCACCAAGGGCGACACGAAGGACCCAGGGAGCTGTCCTCGCCTATGGAATGCTGTATGGAGTTTCATGCGACGTTCTTCTCTTGCAGGAGAAGGTGCGCTCCAAAAGGAAGGAGGATTCCAAAGCAGAGAAGAGCAAAGCTAAGAAGGACGCTGTCAAAACAAAAAAGGATGCAAAAGAGAAGTCCACGGTGAAGTCAGGATCCCGCCAAGGCCTCGAAAAGCTACGAGAGTTCTGCAATTTCCTATTTCCTTATCTTGCGAGTGACCGCCCAAGGTCGAAAAGAGTCACAGCGCAACCAGGAGCAGACTGGAGAACCTCACATGTTCTTCAAGCGATATCTTTTGCTCAAGACCTGCTCTTGCTCTCAAGACTGTCACGAGATCTGAGTGGAGCTGCCACGTTTGTCTCAGGCCGAGGACGAAGCAAAGGAGCGGAGAGATGCAGCGGCCACGGCGGCTGCCAAGAAGCGCAAAGCAGAAGATGCGGTGCAGGGGGAGGGAGCTCTTTCGGGGAGTTTACGAGGTTTGCACTTCTCTTTGTGCCAAGAGCTATTTGAGAGTATGTCGCACTATCGCGCGCCTCGCTCCCCTTCTCCAGACCGGCCCTTCCAAAGAGAAGAAGAAAAAGAGCCGGAAGGACAAAGAGACTTCAAAGTCCAAGGACCGTCATGCGCAGGATGCTGCAAAGTATATTCAGGATATTGCAGAATACTGTAGAAGAGCCAAAGTACAGTTGCCTGTGGCGCTATCTTGCCTTTGGGGGATTGGGGGGGGTGGAGTGGGGTTTTCCAAGTGTGAGGCTCCAGAAGCGCCCTCAGATCGACGGGTGCAAGGGGGCGCCGCGGATGCAGCGAAAGCCAAGAAAGAGAATAAGGAGAATGGGAAAGATGAGAGGACTGAGAGGAAGGGGAAGGAAGCAAATGACAAGGAGCGGCAGGATCGAGACAAGCGGAGCGGAGCTGCACGAGGTGCCACGGGTGCCTGTGCTGCAGAAGCCCTGGATGGCGATGATGGTGAGAAGCTGCAAACCGGGGGCTCCGCCGGGGGCTCCGCCGGGGGCTCTTCAGGCAGCAGGCCGCCAGCATCCAAAAGTCGATCTCCCGCCATGGCCAAGGCGGCGGATCCCGTGAGCAAAGAGAAGGCCGATAAAGCCGACAAAGCCCACAAGCGAGGATCTGACAGCGTCTCGGACTACGACAGCGAGAGCGCCACTTCTGGAGCCCGACGTCGAAAGCGCCGTGAAGAAGCTGGCTTGAAGGCAGCCTCAGGATTTGGACTGGCCCCGTCCTGTCCTCGGTGCGAAGCCTGATATATCCTGATATGAAGCCTAGTGCGAAGCATTGCGAAGCCTGCAAATATTTTGTGCAGCATTCCTTGCATTTTCATGTCTTGGAGGAGTCTCTTTTCTTTCTTCTTTGCCTTTCGAAGGCCACCGCCAGCACCGGATGCCAAGCCCTCACCAGTGATCAAAAGTGACAGTTGCAAACCGCTCTTCATGTTGCTCACTTTGATGCATGGGGGCATCAGAGTTTCTGCCAGGCGAGCGGTCCGGTCATGTGCGCTTCACTTGTCAGAAATTCCGTGGAGTTGGGTTTGTAGGGCTTGCCTTCGGCAGGTACGGCCCATCAAGTCTGATGCCTTTGCCTGACAAGGCGTTGAAATCATCCGCCTTCAGACTTTCATGCTGCTTCGAACAACCCCATACTTCGACAGGTGAAGGGGCTTCTCGAGCACAAGGATGTGAGTTGAATGGTTGGATGTGTGGTTGCTGTTTACATCTGTCTACCACGCTCTATTACGAGCTGTTTGTTCGTGGTTCCATATGCTAGAAGACCGACTTGCAGACGCAATTCACAAATTCACGAGCTGTGTAATGGCAAGTTAACCGAAAGTGAGAAGGATGTATGCTCGCCCCCCTTCATTGACTTTGAATGATACCCTATTGAAACTTGCGGTTGCCAGCAATGATTCTGCAGCAGCTTGCCGCTTCTTTTGTGTTTTTCGCATTTTTGCTGCTCTTCCTTGCTGCGAAGGATTCCCTGGCGCAGGAAGTCCTTAGAATGAAAATGGCCGTGGAGGCCTGGAGAGGGAGTGTTTTTCTCTCCAGGTTTCGCGCATCCACCCCGTTTCGCGCATTTGAAGAAGCTGTTGCGAGAAGCTTTGTTCTGTGAACTTTTTGCTGGAACTTTGTTTTTGTGTTTCGATTTGTGTTCCGAGTGCATCCGGTGAAGGCCGCGACAGGGCAGCCAAGCAAGGTCGAAGGAAGGGAGGAGCCCGCTGAGACCGTGCGCTTCCGAGAGAGTTGCAACGGTAATCTCATATGTGCACACACACATTGCAAGAGTGTTCTGATTATGTATATGCTTTGTTGACTCTACACGGTTGACTATCTGGTGGGTTCGGGCCACGGCACGGCATCAGACCGAAGCCGGCCTTCCCCAAAATCCGTGTTCACCATGTTGTGTCGATCTTCTGCCCCACAGCTGTGTCGCGGGCCCCCGAACTGAAATGAGAATCCACTTTCCGCTTCGCGACATCTCGTAACAGACTTCCACAGTGTAACCATCCGTCGAGCAAGGCGGTGTGTTTGCATTCATCCGCGATTTGCACCGACCCTGTCTTGCTCCCTCGCCCCATCTCACTCTTCTTCTCTCCTGCTTTTCTTGCATAAGGCCACAGCTAAAGGAAGGAGATCAACATGCGTGCATTTTTTCAATTTCGTCTCCCGATGCCACCATCTGCTTGCATGCCAAGAGACATGAAACAAATACCGAGTCGAGTGGCACCACGTGAGCTGCTGACCCAGGAGCATGAGAACATTTTCGTTAATTTTATGACAGAGCAATCATCTGTACGGCACAGCCAAGATATTACCACAACACAAAGCGTGCTTGGCGAAGATGTCACGAGCCTGTAAGGTGACAGGTGCACACGGCTGATCAAAGCGAGTCTCCAGTAGTCAAGTTCTGGATGTGCAGACATTAGCACACGTTCGACTGAATGCGTCTTCGCCAATGTGAACGCAACCGAACGACGAACGACCTCGAAAACCATCCAATGTGCCGCTTCGTTGTCATGTCTGAGTCATCGCAGCCAAGGCGCGTTCGTAGTGCATCACCTCTAACATTGAAAGACATGAGTCGGAAAGTCCCCCTACGTAGTCAACTGTTAATGCACACACGTGCCTCTGCACCAGGACTATCCAGGACTTCTCCGCCAATTCGGAAACCAGCCAAACAACCAACAGACAACTATGTATGAGACCAAGGCCTTGTTTGTGATCTACTCGAGCACTAGATCGTGCCAACCGTATCGAGTTGGGTTTGATGGATCTGTATTGTGGTCCAGTAGTGTACCAGAAACGACTCCGTGAGTCCCGCCTTGAACTGTTGGAGTCGTCGGTGTCTACGGTTTCTGAAATTCGTGTTCTCGTGTAGTCGCTGTGGAATTCGGTTCACGTGTAGTCGCTGTGGAATCAGGATTCGTGTGGGACGATGCGGACGAATCGCTCTCGGAATCAACATGGCTAATCTTGCGAAGATGAAGCATGCTGAGCACAAAACCAAGAGTAAGTTGCGAAAAGGAAGGCCGCAACCATGCTCTCAAGTGAGTCAGCTACAGGCAGGCAAACACTTGTTTTGATTTGTTTGTAGGTGATCTTTCAAGCGCGACGATCGAGTCCTCTTATCCGCAGGCGAGGCCACCTAAAAACTGAATCCAGCCACCCACTACCGCTTCAGAAGATAACATGTGGTACGGAACTGACGGGTCATGAACATGTACCATGGGTCGAGTGCGTCCATGGGAACACAGTGGTCCCATTTCCTGGACCGCCGGTTGGAGGATACCCATGCGTTCTAGTTTGTTCCAGAACACTTCTCCGAACTCATGCCAGAAATCATGAGAACAGTAGGAGGCTTCGGAGACGAACACCCCCGTGCGGCATGCCGAACGTAAGTAAAGCGAGTCAGTCATATACAAAGCCAAGACACATACGTGATGGACTCTCTCAAGCGGGATCAAAGAGCGTGGGCCGAAGTCTCCACTAGTCATTTCTGTGTTTACAAACACGCGCACGCACGCGGACACATGCATGCACTCTTGCTGCCAAGATTGCATTGTCATCTGCTGCGCAAAAAAGCCAAAGACAGCATCATGTTTCTTGTACTTTTTAACCCCATCGGGCAAATCATGGTCATCAAGCGCGTCATGTATCACCTTTGATTGTTTGTGTTGTTTCGTTAATTATGGGCTTCAGCTGATCCGAAATGTTACTTTCACGGCCCAAGACCATGGCAATGGGCCTCAGTAGTGTCGCCATGCCCTTTCTGTATATCCCCGCCATCATGTGGCAACGTGCTCTTAAACTGGTTTGACACCCAGTCCTCCCACTGGCAATGCGTGCATCTTCCCTGTTGGAACAAGGGGTGTCGCACGCACCCATACTCACACTCACACTCAAACTCACACTCACACTCACTCTGACTCTCGCTCTCGCTCTCGCTCTCGCTCTCGCTCTTGCACTTGACTTGCCAATCAGAAGCGCCTTGCCGCTCAAATCTTTCGCCACTGGACTTATGGCCATGGGCTGTCGAGTCATTTGACACAACAGCGGGGCGGAGGTGCATAGCCATGCAGGGCTTCATGAGCTTCGAAGCACTGTGTTGGTCTGCTGTGTCGAATACACTTGTGTCGATGACCTTGTCTCTGTGCGTGTCTATACATGTGTTTAGTCCGCTGCATTGTTAGCTGCCTTGCCGACTGCTGAAAAGCTTTCTTGCTGCCAGACGCTGAAGATGCCCACGCGGCTCACCGAGTGCTTGATGGACCCCGCGAACCATGCGAAACTGCTCATCAAGACCGGCCTGCTCTCTGCCACTCTGAACGAGGATTTCTTCTGTGGCATGGACGTATATGTCGTGTAGCACGTGCTTGTTTTGTTTGAGGAGAAGCACCTGGTCCTGCGAGCCCCATCCCCAGGGCGCCTGAAAAAGACTTTGGGCCACCTGCGCCGCATTGCGAACCTCGGCGAAATTAAGCCAGGGCCGCAATTTAATGTAATTTCCCAAGTGGTTCCCGAGTAAGTTCCCCAACGCTGTGAGTTCGTGTTGGGAGGTTTTTGTCAGGTTTTCTCTCCTTTTTGCGTCTGGCAGGTGGGCCTGCCAATGGGGTTGCAGCAGCGCCAAGGCCGGGCATCTTCGAGCATCTTCGAGCATCTGTCGCTTTGTTTCCTTGGCACGATGGCTTGTTTGCATGGCTAGTCCTGGGAGGTCTTCGCACTGCTGGCAGAACGGCCCGCCGGGAAGCTCTGTTTGAGACTTGCGGTGCGAGGCCGATGCACAAAGTTCCATCTTGCTTCCGTTTCTTGCTGAGGCAAAACCACTGAACTCCATTGTGTTGAGACTCGCTGCTACTTCCAGTCGCCTGTCATCTCATGATGTGACAGCCTCGGGCTAGGATTTCATTGGCGCGTATGCTTGCACTGATCCGCTTGCAAGGCAAAGCTGAGTGCCAAGATGCGCAAGCTGCGCATGGGCACGCAGGCTGTCATATCTGTGATATGACATCTCTGCCGATCGCTGAGACGTTGTGCAGATGTGCACAGGCAGGCCCTGGCATGCTGGTGCTTGAGGGCATAACGGGCCTCTCCCGCAAGCACTGCGCCTCGGTGTCAAGGGTTCAAGGGAGATTCGCAGACGGCGGTGATTTTGCTTTCAAGCACATGTTGGCCGGAACGACACACCTTTTATGCAAGGTACAATCACCTTTGAACCAGACAAGGGTGCTTGCTACGTGCAGGAGTCGTGTGGAGTCGCACTTTTGCTGTGTCACTCCAAGAGCAGATGTTTACTGTTTTAATTTTTGCGCGGCTGCAGAGGATGTATCCACAAACGGCACTTACCTCAATGGCAAGCGGCTTCCCAGACCACCGTACAAGAACCCTTCGGACACCTGGCTGAATGGTTGCAACATGCCGCAACAAGAGGCTGCAAGCGCCTTCATCCTTGTGATGGGTTAGAGGACGCTCGAGTGCGTCTTTTTCATGGGGATGAGCTGCTGTTCAAGTCCCTGCCTAAGCGACTGAGAGCCCCACATCACACATTGGGTTGAGGCATGAGGCCTGAAGCTCCATTTCCACTGCCTCACCTCGACTGCCATGTACGCCAGGCTACGTAGTGAGGACGCGGAGGAGTTGGGATACGTCAGCTTGGTTGCAACTTGTGATGTTTTTGTGAGTTGCCGCAATCTGAAGCTGGAGCCAGCTGGTGAAATCTGGGGAACCTCTGCTCTGTAAAGACTTGAGGTCATCAACCTGGTCGAACTCAGTTGATATGGGCGAAGAGACAGTGAGTTATGCGGTGGAGAAAAGTCCCATATTGCACAAGAGTCAAGGGCATGCTGATCGCGTGTGCGCATGTCTTCACCTTTGCAACTGCAGCATGAAGCTCAGAGATGTCACAAAGATCAACCCAGTGCCCACAATGTCCAATTTCATCCCAGCTGCCAGCTTAGAAAAATATTCCCAGAAGGTTCTTACAAAACGTGAGGATGGCGCTTCCGCCGCCGCGCCCGCCTGCTAAAGTTGGCAGGAAGGGCAAGCATGTGCAGCGCACTTTGCCTGAAGCTTACCTTGCGATACCCTGTGAGCGTGAGACGCACAGAAGGAATGCAGTGCCAGTCCAGGCATCGTTTGTCAGAATTCAGAGGGATGGGCCTCGATTGCTGTCTCCTTTATTCTTGATTCTCTTGCTGAATGCTGCAACCGTCTGTAGCCGTCTATAGAGTGTCCAGAGCGCTTTGCACATCTTTGCACCGAGGCTGGATGCAAGCGACCTTCCATCCCCGGGCTTCGTGCAATCCTTCTGTGCCAGCCAGAAGCTTTCAGAGGCATTGGCGGCCGAACGGCTTTCTAGCGCCAACGGCCAGGCAGGGACAAACGTAGGACTCAGTTCAGTTTGGTGTCCCTTCGGCAAGCTCTTCACTGAACACGTAAGTCTCTTGACCAATGCCAGGCTGCCTACCTGAAGAAAAAGTCATGGCCGGCATGTTTGGTTTGTCAGTTTCTTTGCAATGTGGTATTGGTAATGGCCAGGCAGCAACAGCTGGCGTACGTAGAAGAGGCTCATCGTCGGGAGCAGCCTCCCTTAGATGCGATAGCAGCACCCGAGATCCTTCGCGGCGAGTTGACGCGATCTCAGTGAGGTCAGTGCAAGGTACATTGATGCCCAGCTCTTTTTTGAGTTTGCAGATTTTCAAAAGCATGTTTGGAAAGTCTCAGGAGACGAGATGCCGTCTTTCATCACGGGGCAGCGGGAGTTCCGGCACCGATCACCGGAGCCGCCGCGCTGGACATCGGGGATCTGCGCGGCGGCTGCATTCCCATGGTGAACGTAGGCAACGAAGCAGGAGCCTTTAGGGAGAAGCGCTTGGAAAGGCAGAAGAACTTCCTTGCGGGTCGAAAGGCTCGACACGACGCAGCGCTTGCAGAGTTCGATCAAGCCATGGACGTACTGGCCGAAGATTGTCAGCGAGAAGTGGAGGCAGCCACCGACCGTATCAAGAGAGATCTTGAAGTCAGCTCGGTGGAATGCAATGCCATCTTGGAGCCGCTAGAGCCACCTCCGCTCCCACCAAAAGCGGAGGGTGAGGAAGACGACGAAGAGGATGAAGCCAAGCTGTTGGACGAACTCGAGGATCTGCCAATGGATGGCACGATCGATCCAGCAAAAGCCAAGGCTGTTGCGGCCGAAAACGCGGCGCGCAAAGCCATGCGCGTGCTGGGCGAGCGAACAGAGGCCGAGGTGCGGGGCATCCTCTCGGCCTTGGAGGCGCCCCAAAACTCACTTCAGCCATAAAACACAACATCTGGAACTTTAACGCTAGGCGACCCGCCTCGGCCCCGGGGGATTGCCGTAGGCAGCCCACTTGCGGGCCTTCGCAGCCCCACACGCTCGGTTCGCCTGGCAGGGCGGCTGGTGTTTTGCAAGCGGTGCACCTCGCTCGGAGTCTCCAGTCCGCGCGGTCGGGCTGCAGACAGGTAAAACGAAATTTTTGAACCAGCGGCATGAAGCTTGACTAGGGTGGTGGGAGTTGAGGCAGGCCCATGGGACCAGCTCTCGGTCTGCCTGTTCCAGCTTGGGCCGTACAACACCGTGTCCGAGGGTCCTGCGGTCGTCTTCGTTTTTCTTCCTTTTCTCTTCTTACATGTGGAGAGGCCGCCACTCTGCAACGTCGGCAGCGCATCGAGGCCTTCGCAGGGCCCAGCGGCGAGCTGGCTCGCATCGACAGTCTGCGGAAGTCCAGTGTGGAGGAGCTCTTAAAAACACTTGTTGAGGCCGAACGCTGAGCAGATGGCAGTTGCAGATCCCTTTTGCAGAATACCATGAAGCTGCAAGGCTCTGACAGCGGCCGCTCATGTTGTCCATGGTGAAGCTGAACGGTTGGTGGAAGAGCGTGTCCAATGGCCTAGACAGCCTATGAGTGTCCTTACCCGTAATACATCGTGTTACCGAAACTGAGTGAGCCCCAAGTCTTCACTTGATATACAATGCTCTGATGTACATGAAACGATGACCTGGGAAGGAAAGTGGAGAAACGTACACCTCTAGGGAGGGCGGCGGCTCAACAGAAATAGCTGGGCCGTTGGGCCCAGCATGTGGTGGAAGTGACGGTGGCCGTTGTTCTTGCCATTAGCACATCTCTCAGCAGGGGGATGTTGCCGAAGCCAGGTTTTGGCTTCAGCTTCGCCATGCCCGCTGCGGTTTCAGTTCTTGGCGATGCACTGGAGCACGAGCTGAGGCAGCTAAGAACGACAAACGAGGTCCAATCCAGGACAGAATCTCAAGACTAGCCGAATCTTGTACAATGGGGTGGGAGGTGCGACTGAGGACAAATCAAGCTGCAACGGTATGAAAGTTTCAAGATTTTCAAGCGAGAGAATTCCTGCAGCTGCCGAAGACCAAGTTAGTCGTAGGCCTCGCGGTTGCAGCAGGAAGAAGGAAGCTCATCCCATGAACCAGCTGGGGATCCCACCAAAAGCGTCCCCCCCTTGGCAGCGCTTGTTCAGAATCAAAGGGTGTGAAGCCGAACCCCCCCCGCCAACCCCCACTCCCTGCAAGGCACTGAGGCGCTGCATAGAGAGCACATACGGAGCACACAGGATCTCAAAAGGAAAGAAGGGGGGGAGGTCCTCGGCCATTTCAGGAGGAAAACTTTGGCAGGGATCGGCATAAAGGAGGAGGGCGGTTGCAGGCCTGGGGCCTTTGCAGATTCCTCCGCATCCAGGTCCTCTCCTTCAACGAGATCTTACTGGAGAACCGGCCACGTGGTGCTAATATAGCTCTCATATGCTTTGGTACCGTTCTTGCGGTGGGGCAATACTGTTCGGTGGCCATAGGAAAGCGATGCAACAGCTGGGTGCCAAGCTCACGGCCTGAATCTCGGGAAGAGGCATAGGCCTAGGCATCATCTCTCTGCCTTGCACATGACACCCAAGTGACTATGACACGAGGTTCAAACCCTGGAGCACAGTAAAGAGTACAAGGCGAGGTTGCAATAGGAATGTTAAACTTATCAAGCCAACATTGCGTTACAAGTGTCAGGTGCGGTGGCACAAAGGGCTGTTGCTTTGGAAACAACAGCGGTCAAGAGCTTACTGGTTTTTGCGAAACTGGAACTATGTTCGGCGCTACCATGATCTGCCATGATTTGCCATGTGCCAGTCACGTTTCGTTTGTGTGTGGTGGTGTGCATGAAGCATCTTGATACCTCGTCACTTCGTTGTGTCAGCCAATTGCGCCACGCATGCTGCAATTGCAAGGCACCGGCACAGTATGGCCGTTGTCATGCGCCGCATCAAGAGCAGCTCGGAATGAATTGAGAACTGTCGAGGAATTTGCCATCTTGTTAAGGAAGGCCCAATCATGAGGTTTTCTGTCACGTATTTGCGAGCCAAACCTGTGAGCACCAGGTTCTCCCAGCTCTAGCTATGTTCCTCGTGGGCCTAAAAGCTGATGCGCGGCTTCACACATACTTGTAGCACCTCACGGTACGTTCTGTGATTGCAGCATTCATGACGAGGTTGGACTGTAAGATGGTGGGAAACTTCGCGCAACCGGGCGCACCATGGCCTGCCCAACAGCCTGAACATGCGGAAGGCCCACACATACCCACGCAAACAGAAAACACTCGTCTGAATGCTCCTGCTTTAATCGGTGGATCCCCCTTGATGCTGTGAAATCCCCCATGCAGCTCATCACAAGCAAAGCTGCTTGTACGTGTACACTTTTTCACCATTCAATACTTGCCACCCACTTAGCGTCAAACGTGGCTTCGGGATGACAGAGCTGACAGGCCTTTTTCTTACAAACAGGGATACCCCTGAATCGTGGCTGTCCCTTTTCTGAAGCTCAAGGGCAAAACAAATCCAACATATCTCCTAGAAGCTGTCGCGCAAGAAAGGCAACTGGTGTTGCAAGATGTTGCAAGAGTCGCGTGCCTGGGTGCCACATGTCACGCTCCTTCCCGTTATACTGCAGATTCGGCCTCCAAAAGATCCCGAGTCGTATGAAACGACGATGCCTTGCGCGAAACAAGAGCAGAGAATGCTGCCGAAGGTCTCGGTGCGACCGCTATTTTGGTAAAGGAGCCCAAAACGAAGCAGGGAAAGAGAATGCCTTTTGCCTTCCTTCTGCTGTTCCCTCACATTCTGCTTCTTCGTGACCAATGCGCATGGGCGGCAAGGGGTGCACCAAGAAGCAAAAACTAAGCAGGATCTTGAAAAGCTTGAAAAGGCGCATGTTGCAAGTGGACGGTGTGGTTCTTGCCCAGGCACAGAGTTCCGGCAGCCGGAATCTTTGGTTGAGGCTACATCTTGTGACTGAAGTGTGCAATGCAAACAGGCAGCTTATGGCAAATTCTTACATCGTCTTGGAACATGTCTGCTAGGCTGTTGGCAAAGTCCGTGAACATCAAGCCTACGTCTTCAGACAGCGCAAAGATCTCATCGACGAGCGGAGCGCTTAGACACAGAAAGAAGACGGCGTTTAGAAGGAGAGAGAGAGAGAGAGAGAGACAGAGAGAGCGATTGGCAGATTCTGTGGGTTGTGGGGGCTGGAGAGGCGGTGAGGGTAAGAGTGTTTGTTTTTACCTCACTGTTGTTCTGGGTACTGAAGCTGAAAGAAAAAAACAAAAGAGACGGAGAGGCGGGCAATGGAGAAGAGAGGAGGGTTGTGGGTTTTGTTTTGTTTTGCTTTATGCTTTTTTAGTGCCATCTGAGTGCCCTACGGCCCTACGGTTTCGAGGCTCTTTGCCATCCCACAGCATCGGCTGGTGGTCGTTTCACGTCTCAGTGGCGTCAGTTTCAGCATCTTGCATTGATCTTTGCTGGGTCGTGCTTTGCCTGAAAGCCAGTTCAGGCTCAAGTGCGTCACACGGAGGAGCAAAACACGCAGCTCAATGTCGCGGCCTAGGCTCCCCGTTGGGCCTAGGGCCTAAGTCGCCTAAGGCCTAAGATTTTCAGAGCTTGGTAAAGACCCCGCAAAACTCAGGATCGAGCCCAGGAGACCTTCGACACACTGTTGGTTGAGCTAAGGGAACTGCGAGAGGCATTGAATGCTCGGCGCTCGAGAGCCCTGCTCTGAAATGCTTTGAATGAAATTTTCCCCTGGGTGCCAAAGTGAGGTCTCGGCGGAACAGATGCTCGGGGAGCTGGGCCTCGAGCTGGAATTGCATGACGCCAGACAGGAGGGATTGGGGCAATGCTGGGCAGCATTGTGGAAAGCATGAGGATCGTGAAGTCTCGGGACTCCTCGGGACACCTGAAGAGTCAAAATTGCCAACAGGTGTGCGATCACTGCCAAGTCTTCGGGATCGGTCTCTGCTCGTGTGTGAGAAAGTGACTCCTGTGCCAACGTAGCAGAGTTGTTGGCCAGACCGTTCTGAAAAGTGCATAAACGATCACAGCACCTTGTCCGAAGGGAAGCCAAGCTATTGCAAGTAACCAACCTTCCAAACCGTTCAACTGCCTTGAGCTCGCAACGGAAACCAAACCGAACGTGAATCGAAAAACTCCGCCCACACCATACATCCCTGGAATTGAGCCAGGGAGCCTGAACCCTATCAAGAATTGACAAGTTCACGGATTACACCTCGCAGGAATGGAGGGGCCACGACTCTGTGGCAAACCTCATCGATGCTGAGGTGGCTTCCTCACCTGAAGCGCTACAAGGTTGTGTGCACGTTGTACACAACCTCTCGGTTCAACCCTGTAGGTGAGGCCGCCTTTGCGCGAGTGCCTCGATCAGGCCCTGCTTGTTTGTGCTCTGATGGTGCACTTGGCTGTCTCTTGGCACTGCATGGCACTTCATGGCACTTCTCTACCTGTGATCATGCAGTTCCAGCGAGAAGTGGGCTTTCGCAGGTGGCCGCGCTCTTGCATGCATTGTCCAACAAGCTGACACAGCAGGAGGAGGCATTGGCACCTAATGGCACAGTCTTATGGACTTATAGACCGCTTACTGGTAGATCCCAGCTCGCAGAAGCGTTGAAGAATCCCGCAGAAATTTTGCAGGCGCTGCACCAGTCGGTGACTTCGGTGATCACCTTCTTCCTGGGATTGGCTCGGAAGCAGGAGCTTCTGAAGAAGCGGGTCGAAGAGTTTGAGGTCAACTACAATGGCGAGGTTGAGGACTGCGAGAAGGACTTTGAAGAGACCTGCGAGAGGAACGAGAAGACGATGCAGGACCTTCATGGCGCCATCGATGATGCTGCACATCACGAAACACTGGACGAATTAAAGCAGCAGACCTTCGACCACTTGGATCAAATGGCTCTGGGCTACCGGGACCATGCCGACCAGATGCTGCAAATCCATAATCGATACCCAGGTGAGGCGCAAGACTTGATCCGCAGAGAAACTCGCGGTTACTGCAAGGACTGCCGGTGCTGAATATTGCTGAATCCACATGTCTTGAAAGTTGGGGGTAGATTAGAAGTTAGTGTCCCATGCGCATTCGTGTCGCACAAACTCTAGATTCAAAATCGTTTCCTTTCTGAATACTATGATGAAGACTGTTAGTGATGTTAGTGGTATGGCAGCCATGCATGTGAATACTGTTGCTACGGTTTCAGAAGTATTCAGAGGACCTTGGCTTGGCCCTGGATCCTGTGGAAGAAGCTCCAGCTCTTGCTGCTGAACGCAAAGCCGCCACAGCTTCTTTGGAGGAGGAGGCCATTGCAAAGGCCAAGGCCAGCGCATGGTCCTGGTGATGGCTTTTTGTGGGTTGGATGTTTTTTTGGAACTTTTGAAGGGTTCCTGTTACTGCACAGTAACCTTAGCATGCAGGGCTTTAGGAAGGCTTGTGTATACCCCTGAATCCGCCCCGAACTTAAGCTTAGCACACCAGAACCCTAAACCCAATGCGTGAATGCTTCGTCACTTCTTTTCAGAAGGTTCCCTGCAGCTTCTTTCGAGTTCACTGAAGTATCAGTTCGGGGCGCTACTGGAGTGGGTCGGGTGCCAGAGAGGGGTGGTTCTAGGGCTAGGTTAAGATGTACTAAGATGTATTGAGATTCGACATGTGTAGACTACAGGGGTTAGGGTTTATTCTCGGCTGGATGTGCGTAATGTCCTCCTATGAAACCAGCATGCATTTTGTCAGAGCCCAGGTTCTTTGCTCTTGTCTCCAAATCTTGACATGACTTCCTGGGTGCTTCGCATCCTTCACATAGCATGACGTGTCGCCTGAGCTGGAAAGGCTGCGCATCCAGCGATGCCCGACGAAGATGAGGCGGCAACGGCTGCTCGCCTGGAGGCGGTGGCAACTGCTGTGGAAGCGGCCAAGGCAGAAGTGCAGCAGGCTCCACAGCACGTGAGCGCATCATGAGAAGTTCATGAGAAGTTCATGAGAACAAGTTCAGGAGAAGTTCATGAGAAGAAGTTCAGGATAGTCTCTTTTTCTGGCTTTTTCATGTCTTCTTTCATGCCTCTGTTCGAATGTCCCGGCCATGTCTTCCTCTCTTCGTCATGCTTCCTCTCTCGCTTTCGTCTGCTTTCGCCCTGCAGGCCGCTGCAGCGAAGGAGGCCACGGCGCTGGAGGCGGAAGCGGAGTTCTTTGCTAGCCTGGAAGGGAAAGGCGACTGGCCAATGGGAGAAGGTACCGGCTGCAAGGTCCTGGAGAATGTCGGTCTTCAGGATCTGCGACAGCAGATCTTGCAGCCACCGGAGTCGCCGGAGGCCGAGCCCACAGAGGCGGAGCCAGGAGCCGAAGAGACGGAGGCGACGGAGACGGAGCCCAGATTTGCAGATGGTACGGAAGCACTGGACACACTTGCATTTGACAACGACTGGTTCGAAGACAACTTGACGTCACTGCGGAGTGCAATATTTGAGAACCTCACTGGTCAAAAGCGCTACCTGGACCGCGTCGACATCCCAGCAGCTTGCGAAGAGGTGCGTCGTGATCTAGACCAAAGGCTTCGCCGGCACACTAACCGCAAGGGAGAAGTGCAGGTGGGATGGGAAATGCAGCGGAATTCTGAGCATGTTTTTCAAGCTGTCAGGATAGGCTCATTCAGTTCTCAGCTCGCAGGTGGAGTGGTACGTTCCACGCTACAGCACCGTGTCCAAGCACAAGGAACGTGGGTCCCTTGCTTGACCCTGCACATCAGGAGTACTAGTCGTACTATGAATCAGGCTAACAGGCCCTACAAGCAATGACTACGAGCAGATGCCCACGTGATCCCACAGGACAAATTCGAGAGACACTTGGTGGCGGTGGCACAGAAATGTCAAGATCAAGATGATGCCGTGGAAGAGTCGCTTCGGGAGATCGAGGAAGCAGAAGAGCAGTTCCAAGCTTAAATCTCCGATCCTCTCGGTTTTGTGGCGTTCTTGGGCTGCGCTCGGCTTTGCTTTCGAGGTTCAAGCAGCGCGTCGCAAAAATTCAGGCGTCCCCCATTTATAGGGCGCAAGACAACAGTATCGCACGTGTCGCAAGACACTGCTTGTGCTGGCAGGAAGGTTTGGGTGACGTACAGAGCCAAGACTCTTCATGTCATGTCAGCTTTGAAGTGAAGCACACGTGGAACGTGTGTGGAACCTGTGTGGCGCTGCAAGATCCGAGACATTCATTCAGTGATTCAGTGAGGCAGAGACCTTGCCGGTACTTACATCCATGGAGCGGCAGGCGCGGGGAAAGCAAAATGCATTGTGTGGATTCGCACACCTCTGACAACTCTATGTTAACGCATGTTAGAGCATTAAAGCACGGTAAAGACCACATGCATGATGTGTGTGCCCGTGCGTGTGCGCAGGCTGTGGACTGCATGTCGGCTTTCAAGGAGCTCTGCCAGACGGCCGTCCGACGGCTCTTGGAGCTCAGCTCAAAGGCTCCCCAGGTGGGGTCCGGTCCGTGATCGTATGTTGCGATATGTTGCGATATGTTGCGTGGGTTGGCTCTTTGCACGCTTGGAGACTTGCATCTTTGGGCACACTTGTATACACATGCCATGGCTTCCAGGGGTCCCGTGCTCAGGGGCTGCAGAAGGAGAATCAGGCCTTTCTGATGATGTGCAAGAAGGGTGAGGAGCAGTACAGCGAGCCAGAGATCGTTTATTATGGAGGGGAGGCAGGGGAAGGGACAAGGCGTGATCTCAGAGACAGCTTTTGACATTTTCCAGATCGAAGAGCTCAACCAGACCCTGGATGAGCGCAAGCAAGTGCGGGCCCAGCGGGTCCACGACTAAGACCAAAGAGAGCCAAAGAGAGTCATCCAGAATCCCGTTAAAAAAAGATCTTTCGAAGACGCCTCTGACAATTCTTCCAGGCGCAGGAACTTGAGAGCCAGATCCAGGAGAAATGCAAGGCTGGGAGGTCTCAGAAGCAAAGCGCAAAGCACAACATCGCGTGCTAAACGACTTCGCGCATTTTGCTGGGTATTGCTCTCGTTCGTCTGAGTTCAGGTGCCGATGGATACTTTCGCCGCAGCCTACGCCAATGCTGTGGAGACACTCTGTGCAAGCGACCCTGTCCTGACCTTCTGCTGAACTTTCTGTATTTTGTATGTGATTCTGACATACGTATGTCTGCAACCTTCAATGTAAATCTCTATGTCTATGTCGCTCTCCACGCCAGGCAAAGGCTTCGGGCGAAAGTACGGCGAGCCGCGGCGCAAAGCCCAGGAGCGTGTGCGACCGGGCCTCGGGCACCGAGAAAGGTATTCGGAGAGGAGATGAGGTACTGAATGCTTGTTTGAACATAGTGGGGGCTTTTTGCAGCGCGCTCTTGCACATGCTCTGTCTGGGGTCGAGGCACCCTGATCGCCCGGGCATCCACCGTGCGTTCCAACATCCAGCTGCTTCTCGACTACGTTCACAGCTCAGCCACACCCAGCCATGCTCAGCAATGTCACCTTTGTCTGGGTCCTTTCGCCTCGCCTCCGGTATCAGAGGTTTCGCAGCTGTTGCTGTTGCCGCCACCAGAGGAAGGAGGCGATCTGTGGAGTGCCACCGTTGTGTTAAACAAGTTCTTGCAAGTTTCGTGCGAGAGGTTACGAAGTGGCAGCCATGCCCAAGGTTCCTCGTATCATGAGCGTGAGGCACAACATTTGAGTCTGTCGAGTGTTGAGATGACTTGAGAGAATGCGTCGTGGCTTCTGCGACACACCATCCGCTTGTGTTGTGAGACACTTCTTCTCACGTGGTGGCGAGTGCCCTCCTCAACCACGCCGCGACTGCTGATCTCCGCAGTTAAATGCGCCGAAGCCAAAGTTCACATCCATGAGCCGTGTTGAGGCCTTGGACATTCACTGGCGAGTTGTTGGGCATTCTGTACGTAGCCGTCGTCGACTCACAAGAACCTTGAACGTACACCTCCGGCTGTTTTAGGCTACGAAAGATCTCAAAATCTGAAAAGGTCTGTGCCATGGCAGAGCTCGGCAGCCATCTGGGCGCCTTTCGGGAGAGCAATGCCGCATTCTGAGAGACTGTGGACAACGCTCGTGAAGTTTCGTGACCAACTGCTTGTGACACACTTTGTGACACACTTCGTGACACACTTCGTGACTCGACATGATGGGAGACTCTGAGGCTTCGAAGTACGAGCTGGCCGTGTCGCGCCAAGACAACCCAGACATGAATAGCTGTAATATCTGTGGATATCTGTGAAATATTTTGGAAAGTTGGACTGTGAGAAGCTGAATGAAGCCAAGGCTGTCCCAAGCCTTAGCATTTTGAGGGAGGACACCTGCTTCCTACCGTCGGCCGACGAGCAGAAGGAGGTGCTCTTGCAATGTCTTGGTTTTGACATGTTTGCATCATGTTTGCATTACGTTTGCTATGATCTGTGGTGCGGAACTGTGCCGATGCAAAATGATGCAATATGATGCAAAATGATGCAACCTGATTCAAAGGTCCGGCGCAAAGCGGAGGAAGCGAAAGACTTGCAGGGCGCCCGGAGCGTCGCCTTTTGTTGCTCCCAGCATTCTCTCAACGCCAACCCCTCGAAAGCCATCGAAAGCCCTCGAACGCCCAGGAAGGAGGCATCACCGGAGGAGAGAGAGGAAGCAGAAAAAGTTCTGCAAATATCTCGATCCTTGGAGGCTACGGGTATGTTTGAAAGCTTCCTTGCATATGGGTATATGGTGAAAACTGCGAGCTGTGCAGGCCTCACAAGCTCTTCGAGATGACTCGCTCCTTCGGGTGAGCTCATCTTCGAGCATTTTTGTTTTCTGTGCATCTCCATGCACCTCGGTGCGACTGCGACTGTGTGGCAACACTCACATGGCGAGGTGCTCGGGCCCCTCATGAAAAGCGAGAGATTCAACAACGAAATTCAGTCCGTCATCAAAGCTTCCAACGATGCCTATGCTGGCCAGGCCCATCCCTGTGAGCATTCGATGAGACTCTGCAGTGGTTGATGTGGTTGGTGGGACCTCTGCAGTGCATTGAGGCTTGCATGTTCCCCAACTTTGCCCCGGCTCAGAGAATGCGCAGCCAGTTTTACTCAGTGGGCCGGAGAGAACGGAAGGAACAGGAGCCATGGCTGGCAGGCGGGGCAAGTCAGCTCTTTGTTGAGTTTGTTTTTTTCTCATGTTGCAGTGGAACGCCATAGGCTGGGAATCAGACAGTGCCACGTGTCATCAGTTGCAAAGTGTCTTTGCAGTCCTTGCTTGCTGAAGGCAATTCGCGGGCTTGAGACATGGGGATCGCAGAAGCCTGTTTGCTGTCTTCCTCTTGAGCTTCTACGTGTACCAGGTCTGTTTCGTCTCCACGCCGTTGTCTCCTGAGATGCGGCAGTCTTCAGTGCCTCTCCGCGCTGCAAAAAAAGGAGCAACACCAGTCGTCGACGACTCTGACCTGTCAGACTCCGCTGATGACAAGGCAGAGTCTGAGAGCTCTGACGAGGGCTCTGAGAGCCGGAAAAAGGCTTCCTTCGACGACATCCTCACAGAGGCAGACAACTTCGCAACCTCGATCGAGCGCAAGAGCAAGCGATCGACTGCAGTGGCCCGTGTGTCTTTGGAAGACGAGCTCCGTGGCTTGTCGCTTGAGGATGACACGGATTTGGACATGATGATGATGAGCCGAGCCCGCGGCGGAAAGGCCAAGACAACTACTTTGAGCTATCGCATCAACCGTTGGTTCGAGGAAACCAAGGAGATGATCACGAACCCGACCAGGATCCAGATCACTTATGCCATGGTCTTCTTCTCTTGTTTCGCCAGCCTCATCATCATGGGAGTGATCACATTCGCATTGGGAGGAGTTCGGTTGCAGGGCGATGGTGTTGAAACCGCCATGCGCGCAAAGATGATGAATGGCGACGCCTTTATGCAGCGCTTCAACATGATCCGAGAGAACAAAAGGCGCTTCGCTGAGATGGACGACATCAGGAAGTACACCAGCGATCTTTACACCCTCAACCCCGACAGCAAGATCAACTTTGCACCCAAGCAGTTATCAGAAATCACTCCAGAAGATGTGATTGGTGAGTTCTAGGTCAGTCGCGCTCGAGGAGCAAGTTCTTGTCTGAGTGTTGTACATAGATCTCTCCATTCCATCGTGAGTGTCTTGACATGTCTTGACACTGTAACATCGATGGCGTCTAGACAAGGTGGCAACAATTTTTGCGGAATCGGACCCCGTGACTCTGCAAAGTCGTCCATGCAGAGCTCCTCTTGCCCATTCGTGCCCATAGTTTGGTGCATGGGCTGCTGTGAAGATGTCACCGCAATTGCACGAGGCAAACACAAGCAACCAAATTTCAGAAACAAAAGCCGCTTTCTGTCGCTTTGTGTCGCTTTCTGCTCGTGCCGAAAGTTGGTACGTCGCTGCAGTCATTGTAAAGCCACTTCATGATGCTAACCCAGCGCCTCTGACGGCCTGGACGCCAGGCTGGAGGTACACCGGAATTCATGCAGAAGTTCCTCTCAGACATGCAGGTCTCGTGCGAGCGAAGATCTGAGATTTCGTAATGTCGCAGCATGTAGCAGCACTGTAGCACACCGTTTTGCGCGCATCTTTGATTCTCCCAAGGCATGCCAGACAAGAGGCTTCCCGGGGCCTTCGGACCTGGGGCGACCAGCTCCGGGAAGAGACGCCAGCGCCCCAAAAATACCTCTCAGAATAATTTGAGAAGAATACAACTCAATGCAAGGAACTGCAACGAAATGCAACTCAATGCAACAACTAAATGCAATTACATGCACTTTGTTGTGAAAACACTTTTTTTTAGCACTTTTCCGAAAGTGTGCTCGTAGCTGACAGCTGGAACTCGAAGATGCTCTGCGCATTTGAAAGATCGCTGAGGCTCTTGAGCCTCGGAGAGAAGCTTTTCTCGGAGCTGACGCAGAGGGCACTGGCTGAGCTGGCGAAGACGACGCGCGATGCGCATGAAAGGCCGGGTCCCGAGTTAGCTCATGGGCTTTTGGGCTTTGTGTTTGCTTGCCTGAGCTGAGGACTCTGCAGACATGGAAGGATTTTGGCAAGAAGCGGGCAAGCCATGAGCAGCGTTGGCTCCTGAAGTAATCACTTTGCTAAGGCATGGGCTATATGAGGCTATATCCCAATCGCAGTGCGAAGACAATGCTGTCACAATGTCACAAACTCGCACAGCGCGCCTGCGCAAGGTCTGAATCCGCGCCTTGCAGATGCCAACAAAGAAGTCGAACTTCAGGAGTTGGTCGAAGCAGAAGCGCAACGTCATGCGGATGCTTTGCAGACCTGCAAGGAGGACACACAACGGAAGTTCTTCAAGCTTTACATTGCACATCATTGCGCGCTCTGCTTTTACATGTCGCTGTGAGAGTTCATGAGGACCGGGAAAGAATGGCGGCAACACTGCGCGATGCGTGTGCCAGCTTCGTAGGCGTGGAAGACGCTGTTTTCTTTCATGCCCCCTATGCTGCTACATCTCTCTACCCTTCTCATACGCCTTTGTTTTGTGTCGTAGGCCGCTTGACCAACGTCGCTGAAGTGTCCATGCGCCTTCTGGATCTCCTGCCGCTCCATAGCCACTTCGGGGCCTTGCCAGGGGATGAGAAGGTGAGGCGGCTTGTCATGGTTTCAATGAATTGAATGCCGATCTGCTGACATTGAGAGGTGGAGCCGCCGAGGATGTCCATCAAGCGCCGGCTTCGACGCCTAAACGCCGAGGAGGAGAAGCCCCCTGAACCGGTGCCGAAGGCGGCAGCCAAAGGAAAGGCCGAGCCCAAGGCGGCGGCAGCACCAGTGGCTGAAGAGCCCAAGCCCGGCCTCCCTGAGCGGCAGTGGGTCGGCCTTCCCAAGTATGAGCTGCGTGCTCTTCTTTGTGGCGGCGGCTGGCCAACAGACCCTGTACTCATGGATGACGAGATCCTCGATGAGAACAAGGTGCAAGAGCTTACGGAGCCAATGAAGTCGTTCCGATCGTAGGTTGCTCAGACACTGTTCATCGTTGTGGCTGTGAGTGCAAGACCAGTGCAAGCATCATTCAGCTTAAGCGAGAATCGAGAGGTCTTTTTTGCAGATCGTTTTTGCAAAGGAAAGGCGTGTTCTGCTTCTCATTCTCCTCCCGAGGCCGGTGCATCGAAGCATCGTGGATTGTCAGGGCCCTCGGCTTCAGGGCTCGGCAAGGCACACATTGGGCTTTGACACATGCCAAAAGGCCGACTTCAGTACTATGAGCGCTACAAGAAGCAGTTTTCGGCAGAAGTATCGCGCTGGCATGCAGAGATGTCGGCAAGAGAAGCCAAAGAAGAGGCTGCACCGGCTTCCTTTGCTTGCTTCAAACACGCCTCATCTGCTCAAGAGCTTCTCCAGGCTGGAGAGAAGAACTGGCAATCAATGATTCGGCAACTTCGTGGTGAGTGATAGTTCCTGATCGTTGAACGGCCGATGCAAGTCTGGCTGTGCAGCTCAGAAGATGTCGTCTCTTCTGGGCTGCTTTGTCTGTGATGCAGTGCAGTTCCAGAAGCAGGAGTTGTGTGCCCGGGGATAGTTAGGCGGATGTCGTATCACACCAGTCTCACAATGTACAGAGAAAGCACGAGCAATACCCAATTCAGGCTTGTACAGTGTCCTCAAGGACTCTTGGAAGGCTGCGTGTTGCTCGGGTGCATGAAGAAAGCTGGCATCTCTGGCATCTGTTGTACTGAGCATTCTGACAGTTTTACAAAGTTTTACAGCGTGTCGTGTTGCATGATGTGGAGTACGCTGCTCAGCTGATTTGGATTGGTTGCAACCTGAGAAGTTGGCCAATGGACCATGGCCTCCAAGAATGACACAGCCTTTGCAGGCCAAAGAGGCCCAGCCTACCCAGCCCCCACCCCGCCATACTGAGCCATACCGAGCCATGCTGAGCCATACCCAGCCATACTGAGCCATACGGAATCTTAGGAGAGAACGTCAGAACATCCCACTGTCACTGCATGACTCCAAGTCAGAGCCCCATGGCATCTTGGCGCTTGGCGACATGTGCACTGAGCCTTTTGAATCTTGGTCTTGGCAGCTACATCACACCGCGATATCAGATCATCGATGCGAAGGCCAGGTGTGCACTGCAGGCAGCTGGGGGCAGTTTATCGTTTGCCAGCTTATGCTTGGGGCCCACATCACCAGCCCACGCTTCAGGCCCACGTTAAATGAGGGCACATTCTGTGCATGTCGTTGCTTTTCATTGCATTTCGTTGCGTTGCGTTGCGCTGCGCTGCATCTTCGCGTGCCGCCGAAATTATCCTATAGGCGCAGGCCGCATCGACGTTTTCGGCGTCTTCTGCATAATTTACCACGGCTCAACTTCTGAGTTGAACAACGCACAGACCGGACGACACAGCTGCGCGGCCGTTCTGCTTCTGAACAGGGGGTGGGCGTGTGCATTGGGGATCAGCAGAATCCAACAGACCTCAACTCAATGCGTTCCAGTTGAGTCGCCGAGAGTGTTGCAAAGTCAAGCCAGCCACCGTACCAGTCGCCTTCGGGTAATGTCGCAAGACACCACAAGATGCAAGATTTTGCCGCCCGATATCAGTCGGAGGCCGATATCCGAGACCTGGACGTGGGAGATGTAGACGACATGGAGGTGCCCGCATGCGCATTTGCTTGGATGTTGCAGGGAAAGAGAGGGTTCGGGCCAGTCCGATGACCCGTGTCCAGCAAATCATGACTTCACGAGAGCATCAGTTTGTGCAGGTTGATGTGCCCAACCAGTTTGCGGAGCACGTGAAAGAAGTACGCGAACAGAAGAACAAACCGAAGATTGACTTCAATTCTGAGGAGAAGGGCTGGTTGGGAACGTTGCTGCCAGTCTCCCCATGTGTTGGCCTGATGGAGGATTTCAAGAGAGATCCGGCGTCTTTCATGACATCGGGAAGTAGTGGCGTCAGCATGGCCTTCGTTCAATTAGACGTGAAGTGGGTGCCTTGCCTGCACGTACTCTGAATCAGGAGCCCTTGCGTGACTTGGTGCGTGTGTCAAATTGCGTCAAGGCCATGGAGCACGGCAAGCATGACACCACGAGCCTGGCGAGAAGCTGGACGAGCCTTCTGGAGAGTGGAGGAGCCATTGGAGAGCCATGAGCAATGGGAGAGCAATGGGAGGGCTGGCAAGTAGCGGGCACATGTCAAGCCTTTAGCAAGCCGCAGTGGCTACACGTTGCGTATAAAGCAGGACCTGTCCGCGCTCGTGACATGACCTTTATACACAGCTGTGGCTTCAGGCCTTTAGCCATATAAAGTAGCTATGATTGATAAAGCACTATATTGCTTCGTTCCGCCTGCGCAGCATTCCACAGCTGTGCCGGAGCCTGAGTTCGCACGCCTGGGGCGATTTGCATTTCGACATGCGACTCGAACCTCCACTTCCTTTTGTCCCGATTACTTCACCGCCACTTTTTTCACTGGCTTAGCGCTGGAGGTGGCTTCTGATTGGAATGATAATCGGAGGTAACGATTCGTCTTGGCTGAGCTGGGCATTTGCTTGGTGATGCTTGATGCCTAATGGCCTAATGCCAATGAAATATGAAATTTCAAGCGGACGTGGGCGAAGTCTCAACAGATGACGGCAAGATTTTAAGGACTAGTTTGCGTGGTACAAGGTCAGCATACCCGAAAGCGCGACGGCACCGTTACCCTCGGCTTGCGCCCCTCTTGGCACCCCTTTCGAGACATTTCGAGACCCTGGGTGCCCAGAAGCCTACATGGCTTTGCCCTGCGGCCTCCGTTTGGTTGACCTCTTCATGGCAAAGTGGGCGAATTTTTTTTGTTGAATGCAGTGCGTCTAGCAGGTGCCTCTACAACGTTGCGTAACGACGTGAAATGATGAGGCCAACTCTGACACCGGCGGCTTCGGCAGCGGAGCCGGAAGAGCCTGGCTTTCACAGTGGCGGGGTTCAGGGCGGGCTGCTTCGAAGCCCACAGGTCATCACTGGTCTTCGTTCGTCGTCGACGTAGCACCTATGAGTCAACGGCGCGACGAAGGAGAATGAAGGAGATGGATACGCGGCGCATGGCGCCAGATATTGCCAGATGGTCAGCCTTATGGAGTGTGAGGTTTTGCCCACCTTTGTCAAGCTGCCAAAAAGCGAAGAAGCCCGCCTGGTCCTGGACGGATTCGGATCTATAGGTTACGAGGACGAGCTCTAGAGACACTAAATGACAAATGGCCGTGTCCTTGGTCGCCTTCTTCTGCCGGACGCGAACCACCGAAACTGCTTTTGTTTCTGTCGAGCTGTGCTTACATACAGCATCGGCTTTTCAGGTGAGTTTCGTGGCGAGTCTTCATACACTGCACAGTACGATCCAGAATCTTGTGCTCTCTTTCGGTTTGATCCTTAAGCCGGAGGTGATACCGCTCTCTGACCGGACTCTGTCCTGGTTGCACTCCACTCCACTCCACTTGTGCTCTCTTTCGGCTTTCATTCCTGTGACGGCCTCGTTGGCCGATCCATCTGAAGTAGTACAAGAAACACAAGGTATGTGCAACGCTGAGCGTTTCATCGTTGGTCATGACATGTCATTGCTGACGCAACGTTTCAGGCCTTCAGGTATGGCTATAGGGGAATTGTGCATTCCGGGATTGCTTTTGCTTGGTTTTATGTGCCCAATGTGCCGATTGCATTCCGCAGACGTTGATCCCGTGTGCTTTGGGACGTGTTTTCCAGGGCCACGCCCGCCGCAAAAGTCAGTGCATCTTGCGAACATCGAAGGAGTTACGGCTCAGATCTACGACACTGATCCGGGCTCCATTCTAATCGTGTGGCTGTACCACGTTTCGTTGGCATTGCAACTTCGTGATGCGCAGAGCAAACACGTTCTTCCTAGCCAGGAACAAGATCCCAGCGCAGAACATCAAGATCAAAGAGTTTGTGCTGTCTCAGCCGAACGTGGACTATTATGCACCTTGGCGATGACAGGTGGATGTCGGTATATGAACTTTGCCACCAAAGTTTTTGTTTTTGGGATGGTTGGTACGGCGTGAAGGATTGTAGCAACGGCAATCGCAGAAGCACATGGATGCGTGAGTAGCCCAGTGCTCCTAGGGATCACCAGCGTTCTAGGTTTGAAAAGATTGAAAAGGTGGTTTTGACTTTCAATGGTCAAAACTTGCAGGGACCGAAAGCCCAGAAAATGCCCGCAAGTTCTCAAGTGCATTCCGCGTGCCAACCTTGCCCCACGTTGCCCAGTTGTGCCAAGGAGCTGAACCAAAAACGCTTCTTCCCCAGTGGCCGGACGGCACCGTGCCCTCCTCGGTTTGTTCGGAGATACGGTGCGTGATCCCGCATGAGTGTCTCGCGAGTTCCAGTCCTGTCCAAGGCTTGTCACAGATGAGGAGCGCAAAGAGAGGTTGGTCTGACGCCCGGCAACCGGACTGAAGCTTGAGAGTGGAAAGCAGCGCGATCGAGGCGACGTTGCCTGGTCGCTTGGGGGCCCCGAAGCCGAAACCCACGTACAAGCCTGCCGAGGAGGTAAAAACAGGCCTGGGAGCGTTGATAAGCATGTAGAAGACGTTGTGAGACATCAATCCGCCCACTCTCGGACACTCCCGCCCCCCGCGCCCGCCCAACCGCCCAACCGCCCCGTTCCCCCAGGCAAAGGGAAGAAGCTCTGAGCCCAGCTCACTGGGCCGCTTTGCGATGGTGCGTCGGCAGAGCGTGAATTCGTCTGGCCATGCCACTCGCATCCACGCATCACGCTTGAGGCATCTCAAGTAACAGAGACCGATCGTGCGAGTGAGTCCTCAGCATTGCCTTTGCTGATTTGCTTATCTCGCAGCAGCTCCAGGCAGCGTTTGCACAATTGAACTTTGAGCATCATTATATTTTCGTTCTTTCTCGGGCCGTTTTACCATCATATCTCAGCGGCCACGAAGCTATCAAGCATTTCAACACCTTTCATGCGTGATGGATGCGGACGACACCAGCGCTCTGAAGGTGGGCGGAATGCCCTCAACATCCCAAAGCCATTCGCAATCGCAACCCTCGTGCAACAACAGCAGCGACAGCAGAGATTCGAGGCGCGGGTGGCCGAGCTGGAGACGCGCGTTCGTGAGCTGGAAGCGCAGCTTTCTGCGCATTCTGAGCCCTCGGACTCGGAGCTTGTGGAGCTCCGTGCCATTGTGGAGGCGCAAGAGGCGCCTTCTCCTATAGTGACTCTTTCGCTCTCATCGCTCTGCTCGTTGGACAGCTGTACTAGTTTGCACTCCTTCACGCAGGGTGCCCTTGATGATCAGCGTCGCATCATCGAGAGCCAGAGTAAGGGCCACGGCGTGTGTGTAAAGTGTAAAGCGCGAAACCTTCGATCTGCCATGGCCAGCGGTGGATTAGCGGTGGACTAGCTAGCGGTGGAGCGCAGGTGCCCTGATCGAAGATCTGAGCTCGCACTTGAGCGCCGCAGGTTCGAATGTCGAGGACTCGGGGAACTCGGGGGCTGGTAGCTGGTAGTGTTGAGGCTCTTGGTCCATCGGTCATCGCTTGACATCGCTTGACATCGCTTGACATCACTTGACATCGCTTGACATCGCTTGCTTGCCTCATAGAAAGCAAGGTTGTTTTTTGGGGGGGAAGTCTAAGTCGAGGGGAGACTCTGGTCGGTGCAGGCCCTGACTGAGACTGTCACGCCCTCCGCGACTTCGAGTCAAGTGAAAGAGCCGAAAGATCCAGCACATCCGGCACATCCGGCACCAAGCAGTGATCCTCAAGGCGATTGTGGTGCAAAGAGCTCTGCAAAGAGGAGAGGCGAGTCAGAGAGATTGAGGAATCGACAGACTCTCGCACGCTCGCACGCTCGCACGCGCACCCTCGCACGCGCACGCGCGCACTGACTAGGTGTGTCTGTTGCATTGTCGGGGAGATAGTTTGGAGGGCATGCTGTGTGTGTGTGTGATGCAAAGTCGAAGGCAGTCTTGTGGTGCTAAAGATTTGAGGGCCGGCGTGACTCTCACGAATAAAACGCTCTCAGATTGTGGAGGCTGCGCGGAAGCACCGCACTTCAACTCCAAGTCTGCACAAGTTCCCTGATAGCCGGGTGAAATTTAGAAGTGTGCAGCGATGACATCAACGAAGTGATTCAACGTACAGCTTGCAATGTTAAGAGGTCAAAGGCATGGATTTCAATGCAGGTGCGCTTGAAATAGCACATGCGCGCGCAGCTTCGTTGGATGCTCACATTCTGTGGAGCATCCCCCTGCTGTGTGCAATCGGGCTGTTTCTCTTTCATCCTGCAGAAGCAGATAGAAGGTTTCACACACAACACACACACACACACACACACACACACACACACACACACACACACACACACACACACACACACACACACACACACACACACACACACACACACACACACACACACACACACACACACACACACACACACACACACACACACACACACACACACACACACACACACACACACACACACACACACACACACACACACCACACACACACACACACACACACACACACACACACACACACACACACACACACACACACACACACACACACACACACACACACACACACACACACACACACACACACACACACACACACACACACACACAACACACACACACACACACACACACACACACACACACACACACACACACACACACACAACACACACACACAACACACACAAACACACACACACACACACCACACACACACAACACACACACACACACACACACACACACACACACACACACACACACACACACACACACACACACACACACACACACACACACACACACACACACACACACACACACACACACACACACACACACACACACACACACACACACACACACGCCCTTTTGGGAGGGCTCAGGCGTCACAAGCTACAGTTCTTCATCCGATGAAACTGGCATGGACAAGCACAAATGCGCTGCGCCGTCTGATCGCCGAACCTCAAGAATTTGGCAAAAGACGCCCTCCGATGCAATCGACCTAACAGCCCCAGTGCGCCCAGGGAACCTGTGGTTTCAAGGCCGAAGGGAAGAACGAAGAACGAAGCAATCACACGAACTGGCAAACAACAAGACAAGAAACAACAAGCGGTGAAAAGATAACAACCTAAGACATGCTGAATGGGCCAAGGCCCTCGGTTGTTGAAGATGGCGAGTTTGGCGCAACATTTGTTGAGGTTATAGGCCTAGTACGAAGATGTGGATCACTGTCGGTTCCCACACACCATTTGAGTCCTAGTTGTGAAAGGTTATCCATGTCCAGGCACGTGTTGCCGCGAGGCTAACGCAAGCCGGGGTTGCGGGTCGCATACATTTTCGACATGGATGTGTCCACAGGTGTGCACCGGACTGTACATGCTCCCACACACCGCCCGTGCTACACCGCCCGTGCTTTTGCTGGTTGAAACAGGAGTGGGATGAGTGGAGTGTTCTGCGAATAAGCAGCATGGCGTATTGCTCAGCACGAGTATGTGCCCACCATCAACGATGATGAACCAATGCACTATCTTAGTGTACGCTGTCAGACGTTAAGACAATCACGGAGCAGGCGCGTTTCCAAAGCGGGCAGAGCCTTGCAGTCTACCGCACCTTGCCGGTGCTGGTAGGTGCTTGGAATTGCGTGCTCAGCAGTCTTCACACACACACGCACGCATGCAGGCACGCATGCACGCACACATGCACGCACGCATGCACGTGGTCACCCTTCCCCGCTGAGACCTCTATGTGGACCTGGGCCAATACTCCTCCCTTGCCGATCTCCCAGTGTTCCTATGATTGTAGTCACACCCCACAATACATGTCGGGTATCCTCCCCCCCCCCCCCCCACTCCCTACACCCCCTCCAACCTCCAGCACCCCCACCCTCCTTCAGTCCCTCCTTCACCCACCCACCGTTCCACGAGTGCTCCAGGGCAGTCTCATGGCCGCTACCAGGGCCTCCGCTGCCGCCTTTCTAATTATTTGGGATTCCCCCTTTTTCCCCTGTCAGGTCTCGTGACAAGCACTCGCTTCAAAGATGCAGAGTTCGAGGGCTCATAGGGTACTCCTCGTTTGCAGCATTCGGGTGTCCAAACTGTCCGACCTTTGTGAGACTTAGAACGACCCTGTGAAATACATGTCCATTCCTACCCACTGAATGTAACTTCCGGAGCGGAGGGTCGACTAAACCTCTTTCTCCCCACACACACCGACACCGCAGGCGCATTCACAGGCATGAGCTCATGCACAGACACGGTCAGAAGGCACAGGTTTTGGGAGGGAGGGGCAATCGCCAGGTCCCAAGCGCCGGAGTGGTGGAAGTGGCGGAAGCGGATATCGCGGGACAATGAGCGCTCCAGGTCTGCGCAAGCCTGTGAGTGCATCGTCCGGGGGTGCAGGAGCAGCTGCAGGAGCCGTGGGACGGGAGAAGGTCGATCGCAAGGAGAAACGCCTGGGCTGCTCGTCGGGCAGCATCAGCTCTGCAAGCAGTGGTGGCTTGGTTCGAGGGCCATCTCCACGAACGACGCCTCGCAGTGCCAGCACGGGCATCGCCTCGCGTGAGACTAGAAGAGCAAACTCTAGCACACACGGCGGTCCCAACGTGTCTTCTGTGGGGTTGCCTCCCTCGCTTCCCTTGCTGCGGCAAGAAGCATAGTGGCGTAGTGTTCCGAAGAAAAAGTGAAGAAAACTTGGATTTAAAACACTTCCAACAGCTGTCTCAAGCAGTGCTCAAACCAGGGCAGTCTGCAGTGGCAAATGTGAGGTTTCACCTGGAGCTTCCAAAAATGCGGTTGCTCATGAGCACGTTTAAAAGAAGCAATTTGACAACGTGATGAGAGGAGCATCGGGAGAGGAACTGCGCAATCTGCACATCAGCCTGAGCTTGTCGTAGGCCCCGTGGCCACTGGTACAAGCCCGAAGAACATTCTCGCGTGGCTTTGTGCTCCGCTGCAGGAATTGAGTCACTATGAGAAGTACTCCACGAAAATAAGTAGACTCTTCAGAGGCTTTGGAATCCGTGTTCGATCCACGTAGAATCTTGGCGAGCCCAGATGGCGAGCTCTGAGGCTCTTCGAACGCAGGATTGCTTTAGGTCCTTCTATCCTTTCTACATCCTCGCATAGTGTAAACTTCCACTGTGAGGCTCTGTACTCGCAGTTGAAAGGACTGGGTTGTGCAGTCTGTGTCATAAGACCCATCAAGCGTAGCCTCTCGCGATCTGTCAGCCAGCTCTTATCTTGCTCAGGAGGATGTACGCACGCAATTGGCGCGACCGAGGCGTGCACAGACTCCTTTATCTGGTCTCTCCCTGTTTGTACTCCATCTTGCTGAGCTGAGGCCAAGGGTTACAGCAAAGGCCGGGTTCGAGGCACAGCTTGGGAGCAAACGGGCCGAGATTTTTGCCAGAAGAGTGTGGTTTTGCAATGTTTTGCATGTACAGTGCAGTGTACCTGATTGTACCATCGCCCCTTGCTTCCGAAGGAGCGCCTTCACTGGGTAGTGGCTTGAGGCATGGAATGCCGACGAGAAAAGGTTTTGCGGGGCATTGTTTCATGCCGCAGAGTGCGGAGGCCACTTGATGAGTTGACTGCAGAGACAGGGCCTCAGAGAGCGGGAGAGGGGAACGAGACGAAGGCGCAAGGAAGGCTTTAAATTGAATGTCTAAGAACGATCCATGTACTTGCGTTACATACAGTTGCATACAGCACAGAGCATCGCAACTACAGGTTCGCGAGAAGACACGGTGTCGTGGACCCTCGAGACACAGGCGCAGCCCACAATCCCTGCCAAGAGGTCGAGCAATGTGCATTGGTCTTTGCAGGGAGGAGCACCCATGTCGCCCATGCAAACGCAAATGGCTGGGCAAAGAGATCTGACGCGAGACCTGACGAGGTTGATACTTGGCAATGCTCGGCATGACTTGCATATCTTGAGCCGCCGTGCTTTATGAACATCCAAATCTTTAAGGCAGATTGCGGTACCAACGCTGGTGCTGCGCTTCTGCGAATGCTCAAGGCACCATCAGAACGCGTCGCAGTGCCACTCTCTTCCCATGTTCACTGTGTTCACGCAGGTGAGTGAGATTGCGAAAACATGGTGAAAGCATGATGTCGCAGCTTGACAATTCACCTCAGGGCAATGACTTCGACAGCTCGGCAGCATCTGCATCCTATTCGGGCTACTTGCGGCAGGAGGACCGACAGGAATACCCAGACTACCAGGAGTACGACGACTGGAGCTGGCAGGGCTGGGGCTGGTCTGGCTGGAATGACTGGAAGGCCTGGGTTGCGAACTCGTGTCAAAACTTGCCAGAATAGAGCGAAGAGAGAATGATACAGTAGGGTAGAAAGACGGCCGATCGTGGACTTCTTGTTTAAGTTCCCATTTTCTTCGTGGTCTTGCCGATGGGTGGCGGAGGTCGTGAAGTGCGTATTCTTACTCACGTGTGTGTGTGTGTGTGTGTGTGTGTGTGTGTGTGTGTGTGTGTGTGTGTGTCCCGTGTGCCGAGATTGGCAGCTAGCCAGCTAGCCGAAGTATGTCGAATCATTGATCCAGACCTTGAGTTCTTTATCTGCAGCCATCGTCGGGATGATTTTGGGCATCATCGGGGACGAGAATCATACACGGACTCAAGACCTGTTCTATGTATTCATGCCGAGCGCAGCAAGCCAAGCTAGATGCCAGGAATGGCCGTACACGGTTGGTTCGCATTTCCAACTCCCGTGACTAATCGTGGTTGCATGTGGCTGGGCACCAGCTGGTAAGCACTTGGGAGTCTTATCTGATGAAGCAAGGCTAGCCAGGTCCGGCACTAGACAATGCACTGCATGCTGCCGACTTTGATTTCCAGACAGAAATTCAATGAAAGTCAGGCTTCGCAAGATTTGATTACACGCTGATGCTGTGCACTGTTACACTTTCATAATTCGTTCTCACTTCACTACATCTTCGGAGTTCCCTCGGTCTCTCATAATCCGTGCACTTGGCCAAAGTTGCCCAAACACCGTTTTTGAGGTTTTTTGGGTCTACCATGGTCTGCCCAATTCTGACCCCGGACGCAAGCGGAGCATGACTCTGGCCAAGTCATGACGAACGAGCAAGAACGATCATGACGAACGAGCCCCGCCAGTGTTACTGATTGGCTGCCAAGGAATATTCCTTTGAGAGCTGTCAGGTCAGCGAAGGACCAACATGGTCTGATTCTACAGGGAGCAGACGCCATGGCCTTGGCAAGGGCAGCCATAGGGCAGCAAGGATGAGCTCACGTGCGATGGACGAGCGGTTCCTGTCTTCTAGAGCTCAGCAGAGCCTGTAGAGTCCGCTCTCGCGCCTCTTTGCAGCCTGTCCACGGCTACATGATTGCTCTCTGCAGGTGATTTCGATCGGGCTCCGCAACTTCAGGCACCGGCAGAGGTCTACGAAAGTTCCCACCGCAACTACGAGACATTTGAAAGCTTCAACCAGGCTGGGTTGGAGAGTGCTGTCGCAGGCAGAGTGTCACCGGTCATGTGCTCCAGTGGCAGGCACAGCCAGAGTTTGCATCCCTGGCACTCGCCTCAGTCAACGTGCCTACTGCTTTCGAAGCTCGCTGCCGCTTCTCTCGGTGCGTGTTAAGGCTGATATTTCAAGCAACACAAAGCGGTTCGTGGAGGCTTCGTATGGCACTGAAGCACTTGCCTCAGCTTTGGGATTGGTGGACTTTCTTTGCGTCTAGGAGGTGAAGCATGAGGAAAAACGGGAGACAGTGGAGCCTCACACTCTGAGGAAAGACCAGGTACATCATCACAGGGATGGTCTGCATCGACTTCGTCGAGTTCCGGCCCAAGGAATTATGGCAACATCTCAAACCCTAGCTACAGCAGAGACGCAAGCGAATCCTTCCTTCCCTTCTCGGCTTTCCCTGAGCATGGCCCGTACGGGGTCGGCGATGGTGTGCCAAATTGCATGCACACACAAGCGAATTTCTCTGCAATGGGAACTAACGCAAGCATGAGCACGGGAGCAGCGCCAGGCTCCTTAAGCGCTCACCAGTGGGTGCAGAATGCCCCTGATGCCCCCAAGCACTACGGGGCCGCGATTCCAGCAGCTCCAGCTTTTCCTCCTCCTCCTCCCCAAACTCCTCCTCCTCCCCAAAATCACCTCCAGCACCAAGCACAGCACCAGCAGCAACAAAGCCAGGGCCTCGGACATGACAGCTTGGGCGGCTTGGGCGGCTTGGGCGGCTTGGACTCTTCCCCACTGGGATTTCCAATCCCAGAGACGGCTTTGCACTTGGACACCTTGGACACCTTGGACACTTGTTCCAGGGAGGCAAGTGATCTATGTGATCTCAGTGATCTCACTTTCTCGACGAGCGATGTGAAGAAAGAGTGGCACTCGCGACGGGAGCTCCTTGCCATGCGGCCACCACACTGTGCACAGGAGTCGGCCAGAGAGTAGAACAACGTATAACAGTGTAGAACAATGTGAACAATGTAGAACAATGTAGAACAGAGTTTGAAGGTGTTTGACAATGACATGCACGAGCATGCAGGAGAAGCTTCCTGGTATGCCATCGACGAAAATGATGGTGTTTCTGTTGCAAGATGTGACTGTGATGCTGTAGGCTGTATGTCCATTTTGTGTACTCCTGCCACAGTGCCACAGTGTGTGTTGCAGGATATCGGGGAGGGACGCGGGGCTGATGAGCAAGACCTTGTGCCGCTACCGCCTGGGCCACGAGACCGGAGCAAAGCAGGGATCTCGGCGTGATGTTGGTGATGTTGTGCCCCGGTCAAAATTGAGAAAAATTGAGGAAGTTTCGGAAAGTGTGCTTTTTGAAAGGTTGGAGCACTGCCTTGCGTTCGGTCCTCAGCTGATCCTGGTCAGTCTGGGTCTCAGAGCCCGCGTTGGAGAGGCGCCTGGGAGTTCGGCTTCCCCGTCGCTGCTCCCATCAAGCTCCAGAGAGACTCAAGAGACGCAGGTCAATGCCTTTCCTGAGCTTGCCTCAGGGCCTGTTGGCCTAAGTGCTGCGCACATTCTCGCACATCCTCACTCTTCACTACGCTTGTCCAGTTGTTTGCAGCGGAGGAAGCTCGGGTCTATTCTCGAGGATTCAGCAAGCCACGGCCTCATCAAAGGCCAACTTCAAAGCGAAAGAAACAAAGACTCCTCGAAACAGTTCAGATCAAGTCAGCCTTTTCACTGAGGTGGTTTGCTCCTCAGAGCACCATGCAGCAAAGTGCTTTCACCACGAGCATCGCAACGCATGAGGCAGTCACACACGCGTGAATCTGGCTCTAGCCTAGTAAAATGTATACTAGAATAGGTATCTTGGCCACCTGTACATCTGTGAGAGGCTGGCTTGTCCACAGATGCAGGAAGTGGTCTCGATGAGTCCAGCGAGGACGAGGTGCATGTGGCCAAGCGTTTCTAGAGGTGGGTAGTCAGAACGGAAGTGCTGCTTCGAGGCCACAAAATGAGCAGCCAAAGTGGATGCCAGCAAAGTGAAAGGTGTGATCCGACCCAGTTGAGACTTCGTGTGTTTTTTTTGTTGCAGTTGTCCTGCTGCACGTACCCTTGTACATAGCTTGCAGCCGCATGCCGACGGCATGCAAATGGCGGCACTGTTTCACCACAGACCCACGGTGTCCACACACTTTGTTTTTTTCTCCTTGTACGATGATCGTGCTCTACTGCGCACCTATTTTTAAGCAGCGGTGCACCAAACTGTCCGAAATTGTCGGTGCTTTCCTACCCTCAGGAAGCACCGGCCTCCATGACTGTTGGAGGCATGTGGAGGTCACGGCATGAATTCAGCACCGGCCTCCGGTGACTGGCACATGGGGCGACCGAGCAACACCGTGATACTGGATGTATAGGATAAGTCGGATACATCCGGAGGTCCTGCCCACGATGGCCGCAGAAGTACAGCTCAAGTCTGTGGCAACTGGCATCACAAACTCACAGCCTATAGATACAATAGACTTGTAGCTGCAGCCTCCCTCAAGTCCTGAAAGATTCCATTACATGTCCTGATCATGTCCTACTGCAAGTCCAAAGGTGCTTGCCTCACGGTTCCAGGAACGGAAAAAGCGTGCGGAAACGCCTCCTTCGTTCGGGGCTTCTCGGTGCTTGGGGACTTCATGCGTCTTTCCCGTTGTAAAAGGGCTGCGGCTGCGAAGCGGGTGGTAGACACGGTGTTATTGTTGCCGCCTCGGCTCGACCAGCAACTTAACGCAAATATGAGAGTCTTGGCAACTCAAGTCTGTTCAGCACCTGTGAAATGTGTTTCATGTCTCATAAAGCCAGTCTCTTGGTGGCCTCAATGAAAAGCGCAGATCATTGTCATAGGACACGCGCCGCAAGTTACCAGCTGTAGCTTAGGGTTGCAGGCTTCAAGCCACTTGATGCAATGGATGATGATGATGATGCTGATGCAGCTCTCGAAAAGTTCTTCGAGGAGGAAGTCGATTTAGTAGGTTGGCAGATTTCTTGACGTGCCATGTCACGATGTGAAGCAAACACCTTGGATCTGAGAGGGGAGAATCAGTTGTAGTTGCCCAAGCCTGTCCAGGATGCTCTGCTGGAGGCACTACAGGATGCTCCAGACATGGAAGCCCAAGCAGAGGCCTTCAAGGACCGCCATAGCTCCCGCTATTCAGCCGCTATTCTGCTGCCGGTGCCTGGAGATTCCGATGCTTTTGCTTAGATTTGCAGGCTCGGTCCGAGGGCTCGAGACAGAAGGACGAGAAGAGCTCTACAAGGCCGAGAACATGCCGACGTAGCGACCAGTTGCAGCAGCCTCTGTGTCTCTCGCTCACTCCCTGTCTCTCGCTCCCTCTTCCTCTCTCTCGCTCTCTCTGTGTCTGGGCTTTGCAGGAGTGAGGGTCCTCAAACCAAAGCGGGCTTGCAGATGCGAGCAACTGCTTCTGCGGCGCAGGCGCGCCCTTGGAAGCTGCTGTCGTTTTGCATCCGTTGCTGTTGAAGCTGTTCGGCTTCTCTCGTGGCCGGAAGCAGGATTCGCTCTGATGTTTTGTATCCGTGCTCTCTTCATCTAATATCTCAGCTTTATTTCAACCATGAATTTTTTTACACCCGATGTACCGCTGCGTGCATTCTATGTTAAATACGTAGGAATGATTGCGAAGCACGTTCTGCACCTCCCCTTCTCCCCCCTCACCAAATGGACACACAGAACCTGGACGGGCCTGACGACTCTGCTTCATTCATTTTGCTCTGGTTCTTTCCTGTGCTCGCTGGCATGTCGGGTTACAACGGCTGCAGGGTCACAGCTATGTCGCCAGGAGCTGTGATTCTCTCAAAGTCGCTTTGGCACCTCAAACACTACAAAGGCCAAGAGGAGCTCAACACCTGAGGAGCCAGCTGTTATCAGTGGAGCACCAACATCCCATGCGTTGCGCTTCAATCAAGCCAGGTCACAGATGCTCAGGTTTATGCCGTCTTTGTGTCATTCTGCACGGACGCCGATGCCGCGCGCTTCACTGACGCGGTATGTATTAGACATTTAATTCCATTGTATGGTGCCGCGGTACATATGGCCTGCATGTTGACCTTGAAGCTGCAAAGGGCGATTGTGAAGACAAACTTCGGGCCTGCCAAAACCTTCCAGAGATCTTTAGCTGTACTTCTAGAAATCTAGATTTTCTTTTCGTGCAAGAGTCCGAGTCGAATAAACGGTCCGCGTCATCCCCTCGCCTCGTGAAGAACGCAGATCCTGATCCAAAAGCGCAAGCCAGACATTTGAGGCCACTGCAACACGCAAAGCAAGGGCAAGCGGAATCGCCCAAAGCTCGATGGCAAACCCGGTCAACTTTACCACCATGGCAATCACGGCATCTGACACACTGCGCAAGTGGACTTTTGATCCTCTTGAGCCAAACACAAAACAGCCGACCAGCTTCCGCAAAAGCATCTAGTCGCAGCTACCTTGACAGAGTCTTTAAGGCATTCCTGCTTAGCCTTAGCTGAACCGTTCTCAAGTGCTCTGCTTTGCTTTGCGACGAAAGCTTCCATTTAGCGCTCAAACTTCTGCTGGGCGGACCAGCCGACCTACACGCACAGGCAAGCGGAGCCAAGCACACCGACGAGGGTTCCATGCCTCTGATTCTCTGAAAAGTGTACGAGTGGGAATATGACAAATCATGAAAATCAAAGTGGATCTATGTGAATCTATGTGAATCTATGTGAATCTATGTGAATATATGTGCATTATGTGAATATGTCATATATACCGCCATCGCCTGAGATTTGCAGGCATCCCGCGAGCCTGCGGGGCCTGGGCATGGCTCTGCGCCCCAGAGCTTCGACGTGGAGGCGCCCGGAGCGCCCGGAGCGCCCGGACCCGGCCGGCGCAGAGCGAAGGGACGGTCCTGGCGCGGCCGCTGGGCAAAAGAGCTGGAGCTGGGCCGAGTCTTCGAGTCATCTTAGGACTATTTAGGACTCAGAGTCTTTGAATGTAGGTCCGAGCTGAGCTCGATTCAGCTGCTTTGCTTTAGGCCCTTTAAAGGCTGCTGTTGACATCTGTTGACCTTCAGGTACCATGGCCGTCATTCTAGTAAGCCTGGTCATCTGGGCTATACTTATGGCCATCTGGAGTCCAGCAGAGCTGTGGCCACACGTTCCCGAAGTTTCAGTGGCTACCGAGGGGCTGGTGAAGGCAGGGTCTCTTGAAGCAGTTTCTATCCCAATCTCTCTCTCCTTCAGATGCGATGCATGCCATGCTTCGAAGGAGATGGCAAGAAACACACCACGACCGATCCAGCTGCCTGGGCACAGCTCCGCGAACGAGACCCGTGCTGCTGGCCCTCGTGCCCGCGTGAATGTGTCCTGGTCGTCGCTGGACATATCTGGCAATGCCACCGATGCAGTTGCAGAAAACTCCACAGGCCTGCCCAAAGCGTCTCTGATGTTCCCGGGTGTGGATGCATTCATGTCGACCACGCCGCAGGTGGAGGGCGTCCAGTACCTTTCCGTCGCAAGGGCCGGCGTGTTGATGGCATTGGCCATTGAGAGCGTGTTCCCAGCAGAAAGTGACGCTGTGCTTCCCCTTCCGCTTCATGCTGCCACTTCTTAAGGTGCATCTGTGGAGTGAGCGGGTGCTTGACTTCACCATACGCCGCGGGCATTTGTGCTCAAACCCAGGCCATGTGCCGAGCGGCTGAACTTGTAGCAGACGGTGCCAGACGTGTGAGGTGCAGATGTGAAGGGCGTATACAGGATGGACCTCTCGAGTCCCTCGAGCCTCGGCAACGTGAGGCACTTGGGACGTCGCGTGCGCTGTGTGCTTGGCATCTTGTGAGGCCAGGCTCTAGAGACCCATCGCCAGATGAACACGGCGAGAAGGGTATGGCACAGGTCCTTGCCCGGTGTTGGGCACGAAGATGGGGCAGAGGCAAGGGCAAGGTGCCAAGGAGAAAGACACGCTGGACAAGCTTTCCTTCGTGGCTTGCCTGCTGGTTTCGCTACTGTTTCACCTGGCCTTTCATCTTCCTCATCCTCCAGACTGGGGCTGCAACCCCTCTGGTGGTGTCATTGACATTTCAGCAAGGAGTCTTACCTTTGGAAATCAATGTGCCTACCAACGTTTCAGCTGAAGACATCCGGCTTGATTCAGAGGCCTGGTTGAAATGACGCACGGAGTCTGCACCCGCACGTGCTAGTCACCAGCCATTGCTGGCCGCTCATCGCGGCCGATGCACTCCAAGCCGTACGCGTGCAGGTGCGCATCATCTTTGATGAAGACATCGTGTTGCAGTCTTCTGGGCGGGCCTGGGCCTGTGGACGGCTGCGCTCTTGTGATCTCTTGTGTGTGACGCCATGGATCTGGAGGTTACGCTCTTTGATGGCGTGAACTACACCGCCTTTGGATTGGGCAGTGGGGCTGTGCCACGCTGAGGTTGAAGTTTGTTGGGGGAAAAGTTTGAAAAACCATATCCTCCCTGACACTCAGGTCATATCCGCGAATGATTCCAGCCAGTTGGTGCTGAACGAGGGAAACTCGGATGCCACCTTCTTGACTGAGTTTGTCGGCTATTACCTGACAATTGATGCCGGCACCGTGTCGGGGCCTTTCTCGCCTTTCTAGGAAGGAGAAGTAATTGTAAACGCTTGCGCGCACCGCCTCGGCAGCCGGGCCGGCCCCAGGACAGGAAAGGAGGAAAAAGGGTTTCGCAAAAAGGGGCAGAGGGGTGGGGGGGGGGTGGGGGGGGGGGGTGGGGGGGGGGGGGTTGGGGGGGGGGTGGGGGGGGGGGTGGGGGGGGGTGGGGGGGGGGTGGGGGTGGGGGGGGGTTTTTGAGGAATTTCCCTGTAGGAGCCACCGAGAGGCAGGACCCTCCACAGCGTCGGTTTGCAGCTCCTCCAAGCGATTGGGGGGGGTCCCACAGGGCGGGGGGGGGGGGGGGGGGGGTGGCGTTACAAAATTGGGCATGGGGAAGGGTTGGGTTCGGGGGAAGGAGGCCCGATCCGGGTCTGCTTGTTCCAGACGCTTCTCGGCAGGAAGCCGAGGCGAATATTAGAGAACACATGAACGAGGGGGGCAGTGTTGGCTCTGACAAGGTGGTAGTGAGTGGCTCAGTGACCGAGGCGAAGTGCTGGCAGCGGTCTTCCGAATGCATTCTTCCAGTATACTTTCTCCACGGGCGACTTTACGCCGCCCAGCTTGGTCTCGCTGCTTCCTTCCCATCAAGAGCCAAGCCGCAGCCTGAATTCGACAGTGTTAGACACTTTGTGTTTCAAGAGGACGAGCCATTTGCAGTCTTAACCGGTCAAACAATGTAGGATACTTCGTTTTGACGTTCTTGAACATACAGAGACTTAGATCAGACCCAGAGCATTCCAGAGCTGGGCAAGATGTGGACCTTGATCCCAGTCAGGGTGTGAAAAGATCTGTAAATGCAGCCATTCGTCATTTCAGCGTCATTGGTGCTTCGCTTACGCTGGCTTGGTCAATCTTGCTATACATCGCTGCGAAGCTACTTTATTGCTCTCCAAGTGGAGAGCTCGTTTACAAGAAATGTCTCAAACGGAATGTTCTCAGCTAGCAAGGACAGTGCAGGTTAGCATTGATTGGCTCCACTGCTTGTAGAAGCAGATTCAGGTTTATTGAAATCTTCCATGGGAGTGTCATGTTGTTGAAGCATGTCCCGGCTAGATGCTTTGGTGTCGTTTTTCACATGCAGACACTCTGCCAAGGTGCCGACCCCGACGACAGCATCAACTTGACGTTCTCAGAGGAAGTTGAAGCATCTCCCGATGGGAGCAAGGCAGTTCTATCAGTTCTGCAAGCCTGCTTTTGTGGCTTTCGTGAGTGCTACGCGCGACCTTTGGTCCAGGTTGTCACCATCCAAAATTTATACACCGGTGCAAGCACCAGTATGGCCTGCAAGTCGAACTCAGTGGCGGAAGCCTCACGTCCTGAATGTGTCAAGCTGTGTTGCCTCATCAGCTTTGCACCTGACAAAGGTTCTTGAATACAACAGCGCCATAGTGGACCCAGCCGGTTTCACAGTCTACTGCCAACGGTACGAAGTGGCCTGGCGATACCGGGCATACTTTTGCCCATACGCGTCTATGATCTACTGTTGCATTTCCTATTCAGAGGTATTGGCCCTGTATGGAAAGGAAATTCGATGCACGCCACCTCCTATTCTGCAGTCAAGGTTGCATATAGCGCCGGATGCTTCCGTGATCTGTCAGCTTCTCAGAACGAAGCGGCAGCATTGCCGGCAGGCGGGCCAGCAAGCTTTCTCGTCTGCAACCTGGTGTTGTGTCATGAGTCATGCTGTGTCGAATCAATGTTCTCCCACAGTTCTCCCAGAGGTGCCTATGTCTTCGAAACGTCATGCATCACTGGCTTCAGTCCGCCCAACAACGGTCAAGATTTTGCTTTGGATGGCAGCCTCGTGATCAACTTCAGCGAGGCGGGTTTCCTCTTCGTGGGTACAATGCTGTACTTCTGCCGCAACTTCTGCGTGTGTAGTTGCGTGTAGTTGTGTGTGGTTCGCAGATTGCAGGCCGTTGAGCCCGGTTCGGGCAACATCGTCCTGACTCCTTTGAGCCTTGCCTCGCAGTACCGTTCCATCCCCATCCAGGATGACTTGCAGGCAAAGGACATGCAGGCAAAATAATGCCAGACCCTCACCTTGCCCCACCGCATACTTTTTGGTGCCTTGCGCAGGTCACATTCGACTTGCTCAACACGTCCATGACGATCTCTCCGAATGTCAGGCACTCGGACACCTCGGCAACTTGTTGAGGGTTCGTGCATTCCTAGTTTGATGAAGCCCGTGCAAGTCTGTCCAAGTCTGTCGCTGTAGCTGCCTCTGCATTGTATTCGTAGCTGGAGCGCAGGCTTGACTGGCACAGTGAAGTAAGGATCCGCTGCTGGCATCCGAAGTTGCACGAACCAACCTTTGTCCCATAAATGCGGTGACCTTGGACGACTGCAAGGGCCAGGCCAGTGCATCCCTCGCGCTCTGAGTGCCACCATGCATCGTTCTGCAACGCTGCTTCACTCTGCATGCTGCATATTCAAGATCCTACCACCCCTTCCCGGATGCGCTCCCTGCTGGTAGATGCCCTTTTCCAGATGCTCCCCATTCCAGATGCCCATTTGCTGATGCACTCTGTTTAAGATGGCCCCGTCCCAGATGCTCTCATCTCAGATGCCCTCATTCCCAGATCGTTCGTTGATCTGCTAGATCTGGGACATCACGCTGGCTTCTGGGGTCTTGCGCCGTGTCACGTCCACTCCATTGCTGGTGTCGGACTCATGCAACAGAGAGTGCCGCCTTATGCAACAGCCTTACGTCAACAGCACTTTTCACACAACGGAACATTCTCCCAGGCACAGCAGGACCTGCTGGAGCCGCTCCAGCCTGCCGGCTCCAATGGTGAGACGTACCGTGCCACATGCTGAGAGCCTGTTGCTCACTGCACCTGTCGTGCAGTCCTTCCTGCTCATTGAATCATGCGGCCTGAAGGTTCGCACGCAAGTCGCTGACGTCACACCACCAGGCCTTGTAGATACTTTGATGCTGCGGTCACTCTGCAGAACTGCAAGTGTTCGAAGCCCACGTTGTATCTATGTGTCGCAGTTCTGACGGTGGTGTCAGCCGACGGCATTTCCGAGAATATCATTCGTGTGACTATCCGTGGGGTTCCTACAGCAGCAGTTGGTTGCACTGCTGGCTCACGGAGGGCTGTTGACGCCCAGCCTAGCCGTTTCTGGTCTGACAATGTCTCCAGGTCTTGACGAAAGCGGCACGTCCTTTTGTCAGGCCTTCCCGGTGCCTCGTCTGCACGCGAACTCAGGCTTCCTGGACAGTACGGAGGCACGGCTGTTTTTCCATGCACCTGCGTGCTAGATCTCAGCAGCTCAGGATGGGAGCAATGGACAAAAGCTTGCAGTCACACTTTCAGAGATTGGGTCCACGTTCTCTGCTTCTGTCTGCGCCTTATTGTGCTGTGTGAAGCCTGCTTATTGCATTGCCAGTTAAAGTCGTCATCCGATGTCCACAGTTCACAGGCTGCCTTCAGCTCGGCGTTCGGTTATGCTGAGATGGAGGTCGATGTTCCAGGCTCAGGAGATCTCAGGAGATCTCAGGAGACATCCGCGGACATGCTGAGCAGCTCCATTGCCAGCACAGCTTAGGTTGCTGGGCTGACAGCAAAGACTCTCTACAACGTATACTGCTATGCGCAGGAGCTGTAGCGTTCCGGGCAATGCGCCATCTTGAGCAGAGATGCGCAAGCCGCAGGACACCGAACTGCCCATCGTCAACGTCATAACCATGGGTGCGGCAGTGGCAACCAAACAACGGGTTCGCACTCTTGACACGACAGCACCGACAAGCTTCAATTGCACTGCACAGGCTCTGGCCTGCAGCAGATGGGTTGAAATGTTTTCTGTACATTGTATTGACTCTTGGAGTATCCTGACTTGTCCTCCTCATTCCTGCCCTCATCTTCTCATCTTCGAAGGCGACCTCGGGGCGGGAAGATGGAATTGATGTGAGCCTAACGCTGGACGAAGCCGGCACGGCCTTTTGCGTCGCTGTGCGCTCGGGCCTCCCGCAGCCCAGCCGCTTCATGGTAGCAGCAGGACAGATCCAGACATGTGCAAGCACCTGATGCGCCAACATTCTATGGCCAGTAAGTTGCACATCGGCAGCTCACAGTCATAACAGGACATAACAGTCCTCTTGAGGGCCCGCGACCATTTGTGACCCGTGACCCGTGCAGGAGGATTCAGCTCGACCACTTTGTTCTACCAGTTCGCCTCTCAGCCTCTGGGTGCTACATTCGCAAGGGTTGGACAGAGCATGACAGCGTGCAAGTGCCAGGCCATATGCGGCCAGCATGCTGGTTGACATGGTTGCCGCGGACTATGGGCCAAGCGGACGGGTCCCACTTCAAAGGGGGACTGACTACAACGTGTTCTGCTCGCTGCTCAATCTATTCAACTTGCAGATGGTGTTGTTTCTCCATGAAGCTTGGCATTTGTTTTTGATTGAGGCTGGGCGCAGGACGAAGAAGGACCAATGACGGGCGACAGTTGGCTGATTGCAGGGTGCTTGTCAATGCTTTCGTGTCCCTTGGCCGCTAGGCCCGCTAGGCTCAAAACTACAACTTGCTGCGGAAGGTATGGCTTTTTTCATCACCTCTTGTGCCCTGCTAGTAATTCAGTAATTCAGTTTAAGCCAAACTCGCCAAGCCTTAAGCCTACGTCTATGCTTACACCTGCATCGCCAGCAGCGAGTGGCAGCAGCGGTAGTGCTGTGCTCGGGCCGGTCGTTTCGTATTTTGTTCCCGAAAGTTTCTTGTTTGAGTGAGTAGGCCTTGTTGTAGAAAGTTGTTGCATCGTCGATGTGGGTTACGGCCTGTGGATGCAATCAGCTGCCGTCACTGAATGGCCACCGTACTTCACGCAGTTACAGAACAGTGTCCTGTATGAGTTCTCCCGGACTTACGAAACAGCGGGTTGGGAATGTGGGACTGGGAGGAGGAGGGTGGGCGAGGAAGAGCCATTAGTTCTCGAGGCACCGAACGGCCAGAGGTCGCGGCAAACTGTTGAGTTGTCGAGCAGAAAGATGACACAAACCTTTTTCGACTGTGCACTTGGCAGGAAACGGCCAGACAGATCCTGTCCAGTGTGGTCCTCTTGCTGTGCCAGGAGTCGTCCGGACGCGCGAAGCTTAACCTCTTCTTTGGGAGGTGTTCATCTCTATCAAATGCCTAACGCTGAGGCTGGATTTGACGCCTCCCCAGATGACCGTCATTGACGCCGAGGCACTGCCTGAAATTCACACTACAGTCAGCTCGCCCATGGTGCAGAAGTCGTACAGATGCTTGCTGTAGTGTTGCGACGATTCAGCATGTTTGCCAACGGGAGGCGGTGGCAAAGGACACTTTGCACCTGATTGTGCGCGTGGACGAAGGAAGCAAGATATGGTGTGCGACATGGGAATCGGAGCCTGCCACCCAGTACCTGCAAGGACATGGCTTGTCGCGTCTGATCTTGTCATAGCTTTATCCTTATCGCAAACATTCTATAACAATTCTATAACGGTGTTCGCTTCACTTCAAAGATCTGCCTGTTCCAGCGGGGAGCGTTGAACTTGAGGATAAACTGCAGCCGGCAAAAAATGCAAAACCATGCCAAACCATGCGAAGCCAATGCCCAGGCCTAGCTAGGCCTTGCTGGTGCAACCCTGGAAGGTTCCATGGTTAGTGGTTTCATCGGCAAGCGTTCGGCGGCTCGCCCTAACTCCCAGATAGAAATATAAAAGTTTTTCATTGAGAAAAGCTCCAAACTTAGCGAAAAACCGGCGGGGGGGGGGGAGGAGGGTAAAGTTTCCCAGGGAAAGACGGGGTTGCGGGAACGATGCGAAAATGATGATCACTTCCGGCCTCCGCTGCCGAAGTTTTTCGGGCTTCGTGGCTGACTGCAGACGCACTCACGCATGCCGGCAGACTGGGATAGTCCACTCTTCGAGCACGCACTGACGCACCCACGCATGCGCTCTTGTCTCCTTGCACCGTGGCCACGGCAACACACCGCTCAGTAACACCCGTGAAGCAAAGCATTCGAGAAACACTCGAGAGCACCAGCGCTGCCCCAAGAACTTTGGGCACAGAAGTAGCCAGCTTGCTCGGGAAGCAGCGGCCGACCACGGTGCGAGTGTCACCAAGGCCGATGAACATGTCAGCCGATTTCGAGAACCTCATCAAAGCCGAGTCTGCCAACTGCACTGCTCAACTGGCTCGTTACCGCTGTCGTGTCGCATGTCTCGGGTCGACTGTCTCGGGTCGAATGTCTCGGTCGGTCAAGTTGGATTGCCAGGATGCCTTCGGGAACGAGTGTGGCACGTTTTGGATCTACGATCTGGACGACATTGAGGATGGCTCGGCAGATGGCATCTCTACGCCAGCGGACTTTGACGTCAGCCCGTGGAAGTACCAGCAAGATGTTTCCATTTTACTCTTGAATCTGGAAGAAGTCCGGGCCTCTGTGGGCACCTGTGCGCGCGCAAGTCAGAGTCAAAGACATGTTTTTCTCCAAAACAGTTCTCAGGCCACGCGGTATGATTTCATCTACTGCTATGCAGAAGATGATGAAGATGATGGTTCCAGACTTATGGCGTCATGCTTCTGTTGTGCCAACTGGAAGGTTTCCTCTTGACAGCACAAAAGCAAAAGATGCGCTGTAGTCAGGTATCGGATCTGCTGCGAACAAGATGGTTTTCGACACGGGTGTTCAGGCAAGCCAGGTGGCGGCTATAAAGAATGAGCTGGGAAGCATCGTCACGTTGGATGAGACGCCTCCTACATTCACGGCGCTCGAGATCCAGGATGCTTGCCTGTCTTCGCCATGCATCGTCACACACAATGCCGGCATAGCTGATCGTAGCTGCATAGCTTGATATTGCTTGATATAGCTTGCACGTGTTCTACACACCTGGCAGGATCCTACAGCCATGAATGACCGTATTGTGGTATCCTTCGAGATGAACGAGCCTGGCACTGCCTACTGCCGAGCAACGCGCTCGGACTCTGGGGAGACCTCTGCAGACATGCGCCTTGGATCTTCTTGACAACGTTGCAACGTTGGCTGTAGTATGCTGTAGTATGTTGTAGTGTGCACTACGGGTTGGATCATTGAGAACTGCTTCAAATCAAGGCACCTCAACAGGATTCTTTCCGCCAACTGGTTCTCTGCGTATGACGGAAACGGTACACAGCGGGGCCCAAAGTGGATTTGACGCGGGATGACATAGGCAGACACATCGAGCTGCGCACAATGTATTGTGCTTCAGGACGATTACAATGACAAAGTTGGAGAATGTGGACCCGCTCCTGACAAGTCGTGATGATGAGAACGTCTTCTTTCTGGAGGCAAATTCTAAGAATGCCTTGCACTGCGGATGAGTGTTGCGCGAATCGAGAGTCAGGCCACCCTCTACGATGTCTACTGTTGGGCACGGGATGCAGCTGTGGATACGAAAGGCTTTGCGAAGCCGAACTACATGACGCAGGACGCGATCAGTGAATTTGCCCAGAAACTGAATAGGACAGCGATGCTGGAAAGTGTCTTGACAGGAATACGTCGTTCTAGATGTTGGCAGCTCCAGCGGCTGGCTGAGCTGGCGCTTGAATGTGGACCCAACATGCTGAACGCATGTGCCGCATGGATCCTCAAGCCGTTAGAATTCCAGGTTCACCGAGTGGTGGTCGCACAGCGAACATCTGGGTGAAAGACTCCACACCTCCGACTATGACTTTCATTGATGCAGAGAGCCTGGATTCCAGCACCATTCAGGCCCCGACTTCTCGGATCAGCCTATCAATCAAAATCAAAAAGAATCGGTTCAGGTGACGCTGCAGTTGGACGAGCCCGGTACGATCTGGTGTCGGGAGACCCATCCCCATTATGGCTTCGTAAGGCACCTTTGAGAGCTGTGTCGAGGCCAAGCCATGAGCCTGGAGGGTCCCAACGCATCAATTTGCGACAACAGCAGCTTGCAGGCTGCCACTTGCTTCGTTGCTTCGTTGCTTCGTTGGCTGCGTTCGGCCTGAGCTCACCTTGCCAGGATACGAATGACACCAGCCCCTGCTACTATGAGCGATTCATTAAAGGCTCTGGGCAGTCTGTGACCGCCTTACCAAATAAGCGCAGAGTGGCTTTTCAGATTCAACCAGCGAAACGCCAAGCGCAAACACCCGAGAGCTTGTTCCACTGAGGTTTTCACCGCCATGGTTCCGCTGGCCTACCGCAACGTCCATATCAACGTGGACCGTTTATTGGACAGCAGCGAAGCCTTTTCCACCACCTTGGCCTCGCAGACTGAGTACCAGGCCCTGTTCGGACAGCCTTGAGAACAGGTGCAAAAAGCTAGTTGTTTTTTTTTTTGTAGGCATGGCCTGCCTGAGGTGCTCTGCTTTGCGGAGGATGATTGGCACATACAGGTGCGCAGTAAGCAGAACTGAGTATATGTGAGCGCAAGATGCAGACACGATCTGCAGGCAAGCAGCTTTCAGCCTCGTTCGCATGGATCCAAGCGCATGTTGATATACCGGCACTCGCTGAGCTCGGTGAGTGCCAAGGCCGAGCTTCACTGCACCCGTGTACCCGAACAAGGCCTCGGAGCCTTCGGAGCCTTCGGAGCCTTCGGAGCCTTCTTTTGCAACTTAGTTGACTTATTTTGTTCGAAAAGACCCTGGAGGTACCGCTGTCGGCCGTCCATGTGTTGCGAGAGCTCATTGGAACCAAGACAACTCTGGACGAGACTCCTCCAATCTTTACTCAGCTGGTCATTGATGACCCCACAGCCTCCAACGATCGCATCGTAGTGACCTTTGCTCTGAACGAGCCTGGAACCGCATATTGCCGCGCAACCCGATCTGACTCCGGGGAGACATCTGCCGACATGTTTCTTGGCTTCAGGTTCCAAGCCTTCCAAGCCTTCCAAGCCTTCCAAGCCATCAAGCCGAAGTCTCCATGTGATGCCTCCACCAGGTCCATCGTGCGCATCCTGGGTGCCGGAGCCCTAGCACTTCCTGGCACTCAGATCTCGCCTTCCACTGCCCCTTGCATCCCTTGCCCGCTTTTTCTTGCCTCGGCTCCCCGTGCCTCTTATGTGTGTGTAAAGCTTAAAGATGTAGATCTGAGGGGTGCCTGAAGCGAAGTTAGTAAGGCTGGATGGTCAGCTCCACAGAACGGCAGTGCTGTGCCGCACGCCTGCTCAGACTCTACTTTTGAAATTGCTGAAGGCGGTGCAAATTCGAGAATCTCGTTTGTAATGCACTAACTTGAAGCTTCATCACACAGGTCAGTCATCACAATGACGAAGTTGGAGAATGTGGACCCCGCCTTGACGAACCGCCAAGACCACAACATCTTCTTTGATGAGGCCATGCTGAGCCAAGTTGTTCAGCTGCCAGATCTACCGTAAAGTGGTGTGCAATGGCGTGTGTTGTCATGATTTGTACGAGTCAGGCGACTCAGTACGATATCTACTGCTTGGCCAAGGACATGCGCAGTGACATGCAGTGCTGTTGTGCAGCAGAGACAGGCTTGACGACAGGACGATGCAACCGATGATGGAGGGCTTGCTCGCCCCAACATCATGACCACCAGCTACATTGGTGCTGATGTTGGAAATCCCCTCTCTCCTCAGGGAGGTCGCACTGCAGGAGCAAGTTTCCAAGAGTTTGCAACTTTGGGCCTGTTGGAACGCAATTTGGAACTGGGAGCTTCCATGGCACTGCAGTAGCCATAGCACTCGAGTGTGTCAGTCAGTGTGCTGCAACGTGCGTAGATGTGGGCATACCTGACTCGAGGAGTCTGGGTTGCAGATACGACGCCTCCTGGAATGCTCCTTTGCATGAGATAGCGTGAGCGAGAGCAGTGCTAGCGCTCGTAGTTCCTCAAAATTCGGCACTTCATGGAGCTGTAAGGATCTTGGTTCGTGCTGTGGCGGTCGGCCAGGAGACAGCCGGAGACAGCCTTTTTTGAAAGGAGGGTTTCACACGTCGCATGCGTGCATACATCGCTCTATTTGCTCTCCTGAAACTCGCCCTCGTTGTGCAGAGGAGGTCCTGCGGATCACGCTGCAGCTGGACGAGCCCGGAACAATCTGGTGCGCCTCTCTGACGGTTGCACTCGCCATGTGAACGACATTCCACCTACACAGAGATGTCAATTGCTGCGAAGGTGGCAAGCAAATAAAGACAGCTGGGTTTGGATCCTTAGGCCTTAGGCAAAGCAAGGCTCGAGGCAGCATCGCGGAGGCTCACAGCCATTTTGGCTCAAGGAGTTTAGCTGGTTAGTGGTCAGTGGTCGGTGGTCAGTGGTCAGTGTCAGTGGTTCGTGGTTCGTGGTTCGTGGTTAGTGGTTAGTTGTTCGTGGTTAGTGGTTAGTGATAGTGGTAGGTACTGATGGATTGGACATGATACAATAATGTACAATAAGATACAACAATGTACAATAAATAATATACAAGAATATACAATAATATACAAAATATACAATAAGATACAATAATATACAATAATCTACAACGACATACAATGAGAAGAAGAAGAAGATACAATGATATGGAAGAATATACCATAATTAATATACCATACTTTACCATAATATGCAAAATATACAATAATATACAAAATGTAATATTCTAAGTCACACTAATGTACAAGAATAGACAAGACTATGCAAGAATGCACCATAATGCAATAATAGATGAACATGAAAATGCTGTATTTTCATCATTTAGAGCCTGCAAGCAGGCACACACGGTGTAATCGACAGCATTTAGAGCTGTGGAACACCTATAAATGCTGGAATTTTGCACCATTCGGAGCTTTGGAAACGGTTTAGGGTTTAGGGTTTAGGGTTTAGGGTTTAGGGTTTAGGGTTTAGGGTTTAGGGTTTAGGGTTTAGGGTTTAGGGTTTAGGGTTATTGTTTAGGGTTTAGGGTTTAGGGTTTAGGGTTTAGGGTTTAGGGTTTAGGCGTTTGGGGCCGACAAGCAACCAGAAATGCTGCATTTCATAGCATCCAAAGCCAGGAATTGCAGGGCAGCGTTAGCAAGGAAAACGAGCCAGGGCCAATGTAAGGAAAAAATCACCTCCGCCTGTTAGTTGGGTGCGTGCGACTGCGTGTACAACAGAAGCTCGAAAAGGGGATGCTACGTCTGCCGAGTTGAGCATGCATCTGAGAGCTGATCAACTGACACCTTTGGGCATAGCAAGGCCATGTGAACCAAACAAGCACTAACAAGCAAGCACTAACGCCTCTCCAACGCCAGGTGTCAGGCAGCCGAACTGGTGATGGCCCTAAGGAGATGCATCGGCTGGAAACTGTTTTTGGCCAGCAGACTCAGGCCAACTCCAGCGACATCTTAAACTGCAAAGAGGATGAGGTGCAGGCCAGAATAGTCTCATGGATGATGTGTTGCACTCTCTAGCGCATCCCAGTCCTCGCGGTGCTTCCCTACTATCCCTCAAAGGAGACAAACTCCAGCGATGACTGCTTCTATGAGGAAGGGAAACGACCGATGCGCAGCTACTCATTCATGCTGTGTGGCGGGTGTGCTGAGTGTGGCTAAGCAGGACTTTACGAAGGGCTTGGAGAACGAAACCGTGTTTCGTGCGGAGGCTGCTTTGAAGCAGGGCTCTGTTTCGCCGAGAGTTTGGCCTCTTTGCAAGAAGACTCCGAGGACCCAATGGGCCCGCATTGCAGTGTCTTCGTAGCTGGTCGTAGCTGGCGTAGCTCCGAGTTGAGGTGCCTGAATCTTTCCGTGATGTGGAGATTGAAGTCGCGCGAATTTGGCGGAAAGATCAGACCAACAGCATTCCTCTGTTGCATGAGACTTCATACGTTGTGTTCTGCTTCGCGGAAGATGATTGGCCCTCCCAAGCCGTCAGCGGCCAAGTTGGCATGGGAACCTCTGGGTCGTGGCATCATGCGTAGCGCGCAACGTTGACAGACGTTTGAGGCTTCTGCGGTGGCATCGGTGAACTTTGTCTTGAGCACCGGGCCGAACAAGGTTGACCTCCTGCAGGGTTTGGCCTTGAAAGATGCGATTGGAGCCCTAACAACATTGGATGAGGCCTCGCATCGCAGTCTTTCATCTGAATTGCTCAGAGAACAGTCAGAACTGGCTTGTGCAATCTTGTGCAGGCCCCTCCAACCTTTACGCTTCTGGAGATCGAAGATCCAACAGTCGCCAACGACCGTATTGTGGTGACATTTGCCTTGAACGAGCCTGGAACGGCGTATTGCCGGCCCACGCGATCCGATTCGGGCGAAACTTGGGTTGACATGCACATCAGCCGCATTGTAAGCGCCGCCTGGTCTTCACCGTTCATGGCAGGCGCTTGGGAATTTCTCTTAAGCAAAACCGCTGGCCTGCACATATTCTTTACTTGCCATTACCTGCCTAAGCTAGTTACAGGCGTTGATTCTTTTGCTGCTCTGCGCTAAACGCAGGCAGTGCCACCATCGAAATGACCAGCATTGCCAACCGAAGCCTAGATCGTCTGGACAATGCCGCGTTGGAAGAAGCAACGCGCTACGACGTGTACTGTTGGGCTGAAGATGCCGCCTTGGATGGCTGGGGCATGGCGCGTCCAAACCTCATGAGCCAGGATCGGTTCATGTCTTTGCATATCATTACTCTAGCTTTGCTGTATAGATGATAAATGGTTCATGCGACAGGCCTACGCAGGAACTGCAGTGAGCAATGCCACGCACTCATTCCAGGATATTCAATGCACAAAGACCTCATGCAACGATCTCTCTCTCTCTCTCTCTCCTCTGGCAGTTTTTCTGCAAACTAAGGCCTCTGATCCGACTGGTGGTTTCACCGCTGGGGTTTGGGTTCGAGACTCCACTCCGCCAACCATGATCTTTGTACGTTCAGAAGCTGTTGCACGGACAACCCCCACGCTGCAGGTGCTTCACCTAGTTGACCAAAAGTTGCAACTGAAAAGCAGGAATCTGCTTTTCCGAAGCATCCCATGAATCCCATGGGTTCGAACTAAGGTGACACTCCAGCTGTCAGAGCCTGGCACGGTCTGGTGCCAGGGTCCGAGTTGGTCCGAGAGTTCTAGCATGTTCTAGCGCCTCATAGTGTCTGACATGACATTGCTTCGATTTGCTTCTCCATCTTTGCAGTGCCATGTGCGACAACCGAGGCCAGGCGGCAGATCCTTTGGATGACTTCTGTGCGACCGCCGACATTGCAGGTGCAACAAGCCGTGACAGCCCTTGTTGGGCACCAAGTCAGCTTCGCATTGCAGCACATGTCGTTTATTCACTACTCTGCATGCTTTCTGGAGTTTTTCACCAAGGCTATTTCGAAACATTCATCAAGGGCAATGTGACCTCCACATTTGAAGTCCCCGTCCACGAGGCATACCGAAATGTCGAGGTAGAGGTCAGCGTCCTGCAGTTGAGGACTGGAGAGAGCCGGCCACTCGAGCAACAACGCGCTTACAACGTCTTCTGCTATGCGGAAGATGACTGGGTACTTGAGGCCTTTGCATGACTCTTCGCTCCTTGTCGTGTTTGCAATTTCTCAAGTGGTTGCTGTATTCTGATCTCTGCAAGCCTGGCTTATGCATGCAGGCTGATGCTGCAGCGACCTCCGTCAGCTACACGTCTCCCAGCCTGCCTTTGCAAGTGTCGCTGAATGACACCGTCGCTTTGAAAGATGAGATTGGGCTGTTGGTCACGCTGGATGAGAGTCCGCCGTCGTTCACCAAGCTGCTTATTCCTGATCCCACGGCTGCCAACGACCGGATCGTCGTTGTGTTGTCCCTGAATGAGCCAGGCACCGCGTACTGCCGTGCCACTCGCTCGGACTCTGGAGAGACAGCTGCCGACATGTCCATTAACCGAGTGATTGCAGCGGGGTGGTCGGCAGTTTTTGCTGGCAGTGATGTCTCCATAGAAATCACAAAGTTGGAGAACGTCGACCCAAGTCTGACAGCCAGGGACGACGTGGATGTGCTCTTCGAAGAGCAAACGCAGTATGACGTGTACTGCTGGGCACAGGACAGTGCAGTGAACAGCCAAGGAGTGCCGCGTCCGAACTACATGTCACATGCCTACATGGTAACAGGGGTGAATTCCAGCTCAGCCCCTGCTGGCGGGCTCACTCAGAACATTTGGGTCACGGATTCGACTCCTCCCAGAATGATTTTTGTTCGGGCAGATGCTTTGGCAAGCGCCACGTTGCAAGTAACATTGCAGCTGGACGAGCCCGGTACGATCTGGTGCCAAGCAGTTCTTCCCAACGCGACGCAGCTTTCTGAATTTTGCCGCGCGGGTGACATTGGACAAGCTGGTGATCTGCAATCCTCGAATCCAATAGCGCCTTGCTATTTGGAAGATTTCGCCCTGACCTGAGCTTGAAAGCACGTGTTGTGGTTCCGAATCAAGCAAAAGCGGCCATGGTGTGTGCATTTGTCAGTGCAGCACTCTCCCAATCAAGTGCCTGAGGTGAAAGGAAATCTGACAGCCACCAGCTTTCATGTGGAGGTTCCAGTTGCGTTCAGGGATGCCAGCATTGACATCAACAAGATTTTGCCGAAGAACGGACAGGAGGCGACCAACCTGACGTCAGAGACTGCGTACAACATTGCCTGCTTTGCAGAGGATGACTGGGTGTTACAGGCGGATGCTGCAGTGACCTCCGTCAGCTACACGTCTCCCAGCCTGCCTTTGCAAGTGTCGCTGAATGACACCGTCGCTTTGAAAGATGAGATTGGGCTGTTGGTCACGCTGGATGAGAGTCCGCCGTCGTTCACCAAGCTGCTTATTCCTGATCCCACGGCTGCCAACGACCGGATCGTCGTTGTGTTGTCCCTGAATGAGCCAGGCACCGCGTACTGCCGTGCCACTCGCTCGGACTCTGGAGAGACAGCTGCCGACATGTCCATTAACCGAGTGATTGCAGCGGGGTGGTCGGCAGTTTTTGCTGGCAGTGATGTCTCCATAGAAATGACAAAGTTGGAGAACGTCGACCCAAGTCTGACAGCCAGGGACGACGTGGATGTGCTCTTCGAAGAGCAAACGCAGTATGACGTGTACTGCTGGGCACAGGACAGTGCAGTGAACAGCCAAGGAGTGCCGCGTCCGAACTACATGTCACATGCCTACATGGCAACAGGGGTGAATTCCAGCTCAGCCCCTGCTGGCGGGCTCACTCAGAACATTTGGGTCACGGATTCGACTCCTCCCAGAATGATCTTTGTTCGGGCAGATGCTTTGGCAAGTGCCACGTTGCAAGTAACGTTGCAGCTGGACGAGCCCGGTACGATCTGGTGCCAAGTGACAGAGGTTGCATCCGCACCTGCGGGCACTTACTGCAACGAGTTGGATGTACAGGATTGGAGTTCTTCGTCAGATTGCTTCTTCGAAGTCTTTGCGAAAGCCAGTGTCGCTCCAGCAGATGCCCTTTTCTCCGTGTTTGTGCCAGAAGCCTTCAGCAACGTTGACCTGAACATCGACCGAGTAGTGAGCAAGGATGGCACTTCAAGCGCGAGGTTGTCCTCCCAGCATGCATATGCCATCTTCTGTCTCGCAGAGGATGACTGGAAGATCCAGGCAAAATTGGCTGTCAAGTCTGTGTAGATGTAGTGGCTTCAGTTCAGTGCCCTGTGGGCTCTCTGTGCTCTTCTGTGCTCTCTCTTGAACTCTCTCGGGTCGTGGGCAGGCCGATAGCCTTTCATCGCTGCCTGACTACACGTCTCCAGGAGGACCACGTCGAGTTTTTTTTTGTTAGCTTGCCTGTAAACAGGCACAGAAGGGCAGGATACCAAATGATGCCACTAACAAATTTCGCAGGTCGCAGGGACATGATGCATCCCAAGCAGTCACTGCGCCTGGCCCAACGCGTGGTGTCGCATGTGCAAAGCTCCTAGAAAAATGCAGGGAAGGTCTCAACTCCCCTCCTTCCTCCCCCCCATCCCCTTCCCACCTTCCCCCCTTCCCCCCCCCATTCCCCCCCCCCCTTCCCCCCCTCCCCCCCCTTCCCCCCCCTTCCCCCCCCTTTCCCCCCCTTCCCCCCCTTCCCCCCCCTTCCCCCTTCCCCCCCTTCCCCCCCTTCCCCCCCCCCCCCCTCCCCCCCTTCACCCCTCTTCTCCCCTTCTTCTCCCTTCTTCCCCCTTTCCCCCTTCTCTTCCCCCTTCTCTTCCCCCCTTCTCTTCCCCCCTTCTCTCCCCCCTTCTCTTCCCCCCTTCTCTTCCCCCCTTCTCTTCCCCCCTCTTCTCTCTTCCCCCCTTCTCTTCCCCTCTCCCCCTCTCCCCCCTCCCCCCTTCCCCCCTTCCCCCTTCCCCCCTTCCCCCTTCCCCCCCTTCCCCCCTTCCCCCTTCCCCCCTTCCCCCCTTCCCCCCTTCCCCCCTTCCCCCCCCCCCCTTCCCCCATTCCCCCCTTCCCCCCTTCCCCCTTCCCCCCTTCCCCCCTTCCCCCTTCCCCCTTCCCCCCTTCCCACCTTCCCCCCTTTTATGGGAAACTCTGCTTGTCTGCTCACTGAGCTGCCTTAGCTTCGCTTGTCGGTCCAGGACCCAACCAAGTGAACTTGACAGATGCGCAGCTGTTGCGCGACACGATTGGATCGTTGACGACCTTGGACGAGGCTTGTTTTGGTGTGGTCACCCGCTACTGTCTTCAAAATCTGAATGCCGGCTGCGCAATCATTCACATTTGAGTGATGACTTCTGGGCAGAGTCGGGGCAGATAGGCTTGGGCTGCAGGCTCCGCCAATGTTCACTTTGCTGACTATTGAAGACCCCACGCAGACCAATGACCGCATAATGGTGACCTTTGCATTGAACGAGGCCGGAGATTGACAATGTCGACCGTAGATCATGGGGCAACCCTGAATAGATCTGAAGATGCTTTGCCAGGCTGGCACTGCATTTTGCCGGCCTACTCGGCGTGATTCAGGCGAAACTGCGCAGGATATCTCCATCAATCGAATTATCAGCGCTGGATGGTCGGCTGCATATGATGGAAGCGGTGGTGATCGCACCCTCGAGATGACGGGTATTGAGAATGTCCTCTTGCATGAGCTGGAGCCGCTTGTTGAGGCAGGAACAGAGGCAACGGAGTCAACACTAGCAAAACAGATCATGGCCATCCCGAGGCGCAGCAGTATGATGTATACTGCTGGGCGAGAGACAACGCTGTGGACATGCAAGGGTTCGCGAGGCCCAACTTCATGACGCATCCCAGCTGCATTAGATTCACTCGATTGCATGAGCATCGGCGCTCTCTGTACCTTCAGAGACTCGCTGTAGGCATGCGTACGTGGGGACTTCCGTTGGGAACGAAACTGCGCCCAGCGGTGGAAAGATCGCCTCGAGCCAAGAATCGAGCTGCCGTGGCACTCCCTGGGACACTGGGACACTGAACGATCTGAACCATGCACATCTGAATGTTCACGCTCAGGAAGCGGTGTGGATTACTGACAGCACTGCTCCGACCCTGTACTTTGTGCGGGCGGGCGGCGTGAAGACGGAGGATGCTGGCATATGAGAGTAGACTTAAAGCCTTAACGTAGGATATTTATGTAGAGCGAGAGAGAGAGCGAGAGCGACAGAGGACGTGTGGACTGGGCTGGGCGCGCCTTGCGCGCGCGCCGGGGGGGGGGAGCGTCTGCACCCCCTCATGCCCCGTAGTAGAAGAAGAAGGAGAAGAAGACGAATAAGAAGAAGCAGAAAAAGAAGACGGAGAAGACGACGAAGAAGAAGAAGACAGAGAGAGAGAGAGAGAGAGAGAGTCTCTCACGTCGACTGGATCACGAACCGGGCGGGCCTCGTGCGCGGAGGGCGTGCTTGCGCGTCCTTCAAGCCCTGCAGAAGAAGAAGAAAAAGAAGAATATACTCTGAAAAAATGTTGTAGAAAGACCCATCAAAAGACCTGAAGGCACTCACGCTAGACGCTCGAAAGGGCAAGAAAGCGGCTGAAGGACACCCTCCAGGTGACACTGCAGCTCTCCGAGCCAGGGACCGTGTGGTGTCCTGCACTTAAACATCCACCGACAAGAGCAGACCTAAGAAGGCCCCAACCATCTTCTTGAGCCATCCTTTTGAGCTTGAGGTCAGGCTGCCGAGCCAGCAAATGCCTCCAGCTCTCTCTACTGCCATGAAGACGAGATAAGCACCGACCCTTTGTCCTCCTGCTACTGGGAGACTTTTGTCAAGGGCTCTGATGACCCGGCCACAAGCTTCAGTGCGGAAGTGCGCGAAGCTTTCGAATACGTCGAAGTTGAAGTCAATCGCATATGGCGGAAGAACACGGCAGCCTCAGATCCGCTCCTTCCGGTCGGGGCCCCCGGTGAGTATCAGTTGCGATGTCGTGGAGCTGCGCCGTGGCTTTTTGCACTCTTTTTTGCACATGCAGGAAACGGGCTACAAGGTCTTCTGCTATGCGGAGGACGATTGGCCGGTTCAAGCACAGAGTGCAACAACGTCAGCCATTCGCCCAATGAGCCAGTGCATGTGCTAATTGTATGATGCTTGATGAAATGTCGACTTAAGTCATCTATGTCCCTGTTTTGCCAGCTTAGGTCTACTTCAATGCGTCTGGACTGGAGCCACAAAAGAGCACCCTTGCATCTGGCATAGCTTTCAAGGACCTTGCTTGCACCTTTCAGAAATCAGTTTATGGAGAGAACATGATGGCGACATGAAGCATGTTACGACGACAATGCTCTTGGTGCAATTCCCGGGCCAAAAGGCGAGTAGCTCAGTAGCGAGACGCAGCATCGCAGCTCGGTCTTTGAAGGACGCCGTGGGCCTGCGCACAACGCTGGACCTGACGCCTCCCAACATCACGCTGTCGAATCCCCAATCGCCCTCCGAATCGTCGCTCACGGTTCTGGTGACACTTTCCGAAGCGGGCACAGCCTGAGGCTCAGCTCGTCCTTTTTTGGCTTTTTGCTGCGTTTTGTAAAAAGAGCTTATTTCATAACTGATCCGTATAAACCAAACTGCTTTGCTGCTCTTCTCAAACTGAGCAGCGCTTTAAGGCTTGGTGCAAGGCCGTGCGTGGCTCCGCTGGCTCCGCTTTTGTCCCTTCGGTGTTGGAGATCTTGAGTGCCGGCTTCAGTGCCGCGATGCCAAACGACCCCTATGCGGCAACTGTGATGCTTACCGGTGAAGATGCAACGGTTCCTTTCGTTCGTGGAACAGACTATGAGGCGCTGTAGCTGTGATGGGGACCACAGAGAGTTGATTTTCTTGTTGGCACTGGGTGCGTGACTTAACTAATTTCTTGAGACATGCAAAACGAGACTCTTTTCAGACAATAGCCCTAGACCCTCAACCCTGCCTCAATGCTCAACCTGAAGCTGAACTCCGCACTCGCGTCCATAGACAGAACAAACTCCAGGGGTATGGGATTTAGAGCGGCTGAGCGGCTCAGAGGGTGCCCGCGATTAGACGTGCTAAAATTCCGCGAAAGGACAGTTTCTGCGAAAGATGCCTTTGACACAGCAATGTAGATGAACTGCCGCGTGACTCTCCCTGTACTCGTGAGAGACCACTCCCGGTATGTTCGGCCAGCAGACTAAGCCACTTTGCACAACAAAGCCTGGGCCCTTCGGTGACATGGTTTGTGTCCTGCACGCTTCAACCGTGGTACCTGCCACCAAATGGCCCGGCTCAAGAGCGCAGGCTTCAATACCCAGCTTTCACAAACAGGTGTGAGAGGCTGCCAGGTGTGTGTGTGTGTGTGTGTGTGTGTTCAGTATTTGCCGCAGAATGCTTCCGAACGGTAGGCGCACAGCTTGCGCTTCAAGTAGTTGCAAAACGTTTGCTATCGCTTGTCAAGGACGAAGGATGCTTTCGAGTCCAGTACACAATTCCTAAGACTTGCCTTGTATTCTGCTGTTGCCTCGTTTCCTTGAGCTTTGATCGTTGAAGATCGCTGTGCAGAGGGTACATGATGTTTATCGTGTAGGATCAGAGCAGGGACGCTGGGTGCCGTTGTTGTGGCTTCAGAGACAGTCGGTGCTGCATAGGGCTTTGTTCCTGCTTCGGACATGGATGGGGTGTATGCAGTCTCGGCTCGTCGAGGCATGAAGTTAACGTGCCACCACTGCCTGCCAGGTCTTCTGCTATGCAGAAGATGACTCATGCTACGAGCTTAACTGTACAGCTGGCGCAGAAGGTCTACAGTCAGAGGCAAAGGAAACACGGCACAGCTTGTAAGCTCTATCGGGCATTCAGGTGATGGCTGCGCATATGGAGCAGGAATCGCTTCGGATGAGATTGCGCAAACCCGAACGAGCATCCGCACATTGGACTGACCCCTTGAATTTCTTGCAAGTGTGGTAGCCAAAGACAACAGTATCTCCCATCAGTGACCAGCTGACTCTTGCGTAGCAGGACACGACACCGCCACTTTTGCGAGTGATCAACGTTCGGTCCATCGCTCGAGATCAAGTTCAAATCACAATCCAGGCATGCCCTGCCAGAGACGAGCTTCACGGGTTTGCTTGTGTCATGAACACTGAGCCTTCAGAATGTTGTCGGCCAGGCTGATGAGGGAGTGCGCTTATGGTGTGCTGTTTGGGCCTCAAGGAGTTTGGATTCGATACAATCTTTTTGCGAATACATATTTCCTGCCCTTGCAAGGCATGGCCGACGGAAACACCTCCGACAGATGGGCTGGGATTTCCTTTGAACGCCACGAACTTCGAAGACATCATCAAGGACGGAGCTTCGCTTCAATGCACGGACTCCCGTGGAGCAGCCTGCGGAAGCTTCTGGGTTTATGACCTGGATGACCTCGAGGACCCTTGAAAGACGAGACGGTATCATGCTAGCTGCTAGAAGGGGTCTTCTGAAGTTCAAAACGTTCAAAGCGCAAGAGCAAATCTAACCGGAAAGACGTCTTCATGCGAGTTTTGGAGAATTAGCTGTTGCTTCTAAGAGGACACCAGCTTGGACGGTTTGGCATCTTTACCAGCTTACAGAGACGATCAGACCTGGAGACACAATGAAGATGTGGTGATTCTATTGAGTGGTCTTTCTGAGCAGACTGAGTACAGCCACATCTATTGCTATGCAGAAGATGATGAAGATGATGGCCTGGAGCTTACACGGCTGTTGCTTTCCGGCTCAGGTATCAGTCCACTAGTCCAATGAGTTGCAGGACACCACCTAGTCAACAATGCCAGTTTAGGAACGAGAAGGCGAAGATGGCAAGCTGCAGAAGAAAGCGCAGCATGTAGTCTCCCTATCCCTAAAAGATGATTCTCAGAGGAGGAAAGTGGCAAAGGTTACCCGAAAGTCGAGAAGAGGATCCTGCATTGTCAAGTCCGTTGCTGTCTCGTTGCACGTCTAAGTCGGTCTGTATCTGCTATCCCTCTAGAAACTCCCACTCTGTGCTCTTTTCAGGTAGGCTGATTCTACTGTGTTGCGCGCACTCGCAATCTTTTTTGAGTCCTCACTGCAATGAATGTCAGGTCTGGGAGCTGCTCCGAATAAGATGACTTATGACACCGGAGACCTCAGAAGCCAAGTGGTCGTCATTCATCAGGGGCTCGGGAACATGACCACGCTCGATGAAACCCCACCAATTTTCACTCAGCTCAGCATCCAGGATCCGACTAACTTCCAGGATCGCATTGAGATCGCTTTCGCCCTCAACGAGCCCGGAACGGCCTACTGCCGAGCCACGCGATCTGACTCAGGCGAGACTGGCGCTGACATGTACATCTCATGGATTCAGACGGCTGGGTGGTCATCTGCGCATGATGGGTCCACGGCGCCTTCAACAATCGAGATTCGCAAGTTGGAGAACTTGGATCCACTTCTAACCAACCGCGATGATGAGGATGTGGCAATTCTGGAGGCATCCGGTAGCTTTGGTCTGCTTAAGGGTCTCTTAGTGTTTCTTATCACCACCCCCTTAACCTAAAACACCGCGGGGGTGGTGACCTTTCTGCTGGAGGCCGCGGTGTTTTTCGGAGGGTTGGGCCCATTCCACGGCCAGGAGACACAGAAAAAACACCGTGGGGGGGCGAACCCGGGTTACCACCCCCGCGGTGTTTTTATTCTATAAGGCTTATCGAGATCCGGTGATCTTCAGGAGTTTCTTTTCAAGGCTTGACCCCCCTTACGTGGAGTGCCTACCCACAGACCTGGAGAATCCTTGAGGGCCTCCCAGAGAATCGGGATTCTCTGCGGGCGGGTACTCCGCATGAACGCTTCTCTCGTGAGCACTCCAGGGTTGCTTGCGGGATTCTCGGCAGGATTCTCTGAGACTCCAAAAATACCCTGCGGAAGTCTCTGCAAGATTTTTTGAGGTGGTCACTCTTGTGAGATTTGTTGTAGGACTCTCTGTGCGGGCGGGATTCTCTGCCTGATTTTTTGGGTGAGGGCACTCCAGGCATACTCTGCAGGATTCTGCGGGCATTCCACTAAAATTCTTGGGAAGGCACTCCAGGGATAGCCGAGGTACCGCGGTTGGGAAACGAACAACAACATGCGGTACACCTGTGCAAACAACTCGTCCACCCAGGAAACCGACATGGATTTTCGTGCAAAAAGGGGCCTGGATAGACATTTTCAGTGGGCATTTTGGTCTTGGTCTCTGGAAGAAGAGGGAAACTTCTAGAAAATCACAATAGCTAAGCCCTAAGCCTTACACCTAAACCTGACAAATCCCAGACCTTAACCCTAAACCCAAAACGAAAACCTTAGACAGCAACCCTAAACCCTGAACCCGCCAAACGCCCCAAACCCAAATCTGAATCCGTAAAACCTCAGCCTTAAAACCAGAAACAAATCTAGCCTCTTTTCAGGGGGTGGATATACATTTTTCCGGTCCAAACTTGGGCTCCAACTCAGGTACCGAGCACCCAGCAAAACTTAATCTTGCCTTTTGTAGGGACTTATAGACCCAAAAAAGGTTTAAAGTTTAACCCTACTGGGCTGCTCAGTCAAAAGTGCGGCCTTGTGGGTGCCTCCCTTTGGATTTGGACCAAAGTGTAAGGCTTTTAGGAGGTTTTCGGGTTCAGGACTACTGCTTAGCTTGTTTAAGGTTTCACTTGCCCTGGTTTAAAGTTTAAACAGAAGAGTTTAGGCCTTAGAGCTTAGGACACGAGTATGCGTGTGTTTGTCCCGTTTGTTCTTGATCTTTGTCTCTGGAAGGAGAGAGAAAAAAGAAACCAAGTAATGAACGAAGAGGGGAACTAAACCCCCTTACAAACCAGAAAAAGCCTAAATTTCTCGCTCAGCCAAAACGGGGGCATGCAGGGGCCTTCTTGGGATCTGGACAAAAGTTTTAAGGCTTTTGGAGGTTTTAAGGTATAGGGTTTAGGGTTTAGAGTTGACTGTTTATTTAAGGTTTCGGGCTTAAGGTTCTACAACCCGAATCGGGCGGGGACCCGGGTAGCGCAGTGGTGTACACCGTACACCGCACGGCAGAGGCACCGCCATGAATTATAGGCCTGAGGGTTTAAGGCATGTCCGGGTTTAAACTGAAGGGCTTAGTACTTAGGGCTTAGGACGCGAGTGTGTGTGTGTGTGTGTGTGTTTGTCCCTTTTGTTTTGATCTTTGTCTCTGGAAAGAGAGAAAGAAGGAAGTCAAAGTAGGGAACCAAGAGAGGCGCTAAACCCCAAACCTTGAACTCTGAACCGAAGCCCTAGTGGACCTAAGCCCTAAACCCAAAACCCAGGAAACCAACAAGCAAACAGAAAGAGCAAAGGAAGCAAAACCTGGCTCCTTTTTCAGAAAGAGTGGGCAAATATACTTTGGATGTCGGATACACAAGCCAAAGCAAGCGGGCACCCAGGTAGCACGTTTGAGCGCGTGACGGCAGCCCGAAATAGAACGAGCAATTTAGGCTGTTTCTGGTTTATGGGGGGGTTTAGTTCCCCTCTTTGTTCGTTATGTGGTTTCCTTTTTTCTCTCTCTCCTTCCAGAGACAAAGATCAAGAACAAAGGCACGAATACACACGCATTCGCGTCCTAAGCTCTAAGGCCTAAACCCTTCAGTTTAAACCAGGGCAAGCGAAACCTTAGCAAGCCTTAAACTTTGGTCCAGACCGCAAGGGAGGCACCCACAAGGCCGCACTTTTGGCTGAGCAGCCCAGTAGGGTTAACTTTAAACTTTTTGGGTGTGTAAGTCCCAATAGGAAAGTTTAAGTTTTGTGGGTGCTCGGTACGTGAGTTTCAGGCCAAGTTTGGACCTGAAGCCAGGAGCTGGGTCTGCCAGCACTCCACAGAGGCAGAAAAAACCCTCTCTGGGCAAACGGGGTACTCGCAGGATTTTAGCGGTTTAAGCCTTTGTTTGGGGTTTGGAAGCTAGAAGGCGTGGGTGCGTGCGTTGATTGTTGGATTGTCCCGAGTCTTGTGGTTGCCACATCGTGAAAAGACCCTTGGCCAGGTCCTTTTTTTTGGAAGTCTGCAAGGTGGGGGCTTCAATTGTTTGTCTGACTCGTATCCTGTTTGTTAAACCACGGTGGCGGCCAGTTTTGGGAGTGGAAGAGAACTAAGTTTCAGCATCCTGATAATCAAGAGAAGATCCAGTGCCTCGTCTCCTTTGCACCCGTTTTCTGGGCAGTGCAAGATCACAGTATCCAGTGTAGTGGCGCAAAGAACACGTTAAGTGGAGCCCCGAGATATACATCAAGCCCTGTTTTTTGAAAAGTTTGAAGCGGGGGGTCCAGTATCTCGTTGCCTGGGCAGTCGGTTTTTGGCACAGGGCAGGATTGCAGAGTCCATAATAGTTGCAAAAAATGAGTTTAAGCGGAACCCCGACATACACCTTAAGCCCAGTTTTTTGATGGGTTAGAAATCCCAAACGTGGTTTTTTTTATGTTTTTCGGCTTCGGATTTGGGCGAGGTGCGGGTGCGAAAACCAAGGAAAAACACCGAACCCCCCAGGACCCCAATCGAAAAAAAACTGCGGGGGTCCCCCCCCCCCTCCGGTGTTTTTCTTAAGGGGTGGTGATGTGTTTCTTGGGCATTCAACACATGTAACTCGTTTAACCATTGTGTCTCCTTGGAGGCACAGCAATACGACATATACTGTTGGGCTCTGGACAGCGCGGTGGACACCGCTGGCTTGGCCAGACCGAACTACATGTCACAGAGTTATGCGATCGCGGAGGTCAACTCCACTGCTTCCCCAGCTGGAGGTGCAGAAAAGCAAATTCTCTGTAGATCAAATATGCGCTCTTTCCGATTCTGCCAGGTTCGACACGAGGTGTCTGGGTAGTGGACGTCACACCTCCGCGGATCATCTTAGTTGGTGCAGAGGCGCTTCTTAATTGATGCCATCCAGAGCGCAGTTGACAGAGCAAAGAGAATCCAGTGACGGCGTAGGGACATTTTGATGCATTGGGTGGTGCAGTGGTGTGCTCAGTGTGCTCAAAGGCCATCTCATCGTCAGAGCTGCAAGTCACGCTACAGCTCGATGAGCCAGGCACCGCCTTGCCCTTGGTCTCTGACTTCTTGGCTCTCAGAGTCTCAGAGCACCTGCCTTGTTGGGATGTGATGGATGCCCTGGCCAAGGTCTGGTGCCAACCAGGCTGGTGCAAATTTCGCTCAACCATAGGATCCTTGTAGCCTGCCTTGTCTTTGAGAATTGAGATGAGTGCAGGCGACATCTCTGGTGACCTGACGCAGTGCCAGAGCTCTGAAGTGCAGAATGTGTCTTCGACCGCTGACTGCTTCTGGATCACGCTCATACAGTCCAACGACTTCCGAGCAGATGTTCACGAAGCCTTCGTGGACGTTTCCATCAACATGAACCTTCTGCACCCTCACAGTGGGCATCCTGCTAGTGCTCTGACCCCGGAGACACCGTACGAGATTTTCTGTTATGCAGAGGATGACTGGCAAGCACAGGCACTTTGCATCTTGCATGATGGGCTGCCATTCGCGGTACCTGCCTTTCTGCGAGCTTCGAGCTTTCCGCATCGTTTGTTCCGATTGGGTGGCTGAGTACTGGATTCTGGCATACGTTGAATCGCATATGCGGTCTGTCGCTTGTCCATATGTGTTTGTAGGTTTGCGTGCGTGTGCTAATTTAATTTAAAGTAAATTGTTGGTGTGCCACCTCGTGCACTAAACTGCTCGGTTTAGCAAGCTGAGTACCTTTCTAGCGGGTCGGTGCCAGTTGTCGTTTCGGACATGGTCGGGGGGGACCCAGGGGTGTAGGAGAGTGGGGGGTCGAGGAGAGTAGACCCGTGTTAAGATCTATGCAAAGTGCAAAGCTTTCCACAAGCTAGCAGCTAGCTCATGTTAGCTCACGTCAGTCCTTTACTCAGTGCCTCTGTAAGATGCGCCAGCTCCAACCTTTACGGGCAGGCGAACAATGCTGTGAACTCGATCAACTTCGTGGCGGTCACCAGCCCGAACAACGTATCGTTTGACGACACCGATCTCCTGAGGTGCGCCCCGTCGTTGGAACTTACTCGGCTCAGCTTTGATCACACCGACAGCAGCATTTGTGGATCTTCAACATGTTGCTTTGTAGGACTGGCATTGGCTTGCTGACAACGCTGGACGAGTCGCCGCCCAACTTCACTACGCTTGCGATTCCAGATCCCACTGTGCAGAATGACAGGCCTGGCCGAAGCCGCGCATGCAGTTTTAGGGCACATTCTTGGTAAAGCACATGGCAGGATTGTGGTGATGTTCAGCCTCAATGAGGCAGGTACGACGTACTGCCTTTGGCCCAGAACACACAGTTGTAGTTTTCCTGGCGATTTGCAACACTCAAGATGGAGTCATGCTATCGACACAATAGGGTTTGAAGGGAGTGGTCGCTAAGCCGCGAGATTAGCAGTGCCAAGTGTGCTTCCCTACCTTTTTTCGCATTTTCACCGATGGTCACGGCTGCCTGTTCAGCTGGTTGAGTTTAGGAAGCTGTGCTGCCAATCCCCTTAAAAATTTCCCACCAAAGGCAAGATTGATGGGAAGGTTGTTTAAAGGTAAAGTTTGAGGGGAGGTGAGAAACGTGCCGTCACAGTTGATGGCGCTGTGGACTGTTTACTCATTGCTTTTGGGTGCTTGTTTGGCACTACAAGGTCGAGCCACTCGATCCGACTCTGGAAGATCGGCTACGTACATGACCATCAACCGCATCATCAGCGCTGGATGGTCGGCCAGCAATGATGGCATCGGCGCGAGCATGATCGTCATGACGCACCTGGAGAATCTGACGGCTCTCAGAGCACCAAGCGAGCCAGTTCTTGAAGCAACGCAGTATGATGTGTGCTCCAGCTGAAACTTCGAGTATTGACAAGCGAGTCATTGCAGCTTTTGGAAGGTTCGCCAGAGACTGTGAGTCCTTTGAGGTATTGCCTTGCAAAGGATGATGCAGTGGACGGCAGGGGCCTGCCGCGGCCTAACTGGATGTCCTCCAGCTACACAACGGCGGCCAGGAACTTGGAGTTGATTGAAGGGCTCTCGCGTAGAAAATGTAGAACATCAGCAAACAACAGCAAACTACCAAGGCTGTGGTAGATCCAAGCAGCCCTGCGGGCGGACTTACGTCGGGTGTGTGGGTGGTGGATTCAACCCCTCCAGCTTTGCTCCTCGTGGACGTCTATGCTGCCAGTGAAGCAACCATACACCTGCGCCTGCAACTCACTGAGCCCGGCACGGTCTGGCCCCTTGGCCTTAGGAGATGTCCATCAATGTCCCATATGTACCACATTCTCGAGACTTCAGCACTGATTCTGCACCCTTCTGATGCTTTCGATCCGGATGCTTCTGCTTTGAGGTGTGCTCCCTTGGCAATAGAGAACACGACTTTCTGCACAGTTGCGGATATGACGACGAACGGCACGTCCAGTGGCTGTGACTATGAGACCTTTGTGAAGAACCAGCAAGCCTTTCAGGCCGGCTGAAGTGCCGCTGGTGTTTCCGTTGTTGTTCTTTCTGCAATTGTTTTTTTTTGCCCCCTGTTCCAGGTCGCCTCGAGCGTGACAATCCCTGAACCATACCGAGACTTCGAAGTTAAGGCCAGGAGAGGAACCTTCCTGTAATTACTTTCATTACACATGTTGGGGTGAAACCGGTGTTTCTGACAAGGAGTGCTTGCTTCATGCGAGGTGGACCGAATTTTCACTCGCGATGAGCTGGCCAGCTACGCATTAGAAACTGAGAAGTCGTACAGCCTCTTCTGCTTTGCGCAAGATGATTGGCCTCTCCAGGCACGCAGCAAGTGCTATCACTGATGGTGACTCTTGCAACACGTCTGTAGACAAGCCCCTTGCGCTATCAGGCGGCCGGCGCCTCAACAAAGTCACCAAGCTTCGTGGCTCCGACAGATGCTATGAAGATTTCCTTGTCAGCTGCGCAAGCTTTTTCCGGCGTGATTGGCAACATCACAACGCTGGATGAAACACCTCCAAGCTTCACCGTACTGCATGCAGAGGACCGGGTCCTGTCGAAAGGCTTTTCAGGCTCCAAGTAGCCACCTGTCATGCTGTGCCGTTCATGCTCCTGGCTACTGTGGCTGATGCAGCCACTGCACATGAGATCATCTGAACAATTTGCAAGACATAATCGTCCTCAGCACCTGAGGATCCCACGATCAGCAACGACCGCATAGTCATTGTGCTCCAGCTCAATGAACCAGGAACGGCTTATTGCCGCGCCACGCGAGCTGATTCTGGTGAGGCTCCATCTGACATGAATATCAATCGAATACTCACTGCCAACTGGCTGGCTCAAAATGATGGCCTCAGCAACTCCTCAATTGAAATCACCCAGCTGGAGAATGTCGACCCGCTGTCAACGAGCCGTGACGATGAGGTGGACCTCATCGCTGAAGCCACACAGTATGATGTGCAAGCTGGCTTCAATTTTCTTCGATTGTCGTGAACTTCCGTGCTCCCAAAAAGTTTGAGCTCTCTAGAGAGGCTCCAGTTCATTGTCTCGAAGCCGGGATTCAAGAGCCGCTTCAAACGCAACGCTGGCCAAGGTATTGTTGGGCAGAGGACAGTGCGGTGGACAGCTATGGGAACGCGCGGCACAATTACGTGAGAATCGAATATACTCGCCCGGCACTTGATCGTGCACCTGCACCTACTGATATCCCAACGAAGCCAATTCGGGCCCAGGTACTGATGCCAGTGCAGCGAACTCCCCGCAGGGTGGTCGGACTCCAGGCCGGTTTGACCAGTGCACGCACCTCCAAGTGCAGCTGCACAATGTGGCCGTATCTGGCAGCCCTAGCAGGTGTCTGGGTGCGAGACACCACGCCGCCCAGAATGACTTTCGTAAGAGCAGAGGGAATTTCCCAAGACTCTCTGCAAGTGACGCTGCAGCTGGACGAGCCAGGAACAGTTTGGTGTCCCTCAGCTGGTCAGATCACTGGTCAGAGCGTTGTGATGCATTGCTAGTTATTTTTGACAACTGCAGCTGCAAAGCAATCCCTTGCGCAGAGAGGCCCGAACCCGCTAAGTGAGCTGCCCTGTCAAGCTTGCAGTGTCAGGCTGTATAAACCTTCGGGGTGCGCTCATTGTCTGTGTGTGCTTGTTGTCAAGTGAAGCTTGGTGGCTTGGTGGCGGGAGCAGTCAAGAAGCCAAGTCCCAGGGGGGGGGGGGGGGGGGAAAGGTTGGGAGGGGAATTCAGCCGCAGCAGCTCAGCTGAACTAAGGTGCTGCTGTGCAGACAACCGCAGACCCTGGCTACTGCATCCATGGCTCAACTCCGGGCGGAAGCTTCTCAAGCGGCTCAAGCGGGCCAGGGCTGTGTGAGTACGAGGCCTTCGTGAAGGCTGCCGGGATCTGCTGGGCCGTATTTTAGATTCGAAGTCTTCGTTTGCTTTGCAATGTGCTATGCGAGCAGCATCTTCTGGGCCAGGGTGATGCTGTGAACGCAAGCTTCCGAGAAGCTGTCCATGAGGCTCTGGAGTGTCAGCGGCTTCGTCCACCTGTCATGCATCTTCATGCGTTGCCAGGCAGGAGTCTCCGTGCAGGTGGAGATCAACCAAATCATCCGCAAAGATCTCGCTGCAGCAGACCCTTTGATACCCGAGACCGGCTATCACATCTACTGCTTTGCTGAAGATGACTGGCCTGAAGAAGCCGCGGCTGCAGCAATTCGTTCGCAGTCTTACACTGGCGACGTGACCATCCCGAACAAAGTTTCTTTGGAAGATGTCTTGAACTTTAGCGACAGTGCAGCCGGCAAGATTGATTGAATTCAGCATGCTGAGCAATACTGTTCCATTGACCCACTTTGACCTTAGAAGCGACAAGAGTGCTGCGCGGCTCCAAGCTTGGCAGAGGTGCGGCTTCCCTCTTTGTGCCGCAGACCCTCGACGAAGCACCGCCAAGCTTCACCCTCCTGCAGATCCAGGCCTGGAGATAGTTGGATGATGTTGGATGTTTCATGGTGTTTGAGGGTGCTTCGGTGCTCATGGCCAGGACCCTTCAGCCCTGAACAAGAAGATTGAGGTGGTGTTCGCCCTCAATGAGGCACTCTTCAGCACTTCTGCATACCGCAGTTGCGGGGCCACGAGGGAAGGTTCAGCTTCAGCAATGAGACCGGTTCAGGCAGGCACGGCCTATTGTCGGCCCGTGCGTGCTGACAGTGCCGAGGCGCAGCTGAAATCAGCTGAAGAATTAGCGGAAGGAGTCCAGCAAGAGCGCGATCACAGTGTACTCAGTACATTCTTAAGGCCTTGGAGACAGTGCCAGGCAGCTTCCCCGCTTGGGATCAACCGCATCATCTCTGCTGGCTGGTCAGCTACACATGACCCGTCTACATCCGCGAGCAGCAGTCTACTGATGGCTGGTGTACATGCTTCGCCACTGCAGGACATCCGAAGACCTACTTGTAAGAGGGAAAGCATACTATGAAATACCGCAGACACCTTGGACTGGAAGAACAAAGACACGACTTGACAAAACTTGAGCACCGACAGAGGCGCCGTGACCATTAATTTCACGAGCACAGTACCTGCGCTCCCTTACAAACATCCATAAATTGTGGAAACAATTGGACAACGTGACAGGGCGTTTGCTCAACTCGTGACAGGGCAGGCCAAATCAAATGGGCAGCATGCAACACAAGGGCGTAGGTTTGGGTCTGAGACTAAGAGGCCCAACTGGCCCAAGCGTCTAAACCGATGGTCCAGTCATGCACTTCAAATGAGCTTCACTGCAGGGCGGCAAGATTGGCATTCTTCATTATTCTCAAGATGCTCGTGCGCTGATTCGGATCGCAGGAGCTCGATGAAGCCAGGCAGTATGATGTCTACTGCTGGGCTCAGGCTCTTGTGGTTCTTGATGGTTCTTGTGTAGATTTTCGTCAGGCGAAAACATGCAGAACGGATGAGCCAGCTCATGTTTCCAGGACGAAGCAAAGAGCAACTTTGGATTTCCCCGGCCGCAGTACATGTTGCAATCGTACGTGAGCCTCATGCTTAGCAATCAACCTCTTGCGGGGCGTGCGCTGAGAGGATTTGTTCTTTCTTTCCAAGGTGCGGAGGTGCGCAACGTCACGGCGCCCCAGGGTGGCAAGACCGCTAATGCGCGCGCCTCTGACCCCGTGCGAGTGCCATGCGGTCACGCAATCATGCCACCTCTGCGCATCTCTTGCTGCACTTCTCACAGAGGTCTGGACGGTGGACTCTACAGCTCCCACGATGCTGTTTATCGATTGGGACGCTGTGCGGGATGAAGAAACTTTGCAAGTCACTCTGCAATTGGATGAGCGACTTGCTCGCAGTTTCGACGAGTGCGGTGTTCAAGTGCTGCACTGACATGCATCTAGACATGTCTGGACATGTCTGGGGACCTCAGCATGCTCAGAGTGTTTCGCGCTCTGCAAGGCCAGGAACCGTCTGGTGTCAGGCGGCAGAGGTTGTGGCAACCAACACCAGCTATTGCGGTGATCTCGAGCCACGCTCCAAGTCGGAAGTCGGAAGACTTGCCAATCAGTTTGGCAACGACTTGTAGATACCTGATCGAAGGTTGCAGGATGCAGATTCCCTGGTCGACTGCTACTTTGAGCTCCGACCAAACACGTTGACGGGCAGAATGGCAGCAGAAGGTTGGCGAAACAATGTGATCAGTTCACCCTGCTTCAGGAGAGCTACATCAAAGGGAACGCTTCTCACGTCTTTAAACAACTTGTCATGAACTCGGACTGCTCGTCTTGGCATTCCTGTCTCTTGCTGCCTTTGGTCATTCAGGTCCCTGCAGCCTTCCAAGATGTGGAGGTGGAGGCTGTCCAGGGAGACATTCTCTGTGCTGACCCATTCCTACGACGGAGCCACGTGAGGTTAACCTGCTGCCTTCGCGAGATGCAGTGAGCTCTGTTCCGCTTCGTCGCAGATCAGGTGGAATGGTGCAGACATGTTAGCTTGTGCTTCTGGGACTTCCTCCTAAACGCACGAAAGGGCGGGTACCGGCGAACGTCGAATAACTCACGCCGGTAATATCTCCGCACGAAAGCTCCAGTTCGGCCCGCTTCAGGATACAAGATCTTCTGCTTTGCTGAAGATGACTGGACTGAGAAGGTGCAGCTTGTGGTCTGTAAGTGTGGGCGTGTCCACCTGCTTGCAATCATGCTGGCATGTTTCAACTCACGACATTTCTAGTAATGCAATGAGAAGAAGGAGGGTCAAAATACAAGAAGCCGAAGAAGCAGTGTCGTGACGCATAGGACGAAATGCATCGTACTTGTTAAACATATTTGTCCTCGTTCTGTTGTTGTAGGCCTATAGTTCGCGCAGGGAATCCGAAATCGTGTATTCCCTCTAGACATTGAGAGGAAACTCCTCCTCAACGTTCTCACGGGACAGACACCGGTTGCCGAAACATTTTGAGAGGACATACTGTATTTACTTCTTAGATAGTAATAGGAAAGCCGAAGGAAGGGAGGAAGGAATGAAGACAGGAAGGACCAACACGGAAGCAACGGAAGGAGATCAAGGGAAGGAAGCCTAAGAATAAAAGGAAGGTGAAAGGAAGGTGAAAGGAAGGTAAAAGGAAGGTAAAAAGGAATGTAAAAGGAAGGTAAAAGGAAGGTAGAAGGAAGGTAAGAGGAAGGTAACAGAAAGGGATAAGTAAGGGAAGAGGAAGGGCGAAGGACGGGAACAGAAATGGAACAGGAAGGGAGCAGAAAGGGATCTGGAAGGGGCCGGAAGGGCAAGGAGGGGAGGAAGGAAGGGAGGAAGCAGGAACAAACTGACGGAAACAAGAGAATACAGAACGAAAAGAAGAAAGGACTCAATTGAAGGAAAGTCAGTCATGAGATCTGCCGGGCTGCTGGGACCACCAGCTAGGCCCTTAACTTCGTATGCAGCTCGGTGCAACTGTTTGAAAATGGTCTTTGAAAATCGAGCCCCTGGTATATCTGAAGTTTCAAGCATGCTGTTAAACACCCTATGAAACCCTATGAAACCCTCTGAGACCCTTGTTAACCTTGCGTAGTATCATGACATGCAACCCAAACATCGTAACTACTACCGCTGAAATCAACCGTAGCATCTCGGTTTAACCCTGCGAAGGTATTAAGAAGGTGTTAGAGGAGTCCTTGTCAACATATATCGGAAGCAAAGGTGTTCGAGTGTATTCATGTCAAGAAAGCCACCAGGCACGACAGAACATGGCGCCATTCCTCTCAAATGCCGAAGAAATACTTTTTGCTTTCACTCAAGAGAGACCATGTTTCCCTAGCAAATGTAGAGAAACGATCTTAAGATGCTCAGAGGAAGAGATGTTCTCCTATACTTCAGACATGAAATTACGCGTTTTGAATCAAGGTCTTGCATGCAAAAGGAGGAAAGGGCGCGAATCCGAAACGGAGCTAATTTATTGCAAACGTGTTAGGATGCTTCGCGTGAAAAGGTCCCGGGAACTGGCCAGTGATGCGTACCAGTAGAGCGAAAAAGAGCAAGGTTGCCTTGGTGATAGTGATAGAGCCAGTCGTGTAAGGCACATGCCAACTCTTCGTGTGTGTGTGTGTGTGTGTGTGTGTGTGTGGGCGCGCGCGCGCGCTCTCTCGTGTGTGTCGGCGTGTGTCTGTGCGTTTCTGCGGGCCAAGTTGTCGGGCTGAGCACCCGTTTGTCGCATTGAGGCGACGTCTGGCTCCATCAACTTTGTTGCTCCAGCCGCCCGAAACAAGGCTGCAGAATCTGCAGAACACACATAGAGAAGAGTTCTGATAGGGTGAGTCGGCATGGTTCTCTCGGTGTCTGTGGATTGTGTCGTGTTGTTGCAGGTCACGCTGGGAGCGGTGATGGCCTTCAAGGATGCTGTTGGAACGGCAACAACGCGACACAGCTTCAACAGATTTCAACAGATCTGCTTCTTGTGAGAAGGGTTTGAGCTACAAGTCTCCTGCTTGTTTCTATCAAGCAATCCATGACAAATCTTGATTTCGTTTGAACACTTGTTTCGCTGGATGAGGTTGGATCTCACTCCACCCAACATGACAGTGCTCAATGTGGTTGCCACTGAGGATCACGGAACAATGTGCAAGATGCACTTGCAAGTCAATTTGCTCGTAAACTGCTCCGACAGACCGCTAAACATGGCCAAGTGGCGCAAAACAGGATGTGATTGTGGTCTCGGTGTCGATGGACGAGGCTGGCACTGTTTGGCCACGACCCAAGCTTGCACATCTGCTGAATTTGCTGCATGCTATGATTTGAGCTGATGGTCGCCTGCACCGCTTTGAGGTGTCGTGCTTATCGGAAAGGTGCTGCCGTGCCTGGCGCAACTTAGTGGCAAGTCCTCGTGCGATCGTGCTATGACTGCTATCCTTGCCCAGAGCACCTAACCCCCTTACTTGACTCGGTGTCTGTTGGGAGAGTACCTCCCGCATCTTGAGGCGGATACCCCAGGGCACTTTCCCCCCGCTCCCCCCCAAATTTCCCCGCCCCGCAATGGCCCCCGTTTCCGTTTTCCTGAAGCTCCGAAGTCTAAGTGCGCCAACATGGCCGGGTGTCAGACTGCGATGGGTGAATTCGAATTCTGGAGTTGACTTGCGATGTGCACCGAAGAGATGAAGCTTGAAAGTGTGGGGGTTTCCGATGATCCCGACGAAGCTGTGACTGACGAGAAGCTTTCTCCTGTCTGGTGGCACCTTTAATTTCCAGCTGTTAAACGGAACAAGTTGCTACTATGATGATACACTGGGTTCTGCTACATATTCTCCTCGAATTTTTAATCCGAATTTCAGTATGTTTTTCGACATTGGGGAAAGGTTTGGTATTCTGGCATTGAGCCTTCGTATGTTGTCAAACGAATCTCGTAGCTTTTCTGGGGCCATCCTGTAATCGGTGTCAAGGCAGCTAAAGCTGCAGCAAATGCTGAAGCATTGTGGATTGGCCAAAGGCTTGGGTTTGCTGAAGCATGCTGAAGCATTGGGTGGCCGGAAGGCCTTGGCACATACTTGGCACATCAGGTGCAAACCTTTGTGTCCAAGCCTTTGGCTTTAGCTGCCTTGACACCGATTACAGGATGGCCCCAGAGAATGAAAAGGAGCGAAGCTGCTACTGTGAGCTTGTGCAGACTCAATCCTCAGAGTAGCGAGACAACATAGTTATTTGCGGGTTCATTCTGCAGTCTGGCACGCAAAAGGTGCTCATGATGAACATGTTTTTGCTTCACAAGCGTGGAGGCACGAACTGGTGTGACATGACAAATTCCCCGGGTGACCCCAACACCCTCAGAATCCTTCAAACACTTTCAGGAGTGCTTGGTCCTTGGAATAGTCTTCATTGGGTTACTCGGGCTGAGGCTTCGGAGATCCTGGAAACAGGCTTTTACCTCGAAGCTTCCGCCGAAGCTGTGGCTGAGGCGCCGCTTTATGCGCGATGCTATGTTGGTGTGATGTCTTGTTGGCGTGGCACCTTGTGTTTCTGACTTTCCAGGTCAACATCACAGCGGAGAACGCAAAAGGTGATCCCCTGTCGCAGGGCACAGACTACGAGGCCATTTACTTCACTACTAGTTACAAATCTGTTGTACTAGGTGTGATTGAACATCATGAGTCCCATGTTTGTCTTGGTGGTTACTGCTTGTGCGTTCTCCGAGGTCTACTGCTTTGCACAGGCCTTTGATTTCTTCAGCTTCCTTGAAGCCGCATCAAGGGTATGCCGGGGATGCCCTTTGGGGACAGGACATCCCCTGCCTCCGCTGCTCGGTGGCTGCAGGGTCAACTGCTCAGGCCAGGAAAATGAGAAGCTCTTCTTCCAGCGTCATTCGATGAGGGACAGTCGACGTTGAACAGGAGATCGCTGACACGCAAACCGGCATCCGCACTCTGGATGTCGATGCCCTACACGTGTTTTCAGCAGATGTTCATCCTAAGTCTGTGAAATCATTGCAAAGAACAAGGTCCTTCCACCTCGGGTCACCGTCCTTTTTGCAGAAGCTTTGAGCAAGGATACTATTCAGCTTGGACCCTATTTCGAGCAGCTTAAAAGTGATATATCCATGACAGTCACGCAGCATCCTCCAAGGCGCTGATAGGTGGTATCGGATGTGATTGCAATTTCATGGTGTGTGTTACGGTTTTTCTCATCTTTTAATGATTGCATTTGTTGTGTTCGTGAGTTTTTTTTGGTTAGGTTTTCCCCATCGGTTCCCCCCAGGTTGACGCTTCAGGTGGACGAGGGGGCCACGTTGTGGTGTGCGGTCTAGACCCCAGCGACATCATGGAAACCCTCGAAGTTGGAGAATACAATGGCTTGAGGCTTGGGATTCCGAACCTGCAGGCGGCTTTTGTGCTGTGCTTGATCCGCGTTGTTGCCGCGCTTCTCAAGAACTGCAGGCATGAGCACGAATTTCGAAGCGCTGATCAAGGGGGCGAACTGCACCGAAAGTTATCCTCCGCAGCGCCCTTGTGGCAGCTTCTTGATCTACGACCTCGATGACCTGGAGGCCCCACGTTCAGCAATGCTCCCTGATGTTGCAGGGTGTTCAAAAACCCACCTTCCAGGACAGCCCGCTCGACGGCGTGTCAACTGTCCAGGAGTTTGAAGCATCATACCAGTCTGGTCAGGATGTGCCCAAGAGTGCAACATAAGTGCAACATAAGTGCAACATAAGTGCAACATAAGTGCAACATAAGTGCAACAGAAGTGCAGCATAAGTGCAACACAAGTGCAACCATCCCTTCAGAGTATGCTGCTTCATTGCGGCAGGTACAGCTTTCGCTCTTCGGCCTCACCGAAGCAACTGTGTACTCCTACGTATACTGCTACGCTGAAGACGACGAAGGTGATGGCTCCATCCTTAGCTAGGCACTTCCAGTGGCTGTTTAGGGCTGTGTGGAAATCTGCAGACGTCAAGGCCTCGGGTCCAACCCGAACAAGATGTACTATGATGCAAGTGATGCACCAGCGGGGACTGCATCCAGCAGCATGGTCAGCCATCTCAGACAAGCCATCGGTGCCATTGCAACCTTGGACGAGTCGCCGCCCACGTTCACACAGCTCTCAATCGTCGACCCAACAGCGGGGCACTTAACGTCCACCCTCAAGAGTTCTTCGAGTTGTGGGCTGAGCCTCTGCAGCTGCAGTATGCTAGAGTTTGCAAGGTCGAGGAGGGTGTCATCGTGGTGAGCCTGGCTCTGAATGAGCCCGGGACGGCATACTGTCGCGTGACGAGGCCCTGGATGTGCTCTCGTAAAGACTCTCGTAAACAGCATGTCTCCCGGTTGTGTGTGTGTGTGTGTCTCTCTCTCTCACTCTCTCTCTCTCTCTGTGTTGATGCAAAAGGGCAGTGAAATCTGCCCGCCAAAACTGTAGTAAACTATGATAAAAACATCTCTCCTCAACTTTACGAGAGGTCAGATTCTGGAGAAGCCGGCGCGGACATGCACGTGAATAGGATCCTGGCTGCCGATTGGTCCGCTGTCCATCCTGGACCTCCTGCAGATGCCGTCATCATTAACATCACTGCTCTGGACCGTGCTACGCCTCTCAATGTGCCGTCCGTCCCGGTGGAGGCTTCTACCCAGTATGATGTGTATTGCTGGGCCCAGGCCGGTGCCATTACGCAGTTTTACAATTATTCATGTCTCATGAGCCATATGCAACGTCACGGTAGCGTCTCATGTTCTTGTGCCTTGGTACTGCTGCTCAAGATCTAGTGAAAGGACAATGCAGTCAGCACCATGGGCTTCGCGCGCCCTAACTATATGACACACCAGTATGTCACTGCGGATGTCGTGGCTCCTTCATCGCCCTCCGGGGGAGCGACTGCTGGAGTTTGGGTGACAGACAACACCCCACCTACTCTGATCTACGTCTCCGCCGAAGCCGTGTCCAGTGATACGGTGCAAGTCACTTTGCAGCTCGATGAACCTGGAACCATATGGCCTCTTGCTTACACTGCTGCTTGAAGGTTTACACTGAGAAGCTACATACGCGGAGTCTGTCAGACGGAATTCGAGTGACCTCTCAGGTGTGCAGCTGCTGAGCTGGACACTTCCGTGAATATCGTGAACTGCAAAGAGGGAGAGGTGCAGGCAAGGGAATGCCCAATTGAGAGTCCTCTCGTAGTCCTCTCGCAGTTCTCGCGAGCAAGCGCGAGATGTTGAGGTGAGGTGTAAGAAGGGTGCGCGCGTGACGCAGGATGCAGAACCTGACCCAAGCATCCGGCCATGCTACTTCGAGACCTTTGCCAAGGGAACTTATGCCGACGGAACAGTTTTCAAGGCCGATGTATCGCAACCCTTCAGAGATGTCGATATCGAGGTGAACAGGACCCTCCTTCCACAGACCCTGGTCCCCTGTGTCTTCATTGGTCTTTCTTGTGTCTTTGTTCAATAGGATCACACAAGCAAAACTCTCTCAGAAAGCGTGGAAGTCCTTTCTACAGGATCTGGGAGCGGAACGGCACAGGAACCAGCGCATTGCAGCTTCTTAGCTGAGAGTAGAGCAGAGTGCGCGTGTGCTCTTTCTGAGAACAGAAAACAGTCAGAACACGTTAGTTCACATTGTGTTCACATTGTGTTTTTAACGGTGTTAACGTGTGTGTTGTGAGTTTATTCAGGCCAGAAACTCCTTACAAGATCTTCTGCTACGCCGAAGACGACTGGGCTCGCTGTTGTCAGTCACAAGGAGTAAGTAGTTGTTGCCTACTGTCCATAGCCGCAGCTGGTGCAGGTTGTGCAGAGTACCGCTGCGATGGTCAGTCCAAACTTCGTTGCACCGGCGATCCCCAACAAGTCGTCCGCTGCCCTGTCTTCAGCACATGCAATCTGGATCCCCTCGAAATCGCACAGGTCTTGGATGCGTTGTAGTTTCGCCAGGCCCTTGACACAGGGGCAATCTCTTCTGGCTGCAATTGGGACCAGGTCCCGTGCTGACATGAAATGTTCGCCATGTTCACAGCTGTGTGCGGCCCTTGTTCTTGCACGTGGAGGACCACACTGGATGAGACCCCGCCACGGTTTACCAAGCTGCTTATACAGACTCTCGACAGCGAGCTTGTACAGAGATGTGGCTTCAAAACAACCGTAGATCTCAGGAACCCCACGCACACCAACGACCGCATTGTTGTGATCTTTGCGTTGAATGAGCCTGGTACTGCATATTGTGTGTGGCTTAGGCTTGCAGTTCGCTGATGTTCCATTCTGTTCGAGAGATGACCTTGCACGAAGTGTTCCTCTCCGCTTCTCAGGTCGTGCACGCCGTGTTGATTCTGGTGCGGCTTCCACAAATATGAAGATACCTGACATTCTTGCGGCCGGCTGGTCTGCGAGCTTCTCCGGGACCGACGTGGTGATTGAGATGACTAAGCTGTCAAAGCCTGGAGCTCACCGCCACTCACAGCTGTTAGCTGGACATGTGCAAGCATCACTGATCTCTTAGGCCAGATCCAGCTATTGGGGCACTGGATGCTGCAACAGCTGATTTCGATGAGCAGACACAGTATGATGTCTTTTGCTGGGTCCGTGCCGCAGCACCTTCTGTGTGCAATTCCAATCCAATGCCTAAGCCTGCTTCCAAGGCTCACGATGATGCTGTGAATGGTAGAGGATACCCCAGGCAAAATCAGCAAACTGAAGAGTACGCCCGTGCCACAGTCCAGCAGGTCTCACGCTTTTTGCATGACGCTCTCGCCAAGCAATTTCAATGTCCTTTGTGTTCCGCCACCCAGGTGAACACGGACGTAGGCCAGGGTGAGGCCATCAATGCGACCCTGCCAGGTGGCAAAACACAAGGACCTTCGCATTTTCATGCTACCTGGGTACCTGCCACATCGCCAAACATCGACCAGGAGTTTGGGTGGCGGACACTACACCTCCGACCATGTTGCTGGTGCAGGCAGAAGCCCTCCGCTCGCAGCTCAGCAGTGCCGAGCACAGAGTATTGCAGAAAAGTTTCGGAACTCTTCAGGAGCTCTCTACAACCCAAAGCTCACTTATCTCACCAGATCTCGCTTGCACGAAGTGCTGCAATCCATGTGGCAGTCCCTCAAAATACCCGTCCCTCCCTCCAAATTGAGAGCACCGTGAAACGAAGGGGGATATCTTCTGAATCTTGAAGATGCCTCGGCGACGGATCGTTTTACTCCCTCATCACTATCCCCCCCGTTCACAGCTTACGAGTACAGCTGGGCATTCACGGCGGGAGTCGAAGTTAAAATGCTTCGCGGCGAGCGTTCTAACCCTACACGAGCTCGGACTTCCACCCGTGCATGCTGCTAGGCTGGCACGTTTTGCCGCGGCTCTGGCCCGCCCCTGTACAGTACCTCAAAAAGTCTTTTCGGGTCATGTTGTTCCAACCACCCCCCCCCCCCTCCTCCCGCTCACCCTCGCCGATCGTACGTTGCAAGAACCCGCACCTGCCAGCCGGGTGCCGTTCTTCTTCTTTCAAACTGCGACCTCACCCATATCATACCCATTTCGTGCGATTCTCCTGATTTGTCTCCCAGATCAGTGGTCCGCGTTTCCGTCAGCAATAGGCTCGGCAAGCGGGTACTTGTAGTGATTGAATGCTTGCCGATCAGACAGGGCGTGCGGGAGAGGAGGGATGCGAGGGGGGGGGGGGGGGGGCAGCTCCAAGGAGAGTGTGGGAGCAGTTACGGATGGCTTGCGGCCATGTCACACCAAGATTTTGACCCGCTGGTTCGGTGGTGACGATCTGTGATCTAGTGCACCAGCAGTGGGGGTAGGCCCCTTGTAGATCAGTATCCTTCCCGGCTTCCCTGTTCTAGCTCCACCAGGTGTCTAATTTGGGTTTGGGCGACATTGACTTGCAGACAGGAGGTCGCTCAAAGCTGGCCATGTGGGAGTTTGGCAGGGAGCTAGCTCGGAATCATCGTCCAATCGTTGGCAAAGAGCGATTTCGTGCAATGAACTGTTGGAAGTCGGATATGGCGCCTGTCTCATACAGGCAACGCTACCGACATCTACCGACCAAAGCTTTGTAGAACGGACAAATGCGAAGTTTGGCTGGTGAGAATGGCGCATTTCGTTGGAAGTAATTAGCGCTTTTTTTCTTACGGGAGCTATCAAGAGTTTCGGGTAGGATTCATCTGGTCAGCACAATCACGTCGATCGTGGCTCGTTTCGTTAAACACTCCTACACAAGACCTATGTATTTTCAGAAAAACTTAAACAAGTAAATAAATAGAAATACATAAATATATACATATATATATATCTTTTGGCCGGTAGTCGGATATGTAGTCTCGGTGTCCAAAAAATCCGCAACACTGATCGGCCTTTCCCAGCATAGGTGCATACTTGGGTGACCCGGGTATAAGAAGAAACCGTAATGCCTCAGTATTACTTCAAGTTTATCATCGTATGTTCTCAAGGTCTTTTTCCATGGTCTCATGCATTTTGCCCCTCGAACTTCGTTCGAAAGGAAACGCCTTTGTTTGGGAGCAGGTCGGGTCTGGTATGGGATATCGACATATTGACAGGCTGGGATCGCGCTAGGGCTGTGCCGCGCACTAGATTTTTTCATGTACCTTTGATGTGGGGTTTGCACATCCCTCTCCATCCTGCAAGTGCAGGAAAGCGAAGAGCAGCACATTGTAGTTCACGGCAATGAGTATACTGTAGACTGTTGTGCTGCAGCAGTACGGGGTGCAGTATACTGCAGCATACTGTGCTGCAGCATACGACTACAGCCTGAAATATGACTCACGAGTCTTTGCAGCCTGTTGAAACCAAGCAGTCTTACGTTTGCGGCGACAATCGTTCGAACAGCAGCATATTTCGACAGCATACCTGCTGTTTCAAGCACGGGTTGCTGTGCACTGTGACGGAGGCTGTTTGCGGAACAAATATTGCGTGTGTGACACTGGCCAATCATGAATTGACATTTGGTTGGCATGCAGGGGTTAGTGGTTCGTAAGACATCCTGTGACGCAAGCATGCGATGCTGCCAGGGAGTGCCACTCTGCAGGCACGCGGGACCATGCGACAACAGCGGTTGCCTGCGAGAGCCATCGCTGTCCTATTTGGAAGGTGCGACTTCAGCTGAATGAACCTGGAACGGTTTGGTCTGATGCTTGGTGTTGGCTATGTGCGATGCCAGAAAGACTTGAGTGCTTTTTGGCCAAGGTGTGCTGCCACAGAAACGGGCTTGGCTGGCAGCGACTACTGCTTGGAAACTGAGCTACAATCTGCTTCTTCTTCCGCAGATTGTTTCTTCGAGGACTCGTACAGAGAATATACCTGCGACGCATTGTTGCATTCACGTAGACGCCCAGACAAGAGGACTACATCAAAGGGAATACGACTGATGGTACTTCCTTCAGCGAGTACGTTCCGGAGGCCAACGCACCATAAGTTGTGGCCAGAAGTGAGAGAAGTGAGAAGAGGTTGAACCGCCTGGAGGCATTCCAAGATGTGGATGTGGAGATTACAAGGATTTTGCGGAAGGACTTGACTGCCGGATCTCCGCTTCTACCGGAGACGATGTATCAGGTCTTCTGCTTTGCAGAAGATGATTGGAAGATTCAGGCTGCAGCTTTGTGACATGGTAGGTCTTATGTCGTTGCGTAGTTACGATTTTCATACGGGTCGGAGTGCAAATTCATGCTTCAAGCCAAAGTCGTGAGGCTGACAGTGTTAATTCTTCAGCCGAGTACGTCTCACCAGCAGGCAGGCATTCCTTGCATTGGCCTCTAACCAGAATTCAGCATCCTTCAGCAGCACACGCGCGTACTGGCTGAGACTTGATTTTTGGGGACACATGTGGGCTGAGTTTAGTAACCGCCAGAGAGTGGAGGCCCCAAAGCCACGACTTTCGCAACAGTGCAGACTTTTGCGGACAGCATCGGAACACTCACGACGCTGGATGAGGCGCCACTTTTACGACTGCTGCTCTGTAAGTGTGAAACAGTGAAACGCAAACTTAGCGGTGCGCCTTCGCAAGATGCTGGCCGCCAACTGGCCTCCAATTGCCATCATTTTGCCGGTGCAGGCAGCTCCCAGCTTTATCGTTCTCCAAGTCCAGGATCCCAGTGACCAAGAAGGTGCCGAAGAGACATTGAAGAGAGACCACATAAGAGACCCAAGCGAAACAAAGCGAACCAAAGGGACACAAAGTGCCGATGCCCAATGCTTCGACATGTGGACACATGTTTTTGGCAGGCATCCTGGTGGTGAACTTTGCTCTGAACGAGGCTCCGGCTTCCGAAAGAGAGTACGAAAACAAGGTCTCCAATAAGTCACTGAATGTCACGATTAGACGGCGAATCACGGTTGAAAACATCTTGTCAGATTGTCAGCATGCACAGCTCAGCCGAGGCTGGCACAGCATACTGCAGAGCCACTCGCTCGGACTCTGGCGAGTCGGCCGCGGACATGCCCATCAACAGGACTGCTTATATGTGCATTGTTATGGTGAGTAGGCCCTGTTTTGACTCTCGTTCGCTCATGCGCATCTATCTCACTCACGTCTGAGTCAGGGTTCTGACAGCCAACTGGGTGGGCGAGTATGACGGCACCAGCAACGTCACGATCGCCATGAACAACTTGGAAAATGTGGACCCTCTTGCCACAAAGCGTGACGATGAGGTAGCACCGCTGAGTGCTGGAACACAGTACGACATCTACTGCTGGGCCAAGGACTGGGTTCATGCCAGCCCGTGCAGATGTGGATGCTAAAAACTGCTACAGTAGCCACACTGATCCACACTGCAAGCTTGCACGGCGCTTCTGCAGTTTCAGGATGCAGCCACAACAACGTTCGGATACCCGCGGCCCAACTACATGGCGGCTAGCTATGTCGCAAGTCCAGTGCTGTCCCCTGATGCTCCTGCCGGAGGCTACACAAAGGGCGTTTGGGTTACCGACAGCACCCCTCCTGAAATGTTCCTCTCTTCCTTCGATGCATTGTCCGAGGACGCCGGTGGTGTCTTGTGGTGTGGGAGAGTTTTGGATCAGCCTGCCTTATGGCCTGCCTTGAACGTTTGCTTCATCTCCAGGATTCCCTACTTGTCCAGCTTCAGCTTAGCGAGCCTGGCACGGCGGCTCTGCAGTTTTACTTGTACACCTTTCCCACCGCTAGAAGCCCCCGTGGAAATTTTGTCTACAGGGAAACTTTGGGTTGAGAATCAAGGGCTTCATGGGCTTCGGCTTCACTGGTAGAAGGTCTGGAAAGGTCCTAGGGGTACTGGCTCAAGTCATGGTTCGCGCCCCTAGTTAAGACCTAGCGGAAATGCAGAGAGGACACCACTTTCTTCCGCCGCGCAACAGAAAAAGCACAGCAAAATCCTTGATCACAGCAGGCTATTGTAGAGCTACTGTACTTGTACTGTGCAGATCTACTCGTGATCATAGCCAGTAGGCCTTGGTAGATATGCTATGAACGGTGCCTGCAGTGTCTTGTGCCACGCTGGCCTCGACTCGTAGGCAAGAATGTGCTTGCCTTGCAAAGGCTCACGTGAGGAACCCCTAAACCCCTATGAACAGGACCTTCAAGCGGGATCAGATTCATGCCGAGGTTTGGTGCGCGGCAACGGCGCCTGACGGCGGCTCCTCCAGCTATTGCCGGCCAAGCGATCTCCAGGATGTGAATCCCTTGACCGCTTGCTACTACGAAGATTACATCAAAGGCGAGGTCCAAAGAGCCCACGCCGACCCTAAACACAAAGCCAGAAGAACTACAATACAATGCAGAAGACTTCAGGCTCAGCTGGTCAGGGCACGACGTTCATGAAGGAGGTCTCGGATCCATACATGGATGCCTGATGCCTATCATACCTGTGCATCACAACGTTCAACAAGCATTGGAAGCTTGTCGAAAGGTCTCTTTGGAGATCAATCGCATAGCTCTTTCTGGCATCGGTGGATCTGGAACAGGGGCACCGTTACCTGCCGAGCACGAGCCTTAGCACATCTTAGCACTGCGGCGGCGTCTGTGAGGAAAATGATGGCCATATATGGCCATGCTTCAGCAGTGGCTTGCTTTTGCCAGGACACAGTTTTCCATCCTCTGCTTTGCGCAAGACTCCTGGGACTTGCGCAGTCAAGATGCCTTTTTGCATGGTGGCCCTGGCTGGGGTTGACCTTGGGAAGCCCCGAGACTGCCCTGAGAGGGAGCTTAGATGGTGCTCTGCATGAGGTTTGTGCTGCAGGTGCTTTCTCGCTCCTGTCATGGTTTTCATGGGACATGGCGGTTCGATTGTATCTGCGATTGCCACAGCCAGGTCGTGGGTCGCCGAACTTTATCGCCCCCAGTGGGCCCAACAAGGTCACACTTGCACAGGCGCATCCGAAAAGCCCTGAACAAATTGCAAAGAAGAGCCACCGAGAGAATCAGACGGAGAAGCGCAAGACAAAGTAAGCTTGTAAAGCTCTCCCCCTACGGAGACCCTGTGGCCGGCGCGGCTCCCTCTTGTGGGGGCCAAAGAAGTGGAGTGAGAAGAAGAGGGCACAGCGCTGGCGCTGACCTGTTGGCCCTATGGCCCTATGGATCATTACTTTCGTGTTGATCTGCAGCTGAATGAAAAAGACTACCTTGCCAAAAGTATCCAAGGGTGCGACTGGGGCCACTACGGACTCTGCGCACCGTAGCATGTACCGACAGCACTACTCCTACACAGGGCCTGCGGGCTCGCGCGCGAGCAGGTCATCAACGGCGGGGGACATCCTCAACCTCGGGCCCTGAACGAAAGAGGGGATAAGATGCATGTCTCATGAAAAACCACTTGACACTTGGAGCGTGCCTCTCCTGAAGCCTGGGCGGAGAAGGAAATGGAGAAAAGAAGAAACTGAGAAATGGAGAAAGAGGAGAGGGAGAGTGAAAGTATGAGAGCAAAGCGAGTGAGAGAAAGCGAGGCAACGTAAATGACAAAGAGGTCCGTGGATTCGTGCTTGCAGCACAAAGCCTCGGAGCCACGGCAAGCACCCTGGACCTCACGCCGCCACTCGGCCAACATCGGCCAACTGCACTGTTTAAGTTTGACTCAAAGCAAGCGGCGAGACAAAAGGAGACAGAATGGGAGACAGCTATCTCTCAGGCCAAGCACGACCAGCTGGGCCCTACATGCGCCCCCCGATTCCGAGTCCAGCTTGGAGGTGCTTTTCGGAGTGGATGAGGCCGGGCTCGCAACTCCTTTTTCTCCAAAACTCCTCACAGGTCTTCACAGCAACGTCAGTGTATGAGACGGCTAGAGGTTCCATGGGTCCAGATTCAAGCGTGCTGTGGCTAGGCATCGACGCTCTATTGCCTCGCTTTACTCAAAGGCGTGAGCTTTAGCTCTCGAGGCCGTGTGCCTAGTTCCCTAGTTGGGGTATTCTCCTCAGGTGCCGAAACACCACACATCAGCACTATCACTGCAGACGGGCTCTCCACCAATTGCCCTGCACCGAGCTTCCACGATGTTACGACTGAAGTGCAGGTGTTTGTGTGTGTGTGTGTGTGTGCTTCAAAGAAGGTCATCAACATTGGGTGCGCCGTACTGTTGGCCCACATGGTCTTTCTTGGAACACGCAGCCTATAGTAGCTTTGACACCTCGCATGTTCATAGCGGAGGGGTTGCCGAGAAGTTGCTTTGGAAGTGTGCTGGACCAACGGAAAGTGTTAGGCCAGGGGTATTCCCCCTTTGAGGCCTCCCAAACTATCCAACGCGCTGCCCGGTATCGCGTCTTCATGTTCCACCACTGATTGTCGTGCTTTTTGCCCCCTCGTTGCCTGCCATCTGCTGAGTCAAAACCGACCTCCTTACAATATCCCATCCTTTAATTGCTCTGCCATGCTACTTCCTCTACCTGGTAACTCTGCCTCATGTAAATCACCCTCTGCTGAAACTTCTAAGAACTATGACTCTTAAACTGCCCAATGCTCCGCATTGTCCGAAAAAACGGCTTGCGCTCTTGCTTTGTCTCGGCGACGGTCAAAAGGAGAATGATGCGACGATGTTGTGAGCTATGAGAGTTGAGGATACTTGTTTCAACTTTCAGTTTCTTTCACGCGTCTATCGAATGATTTTCTGCGAGCTACGCACCCTCCCGCCCTCAAGGGGTGGCCAAGGGGGGAGAGGTTTTCTCATGTTTTCTCATTGCATCGGCACATCAGGAGGCTTAGCCAGTTCAGCCTATGAAGGACATGTAGGCTGACTATGGCTGACTGCTGAACCGGCAAAGTCTTAACACGTCTGTCAGCAATCGTTCTGTAAAGAAAGTAAGTCTTTGATTGGCATTGCCTTGGCCACTTGTGAGCATATTATCACACAGCTCGACTGTTTTGAGGTTCCGCTCCCTCGTTTACTGCGGGTGATTGTCTTGGGCTTAGTGCGAAAGATCCGTGAGAGACATGACGGAGTCTAGTTACTCTAGTCTATTCCTCCAAATTTTAGAGTGACTTGTCCTGGTGGGCGCTTGAGGTTCCAGCTTGACTTTGACGTTGCCGGGGCTGCTTCGTGGTGGGGATTATGATGTGCACTGTCAACTTGAGGAGCCCAACTTCCAAGCCTGAGAACCCTTAAGAATGCCACAATGCCTGTGGACAACGTGAACATGTGGCACTCGTATGCGCTCGTGCAGGATGACAATGTGTATCCCTTGCTGCGCGCTTAGCCTTTAAAGTGGCCGCAGGGTTGACATTGCGGCGCATCAACTTGCAAAGCTATGCAGGCTTCCGAATCGCCGGGTTCTGCCAGTGCTTTCCGCCATCGTCAACGATTTCACTCCTCCACAAATCAGCGTGGTCCGAGCCAGTGGCTCTGAGCCTGGCCTCATCATCGTGCCATTGGCCTCAGACCTCCGTTTATCTTGTTTGCATCTGCTTTTTTCCATCGGTGAACCTTCAAGGACATTGCAGCTCGACGAGCCAGGTGCGCCTTTGACGTGAGCACGTGTACGTTCAATGCATTTCAGGCCCTTACAACCCTTGAATTTCAGGTACAGTTTGGTGCTTCAGCCCCTCCACAGTCGGACAAGCCATCGTGCCGGGATGGGTGTCCTGAACGCAGCGATGACACAAGTGGACGCGCAAGTGCCATTGGTGCATGTGTACGCCTCAGGTGCTCACGCACGGCTGGCGGTCGGAGACTGTCATCTCCGAAGTGTACACAGATGTGGAGGCGCGAGGGCGGAGGGCACGAGTGTGCTGCAGCAGACTGTAGTGTGATGTTGAGTGTCTATAGACTAGACTGCATCGTAGAGGAAATGAAATACAACACACATATATATATATATATGTATATATATATATAAATATAATTTTTTTTCATACAGCGAAATTAAGGATTCATCCGTGCAGGTCACAGTCTCGCGCCGCGGCTCCACGGAGCTGCAGCTGGTTTCGGCATGCCGGGCAGTGCTTTCTGAAAGGTCGTTGCGTAGCCATCATGGCCATAGCCATTGGCAATCCATAGGCTGTCACAGTGAAAGCTGACCGCAGCCGGGTATGCCAGGAAACTGCCTATGAGACGTATTGTGCTGCTCAAGACACGGCCACGAATCCGAGCTGTACGGATCCTGGTTGTCCGGCGGTCCCCAACCTGAACTCGTCAACAGCTTAGCTCCGGAATCCACGAAGAGCAAGTGGGAAATAGCGGAACGCTGATATCGCTGATGCTTTTCGAAGGCTGGCGGAGATGCAAACTGTGCGTGATGCGGTGGGGCAGATCATCACCCGTGATGTGGATCCACCCACCTTCTCACTTCTTGGAGTCTTCTGGCCTTGAGAAAGGGCTTTCAAAGTGGTGGAAGCTGCGTCTACAAACAATGACAACGCGACAATGGTCAGACACGAAAGTGAGGCTCAGTGTGCCGGCCAAGGCCAGAGGAGTCTCTGAGAACATGCTGTCGGTCACTCTGCAACTGAACGAGCCCGGCACAGCATACTGCGCCGCACTCGGGACTTGGGCATACTGCCAAAGTGCATGGTGTCAATTTAGTGTCAAGTTTTTTTGTCACTGTTTGCCTCAGTTTGGAGTGCGAAGGCCGCGCTACTCGCACCGATGCTGGGCCTCCAGTGCTGCAAATCTCGCACATTGTGCAAGCGGGATTCCTTGCAACAAATGATGTCAGGGGCTGAGCGGCTAAGCCAGCTGGCATGATGAGTAACTATGTAGATAATTGTAGATACAACTTGTCGTTACCGTCGAGTGCTCAGATTGCACTGCAGCCCGAGGCGACCGTATCTTCAATCATCGACATTGACAAGTTGGCAGATAGGCCAACAGAAGCTCCGCTGACCCGTTCGACCGCCTACGACATTGTGTGCTGGGCCAAGGCAAGCTATTGCAAAGCGATGCACTTCTAATGCAGTGCTTAATGCAGTGCTTAATGCAGTGCTTAATGCAGTGCTTAATGCAGTGATTCCGAACATCTGGGGAAGGACTCGGCGCAATTGCACTCTTGCCGGCCTCAGGGGGCCACGGCCATTTGCAGCTTCGAGGCGGGGTGATAGTGGCTGCCCTGTGCCATGGGGTGCTGATGACATGCAATGTAAACCCCACTGAAACAAGCAAAGTGTGCATGAAAGCAGGTGCAATGAGATAAGTAGAAACAAAAACACTTGCAGCCCGTTTTGCATTGGTTCATGCTCACGAGCTGCGGTGGGCAGCAGGCGACAAGACAGGCTTTTGAAAGCTCCTAAGGAATGTCTCGCGGCTTCATTGTTTCTGTATGTTGCTCGACATGTCTCATGAAGCCGTTGACACCTCAGCTGCCGTCGTTTCATCATGTTTCAGCAGCGCTGCTTGATCCCGTTCTCCGCCATCGCTGATGGTTGTTTCGCATTTAAACTTGTGATCCGTTTTGAGGTTGTAGTTTTTTTGGCCTTCATGTCTGCGTCGCGCTTGATGATCAAAGTTTCAAGCTGCCCTGACTCCTGCGAGGCCTCGCCGAATTTCATGGCCGCTCGGAAGTGACACTTCTAGCGACACATGCACACCTTCACGCATCAGACGAGCTCATTGCATTGCTTTGCGTGGCTCGGACAGGCCGTGGGTAGTCAATGGCATGTCTTTTCTCGGACTTGTGTCGCCGATTTAGGAGCAGACCTACGTGCAGACAAGATTCTCCCAAGTGGTTCATCCGCCTGATCTGGCGACTGGCGCCAACGGAGGTCTGATAGACATGGCCAGGGCCTTATCTTGACGGAGAAGAAAATAAAAATGGCGGGTGCTTTGCCAGCGCATTGCCGCAACCTGACGCTGCGTCCAGCAAGGTGCGTACCTGGGATGCTACGCCACCTGTGCTAACCTTTGTGCGTGCAGAAGCGCGGTCAGAGGACGCCGACATGCGGCCCACACATCAACTTGCCTGTCGCCGTTCCACACTGGCATCACTGGCGTGTCGGCCCTGCAAGGACTCCATTACTTCAGTCCTTCAGCTTGATGAGCCTGGAACTGCATATTGCCAGGGCCTTTGCCGCGGAATTGTGCGGACATTCTGACACCCAGGGTCGCTCGCAGTCCATTTACGAATGCCATTCGGCTACTTTTAAAACCTCCGGAAATCGTCGATTCTTAAACATGCAGAAACTTTTTTCTGGGCATCTTCAACCAACCCATGATCCTGCAGAAACAGTTCGGGGCCGTTGTGGATTCCCCCCCCCCCCCCAACACACCCACCGATCCAAAACCCAGCCTTTGCTTCGACTACATCAAGGTATTCAGCACTTTGCGCACGAGGATATCTGAGCGATCGAGCCAATGACTTTCCTCAATAGGGCAGCCGCCCTACTACTAGAAAGCATTAGCTTTTCCCGACAGGAGCGGTTAGTAGGCAATGGACCCTGTCTATTGTGTAACCCCCCCTCCTCCTTCACCCGTTTTCTTCCCCTTTGCCCGGAAAACTTGACTTTGTAAAGGAGCCCTCAGCCGCATGACCCTCTTTAAAATTACGCCGGCAAGTTTGACTTGTAGCAGAGCGGAGTCCAACAACAAGATCCTTGAACTGGAGGTCAAGGACTGTGGTTCTTGATTTGTTCTTCGAGGTTGGTGAGAAATTGTTGGGGTCGGGTGAGGAAGCTCACCAAACTGTCCACATGGACGGACGCACCGAAAAGTGGAAAGCACCAGTTTAGCCCCGATTCCGCTTCAAGATTGAAGGCCCAATGCGAAGTACGGACAAAAGGCAACAAATTCAAGGAGACCGTGAGCACTCCTGACTCGGAACCAGATGGAACCAGGATCTGCGAGTCTCCCATTTCGTCCCAACTTCGTGCTTCTGGGGTTACTGTTTCTTGTTCTATGTTCTTCGAACTTTGGAGCTTTGCGGCTTGGTTGCCTTTGCCTTAGCTTAAAGTCTTGAAGCTGGCCTTGGAATGACACATGTACAACGTTTAACAGAAAGGGCCAACTGGTTGAGGCTTTCTTGTGGCTTTCTTGTGACTTTTGCTTGAAGCGTTTGAAGCGTCATTTAATTGTTGTGTACCCTTTGATCGCTTTGCCAGGTCGTGCTTATGATGTGGATCCTGGAAGCAATGTGACCTTTGCAGATGTTGTGGGTGCACCAGGCGGACCATTCAGGCGGAGAAGTCGCTAGTTCTGCGATTCTACTGCCTGTGCGTACCTTTGAATGCCTCACGCGCCTCTGCAGTTTCGAGCTTCCGTCGGATTCGCCTCTCCGAAGCTTCACGGCCTCCGCGCAGAGAAACTTTGAGATCACAGTGACCGGGCTTGCCCGGGAGGCTCCGTTCCAGGTCAGCATCAGTCAGCTATGTACATGCCCCTCGTGCAGGTGCTGTATTTCATCTACTGTGTGGCAGAGGATGACGAAGCTACAGATGGCTGTTTCCAACGCAATGTAACGGAAAGCCCAGATTGTGGAAACAACCAGGTCTGGGTGCAGCAGTGGGTACAGTGATGCAGGTTCTCTCTTAAGCAACTGCCCCATGTTGGTAGGCAGTGCCCATCCTGACAGAGCCATCTGGCCGGTGCGCGTTTTGCCGGTTGCGTCATGCCTGTTGCAGAGGCGTAGAGTCATGTAGAGTCATAGAGTTCCTGACTTCGCTTGAACACAGGTACTCCCTGGACCTGACTCCTCCGACTATCGCTGTACTGGATGCGGTCTCCTACACACAGGCCCCTATGCCAGCTGGCATGAGCATCATGCTCGCCGAAGCCAACGATTGTTGAAACCCCCAGACTTGGAAAACCTTGACCCTTCCAGGATTCTATTCGAGTCACAGTCTCTTTGAACGAGGCCTGAGCTCTTTTGAATGCGAATTATGTGTAACACCGTGCGGTGCTTATGCAGGCGGGTACCGTTTGGTGTGCCGCAGTGCTAGACCTGCAGCCAGCACCTAGCACCAATGAAGTGGCAACTTGTCAGAAAGTGCTGGTTTTCGTGGTATTCTTTGTGCCTGCTTTGTTTGTCTACATATCTGGCTGTTCTCATCGTCTCAAGGTGGCCGCAGGATATTTCGCCAGCACGGTGACGGCGATGTGCTGAGTTCAGACCGGATGCCAGACGAGACTCGACAGAAAGTCTCGAAGATTGTGTGATCGCACGTGCTCGCGAGGCAGGAGTTCTGGATGTGACCATTCAGAGCTTGCGGAGGCACTAGGGTCACTGGCACAAGACATCACAAGTCATGCAACGGAATGTGCAAAACACATTTCACATAAACTCGTGCCAGGGACACGGAGTACGATGTTTACTGCTTTGCATGCTGCTGAGTGTCCAGTGTTCAAGTGCCAGCCAGCCTTGATATGTTGCCAGAAATGCTCGAAGCACGTTAAGGCCCGAGACGATGGCACACTGTCAGCGGCAAACAGCACGTTGGAGCTAAAGCTCTCCAAAAAGAACTCGATCACGTGCCCTCTGTGCCTTACGTCTACATCAGAGGAAGTCGAAGATAATCAAAGGGATGAGACTGAGCATGTGCCACACAGGTATGCAGACATGGTGGCAACAAAGATGGACGCCCATGTCATCTATGACTCAGAGGCTCCGCTTCTCCTCGCTGTGGATCCTCCACACAATGCTTTCGGAGCAGCAGCCCCAGCTCCGCTGAAGTTGAGAAGTAGTTATGCTTACGCAGTGCTTTCATCATCTTGCATCTCTTGTGCTTCACCGGTTCTACCGCCCGGAGGTCGGTGCCGGAGTCAACATCAGCTTGACGTTCAGCGAGGACATTCAGGATCGGCAAAAATCTTGTACTTCTACACACTTCGCCCGCGTGTGAGTGTGCCTACTTAATGGGGCTTGTTGCTGGCATGCTTGAGCGAAGCCCCTAAGCTCACCACTAGCGGGCACCTTGGCCCAGCAAATCGCGAGCGCGATATCACCGTTAGAGCTGCTCATGCACACGCATCCCACAAGCGCAATCCATATGGACCATCAGCCATCAGCTGGTCGCAGCTGCCACGAGATCATACAATCCCACTATCCAGAAGAAAGCAAAAGTTATGATCGCCACGCAGCTGCTGCACAAGATCTAACGTCCAAGCTTCGTGTTTTCTGGAATGGCAGGCTGGGAATGGCACCATTGAGCTCCTCGCAAGTGGCGAGACTTCTGCGGCGACCTTGGCAAGTTGCGGAAGCTCTGAAGCTTGTGGCCTGTGATGGTGATGCTGCGACCCCGTTGAAAATGTTGAGTGTGTCTTGATTTGAATCCAGTGTTCGGGCTTTCCCAGATCTTCTTGGAAGCTTTTGAAGTCGTGATCGCGAACACTGCGATGATCATCGTCCCTCTGCTTCAATTTACTTTTGCTCTGCAACAGTTCGGCAGTGAGAGCTTGTCGCTAGCAGTAGAAGTCTTCACAATCAGTTGCTAGCAGCATCTTACAGCTCCGTGCGCTCAGCTTGGATCGATCCACGGCGGCTTGACCCTGGGCAAGACTTGGAGACTCGTGGTGCCAAACGGGGCGCTCCAAGACCGGGCAGGCACCACGTGACACCACATAACACTACCTTCATCCGGCTCATCTACTGCCATTTCCTGGGGTTGTTTCTCATGGTTGCTCCAAGAACTCCTGGTCCATTCTTTGGTAGCCCTCGCTGCTTGAGGGCCCTGAAGTCAGATTACCCGATTGCTTTCGCTTCCTCATGTGAGAGTCGCTTCTTCATTCGCGTTTTTGTGCATGCGAGAAGGTCTGTATGTGCTATTTTTGTGTGCAAGTAGTCTGCTGGTGTTCCTAAATTAGTAGGCCCCTTCTGATCCTTCTGTAGAGCTGAAGCCCGAGCACTGGCCAAGTACAAACGGTGAGTAAAAGCATACACTTTGGATCACGTTAGTCAGGCAATGCCTTCGCTGGGATTACAGATGGTCAGTACTCGCTGCAGCCATGAAGCCATGAGCTGAGCTGTTAGCGCTTGAACTGTTGGACTTGTCTTGGACCTGTCGATTCCAGCTGATCCCGAACTGTGTTTTTTGGGGAGCTGAGGCTTGAGGCCGGTCGAGGAATCCGAACCATTCCGAACCTTCGACCAACTTCGGTGAAAGTGCAAGGCGCGCTGATGCTCGCAGAGACGCGGAGTGCACGTTTATGCGAGTATGCGAGGAGTGGTGGTTCCTTTCGATCCGATCCACAAATGATTGCAAGTACTCGTACATGATAGTTCATGCCAGTTCATGCAGATCTGAACTGTCTGATTTGCTGCTGCTGCTGCTGCTGCTGCTGCTGCTGCTGCTGCTGCTGCTGCTGCTGCTGCTGCTGCAGAGGTCATCCACAAGTTCCGGCGGAACACGGCTGTGATCCGAGCCGTGCGCATTTCCCGCCTGGTCGAGTCGCACCTGAAAAGATCTCCTTCGAGTACGACGGCGCATTACGGCGCAGCGATGAGGGAGCTGAGCGATAGGACTCGTGGTTGACGCAGTAGATCCAAGCAGCTTGCGAGGCACCACCATTGCTACGGCTGCTACGGCCGTGCGGTGGTGATGAAGCCATAGCCAGCCTGGAGCCCTCAACAAAAAGAAAGGCCTGACTAAGCTGGCTTTCAAATGCTTTCATGCAGTGGCCATCAGTGGCCCATCAATGCATCTCCGAAGCTCTGACATCCCAGCTCGTGGCTCAAGGCCCAAGTGCCCAGGAGTGGGGTTGAGGCAATGCGCGTGCCCAACGTCCGTAGGATGAGCTGTCCAATGGCGTCGGCGTCGCACTAGCATACCATAACCATGCAAATGAGCGAGGAAGCGATTCGAGAGGCCGTGTTGCTGGAGACGCTCTCACGGCTTCTGCGTGAGAAGATCGGTGCCGGCGGTGCGGGCGCCTCTTCCGCTGGTGCCACCGTCCCGCCTTGGCGTCGTTCCCATAATGAGGCTGCCACCACCTCTGTCGACTCTGCCGTAGAGAGCTCAAAAGTATCACAAGCAGGCCAAGCAGAGGCAGCACCTCCAGCGACTTCAGTGGCAGTTATAGGTGCGCCGGAGATCAAACAGGAAGCACCGCTGGAGAAGTTCATCAGGGTATTTCGTTTGGATGAGCTGGCGGCGAAGTGTCTGTTGAAGCTTCAAGATGACGAAGCTGCCTTTGTCATAGAGCTCCTCGACAAGAATTTCGACAAGCTTTGCACATCTTTCCAGGCCAAACTGCTTCTGAAACCGTCCGAAAGGTTGAACGAAGAGATGACAGGTGGGCACTCCCTTGTAGGAATAGAAGTTCACATATCCTTATGGCAGTTTTCAAGGCCTTAGACCAGTCCATAGCATCCCTCACCTGCGTGGTGTTTGTGTGATATTGTGTGCTCATTGGTCTGTTTTGCGTTGTGCTGTCAGGATGTTTTCAGTTGTCGAAATCTCAGTGGCTCTACTGAATCCAGGTGGTTTTCATGTATAGTCCCACTTTTTTGGAGCTTGCAACATTTTCGCAGGGAGCCCCCAGGATCACCAGCGGAGGCAGAACTGCCAGTCCGAAAAGATGGGGACTGGAGTTGGTCAGCTTACTCGATCTCAAGGAAACGCATGACCAGCAAGGAGCGACGACAGGGAAGTGTTGTCTGAGTCTGTAGAATGAAGGTACATGTTGTGCTCACTTCCCAACGCTGCCATTAAATGCGGTGGATATTCCGGGCGCCCACCAAAGGCAACAACCGCTACATTCGCTCCATTCAGAATAGGAACCTAGGCAATAGAGGGAGGTCTATTTCTCGATCCTTCCAGAAGCATTCAGAATGGGTGTTCCATCCACTTCACGGGGCCCCTTCTTGGACCCTTAACGTCGGCGGTTTCGACGGATTGCAGCGACCTAGGATGGTTGAATAGCTCTTGCAAAGCCTTGAATCCTTGAAAGAACCAGCTCGGTGAAAGTTCACAGCCGAGGTCCATCCAACATCGTCTGAAGTACGCGAAAAACCCATCTGCAGTGGTGATGATCGCCATAAGAGGTGTCGCTGCCAAAGTGGGCCGCAGATATTATGGCAGCCGCGAAACGGCGGAGGGTGGAGAATCTCACGAAGGTCCTGGAGAACTCAAAATGTGCTCGCCTCGCCTTGTGTGTCTGGGTGACTTGTTTTTGCCACTGTTGCCACTTGAATGTCTTTGAATGTCTGAATGTCCGGGCTGCGTTGCTTGCCTCCAAGTTGCCTCCAAGGATCGGAGGTTCGCCAGAAGATGAGATCGAAACGGTGGTGTGCACCTTACGCGTCTTTGCCCGGCTACCAGCGCAGACGATTCGGCTCCAACAGGCTAGGTTGACTCAGGATGTACTGACTTCCTCTGACAATCTCAGGCTCAGACGGATCCCTACCTTGCTGGGGCTGACGAAGACGAGGGGCAGGAAGAGGAGGAGGAAGAGGGAGTCGTAGATGAGGAGGCCTCTCGTGCGACCATGTGGTTGTAAGACTGCAAGAATGGGCAAAACTGAGCCAAGAAGCAACATTGCAGATCCAGTATCACTCAGTGCAGTGCGCAAAAAAAAGCAGAGGTGGAACCTCTGGAACCTCTGGAACCTCTGGAACCTCTGGAGCCTCTTGCATGCCAAGGTGCGCTTCGTGCGCTTCTGAATTTGTTGTGTAAGCAGAAGTCTGAGAGAGCTGAGAAGTTAAGAGAGCTTCTGGTGTACTAAAACTTGTTCCGTCTGCCATCGATTCCGTACCCACTGTACTCTTTTTTAGCTGCATTCAAGCGCAACTTGCTTGCGCGCTTTGTGAAGGTGTTTCGGAACCTCCTCTCAAGAAGCCGAAGGGAGCTCTGCCTGAGGACAGCTTACCTGTTGAGGCAGTCGCGGTTCGTTGTTCTTTCAGATATATTCATGTTGTTTTGGTTTCTTCAGAAGGTTTCTATAAGTATGGGGGCCTTGGCCAGCAATGCTGCTTCTGGAAAGGTGCCAAAAGTCGACGAGGAGCAAGCTTTGGAGCCTCTCACGGGTCGAGTCATCTCAAGTGCTCTCTGCGCCATGTGCCATGTGCATGTGTTCCATTTCCATGCCAGGATCCGGAAGACGACAATGCTGAGTCCTTGTTTTTTGTGGACACGGGCGGCATGCACTGAGACGGACGATCACGGATGGCCCCGTGCCCATGGCAGCCAGCAGGAAGTGCCCAAAACGTTCCCTAGGCGCCGACGGCACAGGGATGCACAGCAGTTCAAAGCAACTGACACGTGGCTTTCGGGGAGCCCCGACAGACACAAAAGAAGGAGCTGCGATGAGCCAAGCATAGCCAAGCATAGCCAAGCTGCACCCTGCACACGCATTCTTGTCACAGTATGTTGCAGCATTGTTGCAGCATTGTTGCAGCATTGTTGCAGCAATGTTGCAGCAATGTCACCATCAGCTTTGCTCTCTTGCACTTGCTCAGCTTCTGGGCCTTCAAAAGATTTCAAACGCTTGCTGACCCCCATGAGTCGAGTTTAAGCCTCTCATGCTTATGACCTCCCCGGGGGGGGCGAATGACTGCCGCAGAATGTCAGAATGTCACCAGATTTCCGAGCAACTTCCTCTCCCGTTCAGCCTTGGGAGTCCAAGCTTGTGAATGCTTTGGGTTGATTTGATTTAACCTTCTGCTGATTCTACTGCTATCTTGAATCTGCCCAAGAGCAAATTTCTGAAACTTGGCAACGCCAGCTTGGGCATTAGCCCTCCCCTAGCCATAAGGTCAATGCACAAGTGGCCAGCAACACTTGCCGGATGTTGCGTTGGCTTAGCCTTGCCAGATCACACCCGCCAAAGGTTTGTGGATGCAAGGTACGTGTGGGCACTGGCGATGTTTCTTCTCAAGCTTTGCAGCGGCGGTTTTTGCGCCGGGGGGCTGGCCTGGAGGACCAGCGCTGTCATTTCTGTCAATTAGGCTAACAGCAGTCTAACAATTCCAATAGCATAACCATGTTATGCCGCGCCCGAGCGGCATGGCCAAAAAAAACAAAGTCCAGCACTCGCGAGGACCAGCGTGCAGCCATGGGTCTGGTGAGGGGTCTGGCAGGTGATGTTGCGAAACCGGCGAAACCTTTCTTGATCTCCGCCGACATGTTTGATAGCACAGTCAAACGGAAAGCTGTGATGCAGTTTGATGCAAGCGCGGCGCAGACAGTACCAGCGCAGACAATACCTGCAATGTTACCGAATGTGGTGCTCCAAACGGCCAGAGCTACAGTTTCTCAGCCGACCGCTGCATCGCCTATGCCGTTCCCTGGACTTCCTGTGCCTGTGACGACAGCAATGACATCTGTTTTCCCTGCGCTGCCTGGGACAGTCGGGGCTGTTGGGTCTCCTACGGCCCAGGCGTTCCCAGGCGCGGTGACTCAAAGCTGTTCCCCGAAAACCTCGCAGACAGTGGGTGCGTACCCGCTTTCCTCCAGCTCCTTGACCTCGCCGATTGCCACAAGTTTGCCTTCTGGTGGGAAGGCGCAGGCAATCAGCTGGATGCCTGGCACTCCAATCACTACAAGTGTGCAGCGACTTCAACCTGTCCGACTTCTTGCTCCGACAGTGATCTGGCAGACACGTCCGACGTCAATCTCTGATATGTCAGCTACTGCCCGTGCCGGCCATGATATCTCCCCAAAAGCCTGGCAAGCAGCGTCATGACCTTAGCATGCAGACTCGCCTTCGTGGATGTGTTTGAACGTGTGCCTCCAGTTGTGGCTTTAATGCAGACTGTACACAGATCCAGGTCAGACCCGCAAAGTCTTGATGGCCTCGAAGGAGTCGAACAACGACTCCCCGAATCGGAGGGACGCATCGATCGCATCATGCGCACCTCCAGTGCGTGCTTGCCGTCGCGGGTGAGGCTGGCAGCTCGTTCCCGCACAGTACACCCAAGACGACTCCTCCGGCGTCCACGTCGCTCGCGCTCTGCGGCTGCTCTTTGATCGCAGGACAGACACCAGACAGAGTTTGGGGAAGAGGTTTTGGAGAATTCTGAAATTTTGTGAATTTCATGATAATTCGTGAACACAAGACTCTGCAAGTTGGACGCTTCAGGCCTCTCTCCATGTCTCTCAGGTCATTGGCCCCCTCCCTTCTCTGAGTTCTCGGGAAACTCCCTTCCCGCACGACTGTACGGGCATTCACGGGCAGCACCGGCACTGTTGTTTGACTGTTGGTTGTATCAATTTGTCTCAATTTGTATCATCACTTTGTACTAGCGTTGTCAGAGCTAATGGCTTAATGGCCTGCTACTACAAGTCTTGCACAGGTCTTGGCTGAAGTGTTAATCCCACTGTTATCTATCACAAGACACGCAGAACGAGATGTGAGTTGCATCGTGTCTCTGGTACATTGCTGCACATGTTGATCGTCGCCGAGTCCTTGCATTGATTCCCTGACTCTTCGTGATGCCATGCCGGCAGAGCTTGATCGGACTTTGCTACACTGAATCCTCGAGCGCTTGATAACCCTTCCTCAGCCATGGAGAATGATGTGATCTTCGCTGTAGCAGTTTGTCTTGTTTGCTAAGCCAAGCTGAGAAATACTAAATTATCATGTTGGAGCGGAATTGTCCAATCAACGCTCATCGTACAGCTGTTAAGTTAATTTAGCTTTAACGGGCGTCATTCAGCATGCGGTCGTGTGTGTGTGTGTGTGTGTGTGTGTGTGTGTGTGTGTGTGTGTGTGTGTGTGTGTGTGTGTGTGTGTGTGTGTGTGTGCGCTCTGGCAGCCAAGGTCAGTTGGCATGACCATGCCACCCCAAGTGTCGCACATCCTTGCATCTCAACGGCAATTGGTGATGTGCGGACACGCTGAGCCACTAAGTTTCGTTGTTGCGCAATGGCTGCTAAGGGGACGTGTATATACAAAACTGCCTAGCTCCGGCCCCAGTGGCATACCGAAGATACCGTGTCTCGGACTACGCGGTGGGCTGCGCATGGAGTCTAAGTCTGCCACTTGCGCTTCAGGCCGGCCAGTTTGCAGAAAAGTCCAGCTCTCCGCTGCGTGCGCAGCATGGCACTTCCGAGGCTCCCGAAGTTAAGCGGAGCAGCAGTGGAAGGGCAAACGGTGCTGCGGATTATTGCGGAGTATTCCGGATGCATTCAGAGAATGAGGTGCTGGTCTGGCACTGCAAACATCCACATGGCCTCTTCTCGATGTTCTCCCTGGCGCTTGGTCACATGGAGACCTGTGAGAAGACGGGCACAGCTTTGATTGTGGACTGGTGCCTTCCTTACACGGAGAAAGTAGCTCCACCCAGATGTGCAGCAAGTTGTTGGCGAAGCATACTGGAGCATACTGGAACATACAGCTGAGGTCTTCTGAAGAGTTGCTGTACAGAGGTCCTCCTGAGGAGCCCAATGCCGCTTCCCTGCAGTTGGGTGTCACAAGTTGGATATCTATATAAACTCCATTCAGCTGCCTCTCCCAATCCCTCATCCCTCAGCTGTCTTGATGTGCATGAGAATCATGTCATGAGACTTGGTCGTGGGGTCATAAGATTGATAATTCGGCCGTGACTTCAAGTCTGAGCTTACTATCGCTGGCAATCCTATGTTGCGCGATCTCTTTGTGTTCCAACTACGGTCTAAATAAAGACCGCGATGCTGGCACTGTAAGACAATATTGCCGCAACCAAGACCGGGTCATCTACCAAAACAAGCTCATGACCCCGAATGTAGTAGCCACAGCAATGCAGCACAGCACAAGTATGCTGATGACCTTCATTCACTTGCCGCGAAGCTGATGACGCAGAAGTGAGCAAAGTACAATCTTGTTGTAGCATGTTGTAGCATGCTGCAGCATGCTGCGCATGCTGCAGCATGCTGCAGCATGTTGCAGCATTCTGCAGGATGCTGCAGCATGTTGCAGCCCGGCATCAGGTTTGGAACGCATTCTTCTGCCAGCCTGCTGAGCTGAAGATGTCTCCGCAGGTATCGGGAGCATGTTGGATGGTTGTGACGTGTTCTTTGTCTTCGAACCGTTTCTTGGATTTGTTTTTTACACGAGAGGCCCTGCGCAGTGCGCTGTGTGCTGGACGGCCCCTCTGCTACACTTGCCATCCAGCATCCGGTTGATCTCAGCCCGCAATCAGCGACACGTCCTGTCAGGTATAAGGAAACCAGCAGCCAACGAGTAGTCTATGGAAAGTACAAGGGTGTCATCCAGGACGTTCAAATGACCTTGATGGGTTTCAACGAGCAAGCTCACAGACGTATGATGTAGGGAAGCTTAGGGAAGGATCCCGGCCCAGTTTTCTTCACATCGCCTGCTGTTGCAATTGAGCAAGAAATGAGCAATAATGAGACTTGGCAGAGGACTACGGGGGCATCCCGCAGCAGCAGGCGGCCCAAGGCCGTGCCTTGTGCAAGCGGAACCTCCTCTTGCGCCCAAGGCTGGGCAAAGAGCAGGGGGGCAAAACATGTGGTGGGGCAGGGCCTTTAAGCCTTTTTGAAAGCACTGCAGCAATAAACGAACAGCACTTCCCAAGTACAATTTGTCAGGTCATTCCAAATCCTTAGGTTCAGCACCCACGATGAACCAACCATCAGAACATCCGTCACATCATTCGCCTTTTTCTTTGTTGCCGGTTCGTGCGCCCGATCATATTCTGATTATTCTGTCAGACCAATCCAGACCATGAGTCACCTCATGTATGTCGGATCATGCGACACATGTTGCTTGACAAAGTGCGCCAGCCGTCCGGCGAAAGTTCGACAACGCTCGGATTAGCGTGGCCCCAAATTGCGAGAGCATGTCTGCAGCGTGCAGCCAGATTCGTCAGCAAAGAACAAAGGACTACTCTGCTCTGGCCAGCGTGCGCGCGGGGGAGGGTCCACCTGAGAATCAAGGGTTTGCATCCTGAAAGGGCATCATGATTCTTCAGAGCCTGTGTCACGTGCTTCATTCAATGATTTCAATGCAACATGTGTTGTCGGAATCATGCGGTTCAAACGCGCCATACGTCCAGAATCACAATGTCGTCGAGTTAGCGTGTCCAGTTCATTCAGTAGTGCATGCGCGCAAAAACCATCAACAACCTTACCTGAAGGCATTCCTACATTCGTTCAATCACTACTAGACCACAAGAATGCATAATTGGCACAAATGCATTCTTGCACTCACTTCAGAGACCTGCCTCGCAGAGGCAGACAAACAAGACATCCATTCATGCTGTACACACATGCTGGTGACCGCAGTGGATCTATTGGCCACAATTCCTCTCAACAGAACAATGCTGCTGTTCTAGATGGCTGTGGCAAGTCGCAAACAGGCGAGCCTGATTTAGATGATGGACTAAGCCATAACACTTTTGAATCTCTTCCGATCTAAATTTCCTCTCGCATGCACTGCGGTGAATGCCACCGCGCCCGAAGCAGCTCCGCGAATAGCGGCATTCCAGGCACCGAAGTAGCTCGATGAGCGATTCTGAGAATACAGGTGCTCATGCGGAAGCCCATCTTCCCAAGCACGAAATGAAGGCTAAGCCGGCTAAGCAAAACAGACCCTGCAATGTCCGGCCATGTCACACACCGCAACTTTCAGCGGATGACAACAGGCCATCTGTTTAGAAAGGCCTGGGTACGAACAACAAGTACGGGTGAGAGTGTCGTACTGCGGGTTGGCGAGTGTTCACATTGCTGGAGGTGGGAAAAGGTGGGAAAAGAATTAACATGCCTGCATCAAGTACGTGTGAGGTTTCAGCGGAAGCTTCAAGATGCCATAGACTCGCTGCCATCTGGGCGCCGATTGGCAGCCGGAATCTCGGCGTCGGTATCTCCACACATCCGGGCTCCCACGTCTGCCAAGGTCCACATACGACGCAGCGACAAGGCCTGTGAGGCCGCCGCCAACTTCGAACTTTCAGACGAGGGTCTCAAACAGCGCATCATCCAGCAGCCAGATTCTCAGCTGAGATTGCAGGTCGGGCAGGTCGGGGTCTGACCGGCTTCCGGTGCAATACGGTGCAGGTGCGCAGCTTGGTGCATGGACGGCGTGCTCCTCTGCACCGACGATGCATCCCTGAAGCAGCGCCTCACTGATGCCTTGGAGCCCGCAGGTCAGCAACTCAGCTCTCAGCAAATCTCAGCAACCCATTCCAAGTTCCTCCAAGTTCCTCCTACTTGCCCGTGTAAGGCCTGATGCGATAGCAACCCGAGGCTTGTCCGTCTCCACGTACAACTCTACGTTGCCCTCAGACAATAGCAAGGCGCCAGGGGAAAAGTAGAAGTCGCAGCATGGTGAGCTGGACACATCAGCGGCAACATGTTGCTTTCTGTCGTTTCGTGACATGTGTGATCCGATAGAGGGTTCTGCGGGGTGACAAGTGTCAAACCAACAGAATGACAAAAGCGGTCTCACTGGGAGGCAGTTCACTTCGACAAGACTGTGGATGCGTACAAAAAAGCAGAGGTCTGTTTTGTGACATGTGTCTCCTCAAGATCTGGCTCGTCACTCAAACAGGATGTGGTGATGGAGGCTTTTTTGATGGCAAGAGGCTGTCACGGCTTACTCTCGACGTTTTCGCCTTGGCACTGATGCTCACACTGAGTTGCAGCTGCGTGAGTTCAGGTCTGAGCAATTGAAGACTATCGCCATTGGGCCATTGGGCGCTGAGGTACTCAAATGTGTCAGCTGCTGTCGTTTACCTCAGCCACGACAAATACCCGTGCCCCTTAAACCCAGAGAGACGTTCAGAGTTGTTGCAGCCTGCAGTCTGTCGCAAACTCGGTTTTCAAGCAGTTTTGCCACCGAATGGCAGCAATGCAGCACCATGCGGCACCATGCGGCACCACCGCTTCTTGCGCATTCAACACGAGTGAGAGGTACACAACATTCTGGGATCCACTGGAGCCTCTGGCCAATCAGCCTGCAGGCCTTAGCTGCTAGCTCTTGATATGCAGGCCAAAGAGCTCCTATCCGTGCAATTGTGCCATGGAGGACAAGACTGAGGAGGCCCGAGATCCTCTGCCCGGCCAAGGCTTATTAGGCTTCGCACATGCCGGCGGATCACATTCGATCACACACAGGCTGTCACATCCAGTAACATGATGTCACTTGTCCTAGGGTCCAGGCCTGTAGTCTACGATCCGCAAGTTGCCTAAGATTTCGTGATCATCTTTGAAGCATCCTTGCCATGAAGTTGCTGATGGAAATGTGCTTGCTCATCATTCTCTGTCGCTTCGCTGCGGCACCCTGCATGGCATCCTTCCATGATCTGCACTGTGAAGATGGCACCATATTACACCACATCGCATAGATGTAGATGCAAATAGATTCATATAATCATGAACTCAGTCGACAGTTGCTAGACTGGATCATGCTGCATTGAGTTTTTGTTTTTTGGGGTGAACCGCTCGAAGTTGGTCTGGATTTTCCACGGGTTGACTCAGACAGCTGAATCAACCACCCTACAAGGCATGCCATGAAGTGACCGTCTTGTGGAGCGATGAACATGGCTTTATATGGCTTTGAAAGTGATTGACGCCGAAGTGGCATGCTTGCTTTTCGAGATTGGGTGGCTAGACTTCGCGTCACCTGCCTGCCAATGCCAATTCGAAGTATGGGTTTGCATACCGGCTGTTCCAGCCCATGCCTGCAACAAGTATTTATTGTGCTGCATCAGATCAGCGGCACATGCTCTCAATGCGAGTCGTGCTGATGCCCGATGTGGAGTCCTCCCATCCAGGTGAGAGGCTCTAGGCAGAGTTACATGCGCGCTCACTGTGAAGCACTGTGATACTCATAACCGTTATGACTGGCTGAACTCCTGTACTGGTGCAAGCGTCAGTGTACGTTAGTATTCCGCCATCTTTCAATATCGCATGTATCAACAGAACCTTCATGCCCAGTCCACCTAGGAGAATCCTGTGTGGCATACAAAGACTGACACATACAAGACCTGCTCGTTGGCTTATCAAAAAGTATGTGCCGCATGGCTTCTAAGTTGAAGGTCGCAAATGCGTGAGGCGACCTTGCAGCGACATCGTCATTCCGTCGCGCAGCGAAGGGCTCTGACATCGTGTCATCATAATGTCGGGCTTGTCGACCTTGCAGCGAGATGTTGCGGCGGTGGAGCAGGTCGAGCCTTGAGGGTGTTGAGGCAGTTTGAGGTAACATTTGAGACTCTGTCCAAATCTGTCGAGTTTGGAGGCGCTCTCCACAGAGATCCATCGGTGCAGCACCGAGAGACCCATGGCTTGACATGCCTGTGCCTGCCGGAGCAGTTTTTTCAAGAGAATTTCGAGGCGCAGTGACTTGGAGGAGCGACTCTCCGCACAAGCCCGAAACCGAGCGGCAGCGCTTAAAACATACAAGTATCAAAGAAGAATTTGCAAAGTGGACGGCGCATTCTGGCCGCGCCTGCTGAGAAATCACGCGCCCGATGAAGGTGAGTTCGGAGGTGCGCGCTGCAATTCGCAAAGCAGCAGGACACCTGCGGCCTTCGGTCGTTTGCCCTTGTTCATGCTCAGCTCTTGTACATCTCTCTACTGAGGAGCCATTGAGGAGCAGCTGTCCTTTGGATACCGTCGACACGTGGACGATGTGAGGAGCAACCTGCCTTGAACATCCTTGAACACTCTTGTCGACATGCTGCTACACTCTAGCTACACTTGAGCTATGCAGCCTATGCGCACCGAAGTACTCGGCTACTCGCGTTGGAGCGCTCGCTGGGGGTACTTCGACAATGCCAGGAGACAGAGGCGCGTATGCGCACTCTTATGTGCACGAGATGCACGAGCACGTTATCAGTAATGCTGGCAGGCTGCCAAACCAGACCTGCTTGCCATGGGTGTGAGCAGTTCGAGCCACTTGGTTTGCTTGAGTTATGCCAAGTCCTGCTCGTCCCATCGACTGCGTTCGTAAGAAAACTTCAGGTGGATGTGATCGACAGATCGCCCGGCTGGAAACGCGTGTGGCGACGCGGGGCCCTTTGCTGATTCAGTGTGTTCGTGGTGCTGCACAATGGCATTCTCGCCGGGGTCTCGTCACATTCATTGCAAATCGTGCACTCCCTTGGGTCCCGTGCACTGTTTTGGAGGCAATTCGACACATGATCTCACATTGTTCCTCGTGAAGCCCGTCTTTGGAGAGTGCGTTTTGGAGGGCTCATGGGACCTTGACGGGCTCTTTGGAGTGCTTTTGGGGCGCTATTGCATAGAGGTAGAGGTTTTGCAGTCAACACAGGCACAATGAGGGATAACTTTTCTTCTTGAGGCGGGAGGTTAGGCCATCGAGAAGCATGTGGAGCGCGCACGGGACATTTCACAATAAATGCGGATTTTGGACCATGTCGCCTCGAAAGTGATGACCCTCTCGATGATCGCTGGTACTCGTGCTGCTGCGGGCTTTCGACGATCTTCGATGGAAAAAGTGTGACCTTCTTGAAAAATCTGTGCGTCCATGCACCAACACTCTTGATTTCAGACCATGTCCCAGTGGCAGTTGACCCCCTCCATGGGAGTCTCCAAGCACCAGATCAAAACTGGTTTACGGCATTGCCAAGTTGCGATACGCCCTGTTCTCTACCATCTGCACTCCTAAACTTATGAACTGGGTAAAGTTGCGAAACCTGTCCACAGGCCTCGGTTTTCGAACTCAACGCAGCCCAACAAGTCAGCCTGGAAGCTGGACTGTTCTGTGCGTGCCTGGGACGGTTGAAACACCCTTTTGTACGGAGCGAGCAGAGGCTCCATAAACACGGGTGTACGGGTGTGCATAGATCAGGCCCTCCTTGCGCCATGTGCGATTCAGAGAGAGAGGAGTACATCGACGACGCGGTGTTGGGTGTAGGTAGTCTGCGATTGAGCTCTTTTGCTCAGCTGCTGTCGCCTGTCTCGCCAGCAGACACCCGCCAGATCTCGCCAGCCCTCGGGCAATAGCTGCTTGTTTTTTGTTTGTCCACACAGGCTTTCGGCCTGGTGATCCCGTTTCTTTTGCATCTAGTCCAAGGTGAAATCGCGATAAGACCATCTTTGTGTGTTTGGCGTCGGGTTTCGTGATGAAAGCAGCCTCGGTCCTTTCGCTTATCCTTGTCCAAGCATCCGATCCGGTCTCCTTCTCGGCAGGTACGACCTCCAAGTCAGATACCGATACAAGCCATCTTCAACGATCTTGTCAAGTCTCCAGTCCTGTCTTCTTGCGTCTGAAGACTGTGACATCGTACTGGTAGCTACCAACATCAAACTCGAATCCATGTTTCTTCAGGTCTCTTTGGCAACCTCACTCTATCTCTGCAAGAACTCACTTTCCACCTTCAAGGTTCGAATAGTGGCATAGTGGATCAGAAAGTCTCACAGCATTTCTTCGTATTCTGTCCGTGGATCACACAGGTCCATTTCTCAGTGCGATCTCCAGGATACGCCATACTACTTGGTTTGGTCAAACATGAAGTACGTAGGCCGTAGGTATCTAATTACGTACTTTCGTTTCAAACCAGTTTCCTCCTGACAAACTCCCCACTGCAATTTTCTGCATACGCGTTCGTCAAACCGTCCCGTGCTTTTGGCAGCCGCGGTTTCCTGTCACCCTGAGCACACCGTGGTCAAAAAGCAGCCAAGGAGGCCAGATTGTGGCGATAAACAGCAGTCGGATATAGTCGGATGAAGTGTCAGACGGGCAACGAATGCACCGAAACGGTCTTCTCAAGCACTCGGCTTGCAGGACTTCTGTCTTTTTTGTGCAGTTTTCGGTTTATTAGCGAAGCCGATGCGGTTAACAAAGGGATGCGCAACGCCTAGACACAGACCCAAGGCAAGGTACAGGTTCTGCTCCAAAACAGGATAGAACAGGAAAAGTGAGCCTGAACGTCAGGGTGTGGACACGACAGACCTCGGGCCGAAATGCTTCAGACATGTTTGCCAAACAGCCAAGAATGGAAGAGACCAGGGAGCCTTTACAACTCCTTTGGACAAGGAGAGTTTTCAATACCCGGGCCATGGCGTGCCGCATTGATAACCAGAGGGAGGTTAAAAGTGGCATGATGTATCCGATTGCTGGACACCTGATGCCTTGCGACCAAGAGTAGGAACTGGATGCCCAAAGTTCGAGAAGCGTACCATCTTGCGCCGGCTGTTTCTGCGTGAAGGCTACCCGAGCAGCATCGGAGTCGGTTCTAGACACCTACAATGAAATTTACCGAAGAAGAAATCGGCATAGAGACACTTTTCTAGTCTACTAGTGTTTCGCTCTGCAAATGGAATCCGAGCACTGAAAGCTCCACTGTGGCTCGAACGCCAGCAGCAAACAGGCCTAACCAGCGAATTGTTTTTGCTCGACGTGTTCCTGGTTGCGCATATCCAAGTTTCAGGCCACCTTAGGAGACTGGAGGTTGACAAGGCAAGGCCTCTCAAGACGCTAGAGTAGACAGTTTAGATGCCATCATGCGTTGTCGCGCGGACTGTTGTTGACCGAGAAGCTCCTTGCCTCATCAAATGCGTGGGTGGGTGGGGGCGGGGGGGGGGGCGGGGGGAAGAAGGAGTGTGTGGTGCAAGCTTGCTCAGCAGTTTCCGAGCTTCAGTTGCCGAGGTTAGAGCAGACAAAGTCGTATGACGTGCTCCCCTTGGAGGCACTGGTGGCTTGCAGCTCTAGACCAAGTCAGTTGGATTGATCAAATTCCAGTAAACCCGGTTCACGAGTTTGTCAACCAACGGCGAGTGCATGCACAAGGTCGTTCAGATGTATTCGGTTGCTAAATTACAGCGAGCATGTTCAGTGCAGCAGGGTAGAGCAGAAATTCAACGAAAGGTGGCCAGGCCGCTCGGCTCTGACAGAAGGAGGCAATGACGTTTCTCATCAGAGAGGGGACAGCACGAGAGAGATAGAGAGAGAGAGGCAGTGACCTGCCTGAGCACATCAGACCGTGCTGTGTGTGTGTGTGTCTCTGTGAGATGAGAAAGCATGAAGCCGGATCGGAACCCATTGCTGAGGCAACTGCAGGTGATGCGAGGTCAGCTGTTGGATGAGGCGGCTTCGAGGCCCAGCCGTCCGCGACTATGCCGCGCGCAGTGTGCGATCCGATCCTGCCTCCTCTGACGGTTCCTGTTTCTTCGTTCTACGTGTAAAGTTTAAAGCTGACGATGCAAGGCCCCATAGGCAGTTGAAGCACAGCAATTCCTGAAGCTTTCAGCGGGTACATTCGAGTCCCTCCGTCGAGTGGCGTTTGGGGGTTTCACACTTCATCCTCACAAATGTGACTTGTTATTGCTCGAAAGTTTGACGCATGTCTGTACTTTGACGTCGAGACGCCCTGTCTCCGTTGTTCGTTGCTCCTGCCGTATTACACACACACACACACGTTTGTGATGTGCAGCGGGACTTGCGAAGTTTACCATTGAGACACGACAACTGTTCATGCAAAGGTGTCGCAAAGCTGCCTCGAACAACGAGGGAGTTTGGAAAAATCCCCTTTCACGAATTTAGTCATATTTAGTCAGCGACTATATTGGGTCGACCCCTGCTCATGCGATCTACAGTTACTTGAAGAAACTGCGGTCTGAACCTGGGCAAGCCGGCAAGTTTCATGATTCGGTGATCTGTGGTACGTAAAGAATTGAAACATGCAGCGATAGTCTGACGACTCCATGCGTGCACTCACAGGAGTCATAGGTGTTGACTTCGTTCGGCAATCATTGCAATCAATAGCTCGACAAAGGGAATGCAGCATACAAGGAGCGGTTGTTTTGCTCAGCGACATACTTTGCACAAGGTGGGCTGATGTTGCGCAGCCACTTCAAGCAGAGACAGGCTCGTCGAGACCGCAATCGAACACATGCGGATGTGATTCTGATGTGACGTGTAATGACATGTACGTCACAAGACTGTGAGAAGTACTACAGTTACTAAAGTTGCCTGAAGTGCCGACAAGTTCGATAACTGCCAGTTGGCAATCGACAACGAGTGGATGCCCTGGAGCCAGCAACTCGAGGGATTCTTTGGAATGGCTTCAGCGTCATGACAAAGACTCCACAAACACCCAGTTGAGGCAGTGGCTCAGGGAGGTGCCCGCTTCCTTTTTGCAGCGATGAATCAACCCTAAATGCGTCGAAACATATCTGGATACTGGGGAGGCTTTGGCTCCAGAGCTCGTCCGTCTGCAACTGGACCCGTTTCCTGTAGCAGCGACAGCTTGCTAGTGAGCTGCTAGTGGCTGCTAGTGTCTTTGCTTTCATTGCTTTAGAATCTTCAGAACACTCCGCCACTTGCAACAGTCTTCGCTTGATGTGTTCGATAGTGTCATGCTGCACAATAAGCGCTTTTGACTCATGACTCCTGGTACTATGCTACTAGACTGCAGGACCTTGCTTCTGAACGCCGCTGTCGAGAACGGCTGGAGACCGCGGTCACATGCTCACACAAAGCACGGTGGAGCTTCAGTGTATCTCAGTCTTGCTGTTCCAAGGTCAATAAACACGTGGCTCTTTCGAAAACGCTGGAAAGGGCCTCCATCACTCCCAGAAGGCACACACAGACACTTCAAGGATCCCAGGCGACTTTGACATCCCTTCAGCGTGCGCCGCCATTTGCGCCATCTGACAACTTGGACAAATGTGCATTCTCAGCATCCTCAGAAGCCTCAGAAGCCTTACGAACCGGCGTGGAATTGGCATCCTCACAGTCGCGACAGTCACGGTCGGTGCCACTGGTGCCGGATGCAGCACCACGTGAATCTGCAGCTTCGCTGCATGTTCGGCTCAGGGCTCTTTGCCCCGTGTTCAGAAGCTCTTCTGATATCACTTCATGGGATTTAGAGGTTGGAGCTGGCAGTTGGCTCGCTGAGGCTCTGCATGGGCATGTGGAGGCCTCACTTACAACAGAGAAAGCCGACCGTGCCAGCTTCTCAGGGAGTGTTGAACTCTTGGCACTTCTACGTCGTGGCCATCAAGAACTGAGGTAGAAAGCTTGGCCTTGGAGGTGCCTCCAGCCAATGTTGACCTTGCGCTACAAGATGAAACAGCGCAACAAACACCCGAAGTCGCGCAAAGCGACGAGGATCCGGCCAGCAACCTAGCACAGCCGAAGTGGTCTCACATGACAGTTGGCAGTTTAGATCGTGAGGGGTGCCGAAGGCAAGATTGTTCTGAAACACTCTCAGAGGCTCCCCAGCGGCAGCAGAGGGCTCTTCTTGGTCGAATGCGAAGATCGTTGAAGAGATAGCTCGGCATCTGTTCAAAGAGGTTTCTTGCACAACCTGCCCCTGTGCTCAGCCACTTCTCTGAATTAATTAGTAAAAATGAGTCATTTCTCCCGTTCTGGTTTCAGTATCTCAATATAGAGGCTTTAAGGAGCCCGAATTCAGGGCTGCAGCAGGACGAGGCTTTGCAGACTGTCCTTTCTCTCGTATGCTGCAGTGTTCATAGCGATAGGAGGCAAGCCGAAGGTGCTTGAAGTTTGCCTTCGCGAGCTTCCCAGGCCCGAAGCCCTTGAACCCTGATAAACCTGTCAACCCTTAACTCTAGTTCAACCCTCCCTACCGTCGTGATCTTCTCTCCCCCATGCTAAACGCATTCGAAGCGCCCCAGAAAGAAGGCCGCTGCCAACTGCGTCCTTCTCTGGGGCTCGCGTTCGACAAGATTTTCTGCAAGCCCAATGCCGTCTGCGGAGCACGGGACAGTATGCTTCTGTTGAATGTCATGAACCTGTCCATTGCAGATTTGGTAAGCTTCTCTGGGCCTTGCAGACACCTGGCGCCGTACGACAAGTGCAAATGCATTCCCCACGGAGTGGTCGTCGATGCAGCCAACGATGTCTGCGCCCCTGCAAAACTAAACAAGCATGGACTGTTGTTCCGATTTCGTCTCACACGCGCAACAGGATGAGACATCCTTCCTGCTGTGTCAACGGTGCCTCCCTGTAGCCAGAGACCACGCTGACCTTCGCCTCAGCATGAGGAATTAGCGACCGATGCTTCGTGACGATCGCGCCTGAAGTGCTCTTGTACACCGAAATGGCATGGTGAGGACGACGACAACCATGACCACTACCACTGCTGATACTTCTGTTGCTAGCACCAGGACGACTAGCAATACCACTGCCGCTATTGCTGCCGCTGCTGAACGCCTATCTCGACCACATCCAGGACCAGTGCAAATATATTGCGTTGCGGAGATTTTTACCAGCGAAGGTTCCAAGCTAGGGTCCCTTCAAAGGGTTCAAAGGGCTGGTGTGACAACGGTTGCTGATAAGGGTGCAAGAACTTGAAAGAACCCAAATCTTTCAATTCAAGCCTCAAACCCTTAGCCCTACCAGCCTGAACAACAATATAGGACATGACAAGACTCTAAATGAATTGCCGACACCATCCTCTTGCAACCACCCCTGAAAACACAGCAGAATACAAATGATAAGAGAGCTACCACATGCACATAATATGTATATCTATATGTATATGTACACATGTATGTATTCATATTTATGTGTGTATTTGTAATCCTAAACCCTAGCCCCTAAATCTACCCTAGGTGGCTCAGCGCCTCGGAGGCTTCGTGTTAGGCTTAGGGTTCTGGGCTCCCATTGAGGATATGAAGGTTCAAGGTTTAGGGCAGGGCAAATATCGTGGGGTCCAAAGTTGCGGGCCTGCAAAACCCTCGCAAGTACCGTGGAACGTGAATTCTTAAAAGCCCTAAACCCCATCATTACACAATTCTGCGCCGAGAACAAAAACACTCCTAAGAACCATGAACGCGAGCAAAGCGCCCACAGAAGAACCCCGACAACATCCTCGAAACCCTACACAGGATGACGAAGAGGATGGCGATGATGACATCTGACCTGCTGCTGACAATGGCTCAGCATGAGCGTGGCCTCGCTACAGTACTGATGGTAACACTTGTTACGAACAGGAGCAGCCAAAGGCTGGATGCCATTGTAACCGCTGCTAGGTCGGGTTCCAGAGGTATGCCTTCGGATTGCTTACTGTAGAATACACATACGCTGCGGCCGGGATCCGGGAAGAGAGTTTCATCATGTCCTTTGCCCATGGACACCCGCCACAAATCCTTCATCCCATCTCAAGCAGAAACTACAAAACACTGAAGCCCCCATCCTAAACCTAAGCCATGCCCTTCAAACCGAACCGGGCTGCTCAGTCGAGGCTGCGAGGGCTGCTTTGGTGTAGGGACTTGTAGGGACATGCAAGGCCACGAGATCCAAGAACGCTTGTAGCTCTACAACAGATGGGGCTCTAGGATTGGGATAGCCGGCTGTCGGACAGGTTTGGTAGCTAGCGCTTACGCCGCAGCTTGGGCCGCCGCAGAAGGTGTTGTGCTGAGCCGTGGTGCTGGTGGTTTCCATCCACCAGCACCGTGGCTTTGCGTGGCTCCTTCTGTTCATCCCAGGCATGCGGTGTGGGTGCAGCCGGACTTGTTTGGCAGCCGGCTGTCTCCTCGTCAAAACCTCCACCTTGCTTGACTGAATCCTGAGCCATTGCAAGCTCCGCTGGTCCTAGACCAAGCCCACGCCACCGTCCCTCCGCCCCATTGATACTTCATCAATGGAGGTTTGAAGTCACATGCGCCGGTTTGAGCCTGAAGTGTGCTGAGTGCGCGAACGTTACATGGCCATCCTTCCGTGCATGTATTGCCAGCTCTTCGTGGGAAGCCTGACTCACAAGCATCGCACCACGCCCCCCGCCACGCGCCCCCCGTCCTCAGCCCTCAGACCCACTGGCCACACGAAGTCCGACATGGGTCGAGCCTACCCACTTTCTGCAGGCACGCCGTGCATGCACATGTGCATGCACAGCGTGCGCTGTGAAAGTGCGTGGGCTCGAGCCATGTCGGGCTTCGTGTGGCCAGTGGGTCTGAGGGCTGAGGACGGGGGGCGCGTGGCGGGGGCGTGGTGCGATGCTTGTGAGTCAGGCTTCCCACGAAGAGCTGGCAATACATGCACGGAAGGATGGCCATGTAACGTTCGCGCACTCAGCACACTTCAGGCTCAAGCCCGCGCCGTGAGCCTTCGAGCCAAGTGGGCATGGACTTGTGGGGCTGCAACGGCTGCGATGGATTTGGAAGGGCAGGGTGTGGGCGGAGGGACGGTGGCGACCAAGACGGCTCACTTCTCGAGGTTAAGTTCGACTAGACAGCATAATTGATAAATCTTGTGGCCTTGCAGCCTCAGCTAGTCAGAACAATAGGTCGTTACAGTAGCTCCTCGCTGAAATGCTGCGTGCAACGAGTTCGCAGTCTTGCTTGCAAACAGACGTCTGCAGGAAATGAGCGAGGGACTGCGCATTTTGGACGGCATCGCTTGTCGCTAGGGCTGTCATGTTTGAGTTGCCGTTTTGGTTCCCATGAATTTCTCAGCTGTGGGGTCTAGCGTGCAGCGGATCCATAGTTTCGATACTTTAATTTGTTTGACTGACACACTTGTAGGAAACTTCTCCATGACATCTTAAAGCGAAACACCATCACGATGAGATCTTGAAAGAACACGGTCGATGAGCTCTTGAAAGAACAGTCGCTCTCACGCAGAATTCGCAACTGGACAGATCGGGCCCCAAAGGAGCCCTGCCATTTGCGTTGTGCTACCGGTGCACGTTCTGAAGTGTTCACAAATTCAATTTGTTTTGATATGAATGTCTCATTTGGGGTAGGAGTTCGTGGTCAGCTTTTGCCAGGTGCTCGTCGTTTTCGGATCAGGAGAAGATTGGCAGTGTTCGAATATGAAGAAAAGAGAGACAGCAAGAAAAAAGAGAATATTTAAGAGAAGCAAGAAGAGAAACAAGGATAGCAAAACAAGAGAAATGTCAGAGAACAAGGGAAGGTACAAAATAATTTATCAAAAAAGAGAAAGAATAAAAGAAACCATCAGCGAACAAATGAGAGGAAAAGAATAGAACAAATAAGATAAACACAAAAGGATAAGAAACGAGAAATAAGAAGAGAAAGAACAAGATCAGAAGGAAGCGAGACAATAAGATAAACCATAAGACAAAAGAGAAGAGAAAACGGAAGAGAACAGAGTATATCAAAACAAGAGCAACAGAAACTCGTAGAACAAAAGAGACATAAGAAGACAAGCCAGAAGGTAAACAAATAAGATAAAGAAAAGATAAACATGAAGGCAAATAAGAAGATCAATAAGGAGAGACAACTAAATAAATAAGAAGAGAAAGAAGAAGATGAAGAAGACCAAACAGAAGAGAAACATGCAGAGAAAGAAGAAGAGAAACACTACAGAGAAATAGGAAGAGAACAGAAGATAAGTACAATACACAGAAGGGACACAAGAGAAGGACAAAGAAGAGAAACAATCAAGACAAATAAGAGGAGACGACAAACAAGAAGAGAGAGAAGAACATACAAAAGAAGACAAAAGGAACAACAAAATATGATAAAATATCAGATCACAAGAAGTATTAGTATTTGTATAAATTTAATATGAGTAATAGCAACAGTAATAACAATAACAGTCTTCTTAGTTACAGCAGTGCCACTGGGCTTCCAGGATCCCAAGCCTTAAATCCCCAAAACCCCTAAACCCCTAAACCCCAAAACCCTAAACCCGGCAGGATCCCAAGCCCAGCCACGTGGTCTTCCTGACCAACAAGTACCAGCACAGATACGCGCTCTTCGAGACGGAGCGCTTGATCAGGAGCTGCGCCTTGCTTTTGTGTGTTTAGGGCCCGACCTCTAGGGGCCTTCATAATTCAGAAGGGTCGATGGTGGGTTCTGCAAAAAGGGTTCTTTAAGGGTTGCTATAAGGATGACTCTAAGGGTTCTCTAAACGGGTTACATAATATGGGAATGAGGAATTGGCATTATTATGCTATATATTTGTAAATATTTCTTTCTATAGAACAGGCACTTGATTGAGAAGCCTTGGGTCATGGGTCTTTCTAAGGGTTGGATCCTAGTATGTTGGTGTTATAGGATCAGGGTTTCTTGAAAAGGTTCCTACATTATGGTTTGAACTCCACGATTTCGCCACTATCACAGCACTGTCTCATGTCGCGGATCACTGTGTTTCCACTGACATGCTGGAGAATGTGTGCTTCTTCCTGAAAACTGTCTCTGCACGCCGCAGCCTTTTAAAGACCGAGTCCAACAGCTGGCGTTTTTGCTTGTTTCGTTTTTATCAAGTTTTCCCATGGCCTGCTGTACTCGCTCAACCGAGGAAGTCGAGGTGGAAACTGGGCTCTGGTTAAGAAAAATTCTTACAGTCACCATGAAAAGGATCTAAAGAAAATATTTGGGTTTCCTGATTCTGGTAGCTTAAATTCGATTCTTTACCCCATACCTCTCATAGAACCCTTATATGGGGTCATTGAACCCTGTAGATCACTATTCCGATGACTTAAAGTACATTCCTTAACAAGAACCCAGGAACTGGTCGAAGCCGAAAAGCTCCAAGTCACTCTTGAAGGATGGGGCTTTCTTTTGCCCGGCTGATTCGTCAAGGGTTTAGGGTTCGGGATATAGGGGTTTAGGGGTTTGGAAGTTTAGGGGTTAGGGTTTAGGGGTTCAGGGGTCTAGGGGTTTACGGTCTAGGGTTTTGAGGTTTAGGGGTTTAGGGGTTTAGGGTTTGGGGGTTTGATGGTTTAGGGTTTCCCTTTTGAAAATCGCCACGCACAGAGAGCGCAAGACGATGGGCATGTCGTGCCTGCAGGTGAAAGTGGCCTGACTGGCTTCAAGGAGCTTGCAAAGCATGTGCACCTGTGGCAGCAGATGAAATTCCGACAAGCCAAGCCAAACCCCGTCCTGCGCAGGGTTGCGCCTTTCCTAAACCTTAAACCCTAAACCCTGACCCTCAGCCTCTCATTGCATAGGTCAAGCATGGAAGAGGAGATCGAAAGGCAGGCAGCCGAGATCCAAAAGCAGGCAGACCAGATCGTGGATCTTAAAGAAAAGTGCGAGCACCTTGGCATGTGAAAACTATGCAAGCCCATATCTTCCTAAAAAACTACCGATATTGTTCCTTAAGGGTTCCAGATTATACTTGTGGTATAAGTTACCTCAAAACACGATTCTACTTGGTAACGCCCCTATATTTGGTGCCGTCTGAACCCTAAACCCCTAACGCTTGCAAGCCTTGAAACCTTAGACCGATTCGAAATGTCAGGAACGCCATGAGCCTCGCGACACAGGCAATCCCGCCAACCGAATGGGGTTGCCTGACGCCCCAGCAGAAGCTCATGCTGCAGCTGTTGCTGGGTTCTTGTTAAGGGATGTAATTTAAGGTACGATAATGAGGAAACCTTATTGTTTAGTATAGATCCCCATTATGATAACATAAACTGTTAACCCTAAATCCTTAAAGGAACCCTTATAGGTCCCTATTATGGGAACTTAGACCTTAAGCCCTAAATCCTTCAAGGAACCCTTACAGATCCCCATTATGGTAGCTTAAATGTAATTTTCTTAACCCCTAAACCCTTATAGAACCCTTAAAGGAACCCTTATAGATCCCTATTGTGGTAGCTTAAATTCACTTCCTTAACAAGAACCTAGGTTGTTGGTCCTCATCGCCTCCCTCGTGGCAGTGCCGTTGCCCTTGCTGATCCCCATCAATGATCCGAGAGAGGGTCCGCTAAACAACCTCGCATTCTTCTATGGCTACAATGTCATCTGCATTGCCTACTACCTTCCCGGCCACTCGGACTTGCTGTTGCTTGCTGAGTGAGGGCTGTGCTGTCGGGGTGGACCCAGCTCAATACAGGCGGTTGCAAATGCTGCTGGAGCTTCCCCCCGGCAAGAGTGCGGATGGAGAGACGGTGCTGAAGTCCGTGGCGCACTCCAGTGCCATGAGCTTCGTTCAACAGTCCAGCTATGCAGAAAAGGTCAAACGGGCTGTGAGCTACACATTGATCATCTTCGGGGCTGGCACGGTATACTTCCTGTGTTGCCTTCCATGGGGGACTGACATGGTCTACTCTTACAGCATGCTCTATGGGGCTCCTCCCACCTTTGTCACGGTCGACTGGATGTACCTGGTTCTACTTGGCCAAAGATATTGGAACTTGAAGACTGTGGTGCTCGTCTTCGTGTACAACTTCTTATCACTGGCCCCTGTGCTGGTCTTGTGCGGTGTGGTGTTCACCTGCACCTACTTCAACACACCCGCCGCAGAATCTTGGTAGCTGAGTTTATGAACTTTAAACTTTTTGGGAGAATGAGACCCTCTTAAAACTGAAAGTTGAAACTTTTTTGGGCTTATGAACTCGGCACTAAACCCTAAGCCCTAAACCCTAAACCCTAAACTAAGGAATTCTTCGGCGCCCTGGCGTCATGGGTTGTGATGGAAGCGGTGGGAAAAGCCTCCGACAAGGCCCCCAGAGCTTCCAAAGAGCCTGTTCTACAGGGGCCTTCATAATTCCCTTTTCTATAGGGTTTAGGGTTCCTCTAAAGGGGTCCATAAGGGCTACTATAAGGGCTACTCAAGGAGGGGAGGGGCCTTCTATACTATAGGGTTTAGGATTCCTTAAAAGGGGTCCATGAGGGCTACTTTTAGGGCTACTACAAGGATTTAGTATAGGGGCCTTCATAATTACCTTTTCATTAGGGTTTAGGGCTCCCTTAAAGGGGTCCATAAGGGCTACTATAAGGGCCACTATGAGGATTTAGTATAGGGGCTTTCATAATTACCTTTTCTATGGGGTTAGGGTTCCTTAAAAGGGGTCCATAAGGGCTACTCTTGGGGCTGCTATAAGGATTTAGTATAGGGGCCTTCATGATTTACCTATACTATAGGGTTTAGGGTTCCTTCAAAGGGGTCCATAGGGGCTACTGTAAGGGCTACTATAAAGATTTAGTATAGGGCCTTCAGAATTGCCTATACTATAGGGTTTCGGGTTCCTTTAAAGGGGTCCATAGGGCTACTATAATGGCTACTATCAGGATTTAGAAAAGGGGCCTTGGCAATTACCTTTTCTATAGGGTTTAGGGTTCCCTTAAAGGGGTCCATAAGGGCTACTATAAGGGCTACTATAAGGATTTAGAAAAGGGGCCTTCGTAATTACCAAAAATTTGTTGGGGGTTCCTTGTTATAATTATAGGCAAATTGGCCACAAAACCCTATTGGAATTATTAAGGCCCCTATACTAGTCTGCGTCGTCCACGCATGCTTAAGTGTAGCACCTGATCACCCTAAACCCTTAACCCTAAAGCCCTAAGCCCCAAGCCCTAAAGCCCTAAACTCTAAACCGTGCAGGTACTTCATACTTTGGTCCCCTGGGCCGGCTACAGCCTTGAGCACTACTACCAGGCCTTGGCGGTGTCAAGTCTGCTCGGCTTTCGGCGAAGCTTTCGGTGATTCAAACCCTAAACCCGCAGTCCTAAACCCCTAAACCCCTAAATCCTAAACACCAAAACCCCTAAGCCCTAAATCCTAGACCCGACATCCTAAACCCTAACCCCCTAAACCCCTAAATCCTAAACCCGAAATCCCAAACCCCAAAACCCTAAGCCCTAAACCCGAAATCCCTGTTTGAGGTCGGCAACGCCTTGGTGTTCTCCTCCGTGCTCACCTTCTCCGAGGCGCGCTTAGAGCAGAGTTTAGGGTTTAGGCGTTTAGGGTTTAGGGTTTGGGGCTTAGGGTGTGGGGTTTAGTGTTTAGGGTTAGGGGTTTAGGGGTTTAGGGGTTTAGGGGTTTAGGGGTTTAGGGGTTTAGGGGTTTAGGGGTTTAGGGGTTTAGGGGTTTAGGGGTTTAGGGGTTTAGGGGTTTAGGGGTGTAGGGGTTTAGGGGTTTAGGGGTTTAGGGGTTTAGGGGTTTAGGGTTTAGAGTTTGGCGATTAGGGTTCGACCGTTTCTGGCGTCAAAAAACGCAGGTGATCCTTTTTCCAAGTACCAACTCCTGGTGGGCGTTGGCTGGCGTTGTGCTGGTCGACACACTTGGCTCTCTGCTGCAGTTGCGCGTGCTATACAAGTGCACAGTGAAGGACATGCAGGAGGGGAAGGGCGTCAGCGAAACAACGAAACGAGCACTGTGGACGCAGTGCGAGATTGATGTGGCTCGCTTTTGGCCTGTAGTGGTGGCACTGCCGCCACTCGTTTGGCTCATGGACGAGCGGAATCCGAACCGACAGTACTACTACCTCTTTGAGTGCACCACCTCGGACCACATGAATATCACAGTTGTCTGCATCCTCGTGAAACTAGGTTGGACTTGTGTTCTGACGGGTCTGGACGTTTACATGTGCACTCAATGGGGGATTGGTCCCCACAGAGCCCAGCAGATGCTCAAGATGTACAACAAGCACTGGGCAATGATGGCTGCCACTTTTGCCTTTGCCGGTGCCATTTTCACAAGCTGCTGGCTTGTGAAGCACGACGGGCTGCGACTTCTTGAGATTCTCAGCGAATGTTGAGAGCTTGCTTTTAGTTTAAGGCCCACGGTCGCACTGCATGCAGAATCTCGAACTGCGCTTGCAGTTGAAGAAGTCTTCGCTTTCACCGAAGAGGTGAAGGTATTTGGAAGATATTTATGCCCCAGGATGCGCGAGAGCTCCGTGAATAGTTTGCGTAGGTTTTGGTTCACCGCTGTTCATGACTGCTGTGTGTCGTGTGATTTTCTCTGTCCCCAAAGCAGAGTCGGACTTGAAACCTTGAACCTGCTGGGAGGAAGACGCTCTTCACGTCGGTGCCTTGCTGCCCATCGCCTCCTCGCCAGCGCAGACGGGCTGCCCAGGCGAGCATGAGCAACATAATATCGGATCAAGTCGTTTAGGCTGTTGTCGCGCAGGAGAGGGTTCTCTATTAGGGGCCAGACCCTAAACGCTAAGACCTAAGCCCTAAACCCACCGTAGCCCTAAACCCTAAACCCTATAACCTAAACTAAACCCTAAACCCAAAGCCTGAAACCAACAGGGACCCTAGTTTAGAGAACAACCACCGTGTTGAATCGGGCCTAGACCTGGACTCCTTGAGCCGATCTTGGATCAGAAGCCCAAAACGCTTGAAAGCTCAGGGGTTAGGGTTTAGTGTTTATTGTTCAGGGTTTAGGGTTTAGAGTTCAGGGTTTAGGGTGCATGGGTGAAAGGAAGGACCCTGATGTAGAAGTCTCGAAAGCTTCTGACATCGGCGAGTGCAGTCGCATCATCAACAATAAAATTCCCCAAGCCCTAAACTCCAGAATCCTCGGGTTTCTAACGGGTCCTGGACGTCTTTGCCAGGCATTGTGGTTTTGGTGTCGCTGTTTCTCTACTGCCGCTGCAAGCCTTAACACTCGCCGGAGCGGAGCTGGAGCGCTGTTTTCCAGGGTAGCATAGGTTTTACTGATTAAAGCTTCTTCAGTTGGTGCCTGACGTTTGGCAACCTTCGTAGCAGTTTGGGCTATGGTGAGGGCGTATGTTCAGGATCCTACCATCCAGCTTTTTGCCTAGACAATCCTAAGCCCGAACGCTTGATGTGACAGTGCGAGCATAACAAACCCCAAGACTCCATTCCAGTTTCTACTGTCTGGTTCTTAGTAGGGAATGGGGGAATGAATATTGGGGACTATTATTGGGGACTATATAGCGACTACTATAGGGATCCATTCCCCCATTCCCTACTCAGCACCAGACAGACTAGGACTCCCAGATTAAGCCCTATAAAGACTTCGGGGTTTCGGTTCCTGTGGGGTTTTTGGCTTGAGGATGAGGGTTAAGGATGTTGTTGTTGGTTGCATGCTTGGGGTTTTGGGGTTTTTGCTTTGCTTTATAATGTTTGGGGTTTGCCTAGAGTCTCCATGGTAGTTCCTTTCTTTGGTTAAACCAGCTTCATATTTAGGATCCTAGGAAGCAACCCAAAAAAGGAGCTAGAAACGATACTACTTGGCCCTACTAAACCCTAAACCATAAACCCTAAACCCTAAACCTTCAACCTTAAGCCCTAAACCCTAACCCTTAAACCTTAAACCCTAAACCTTAAACCTTAAACCACAAACCCTGAAGGTTTCTTGTTCCGAGGTTCGGTCGAGCCGGGGCTTTCCCTGCAAGCCGCAGGTCGTGTTAAAAGCCAAGTGCTAAACTGCACTACGGCTGATGATATAAATCCTGCATTACCTTAAGGACCCTAAACTATGGGAATTATGGTATATTCCTTATCATGGGTGATGCAGGATTTGTATGATCAACCGTATCCTAAACCCTAAACCCTCAACCCTTCATTAGTGGAGGATGATTATAGTAGAGCGCCATGGGACAGTATATTGATTGTTACCAAACAGACTCCCGCAACTCTGCAGGATCGCAATCTGCTTGCTCTTCGCCGCGATGGTGATGATCACAAGTGTCTCCACTTTGCCGCGTGGCTTAGGCTTTAGGGTTTACCGTTGAAGGTTCAGGGTCTTCTGTCTGGTGCTTAGTAGGGAACGGGGGAATGGATCCCTACAGTCCCCAGCTAGCTGCTCTTGCTATGCAGGCCAAAGAGCTCCTCTCCGTGCAATTGTGCCATGGAGGACAAGACTGAAAGTATCACAGTATAGATGGTGTTATTGCCGTGAATGGCTTTAAGGCTTTGCAGACTTTCCTTTCTCTCGTATGCTGCAGTGTTCATAGCGATAGGAGGCAAGCAGAAGGTGCTTGAAGTTTGCCTTCGCGAGCTTCCCGCCCAAAGCCTTTGAACCCTTTTGACCCTGTCAACGCTTAACTCTAGTTCAAGATCTTCTCTCTCCCCCATGCTAAACGCTTTCGAAGCGCCCCAGAAAGAAGGCCGCTGCCAACTCCGTCCTTCTCTGGGGCTCGCGTTCGACAAGATTTTCTGCAAGCCCAATGCCGTCTGCGGAGCACGGGACAGTATGCTTCTGTTGAATGTCATGAACCTGTCCATTGCAGATTTGGTAAACTTCTCTGGGCCTTGCAGACACCTGGCGCCGTACGACAAGTGCAAATGCATTCCCCACGGAGTGGTCGTCGATGCAGCCAACGATGTCTGCGCCCCTGCAAAACTAAACAAGCATGGACTGTTGTTCCGATTTCGTCTCACACGCGCAACAGGATGAGACATCCTTCCTGCTGTGTCAACGGTGCCTCCCTGTAGCCAGAGACCACGCTCTGATGACCTTCGCCTCAGCATGAGGAATTAGCGACCGATGCTTCGTGACGATCGCGCCTGCAGTGCTCTTGTACGCCGAAATGGCATGCTGAGGACGACGACAACCATGACCACTACCACTGCTGATACTTCTGTTGCTAGCACCAAGACGACTCGCAACACCACTGCCGCTATTGCTGCCGCTGCTGAACGCCTATCTCGACCACATCCAGGACCAGTGCAAGAATTATTGCATTGCGGAGATTTTTACCAGCGAAGGTTCCAAGCTAGGGTCCCTTCAAACTTCAAAAAGGGTTCAAAGGGCTGGCATGACAACGGTTGCTGATAAGGGTGCAAGAACTTGAAAGAACCCAAGTCTTTCAATTCAAGCCGCAAGGCCGGTAACTTCCAGGAATACCCCCCAAGCACGCAGAACGGAATCAAACCCCCCAATCCATGACCCGTAGCCCTGCCAGCCTGAACAACAATTTAGGACATGACAAGACTCTAAATGAATTGCCGACACCATCCTCTTGCAACCACCGCTGAAAACACAGCAGAATACAAACAATAAGAGAGCTACCACATGCACACATATGTATATATATATATATGTATATTTATATGTATATGTACACATGTATGTATTCATATTTGTGTGTGTATTTGTAATCCTAAACCCTAGCCCCTAAATCTACCCGAGGTGCCTCAAGGACTCGGAGGCTTCGTGAGGCTTAGGGTTCTGGGCTCCCATTTGGGATATGAAGGTTCAAGGTTTAGGGCAGGGCAAATATCGTGGGATCCCAGCTCTGAACTTGCAAAAGCCTCGCAAACCATGGGGCCTGCAAAACCCTCGCAAGTACCGTGGAACGTGAATTCTTAAAAGCCTTAAACCCCATAATTACACAATTCTGCGCCGAGAACAAAAACACTCTGCAAAACGCTAAGAACCATGAACGCGAGCAAAGCGCCCACAGAAGAACCCCGACAACATCCTCGAAACCCTACACAGGATGACGAAGAGGACGATGATGACATCTGACCTGCTGCTGACAATGGCTCAGCATGAGCGTGGCCTCGCTACAGTACTGATGGCAACACTTGTTACGAACAGGAGCAGCCAAAGGCTGGATGCCATTGTAACCGCTGCTAGGTCGGGTTCCAGAGGTATGCCTTCGGATTGCTTACTGTAGAATACACATACGCTGCGGCCGGGATCCGGGAAGAGAGTTTCATCATGTCCTTTGCCCATGGACACCCGCCACAAATCCTTCATCCCATCTCAAGCAGAAACTACAAAACACTGAAGCCCCCATCCTAAACCTAAGCCATGCCCTTCAAACCGAACCGGGCTGCTCAGTCGAGGCTGCGAGGGCTGCTTTGGTGTAGGGACTTGTAGGGACATGCAAGGCCACGAGATCCAAGAACGCTTGTAGCTCTACAACAGATGGGGCTCTAGGATTGGGATAGCCGGCTGTCGGACAGGTTTGGTAGCTAGCGCTTACGCCGCAGCTTGGGCCGCCGCAGAAGGTGTTGTGCTGAGCCGTGGTGCTGGTGGTTTCCATCCACCAGCACCGTGGCTTTGCGTGGCTCCTTCTGTTCATCCCAGGCATGCGGTGTGGGTGCAGCCGGACTTGTTTGGCAGCCGGCTGTCTCCTCGTCAAAACCTCCACCTTGCTTGACTGAATCCTGAGCCATTGCAAGCTCCGCTGGTCCTAGACCAAGCCCACGCCACCGTCCCTCCGCCCCATTGATACTTCATCAATGGAGGTTTGAAGTCACATGCGCCGGTTTGAGCCTGAAGTGTGCTGAGTGCGCGAACGTTACATGGCCATCCTTCCGTGCATGTATTGCCAGCTCTTCGTGGGAAGCCTGACTCACAAGCATCGCACCACGCCCCCCGCCACGCGCCCCCCGTCCTCAGCCCTCAGACCCACTGGCCACACGAAGTCCGACATGGGTCGAGCCTACCCACTTTCTGCAGGCACGCCGTGCATGCACATGTGCATGCACAGCGTGCGCTGTGAAAGTGCGTGGGCTCGAGCCATGTCGGGCTTCGTGTGGCCAGTGGGTCTGAGGGCTGAGGACGGGGGGCGCGTGGCGGGCCCACGAAGAGCTGGCAATACATGCACGGAAGGATGGCCATGTAACGTTCGCGCACTCAGCACACTTCAGGCTCAAGCCCGCGCCGTGAGCCTTCGAGCCAAGTGGGCATGGACTTGTGGGGCTGCAACGGCTGCGATGGATTTGGAAGGGCAGGGTGTGGGCGGAGGGACGGTGGCGACCAAGACGGCTCACTTCTCGAGGTTAAGTTCGACTAGACAGCATAATTGATAAATCTTGTGGCCTTGCAGCCTCAGCTAGTCAGAACAATAGGTCGTTACAGTAGCTCCTCGCTGAAATGCTGCGTGCAACGAGTTCGCAGTCTTGCTTGCAAACAGACGTCTGCAGGAAATGAGCGAGGGACTGCGCATTTTGGACGGCATTGCTTGTCGCTAGGGCTGTCATGTTTGAGTTGCCGTTTTTGTTCCCATGAATGTCTCAGCTGTGGAGTCTAGCGTGCGGCGGATCCATAGTTTCGCTACATTAATTTGTTTGACTGACACACTTGCAGGAAACTTCTCCATGACATCTTGAAGCGAAACACCATCACGATGAGATCTTGAAAGAACACGGTCGATGAGCTCTTGAAAGAACCGTCGCTCTCACGCAGCACTCGAATTCCGCAACTGGACAGAGAGCGGACCCCAAAGGAGCCCTGCCATTTGCGTGGTGCTACCGGTGCACGTTCTGAAGTGTTCACAAATTCAATTTGTTTTGATATGAATGTCTCATTTGGGGTAGGAGTTCGTGGTCAGCTCTTGCCAGGTGATCGTCGTTTTCGGATCAGGAGAAGATTGGCAGTGTTCGAATATGAGTAGAAAAAGTGAGAAAAGAGAGAGGGAGAGAGAGCAAGAAAAAAGAGAATATTTAAGAGAAGCAAGAAGAGAAACAAGGGATAGCAAAACAAGAGAAATGTCAGAGAACAAGGGAAGGTCCAAAAAAATTTATCAAAGAAGAGAAAGAATAAAAGGAACCATCAGCTAACAAATGGGAGAAAAAGAACAGAACAAAGAAGATAAACACACAAAAGGATAGCAAACGAGAAAGAAGAAGATCAGAAGGAAGAGAGACAATACGAGAAACCATAAGACAAAGAAGAGAAGAGAAAGCAGAAGAGAACAAAATATATCAAAACGAGAGCAAAAGAAACACAGAGAACAAAAGGGACATAAGAAGAAAATCAAGAAGATAAAGACTAAGATAAAGAAAAGATAAACATGAAGACAAAGAAGAAAATACATAAGGAGAGAACACGAGATCAATAAGAAGAGCAGAAAGACCAACTAGAAGAGAAACAGTACAGAGAAATATGAAGAGAACAGAAGATAAGTAACAATACACAGAAGGGACACAAGAGAAGGACAAAGAAGAGAAACAATTACGAGAAACAAGAGGAGACGACAAACAAGAAGAGAAATAAGAACATACAAAAAAAGACAAAAGAAATATAACAAGTCAGATAAGAAAACTTTGTGGTGCTTGTAACTTTAGATCCTTAGCCTTTTTGAGTTTATTGGGTTTCTGAATAAGGCAGCTAAAAGTTCAATTTATTCTACCTCCCAAGTGCAGCCAAGAAAACATCAGATAACAAGAAGGAATGTTTTTTTTTGGGGGGGGAGGTGGAGTTTCCTGTGGAATCACTCGTATAGTTCAATGTCATGTCCTGTTTGTCCTTCCTCAAAGCCGCGTAGCGCAAGACTCATTGCAAAATAGGCCAAACCAACCCTCGAGACCCCTAACATCTCAATACCCCTACTAGATGTGTTGGCGCGCGGGGTTTTGTGACAATTATGTTCCCTTTAACGTTGTGGTGGAGCTAGATGTGTGCTGGCACGCGCGGTTTTGTGATAATTTTGTCCCCTATAATGTTGTGCTGGAGCTTGGCGCGCGAGGTTTTGTGACAATTATGTTCCCTCTAACGTTGTGGTGGAGTTAGATGTGTTTGCGCGAGAGGTTTTATGACAATTATGTTTCCTTTTAAACTTTTCGTTGTGGTGGAGCTAGATGTGTTGGCGCGCGAGGTTTTGTGACAAGTATGTTCCCTTTAACGTTGTGGTGGAGCTAGATGTGTTGGCGCGCGAGGTTTTGTGATAATTATGTTCCCTTTAGTGTTGTGGTGGAGCTAGACGGGTTGGCACGCGAGGGTAATGAATTCTCATCTTTTTAACGTATGAACGGTATAGAAATTAGGTTCATAGCCCAACACATGTGGATTTCATTCTACTTCTCACTCACTCCTGATGAACGTATTTATAATATAATATACTATTCATTCATGTATTTCGCTTATTTCATTCGCGTTTTTCCTTAGGTTTCATGTGATCTTATTTTGTGCTCACGGATTCATATTAATAATATTGTAAATACGAAGATATAGTTCTTGTAATTCACACCCTTATGATAAAACCTTTGACGAATTAATTTTATAAGGAATGAATGTAATGTATGAATTAACCCAAAAATCTAAATATTTATAATGTAATCACAGAGATTATTCATGCGTTTCATTTCATTTCACTTCTTACCACATTAAATCTTTTTAACATTATAATGCACGAAAGTAATAAGTGAATTTATGAGAATACACGGAAATAATTCTTTGTACGTTTCACTAATGTATTAATAACCTTACCATGTGAGCACTTCATTAGTATTATTACAAAGCTAATTAAAATACCTGATAATAAGGCATAGACAAGTGGAGCTAGATGTGTTGGTGCGCGAGGTTTTGTGATAATTATGTTCCCTTTAACGTTGTGGTGGAGCTAGATATGTTGGCACGCGAGGTTTTGTGACAATTATATTCCCTTTAATGTTGTGGTGGAGCTAGATGTGCGTTCCCTTTAACGTTGTGGTGGAGCTAGA